GGGGGGGGCATGGGCACCCCTGAACGGCGGACGACTCGATTCTTCTCGGGCGGCGTTGCGGGTTTGTCGAAGTCGTTGGAACGTGAGCTTGCCGAAGGGGTGCGCTGGGAAGAGGGAACTTTTTGCAAACGAAAAGAAAGGGCCATGCAAATAATAGGTCTTTCGCACTGGCCCTCGATATGCACGATGAGTTGGCAGATGCACGCTGGCAGTCGCTTGCTAGCTGCTTTGGGCCGCCTGCAGACGACCACGTCGGCGAGTCGGTTGCATCCGATGGGCTGGCTTGTGAGACATTGAGAATATCATAAGCGATACAGAGATATCACAAAAAGGCCTGAAAGTGCCCTCGACTGCGCTTTCTATAGATGTATCAGCCCCACAATATCACAGCATATCGCTTGCAGCATCCGCCCGACTTCCGCCTTTCGTTGCTTGGAGGGAGCACGACCACTTCAACATTCACTCACATCGGAGCACAAACCCACCCTTCACCATGTGGAAGACACGTCGCAGCCTGATCAGAGGCTCTTAACAATCCGCAATGCAGTATTCACGCATTCTTTAAACAGCACGCGAATACGCATTGCTTCACAGCATGTGGCCGCAGCAGTAGGGCCAAGCAAGCCCAAAGTCTTGGGAGCTCGTGTGGCGGAGCAGGTTCCAGAGGCCTTTACTCTCCATCATAAACACCGCGACCGCGTCCTCCTTCCACCTCTCTTACTATTCTCTCACCTGAACGACTCTCCAACCCTCACCCTATCTCGCAACTCCTTCGCTTGGCACTCACCTCATCACCGCGACCATGGCCGTCTTGCTACAAAAGCGGTACAGGTACGTATCCAAGCTCTTTCCTCCAGCCCCGGTGTCCTTGTTGGTTGCGTAGGCTCTTCGACAGGCCGCAGCATCTGATACATACTTTGCGTGGCCTCGCTCAGAGCCACTCTTTGTGTCTTCACTACTGTCGCGGGCTTCTTACCTCAGCTTGAGTTCGCCTCTGATACTTCCATCAACCTCTACCAACACACTCGCTTGCGATCCAGCCACGTAACCAACACCTTACTTACAACATGGCCAGGTGTGTCGAGTACAACAACGGCGACGTCGACTGCTACAACAGCGCATGGGATTCTTGGGTCCGATGGCTCGTCCTCGCCCTGATCATCATCGCCGCCCTCCTCCTCTTCTTCTCCTTCAGGTAAGCCATCATAACACAACAGTCACACGACCAACCATCTAACAATCTCAACAGCTGCATCACCGCGCGAAGACGCCGCCGAATGGGCTACCAACCCTACCGCGGCACCGGCTGGGCCCTCGGACGCACACCACCCGGCCACGCCCCCGCTCAGTACAACCAGCAGCAACCGTACTACCAAAACGCCCAGCCCTACTACAACAACAGCAACAACCCCGCGCCACCGCCTGCATACACCCCGCCGCCGAACAATGGATACTACGGCAATGATGTGGAGTTGCAGCAGCCGCAGAATGTGTATGGTGGATACCGCAGTGCCGAGGGAGCGTATGAGCCGCCGAAGGGCCCGCCGCCAGCGAGGAATTAAGAGGTGATTGAGAGGAGATGTTTTTCGGTTTGGTTTTGGATATAGACTGCGGTTGGGATATTGGAGGTGCGATCGATACGGCAGCGGGGAGGTTAGAATGATGCTGTCATGAAGCTCAGGATAAGCGTTGAGTTCACGTTTCTTATACTCTTCACGATTGAAATGAAAAGACACGAACCACGAACTTCATGATCCATTCGTAAGGCCACCTCTCCATTCCGCCAGAGCTATACGAGCCACGGCAACACTCGAATCCTTCTCGGACGACACTGCTAAAACCCGCCGCATTTCTTACACAATTTACCCTATCCAACCACTCTCTCGCCCACAAACCCTACGATGCCGCAATGCACGCCTTCTCGCATGCATTTGGTAGTCTTGTCTGACTCGTTCCCGTCCCATGCACTTGTGGGAGGACTGGAAGAGAGAGACTGGAGCTTCATACGTCACGTCGACCCCACCCTAGATCTCTCTAGGTGTTTAAGTTGTCTCTTTGCTTTCTTACTTGGTACTGCTCTGTTGTATGTGGTGCAGAACATTGGCTGTTCTCTTCCATTAATCTTTGGATAGCACCGGCACTTCAGAAGATCATACTCTCAACCACAACTACTCCAGTAGTCGATTACTCCCCTCTCCTCAGCTCCACCCCTCTTCCGATTTGTGATCAACAACGACCATGGCCCCCTCAACAATGAAAGCCATCAAAATCGTCGAAGGCCACAAAGCCGAATTGCAAGACGTCCCTCTCCCTAAACTCCGCGACGACTATGTTCTGTGTAAAGTGAAATGTGTGGCTTTGAATCCGACGGATTGGTAAGTGGCTTCTTTCAAACATCCACGAGTGCTAGGAGGGAGAAAAGTTAAGCTGATGTGTGTGGATACGTAGGAAACACATCGCCCGAGGACTGGGGAAGCCGGGGTGTAGTGTTGGTGTGGATTTCAGTACGTCTCTCCATCGGCATGGCCGGGAGTGAGTAGTGAGTTTCTGCTGATGGGGATATTTCCAGGCGGCGTGATCGAGGAGATCGGACCGAAAGTGATGAAGGAGTGGAAGAAGGGCGATCGGGTGTGTGGGTTTGTGCATGGGGGGAATCAGACGCAGCGGGAGGATGGTATGTTATTATTTATAAGGGGAGGGAGCGAGGGAGAGAGGGAGCAGTGTTGCTGATCATGGTATAGGGACTTTTGGGGAGTATTGCCTTATGAAGGGGGATCTTGGTCTTAAGGTAAGCCACTTTGGGGATCTAATTTCTCGAGAAGCTATGTTGATATATGTTCCAGATCCCCGACGCCATGAGCGACGAAGATGCCGCGACGCTGGGTACGGGTGTGATTACCTGCGGCCAATCCATGTACCAAAGCCTCGGCCTCCCCGAACCGGGCGACGGAATGGAGAAGTACCATGGCTTCTTTCTCGTCTACGGAGGTAGTACGGCGACGGGGACGTTGGCAATTCAGTATGCTGTTCTGTAAGCCTTCCCCTATCACCGCTCCACACATAACGATAGCCTTTCTAACTGATGTGTTTTGGGTAACAGATCAGGCTGCCGCGTCCTCGCCACCGCCTCCCCCCACAACCACGCCCTCCTCAAAGCCCTCGGCGCCGAACAAGTCTTCGACTACCGCGACCCATCTTGCGGGCAGAAAATTAGAGACTATACCAACGACACCCTCACCCTCGCCCTCGACTGCATCGCCGAAAACGACTCGCCCAAAATCTGCTGCGACGCGATATCCTCCGCAGGCGGGAAGATCGGGTATTTGTTGAAAACGGATCATCCACGGAAGGACGACGTCGAGAATAAATTCACGCTGGGGTATACGGTTATTGGGGAGGCGTTTGAGAAGTCGGGGAGGCGGTTTGAGGCGAAGGGGGAGGATTTTGAGTATGCGAGGAGGTTTTGGGAGTTGACGCAGAAGTTGGTGAATGCGGGGCAGATTGGTGAGTTCTTGTCCTTGTCTGTATGTGTGAGATGTAGCTGGGGTTGTGTGGATGGGGATTCGGTTGGCTGATGTTTGGTTGTGTACAGCTGTGCACCCTCCCAAGGTCGGGGCTGATGGGCTTGTGGGGGTTCTCGATGGGTTGAGTCAGTTGATGGAGGGGAGGGTTAGTGGGGTTAAGTTGGTTTATCGGGTTGAGGAGACGCCGACTGATCGGAAGGCTTGATGGAACGAGATGGTGGTGTCGGGGGGAGTGGTTGTGCGTAAGAGGTGAGATATGTACTGATACGTGTGTCCAAGGGAAAGCTAAACCATCACAGCAGCCTCGCGCCACTTCGCATTCTCAAGGCTCCAAGAGTTGCGTGCACCTTGTGCTGACTCTCAACTTCCTATCCATCTTCAAATTACTTTGCTCCTCATTTCTCCTAACAATATCCATCTCCAACCCGCAAACCAGTCCACAACCCCGTCATCATGACAGAACCCAACCCCCGCGACCCCATAACCTCCGCCTCGATGAACCGTCCCCCTCCCACACCCCTCCCCTTTCGCCCTCCTCAACCCCGAACAAAGCCCATGGCCATCCTCTGTTTAGGCCTCAGTCGCACGGGAACACTATGTATATCTCCTTTTTCACTTCCACGAACCTCTTTCTCATCCCTCCCACCAAAGCCCCTGCTCATCCCTCCCTCCACGCAGCCTTCCCCTCCTCAAGTCCCTAGTCCCCAGTCTAATACGTATCTCCCGAGCAGCGCTCTACCTCGCCCTCAACACCCTCGGCTACAACGCCTACCACGCGGCGGAAATGGCGCGCAATGAAGAGAACGCACATGTAAGATTATGGCGCGAGGCTGTGGAAGTGAAGTACTTCTCCAGTGGCGAGAAAAAGAACGGGTATAAGAGATTGGAGAATAGAGAGGATTTTGATGAGTTGCTTTGGGATTATGATGTTCGTATCTCCGTCCCTCCCCTCCCTCACCTCTCTCACCACCTTCTTTCCCCGATGTATGTGATGGTGACTCGGGTTGTTAACCAAAACCGTGCAGGCCCTAACAGACATCCCCACCGTCCTCTTCGCCCCCGAACTCCTTCGCGCCTACCCCTCCGCAAAAGTCATCCTCACCGAACGGAACACGCCTGAGGAATGGGTCAAATCCGTCGAATCGATTCTCTACCATATCCTCAGCTTGAGGATTTGGCGGGTTCTGGAAGTCATAGATACCGTACGTCTGCCCTCCACCATCCCAGATATCTCCAACTGATAAAGATAGGGCCTAGCGAGACACTACATCCCCCTCCTCCACCACACCCTCCACATCTGGACGTCCGGGCACCCGTCCTCCCGCGAAGCGCTCAAGCAAGGTTACCTCTCACACAACGCACACATCAGACGCATCGTCCCCAGAGAGAACCTCCTCATCTATCGTCCGGGGGACGGCTGGGAGCCACTTTGTAAGTTTCTGGGGAAAACTGTACCCGAAGGTGTGGAGTTTCCGAGGGTGAATGTGGGGAATGCGGCGGCGGTGGCGCATGAGTGGGTGTTTCCTAGGGAGAGGTTGAGGGTTGTGGGGAGGAAGTTGGTGAGGGTGGTGGGGCCTGTGGTGGTTGTTGTTGGGGCGGTGGGATGGGCGGTGGGATGGGCGGTGGCGAGGTGGAGATGAGGGTGAGCAGATGTTGGGCGTGTCTAGATTCGAAAGTTTGTGAAGAGAACGTGTTGCAGTTGGATCTCGTTGTTGTTGAAGGTGGTGTGTTATACACGCTAGGCGTTAGCGTGGGCCTTGGTTCTCACCACATGTGAGAGTGGCATAGGAGGTGAATTCGGCATGAATGCGATGGCCATGAACACATTATTCCTACACAGGCTTCTGATTCGACGGCCAAACCACTGTTGACGTTGTGATTGCTTGGAGGAGGTGAACGCTGCTAGTGTCGAAATACTTATCGATTGTGTACTGACTACCTGCTCAAATGGGTATTCTAGCTAGGTCTGTCAAAATTGCAACGCAAAGTGTATCTGAAAGAGACATTACCGTGCAGGGGGTATCAAAATGCAGAACTCAAGCAGAGGCTTCCAATGCCGAAAGTCACGCAAATCCAGCGCAGAGCATCCAACGCCAACGTTAACTTATCCAGGAATTCATCGTCAAATGTCGTTATGGGTATCATCGATTGAAACATCACTCATCAAGCCTCTTCAAGCCCTTCTTCATGCGGTGTTCTTTGGCATAGGCAGGCGTCCAGCCTCCCGCGAATAAAGCATCACATTCGTCCTCATCTTGAGAGTCAAACTCAATCTCGTCTTCCTCCAAAGCGGCAGGAAGTTGATTAGGAGGAGCCACCGGACTGTGTCGTCGGGCGCTGCTGTAGCTGTTCCTTCTATTCTCATTCACCATACCGTCTTCGTCGACCTCGTCAGCCGTCTCCCACGTGCTGCTACGACAGACTCTCTTGGTCTCGAGTATGAACTTTCCGATTTTGTACATTTGGTCCCCGCGTTCTGCTGCGACGTACTTCCAACCAAGTACGCTCCCGCACTGCGCGCAAGAGATATCGCCGACGGTGTGCGCGCCTGTGACGAGTTGTCTGGGGACAGGCTTGTGGGTGTATGTGTTTGGGAGATTGGGAAGCGCGTCGTTTCTGGCCTTGGTGGTCGAGTGCGCGTTTACGACGATGTTATCTGAGATCGCTGACGAAGAAGGGGCTACCAGGTATGCTCGACCATGGCGACCGGTGAAGCCCTTTGAGATGATCTGAGAGGAGAGGGCGAGATCGGATAAGCAGCGCGCGCAACGCAGATGGGAGGCGTGTCCAGAGAGGTATGAGTCGTCAGGCGGACTGGAGCTGCTTATCGTGGCGTTGCTGGTAGAGGATGCATCGCTGGAGGTGGAAGCAGTGCTATCGGTGCTCGACTGGCGCCTGCGGAATGGCAAAGAGGGTACGAGGTAGGTGGGGAAGAGCGTCGGCGGTGAAGGTAGGGATGGGAAAGGCATGTCGTCGTAGTGGGAGGATATCGTCGCCAGAGTCGTCCAGATGCTACGGTTCTACCAGCTCATGCTCAAGAGGATGATGGCTTCAGTAGGATTCGAGAGGTGAAGTCAGCGGGAGATTAGACGTAGCCGGGATATGGATAGTAAGTATATCGTAAAGCAGGATGTCGTCTTGCAGTCCTGAGACAAGGTTGAAACTCTGCGGTCAGTCCAGTCATTCACCTACTCTTGCTGTCGCTATCGCCGCATCCGCGCTTTCCCGGGGAAAGGCAGAGACATTGCCGGCGTATGGTGAGAGCTGGCACATGATATGAGCGCGTCCCGCGTGATTCGCCCAAGCTATGAGCTGATGTCGGTCAGATGCAGCACATCGAAGAGGTGAAGTGAGGGGAGTAACCGCTAGCCGGTCTCCGGTTGGCGGCGCGTCCCAAAACGGCCTGGCCGCTTTTCGTGTCGTCTTCGTCACGGAGATAAACAATAAAGGCACCTATACACGACATGTCGAATCGAAAAGCAACAATCGCAGCTCTTGATGTGCCGGATCTGATCCAACCTTGCATGAAACTGTTGTCCAGGGTCGCCATTGACCTACCGCAGCTCCACCAGGAAGGGACTCCATAGTCCTCAATTGCAGCTGGAGGTGACAGCAACAATCTTGAGACACAGATCGACCTCGTCATCGTTCCATCCTGCTGTGCTAGAGCGCGACTGGACGTTTCAGATGACGAACAAGCCCAGCTCTTCACTCTGGGCGCAAAGTGAGCACTTAGGGTAGAGACAAGCCCGTCATCCCCCGTACAGGTTCAACCTCCCAAGGCGCTTACGACGGATATCTCGGGCATATCTTGGTTCCGGTGGCCATGGAAGCGCTATCCGGTGTCTCTATGCAAATACATCCAGAACGTCTGCCATGAACGGTATCCCCATAAGTCTCCTACCTCCATGCATCCAGTCAGCTTTGGACAGAATGGGACTGGAAGCACACTCTGCTCTGCCCGGCACAAGAAGGAGTCCACAGAAGCATACCTCATCCGGCTCACCTTGAATTTCCTCAACGCATGGAACGACCAACTATACGATGAGATCCTCTCGGCAGACTTTTTGGCACCAGCCTACCAGATGCAGCGAGGATTCGGCAAGGTGGAAGTCGAAGGGAATCCTCCTGTGAATATCCAGGGTCTTGTGGAGCACCATCAGAAACTCGCCGCCGACAGTCCTGAGAGACATGCCCATGCGGTGGAGGCTAGCGCGGTTATGGACAAGTATCATCTTTCAGGACAGATCTTTGTGAGCGTGGAGCTTACGGGACATCCGCCTGGGGTGATGTATGCTGGCATGATCGTATCTGAGTGGTGAGTCTTCACATGCGTTCTTGAAGAGCTACTCCTCACCATCTGTATCAATATCTTACGGGCTTTCAGGCGATGGCTGCACGACAAGTGGCTCTGTGTCAGGCAGACTTGTATGCGTGGTCTGGGCATGGCTGGACTTGATCCCTGTGAGATGAACGAATGACTATCCCCACAGTCGGACGGCTCTGGGTCAGTCTAAAGTATCCTAATCATTGACATCTTGAGACCTTCACCGGCTCGGCGCTAATGCCCTGTGTGTTGAATCCGTCCCAAGGATTTCCATTGATCATGAAAGTGCTTCCTCAGGCCATTACAAAGGACAGCAGAACACCACATAGCCTACCAGCTGTTTACATGACCTCTGGCAAGGCGGCACAGCCAGCCCTATGCCACTAACGCTGGCATAGGTTCAGGCAATTTCCTAAAACATGGCAACGATGATGACTGGACATCTTGGCTGCTTATGAAAAGAAACTGCAGCTCCAAATCCACCACGCGAAGCCTTAGATCCCGAGCCCTGGCGAAGGCTTTGCAGCTGTGCCTGGACAATTGGAAACGAGGCTCCTAAACTATGGGAAGAGATTTAGGAAGGTGTTGCGCGATCGCACACGAGTGCCAGGAGCTGCCACACGTCCAACACGGCCCCGAATCGGTTTCGTAGACATCGGTCTCGCAAGAATCTAGTCTTGGCCTTGACAAGAGCATGCCACCGAGCAGACAAGACGAAGTTGATGTCTTCACACTCCAAATGAGGATCGTACTCGGGAAGAGAGCGAGACTAGTCTCCATATTTGCTCCCTGGCAGAGTTCTGTTTGACGACTTGGCATCCTTCGCATCTCAGCTACTGGGGCTTGTTACTCCTACCACCTGTTCTTGCGATTGCAAGTGTGGCAAAAATGTTACTGTTCACGATTGCATGCGGCGTATCAACATGGACGGCAACTCCATTCAGCTGTCGCTGAGCGCTCAGCCGTGAGCTCGGATTCGCAGTGCCAAGTCCGAGAGCGGGCATCGCCACATAGAGCACAACGGACGAATCATGGCGGATGAACAACATAATGCACATAGCCGGCCTATCACCAACGACATTTTGTACTAGATGCAGAACTATCGGGAGCAGATCTCGCCTACTGACGGAAAAGACACAGAGGCGCACTTTCGCTAGGTCCTTCGGTCTGCCCAGTGTTGGGTCTCGATATGGCCATCGATCGTCGGTCCTTGGCCAAGAGTTGATATGGCAGTCCCAGCGATGAGGATAGGAGCCTGACAGCGACTCGAGGCCGGTGAAGACCGCTTTTCAGCCGCAATTGAAAGCAGGACAGCATGGCAGTGTCTATCGCTGTGGACTGCCCTCGACATGCTGCAACGACAGACCGAGACCGTATTAAAGAGGTCGAACATCGTCCAAATGTCTTTGCAGACAAACACTACCATATGGAATGCCACGAGAAAGAGAGCAATCAAGTACACCGCCAACGACATCGACAAGAGAAGGGCAAAGTCCAAGTCCAACGGCCTCGTCTTCATCCTCGCCTTCGACACCGCGAGCCTCGTCGTTCAGAACACCACAACCTTCAACGTCAGCAGAAGCAGCGAGTTCAGACGAGCCATCATCACCCTCTCCGCCACCGTCCTCATCGTCACCATCGAAACCGTCAACACCGCAATCGCCAGTAGCCCAACCGTCAACGCCGCAATCACCACCAGCGCAACCGTCAACACCGCAACCGCCAACACCGCAACCCTCCTCCTCAACAATGCCGCACCCCCTCCCACCGACAGCCTCCCTCAAAACCCCCGACCAAATCGCCACCCACCTCGAATCCCTCGTCCGCACCCTCCTAACCGCCATAAACACCCGCACCCTAACCCCCTCCCACCCCCTCACAACCACCACCCTCTCCCCAACCCTCCACCTAACAACAGACTGCATGCCACCCACAACCTCCCTGCAAACGTCCCTCGCCGCCCTAACGTTCCTCCTCCGCCGCCACCCGCACCACCACATGCATCTGTCGAGCGTCAAAGGCAACGTCGTCAACATCAAGGCCGGGTATGCGGATGTTTATTGCAGGGTGAGTGTGACGGGTGTGCCGAAGGAGGGGTTCAGGGGGATGATGGTTGTTGTGGTGGAATTTCGGCTCGAAGGCGGTGCGGGAGGGGTTGGCAGGTGGAGGTGTGTGAAGGTTACGGGGATTAGGGGGTTGCCGGATGGGAGTGGGGGTGGGACGCCGACGGGGGATGGGCCGGGGGGTGGGAGTGGGAGTTTTGGTTGGTAGAGATTTGCGTGGAAGGTCGTTGCTCATGGAGCGGCCATGGAGGAGTTGGATACATCGAGCTCGATGGCTGAGGACATTGCATCGAAAAGGCGTGTATGACTGATCAGGTAGACACAATTGCGCAAGCAACACTGCATGGTATGGCGTACGGTGATTGCTTTGTCAAGAAGAAAGATGTATGAAATAAATAGCCGCAAGTAATGATAAAACTACACGACACAGAGGAAACAAAGAGTGGGTTTAACATGTCATTTCATTTGAGCAGTATGCTACTGAACTGCCGTCGCGCTCTAGCTACTCTGCTGCATGAGACGATACGAGATGATCGTCTGTTGTGAGAGTAATGTCCATGGTGATATGGAGCTTGAAATGCTCCCAGTAGTGTCTCGCTGTCCTGCCGTGCTTTGAGCGGCATCCATCCATCCATTCCACCAACGCCATCGCTAGAAAAAACACATCAATAAGCCTCATTGGAAACAATCATACCCTTCCGATCGCATGCAACATCCTCCACCCTTGCAGTTCTCCAGTCCAGGATCGAAGCTTCTTTTTCACATCTGCTTATAATCGACACTCCGCTGCCGTCGCTGCCGTCCCTGCGCCCGATGCGGATTCACCGGCTGCCGGAAATACGCCCCATCGCCACCCTGCTGGTTCTGCATCCCGCCGTTGCGCATCCACGGAGGCTGCTGCTGCTGGGGATTGCCCTGCCAGCCCATACCTCCCCCGTTCATACCGTTCATGCCGCCGTTCATGGGGAAGCTGCCGCCCATCTGGTTCATCATGTTCATGTTGTTGAAGTTGGGTGGCATGCCCATGCCCATTTGGTTCATCATGCCCATCATGTTCATGTTCATTCCCATGCCCATGTTCATGCCCATGGGTCCCATCGGTGGCATGCCGTTCATCATCGGGTTGGCGTTGGCGCCGTTGGGCATGCCGCCGGCCATGGCGTTCATTTGTTGGACGAAGTCTTGCATTTGCATGTTCTTGGGTCCCTTGGGTGGTTGTGCTTGTTGAGGTTGGGGGGTGTTGGAGGATGAGGGGCCCGCGGGCGTGCCTTGGTTGGAGGGGGTCTTCTTCATTTCGGCGGGGTTGCTTGGGCGACGCTTGTTCTCAAGTTCTTCTTCGGCGGGGCGCTTCTTTGAATTGGAGGTGGTGGATGCTGGTGAGTCGGCGCCTTCGACCTTGACATCTGGCGCTGCCGCTGATGGCGACTTGGCGTCTTCTGGCTTGGGCGTGCCAGCTGCTGGGCTCTTCGATGCCTCCTTGTCTTTGCGAATCTTCTCGGCTTTCTTCTCATCTTCAAATTCAGCGAGCTTCTTGGTGGCTTCATCATCCGGCTCCAGCTTGTCGATGAGAGCTTGCTCGCCGCAGTTGGGACAGATCAAGTCGTTGTCGAGGAGAGAGTTCTCAATGCATGTGAGACAATATGTCTTGCCACAGCATGGTGTCTTGTGAGGCTCGACGAATGGGCGCTTATCGATGGGGCATTCGAGTCCACGGTCACGGAGTTCCTGATCACCTTGTGCGGCTTGCTTGGCCTTCTCTGCTTGGGCTGCTTGCTGTTCCTGGAGCTTTTGCCAGGTTGCTTCGTCGGTCTTGGCGCGAACCCAAACACCATCCTGAGTATACATGACACCCTTGCCGAGCTTGGTTGGGTCGACTTGACCGTCCTCGCCGATTGCATGCTCCGTGTCGACGGCGACGTGAAACGACTTGGGAATACCGGTGGTGCGCTTAAACTTGTGCTTACCATCGAAGTTGGGGTCATTGTTAGTCGGACAGGCTTGAATCCAATGACCAGACTTTCCGCAACGATGGCACATGTAGCCAGGGGGAAGTGGTTTGTCTGGTACTGCAGCAGCCTTGTTGTTGCGAATCACAGGCTTGCCAGACGAGTTCTGGAGATCTGCTTTCAACTGATTATTGCTAGCATTGAGTACAGCTTTCAGCTTCTCCTCCTCCGTCATTGCAGCCCCATCACCCATAGCTCCATTCGATGCAGTGGCCTTGTTGGCGGCCTTGGCACTCGACTCCACACGATGCGAGTTTCTAGCGTGCAGTGGCATGTGGCCGGTGACGTAGCGAGATGCTCGTCCTGCGCCAGGACGCTGTGCAGGAAGTCTCCGCGCGATGACGGTGGTTGATCGTGGGATTTGAGTCGTATCATCGTCGTAGACTGTGAATGTCAGTACATGATGAAATGAACACAGTGAGGGAATTGACTTACGTTCATTGGTGTCAGAGGTGTAGATGTCCAGGTCAAAGTCCTTGCCGTCGCCGAGGCGGGCGATGCTCATGATCTCGCGCTTGACTTCGAAGACAGACAGACTGGTGCCATCGAAGTTGATCTGCAAGGCGTCCTTGCGCGACTTGAAGCGGAAGAAGATGGATGAAGACATGGTGACTCCGGACTGGTGCTGTCCGTTTTACCAGAGGATAGCCAGTTCAGGTGACGTGGTCGCGGTGGTAGAAGTGTCGAGGTCCCGGGGAAAACAGTAATTCTTTCTGGTTGCAGTGTAGAAGTACAGCTATGTAGCTAAGAGGAAGGGAGAGGTAGTGTACAGATGAACAGGAGGCGTTTTCTGCCCACGAGCTCAGAGTGGCACGACCTTGAAAGGAGGCTTTTGTATTTGAATAGCAGCTGCCTGCGACAACGCCCGCCAAAGAGCTGGCAGTCGTTCTCAGATAACGGGGAGTGAGGTGGCAAAGGCGCAGTCAAGCGACCAGCGGCGCACCAAACAGTGTTGCGACACAGCGGTAGACAATGCAAGCGCGCTCGTGCGTGGTTTTCAGCAAGACAGTGTGTGTGTTTCTTCCTCGAACTCGCGGTCTTGTTCTTTCTGAATCACCTCCGTTTCAGCCGCGCTTTCGACGTCGCAACACGCGCGCACGGTACAGGGTCTTCCGGCGGCCGAGTCGATGTCGCAAATGGTCAGTTAGCAGTCGCACAGTCGGTCGGAGTGGTGGCGGTGATGGTGTAGATGGGGAAAGAGGGTGGTGTGGTGGTGTGGTGAGGTTGGAGGTTGGTGAAGAGGATGAAGAGACAAAGCAAGAGTCAGCGACCGCAGGCGGCTTAACAATCCAGAAGCCACGCTAGCGGCTCGCTCCGCTGCACGTGATGCAAAGCTTAATTGGTCGCGCTGACTGTCTCTTACTCTCGTGCGTGACCTGATACACAGCAACATTCACTCACGACTTCTTCCTTGTGGGTCAATATTTCAATTTCGCTCTATCTGGCACTGGAATATGGACCTGCGGTGCCCAGGCATCTGACGCTATGCTTTTCTGGCTCATCCCGCACACCTCTCGAAGAACCAGTCGTTCTGGCATCGTCGCGCAATAGTAACAAGGCCTTTGGACGACATGATACAGCGGAAGAGATTGTACCGGGTCTGTCATTGCACGGAAGCGTCAGCATTCGCCGTCTTTGATAGAACAGAGAGCACCCACCTTTCTGACTTCGACTTCGGCACGCCACCCAGATGGCGATGAGGGCAAGTATTGTGGCGACCACGCCGAACAGGACTTCGAAATCGGTATTGAGATCCATGGGTTCAAAGACAGGTCTTTTACCCTAGACTGCTAAATGTGTCTCGACCCGATCCTGCTGCTCGTCTCCAACCGACTCCGCTTTCGACCTTCTTGCTAACGGATACGTCAGATCATGGATTTCATAGTCGAAGGTCTTCCTGCATCGCGTACGTACCCAAATTCAAGTTTGCTGACGCAGATTGTATCTTCACCTCAACGGTAAGAAGAGGTTTCCCTCTGGCAGCTGGGGTCGTGGCTCGATGTGCTCTACCCATTCCTGTCCCGTCTACTCCATCAACTCCTATATGTATCTTCAACTCAACTCCCCAAGACACTTGGAATCAAGGTCGATTCATAACGCCAAGTCCTTCACATCAGGGCCTTTGCACACGCCGTGCACTGGCATTTTCGGCGCCAAGGACGCTCCCTGGAATAATGTACACACAAACTAGAAACGCGGCCGTCGAGGCACAACACACGGCAATAGGACGACGACATCTGCGCGATATTTGACCATGCCAAGCATATCTCAGCTACTCCTGTTACACACGGAAAGACGCCAAGGTACGGTCTGATGATTTCTCATCTTCGGCCCCCAATGCCAAGCCATATGCAGGCGGCCTCAAGCTGAACTTCGCTGAATGCGCACGATGTTGACTCCTGCCAAGATCAGAACGGGAGAACATTTGCTTGCAAAGCCGATTCAGCTGCCGTCCGAACCGGATCATATCAAAATGTGCTTGGAACAACGCGCACTTTCATTTGAGACCTGGACGTCGCAGGAAGTCCTCTATCGATCAGTGTGCCGACCCGACTGCGCGGCTGCAGCTGTTCACGCATTCGGCGAGCGTGGCTGTCGTACAGTGGCTGTGCAGTCTGCACGGCATCTCCATACCCGTCACATGGCAGCAGGGCTACCACAGCGATGCGCAAATACTTCCTTGTCTCTCGAGCTTGCCACGCTTGACCACCCTCCTTCGCACTTTTCGTCGAGGTGTTCTGTCGACACATCATGCCTTGCAATCACCTCTGTGCTCGATGTTCAGTGTCATCATGGAGCCACGAAGCGGATACTGTTATACACCTTTGCCCGGACCAGGCTGGATCCGAGTCCTGACCCTCCGGCCCAGCAATGACACACAGGGTCACGATTCTCTCTTCTGCGACATTACACATCATAATATCCAGGAGGGCAACGCATACGTGGCGCTTTCCTACACGTGGGCAATGCCTGACGGCGATAGCACCAAGACCCACACCATCTACGCTGGAGGCCATTCGATCAGGATAAGTCAGAATCTTTATGAGGCTCTTCACCGGATACGAACTTTCAAGTCCCGCATTCCTATATGGATTGATGCTGTATGCATTGATCAGGCCAACATCGAGGAGCGCAACGACCAGGTTGCTCAGATGAGTCGGATCTACGCCTGCGCCAAAGAAGTCATCGCATGGCTTGGAGAGGGGGACCTGGACCAAACAAGAGACATTTTCGCCTGTTTCGGAAGAAAAGATCCAAATGCCCGATGTGAGGAGAGCCACGAGTTTCGAGCCTCTGATGGAAAGGTGCTGGACCTTTGCACCGCTCGAAGGACGCACGGCGACTCTATGAACCGCCTCATTGTCCCTAATGTGTACGATTTTGTTGCGAACTCAGTCTACATTGCGGAGCTGGCCAATGCGGTGAAGATCATGTCGGAGAGGCGATACTTCACCCGCCGCTGGATCATTCAGGAGATTTGCCATGCAAGAAGCGTGGAAGTTCTCTTTGGCTCTGACAGGCTTTCGATCGAAGTGGTAGCTGAGTGCCATCGCAATCTCTTGCTTCTGATAAGGAAGCACTGGATCGGATATCCACCACTCAGGAGGGCTCGAGAACTACCTCACTATGCGCTTCAGGTGCTCGAGCTGCCACAGAGAAGTAAAGACATCTGTCTGTACGAGATCGTTGCAGACACCCAGGACATGGGCTGCTCCGATCCGAGAGACATCGTCTTTGCCTTGACCAGCCTCTGCCCTAACGACGGAATCAAAGCAGACTATAATTTGTCCATTGCCGAAGTGTACACCGCCTTCTCACGCCATCTAGTCGACCAAGGGCGGCTAGACCTGTTACTCGAGAATATCCAACAAAAGCGATTGTGCCGTTCTAGGGACCTCGGTGTCCGTGGGCACGAATCTGACTTGATTGATCTCCCTTCATGGGCATTGGACCTTCGCTTCGGCTTTCAGAATTCCTCAAATACACCTAAGCACTACTTGCTCACGGACCCGGAATTCTGGAGTGATTTGTCCGCCGTGCCACAGTCTACGGATCTCGATGTCCTGCTCGAGGCGGACGACTCTCTCATCTGCAGACTTTATCCTGTCGGTGAAGTTGCACAAGTCATAAACCACGAGCTCCGCCTCATCGGCGGCGATGGCAACGACAGCATCACAACAGAATTCCCAGATGCGCCTCTAGCCTTTGAAGGCGACTTTGTCATGGCTTTCGACCAAGATGAGGATGGCCCAAACTGCTACAATGTAATGATCTTGCGCGGAGGCATGGAGCCTGGATCATATAGGATACGACACTGGTCACCCAAGAGCAAGCTGAGGATGCCTGGGATGACGTATCCTCCACGTGCGGAGCGGAAGTTGGTACGCATTGTCTGAACATCTCGATCAGATGGTCAAGTCTATCGTCTTTGGAAAGTCTTAAAGTCTAGCAGAGAGAGACTGCCCGACCAATCCCAGGCCTGAAGTTCTCTCCGACAACTACATATCTGGAGCAAGACCATCAATACATGAATTAGCAAGGCCCTTCAATATCTCCTCTCACGATCGAGTAAGGTGGCAACGCCTTCGTTACAAACAAAGTGCATCCCTTCGAGGTCTCGCGCGGGAGAACCGCGTTTGCGCCAGGCACATTCATCACCAACTCGGTCCCATTCTCGTGCGCAGGAGTGCCCGATCTCCTACGTATGATCCCCAGGCCCGGCGTATCGTACGTTGTGAGATAGACATTGCCAGCCTTTGAAATCGCAATGTCATCCAGGTGGATTCCGTAGTCGAACGTTGTTTCCACCGGACCAGTGGCAATACCACTCTCTGGATCGATCGGGATGGTGCCGTACAGGCCCTTGGCGAAATTCGTGAAATGCAGAGCTGAGTTGTTATACTTCAGACCGTTTGCTCCGATTGAAGCGAGGGGGTCGGTGTCGTTGACGGTGGTAGGGTGTGCTGGATCGAAGGGCGTCGCTGGTGCGAGCTGTGTATCCTCCGCGAGCAGCGAGACTTCTCCGGTTCGAACGTTGAGAAGCCATATAACGCCGGCTGTGAAATCAGAAGCGGCGAGTAGTCCTTTCCGACTGTTGATCAGGGCAAGCCCATCGATACCGCTTATCTGCGGCGCTGCAACCCGCACTTCGACCCGAACGCAGTCTGAATCGATTGTTGCGTGGGGAAAAAGAGCTCTAGAGAGCTCGGATACAGGCACGGCAACTGGACATTGAAGATGGAGCTGTTCCACAGCTCATGCGGTTTCACAAGGCTGTGCACTGAAGCTCATGCGAGCCATTCGAAGCGAGCCCATAGAGACCGATTTCGAGCCTCCCTACCTAATATATCTACTTTTGACATGTTGCGAACACCCTGGAGCAGCAGTGAAAACTACGCTACAAGGAAGATACAGTCAGTAAAGTCAATTAACAATTAAGGCGACTCAATCTCCACCCCAGTAGCCTCAAAGTGGACTATGCACCCACTGCTTCGTAAGGGGATCTAACAAATCCCTGTCCGCAGCCTCCCATTCCCTCCTCACAAGCGTCGCCTTCTCCGCGCTCCTCGGCGTTATCCTCGCAGGGAACTCCTCTGGCATACACACAAATCCTTGGGTAAGTTTCTCCTGATCCGGCCAGATCTCCCTACCCTCCGCATCGAGCGCCGGCCGGACCTCAAAAGTCCACAAGAACCGCGAGATTCCTAGAAGAAGGCTCCTCTCGGCGACGTGCATGCCAGGACAGATTCTTCTGCCGGCACCAAAGGTGAACTGGTCTCGTTTGGCGCCGTCTGGGTTCGAGGCTGAATCGTACAGACCGAGATGGTCGTCTTTGTAGCGGTCTGGTTTGAAGATACGAGGGTCTGGAGAGCGGGCGGGATCCATGTTGATGGCCCACACATTGTTCATAACACCGGCACCTTTTGGGATGAGGTAGCCTTTGAATGTGTCGGCATTTGTGGCGGCGTGAGGGACTGCGCCGAGGATTGTGGTGGGACACCATCGGAGAGTTTCTTTCATGAGCATGCGGACGTAAGGTAGGTTGGGTTGGTCGGCCATCGTAGGGAGTCGATCGCCGACGACTTTGTCGATGTGTTGTTGGGCGTATCTTTGGACTTCTGGGTAGAGGAGCATTGCTTGCACGAAGGCGTACAGCGTTGACGAGGTGGTGTCTGAGCCTGCCTCCAGCAGCGTTCCACTAATGTAAGCCTGGCGAGTATGTCAGTGTGTGTTTGAGGAGTTGGAAGTCTTGTACGCACCGCTTGGGTATCGCTAAATTCATCCTTCTTCTGGGCCTCTGCCATACCGACGCAGAAGCAATGATTGATTGTGCCATCCCGGATCTCTTTTTTGGCTCTAAGCCAATGGTCTAGATAGAGCTTTCTTTCGACCCGATGAAGCTCCTTGGCCTTCTTTTGAGTTGGTAGGAGCCAATCAGGGAAGCGTCGAAGTATGGGAAAGAAATCGATCAGAGCAGCTGTTCCAGTCTGATTTATGTCAGCGAATTCAGAGAAACCTTCAAAGAGCTGCTGAATCTTGGCATCTGCATAAGTTGGAGTCCGCCAGCCGAAGACCATTGACGTCGTCAATGCATTGGAGTATCGACGAATGTGTTGAAGAAAGTCGTCGGGCGTACCGAGCAGGTCGTTCAGCATTTGCTTGGTCTCCAGCATCTGATATGGCACGTATTTGGGGGCAACGGTGTTATTGAGGAGGTGGTGGACCATCTTGCGGATCTTGACATAGTTAGCAAGGTGATGTGATCTATTGAAGAAGAACCTACGCCTCGCCACCGCGGGCCGTAGCCCATCATGAGCAAACGAAGAGAGTCGGAACAGAGCGTCTGGCCGATGTACCTGAGACAATTCCGTCAGTGTTGATTTGAACAGGGCGAATCTTCTGACTCACATCTCCTGCCGATCAGAAAAGTTATTGCTGCGTCGGTCCAAAAGTTCTTTGACAGCTTCGTCGCTTGACAGAACTATCAACGTCTTCGTTCCAAGTATGAGGGAGTAGATGTCTCCGTATTCACGGGCCCATTTCTCAAACTGTTATGCGTTAGGGAAGCCCAATTAGGAGGCACGGTTGAGTCATGTACCTGAAGATGTGCATCTCTCGTTGGCATCTGATGGATATTCCCAAGAAGTGGCAATGTTGGAGGACCAGGAGGATAGTCTTTGGGACGTTTGCCAATGGACAAAAGACGGAAAAGGCCATATGCAATAAGAGTCGCCGTGACGGTAGCCAAAATTTGGAAGCGTTCCATGTTCAGCCAGTCTCAAAGTATGCAGAGCTTGCAGAAGACCAGCGTTGGGATGAGCCGACATCGACCTTCATATATCCCATATTTTCTCTTCCGCCATGCGCAGCCGACATATGTTCAGCTTCCTGTTTTGGCGACGACCGTCCTGGAGGCCAATGGTATCGCATGTGATGGACATGCAGTTTGGTGTTGCGGAAGCGGAGGTGGGAGAGCTGCGGACGTGGTGGTGGGAGGAAACTCTGCCGATCAGGAGGTACGTGCTCTTCTCTCGGTCCAATTCTAGATTATGACTCTCTGGAACTCGGTGATTAGATCATTGACTTGTTTCATAGAAGTGTCGTCGTATTTCTCAAGCAGTGAGTCTTGACTTTCGCCAGCTGACTGCTCCTGCTGAGTGGTATCTTTCAAGAAGGCTGAAAAGGAAATGCGGTCCACGATCAGCTTGGCGAGAGTCCAGTATTCGCATGCGTATCGTGAGAAGCCGACTCGTTTCCACATGACCTCTGGCTCCAGAGTTTTGTCGAACAGGGGACAGTGGCGCTCTTTGTTGGCGTAGTGGTCAGAATACGTCTGCCAAATAAGAATCCAGTTGTCGAGAGCAGTTCGGATTGGAGTCATTTGTTTGTCGTAACCGAAGCACTGCTGGATTTGGAAGCTGAGAGAGTGCAGTGCTGCAGTATGTCAGTCAGGGGATTCAATTCATCGAGAGACTGAGCTTACCGCTTGTCAGCGCGAACAAGTTGAGAGGTCCAAGGTCAGCAAGAGGCGTCAGAAGAGTTCGGGGCATTGATTCGCTGCAAAGACGCTCGCAGAGTGAGGACAGCGTATGCTTCAGGTTCACGGCACCGACCTGTAGCTGATGAAAGCATTCATCCTTCGATGCGGCCTGGAAGCATGCCTCGCTTGATGCCAGCTGCATTTGCATCTCCTTGATGGCCATCCTTGGTGGGAGGTTATTAAAGATCACAAATGCTGTGTCGAGGAGGAAGATCCAGAGAAATAAGCGGATCAGCTCCTCGCGAATGACAAAATCGTGCCAGGAGAAGGAAGTGAAGTCGTCTGGTGGCGAGAGTGTGTGCTTTGCGTGATTAATACCAATGTCTCTCGCAACCTGATGGCGTTAGCAACATTCGAACCGCCTCAGTCGAAACATACCGCAACTATGGTCGAGAAGCGAAATCTTCGTATTCGACGTTTGCTCAAGTCGCTGCCTTCCCAATTCAGGTAGAGGCAAACAATGTAAGCAGCTTGCAAAGCCTGCAGCCTTGCGCGAGATGGAAAAGAATGCAGTACTTCTTCGTCATCCCGACAGAAGTCATCATCTTGAAATACTATCTCCTCAACACATGTTAACCAGATCTTTGCGCATTCTCGGTCTGAGGAATTGGGTGAGACAGAAGCTCCCATCACAACCATTGCTGCCACAAGAACAGCTTTCGCTGATATAGCATCAAATGTTGGGCGATGCAAGAAGTTGACGTTCGGGTGCCAAAACGCCCAGAACATCTCCAAGTACAGCCGAATATTGTCTGGCGAGAAGAAGAAATGGCAAGATGCCTGCAGCTGAGGTGACCAAGACAACAATAAAGGGCTGTTCCGAGACTTGAAGGTAACGACTTCCTCCACGAGACCTACGATCTCCTCTGACTTGGCTTTCAAAGGATCTTCCCTGGTCGGCCGGTCTGAATGCTGGGCACGAATCTTTGCGGCGAAGAAATTACGACCAGGCACCCTCTCAGGCTCCGAAAGGCAGTCAAACGATGCAATGAGACCGTGTGTTCTGGTGAAGCGTTCCAGGAACTCTAGAGATAGGCCATTGTTCGTCGGGCTCAACGAAAGTTCATCTGGAATTGCGTTACCCCAGCCGTCAATACTGCCGCCGAAAGCGTAAGCGAAGTCATTCAGCGATGGATTGGACCAGTATGATTCGAAGCCAGAGTTTGCGTCCGGGAGTGCCTCTGGACCATTGCAAGAAACATCATTGCTGGCGGAAGGATAGACGCAGCAGATTCCTTTCTTTGAGCAGCTCGAACACTTGGGTTGCGTTCCATCACAAGCCCGTTTACTTTTGGCGCAAGGTTGACAAGCCCGCTTCAAAGCAGTCGATGTTCTTGCTTTCTTCCCCGTGCAAGTCTTCAAGTGCCGACCCAAAACATCAGATCGATGGAAAGCAATCTTGCACTGGTGGCATACATGCGTCCTTTCCGTAGTGTGGGTGGCTTGGTGTCGTTTTAGGTGCTCTCTTCTCCGATAAGATAGATCGCACTGGTCACATGTGAATGAAGACTTCTCGATTCCAGCGTTGGCATTGATCTGAGTAGACTCCATGATGGCCTTCCATGTCTAGTCGTATTGGCGGTGGAAGGAGAACCGGCAAGCTATGAGAAGTAGCTGATTCTTTTCTCGATATTTGAGAAAGTGTTTGGGAAGTTGTTTGGAAAGCTGTTGTCGAGAGTTCCAAGGGAAGTGTGGGGCAGGAACATGTGACCATGGAGCACGGACGCCGAGTGAAGTTTGTTTCTCCAGCCTGAGCTGTTCTTTCTCACCACACTCATCTCATCGGCCACCTCGCTTGAGCTTAGCCACGCAGTCAAGTCGTACAGCAATCGATTCACCGCCGCACTTTGATCCTTTCGCAGCAGCGTGGAAGCATCACGTACAAGACGCAGCCCCGCGGACGTCTCAATGCTCGGTAGGGAAGTAGGGCCTGTCCAGACTGTCATCAGCCAAGTGATTGTCATCCTTTCTTCCACATACTCAACCCCTCTCGTTAAATGCTCACTGGAAATGTTTTCACCATAGATTGCCTCTCGTACGAATCGCAGCTTCTTCTCGAAGGTATCCACACTTAGGCCCAACCTCCGCCGTTACGTCAATACACCGCGAGTCAACGAAGGCACCACTTTTTGATGGACGAAGCGAGTTTAAGATACGGACACCCAAACGGGCGTTACCGAGTTTTGTGAGCTCCATTCAAGTCCAACAAGAAGATGGCAGGTCTACTCATGTGGACGTCGGTTAAGACATGTGCAGGAGGCGGTGGTGGGAACCAGGAATTGAATAGCCGGGAAATGATGTGTGTGAGCTGCAACATATTCTGAGAGATGAACAACTGCTTCCGATGACGGAGGTCGGGTGGCAGCCGATCTCGTGGCTCTCGCGGCCCATTCGGCAAAGGCATGACGTGGAGGAAGGACAGGCCTTGACTCTTTGCATAAATAAGTGAGAGCCGAGATCTCGATGCTACTGTGAAAGAGCAAGCTGCTCAACACGGTGCATGTGTGTTGATGGTTACACTGCAGCATGCTTAAGCGCCCAAGTCGAGCAAGGGGCGGGAGTGATTCTTCTCTTCTCTCATCTTCAACTTTTTTCTCATATCAAACAAACACTCACGGGGAGCATTGCTCTTGGAAAGATTTGTCTTGGAAAATTGTGTTCTCAGCAGCTCTCTTGGCGGCATATGGCGTAGCACAAGGATGTGACGTTTCTGGCGCCGAAGGCGTTGGGTACCGACCCATCGAAGAGGGAACTCGAGATGGCGACATGGTCCTCAGCGCAAATCGCAGGCCGAACAGCACCAGCTCCGTCACATTCAACTTCACCACGGCCAGCAACCCAAACGGCCGGCAACCTTTCACCCAAGAATGGACGTGGCTTGTGAACATCACTGACGTTTCGACTTCAGACTTCGAAAATCCGACCGACATTACCGGAGGCGGAAACCTAGAGAACGCAACCGATCCACACTTCACCAACGCGGTGTACGATTTTCAGTGGCCAGGAGGTGAAGACTTGAATACATACTTGGCCACAGCAATGGACAATGCCACAGGTGTCGGAGGCCAGCTGTGTTATGCGACGTTGGACCTGAAGGGCTTGCCGATGAATGTCTCGAGCAGATAGCAGGCAACCGACAACGGCAACTGCAACAACGTTCTCGGGAGCGACTGTGTGAATGCCCTACTGGCCACGTGGAGTCCAGTGCAAGCCACCGGTGTCTGCCTTTCTGGACCCAGCTTCAAATCCATCCCTGAGTGCGCCAGCACACTGGGTGTAGCCAATTGCTCTGGAAGTTTGGCAACGTGTAAGTGATCATCATACCTCAACACATGCACCGAGTATCTAACCGTACCAACATCCAGTGCTCGGCAACACAACCACAGCAGATCAGCTGAACTCGGCCACCCGGAACACCACCTATCCGTATCGTAGCGGCGACGACTTCTTCGGGTCTTCTGCGCTCACCAATGGCGAGAATGTCGCCATGTACGACGCAATTTCTTACGACTTGCAGGCTGTCTTGCTCCAGGGTGCTTCGCAGAAGACGTTATTGTGCCAAAGAGTCAACACCACTGCTGCGGACACCAGCGCGGCACTGGGCTTGGTATCGAGGAGCTCGTTAATGACTGTGGCGAGCATGGCTTTTTTTTGTGATATTGTTCACTGTGCTGTAGAATAATGCAACTCGAGATAAGAAGGTTCAAAACATCACCACCTCTTGACTTTGCCGGTCCAGGGGAGGCATATATACATCACCGAGCAAGGAACGGATGCAGGGCAGATTCGGCAACAGTCTCCTGAAGCATAGAACGATTCTGTATGATATGGACCCCGTTGAAAAACTTCCAGAGAAATCGCCTTTCCCACCGATGCTTACTCCCCTGGAGGACCTGCATACGGACCGCCCACCGCCTCCGGCTGTCCAAAGACGGGGAAATTGTTGCTGTCGAAGTTGACTTTCTGGAAGAATGTGTTCCTAGAATTATCACAGCCTCCACTAGATTTCGGCGTCGCATGGTAGACTTGCCACCAGTCTTGGGTCGTTCCTGGGTTCAAGACGAAGCTGCGGGAGCGTCGAATGTCAGCGAAAGTCGTTCGAAGAGGAAAGTACGAGAAGACTTACCCATTATGCCCTGGGCCGTAGTCACCATTTGCTGATGTGAAGAGGGGCCCCGTCTTATTCCAGCTACTGGGGTTCAAGATCCCGTTGCCATTGTAGGCCAGTATCCCCAAGGAGTACTGTGCCGTTCCGCAGTAGCTTGCAGAGAAAGACAGAAACGTTCGTCCGTTGTAGTACACAGCAGATGGCCCTTCATTGACAGGGAAACCATTCTGCTCCCAGCCATTTGTAGGCGTAGAGATGACAACGCGGTTGAGCAGCTCCGTAGGGCCGTTGAGTTGACCGATGCAGATGGACTGAGCATTGTAGGCGGCCTCGTCGTGGCATGACCAGACGAGGTAGTGGTTACCGCCGTCGAAGAGGACGGTTGGGTCTATGGCCCATTGGTCGCCAGCGACGTTGGCGCCGAGTTGGGCTGCGTAGGTGTAGGGGCCTGCAGGGGTTGAGCCGCCTAGATGGCAGATAGCGTCAGTTCTGCAGTATGAGAGTGCGTTTGATAGAGATCGTACCCTTTAAAACGTGGATCCTCCGTGAAGCATCTCTATCTTGAGCGGTGGAACTAGCAGCTGTGGTGAAGATGTACCATCTACAATCCCCAACTTGTCAGCCTTGCCAACGTCATGACTCCACTGCTCGTCTCAATGACTTACGTTCCATCGAAGTTGTGTACCTCCGGCGGCCAGTAATCCACATCATAGCTCGTATTTGTGCTGCTAAAGACGGGTACTCTCTCTGCATTTGCAAGTTGGGCGACGGTTGGTGCGCTCGTAATACCAACATCTCCTCCTGTGCTTAGGAGATACCAATTGCCTTGATCGTAAACCATGAACGGGTCGGCAGAATCATTTCTGATTGGGTTGTAGTAGTCGGCTGCATGGGCGAGGGTCGCCAGCAGGGCGACAAGGGTAGAGAATGGTGTCATGTTTGGACGAAATGGATATTATTATACACGTCCTTGAGGAACAAGAAGCAGGGATACCCGGTCGTATTTAATACTATATTCTGCGGGAATTCGATGCATGGAGGAAACATACGGCGCAAATCTTGCCTGTTGGAGCATGCTGTTGTCTTCAGCATATGCTCGATGTAGTAAGTTTCGTCCTCCTCATCCCTACCACCTTCCACTTCTAGACTATGCTATATGTTAGCAGTAACGCCTCGATAGGACAGGCTTAGTTGGAATAGCTGTCCGTTCCAATCACATTGATTTTCGAAGCACGGGTCTAGGCTGGTGTATGTAAATTAGGAGTTCCCCGGATCATTGATGGTGAGACCATGGCACGGGAATGTTCTCCGCTGCTGTTAATGCTATCAAGTAGATGAATGTGGCCATGAAAATCGGAATGGAACATCGCGACGCTATGGATGGCATAGTAGTCGGTCTGACATTGGTTCGGGCAGCTTGTTTTCATTTTCGTGATAGTATGCTCGATATAGACTTCGTCGGTTCTCATGTATATTTTCCCTTCTGTCAATATTTTGCTTTCCTCTTCCTCAACCCTCACTGCAATGATGTTCAAGCATACTTCTGGAACAACGAGGAAATGAACAAGGCCGATTGTCCAATCCGTGATGGATACTTCTCAGTCATAATCTTCTGAAACGTAGCTGGATCGTGAGCTTGACCAGTTTCAATCACAGCCCCGGCGTCCTCCAGATATTTTTTCGTGTTCTCCAGGTGGGAAGCACCGGTCAGTTCATGCACTTTCTTATGTGCTGGAACCACGATGTCAGGCTGCAATGCCTGGACAGTCTCAAGCGCACGTATCCATTCTTCTCGCAAAGCTTTGGTGTTCGCCGCTAGGAGCGTCTGATGTACATCGCCATAGAGCACATCGCCGCCGGCCACTAGCTTGATTGAGGGTACCCATAAAACGGTGGAATCGGGTCCATCGGTATGGCCGACTGGTATTGCTCGACAGACATTGCCATCGACGAAGAACTGGTTTGTCTCGGGAAGAGCCTCCGCGATCGCCGGAACATCGTCAACCTGTTTGGGAAACCGCGTTATCCAATTCTGCGCATAGGCATCTCCTCGGCCGTCGTGCTTCATCTGTTCGACAGTTCCTCGAGTAGCCACAGCTTTTAGTCCAGGAAACCGCTTTTGCAACGCTCCTATTCCAAGCCAGTGGTCCGGATGTCCGTGAGTGATATAGATGTACGTCAAACGTGGTGACAGCACTCCCGCACCACGAGAATCAAGCTGAGCTTCAATCCAGTCGGCAAGGGCGTCGTTTTGCGCGAATGTGATGGGTGTGTCGACCAGAACCGCTTCTGTTGGTCCACAGATCAGAGTCGATGCGATCGGTGACCAGACCCCGGCTTGAGTGCCATCTGCTTTAAGTGAAGGAATGCCTTCAGCAACGTGGACGTATGCTCGAAGGGGAGCAGTCATGTTCGATCTGTGCGGATAAGATCGCAAGAAGGCTTGTGGTAGAATTTGGTGATCGAAATAGAAAGCAATTTGATGCCATGCGGCTTCTATAACAGCTCACTAGGGGGTTCGAAGTTCACTCATCACTCTCCGAAAACGGACGTCGTTACGAAATGAAAGAGTTCTCGAAGCGCCACCATTTGCTAACCGGCATGATCGAACGGCGACCCCGATCGTCTTTCCGGCCTGTTCTCCGATCACACCGACCAAGAAGGCAGTCTTTGGTAGGCTTAGCCCTATACTCAATGAGCTCCTCCATACGTGTTGCTGGCGGCACGAGGGCATGTAATCTTTATGAGATCCGCTGAGTGAGCGGAGCTTGCTTTCTGGACAGGAGGCAAATTTGATACGTATTCAGAGCGTTTCTCGTCGGTGCAAACATCTTAAACTGAACACAGCGTTGTAAATGCATGTGCAACAACCCGGGTGGCGCATCAGAGAAGGTGTGGATGTGGAGCGGCTACAGCCCTATACGCCAGCCCGGGTCGAAAGGCTGTTGCAGTGGAGGGACCCACTTACTGACAGTCATTGAAGCTCGCTCGAATACGGGAGCGACATACTTCTCGCTCAGACAGTTCATGGTCGGCCCATGACTAAAGACTTGGACATGTCCGTATGATGATGATGAAGAGAAGAGAGGGAGAAAGTCACCGTCAGGAGGTGAGGTGGAGTCCGGCTTCGAACACCCGGAGTTTAGCCGACTGACGTTGGACTTATTACATAAGCCTCCCCTTTTCATTATACCAAGTTCTCTCTCTCTATCAATTTTTCTCCATCAATTCTTCTCCGTGCTACTCGAGGTCGTCCACAGTTGCCGTCAGGCGTGCGAACTTACTGAGAAGATCAATTGATAGCCAGCATGGCCGAATCTCTTCGACTCCTGCAAGATCTTCATGACGACTTGACGCTCAAGGTGCACAATGCCCAGGCGGCTCGAGTCGATAGTGAGTATCTTGTGACTTACAACCCTCATCGGCACTCGACGGAAAGCACATATATGACTTTCTTCTTCTGTTCACTTTGTTCTCTTTTCATGAAAGAGTTCCTTCACGTTCTGCCTGACCATACGACTTTGAAGCATCTCAAGACCTTCGCGAATACCTCGGTCGAATATCTGTCCCATTTCATTATCCGCAGAAACAGCTGGAGGAAAAAAGCAAAGACCATGAGAAAATACGACCGCTTTGGTTGTACGAGATCTCGCCAACACCTAGGCTGGGATTGCTGCAGTAGCGTCGCTACGGCACAGCAGCTCAGCAGATTATGTACACGACTCAGCTTGGCTCGCCGATCCATCAGATTGGAGGATTCAGGCACTATCGGAAAGAGTTCCACGGCCTCAATTTAAGAGAATCCCATCCGTACGCACTCTAAGTGAGCAGTCGTCATGGCCGAAGGAAATCCACAGAAAGATGGACGCAGAGTGCTTATCATCGGAGCCGGTGAGTAGGAGAAACGAAAACAACGTCTAGTCGGAAGAGTCACTGATGAGACTTTCTCAGGCTCAGCAGGACTACTCAGTGCACACGCGCTGCAAATGGTACGAATCTAGCAGCCGACATTTTGCCTAACCGAACATCTCAACTTATCGGACAATGATACAGCAAGGCGCTCAAGTCACGGTCTACGAACAAGATCCCTCGCCCGACAGCCGGCCACGAGATTGGAATTTTGGCATTTACTGGGCTCAAGTGCCGCTCGTAAGTGTTCCATAACACTGCATACACTATGACTATTGATGTTTCTCCACCAGCAAGACTGCCTTCCACCACACCTCCAAAAGGAGGTTGAAAATGCCCAGGTCGACGAGCATCGTGCAGGTGATGACGAAGTCATGCCCATCCGCAACGGCGAGACCGGCGAGCTGCTCAAAGCAGTCCCCATCCTGTATAACATCCGTCTCGCGAGGAAGCGCCTCCTGCGACTTATATCCCAAGGCCTGGATGTCCAATACGGCAAGACGTTGAGGTCTGTCTCATCAGACGGTCATCATGCAACCGCAACCTTCGTGGACGGCACATTCGCAACAGCCGATCTGCTCATCGGCGCTGAAGGCGCACATTCCAAGGTCAGAGACTTCCTCGTCGGTCCAGTAAACTCGGCATTAAACCCACTCCCCCTCGTGGCCAGCGTCACTATCGCCAAGCTCCCGAAGTCTGCAGCCCTCAAATTCAAAGAGTACGCTTCCCGACTAATGGTCATCTTCCATCCCCTGGGCTACTTCAACTGGATCGGCCTACACGACGCCAATGCACCACTTGAGCCAGGGGACTGGACGTTCATGATGATCTCGTCCTGGAACTCACCTGTCGAGGAAGATGTGTCGAAACTTCGGGATGGTGGCAGTGAAGCGATCCTGGAAGACCTCAAACGCCGTGCAGAGCCCTTCGAGGAGGGCATTCGCGAGTTGTGGCGCTCTATACCGGAGGGAACGAAATGCTGGCATAATCGTTTGAGCGAATGGATCCCTCCTGAGGCCGGATGGGACAATCGCAACGGCACAGTCACCCTGGTGGGGGACGCCGCACATCCGATGACTTTTCGTACGTTCCCATAACAGCCTCCTCGCCAGGCTCTTTACTAACATTCTTGCTTAAAAGACCGCGGTCAAGGCCTCAACAACGCCATCCACGACGTTGCTTCTCTTGCTCGCCATATCCAATCTCAAGGGTTCACTGCCGCTGCCCTTGACGCTTATGAAAAGGAGATTATTCCGAGAGCGAGGGAGGCTGTCAAGGGCTCGACGGAGAACAGTCTCTCTGTGCATGACTGGAGCAAATTGGTACAGTCTCCGTTGTTCACGACAGGACTGAAGCAGAAGTAGACGTCAAGGACAGGCCTGGTATCCTCGTTCGATTCCAATACGCGGACATCATGAAGCAACGATATCTCTAGTTCTGTATCTAACTGCACCGACATCGACTAGAGGTCCACAGCGCTTGCCCTTGTTGTGTAGATGAACGCTCGGTCAAGAGCCAAAGCAGATTTCTCAGCGGCTTGGTGGCGTCCCGGGAAGGATCTTGCCAAGACGCTCGTGCATGTGTACAGGAACAAGTAACTTTTGCACTACTCCCCAATATCTTAGACCGAGGCATCGAGTCAACTCATCAAGCTCTTGCATAACAGGCAGCGGGGAAGTCTATAGGGTTCTCAGGTTCGGTGTAGTGTTTGTTCTCTACTTCACCGAAAGGTGTACAAGGCTGTGAAACCAAATACCATAGGAACGCAGCAGGTTCTATGGCACTAAAGTCTTTGACAACACTGTATGAGATGGATTCTTGACATGCGTTAATCACGTCAACTGCGATGCCATGCCGCAACTACTCTCCTGGACGAGCATGCGGCGACGGCTGATCGTATGCCGTCTGCTAGCCTGCACGATTGCAGGGATCCTGTTCGTGCTGTTTGTGCTTTCTCCCAAGGTATCTTCGCAACCGACCCAGCATCTGGCAGATCCCCACCATGGCATTGCACACTCGAAAGACAGTACGGGCCATGGAGGACCTCACGAAAGGGATCCGCCACCTCAGATACCGATCCGGGAACAGAGTGCTTCTGCTCCGCAATATGCTGACATTGCGATCACGAAAGACCAGTCGAGTCCTACAGCGCCCGCGAAGGAAATCGCGAATTCAGAATACCTCCAAACCCTCGCCAAACTCCCGACTCTCCCAGACGAAGGCCGAATAAACCACCTCCTCTCACCGCTCCCGGCCTCCGGAGGCAGCACTCTCCTCCGCGAGCTCGCCTTCCGCACCAGAATCTTCCGCGAGCTGTTCACAGCCTGGGAAACTCTTCATCTCATCCCGAGCGAAGACGGGAGTCTCGGCCTACGGCACGTCATGCGACATCTCCGTTCGATCGACCGAGAGATCTACGACCGCTTCCGGGTCTTCATCAACGCCTTCGCGCAGAAACTTTTCCCGTGGACGATGCCGTATTTCCCGGATCATATGCTGTTTCATGCGAGTTTCTACTCGGCTGGACGTGGGATTGTATTCACGGCGGGGACGGATCAGGCGCGGTATTTGCTCACGTCGATCCCGGCGCTGAGGAGGCTTGGGTGTGATTTGCCGATCGAAGTCATCTATCTTGGGGATGATGATTTGAGCGAGGATGCGAGGGATAGTCTGGAGGCTTTGGAAGGGGTTGTTACGGTGGATATTGAGGAGATGGTTGATGATAAGGGATGGAAGCTGAAAGGTGAGGAGAGTGAGCTTCGGGCGGACGGATGTTGCTGACTTACAACAGGCTGGGCCGCGAAGCCGTTTGCGATTCTGTATTCGTCGTTCCGGGAGGTCATTTTTATGGGTAAGTCAGCTTGTGCCAGCCAGAGATCGAGACAGTTCAGGAGTAGTCGTACTTACCAACCACCCCAACAGACGCAGACGCTCTCTTTTTGACCAACCCGGAGAATCTCTTCCACGACCGACAGTACCTCAAAACCGGCGCCCTGTTCTTCAAAGACCGCTCCGTGCTGCCAGAATCCCGCAAACTCTGGCTGCGAAGCGTCCTCCCCAAACCCCTCTCCCATCACATCAAAACCAACCGGATGTGGACGGGGGAGAGCGGGCACATGCAGGACTCTGGCGTCATTGTAGTGGATAAGTGGAAGCACTTCGTCTCTTTGCTGCTGACCACGAGACTGAATGGGCCGGATCGGGATGGGGATGAGAAGGCCGGGAAGAAAGGGGTGTATGAGATGGTGTATGGAGACAAGGAGACGTTCTGGCTGAGCTGGGAATTGGCCGGGGATTTGAAGTATGCGTTTTTCGAGGGCGGGCAGGGGAACATGGGTGTTTTGAGGAAACCCGAGGACCGTGATGAAATTTTTGATCTTGACGATGATGAGGAAAAGGACTTCGAGGACGACGAAGACGTGGACGACTTTACCGATGTCGTCCCCAAGACCGCCTCACCCACCCACCGCAAACCCCTCCCGTCGGCGAAGCCCAGAATCTGCTCTCCCCAACTCCTACACTTCGACCGCGCTGGCAAACCAATATGGTTCAACGGCTGGCTGGCAACGAGCAAATCCGACAAGGCGGACTACCAGCGTTTCGAAGTTTACATGCGCGATCCTCCGCGGGTGAAAGGCGAGAAGAATCCGTGGGACTTGAAAGGCGGGAATGTCGTGTGTTTAACCGGGGAGGAGGCTCTGGAGTTCACGGCGGATGAAAAAGTGCTCTTGGGGAAAATGTTGGAGTCGGCGAGGAGCAATTCTAGGCGATGATTGTGGACGAGCTGCGAGGTTCTGTTGTTAGCAAAAGTCATGTATACCCAAAACGGCAGGCTTTGCCAATGCATATTGGATGGTCCCGTCTTTGAGACTTGTGGAGTTCTCGGTTTTGTCGATGATAACCAGTGAAAGAACGTGGCCACTCCTGGCGCAATTGTGTGGCCTGTAGCCGTGATGATGGAGGTCTTTTCGGCCGCAGTCACGCCCTGATTGATACACCTGATCCGCGACTTTTCCAATTGGGTGTTGAGGTATGCTCTTGAGAACGGTCGCTCATTTTCTGAACGGACTTGTTGAAAGTCAGTTGAAGAAGAGGTGCAGCACACGCAGGTGAAGCCGGACTCAAGCCCCGCTCGGCTTCAGAGCTTTCAACCAGGTGCATCTCAATCTGGTCACTCTTTAGCAAAGACATGCACCAAACGCCATGTTGCCAAAGAGATACGCCACGAACCGGCGCGCCTGCTGCTAGCATGCAGTCCACAGTCACAATGAAGTCCGACCTCAAAGCGCCTCAAAAGGAGGACGCCGTCACCCCTCAAACCATTCCGCCGCCAAACTGGCCCTCAGACGTCACCTACCTAACCGACCAGACCTACTCCTCAGCAGTAGACGTCGAACTACGCAGCAAACTAAGCAGGAGTCCCTCAGACAATATCTCCTGGATCAAACTCGCCTCAAACCTCATCATCACCCCTTGCCCGCTCGTCGCCATCACCACCATCGCCGATGAGAAACACCCAGCACATGGACAGCGAGGCCTGTTCGCCGTGCAGCACTTGATCCCGGATAGTTTCGTCTGTTTGTATCTGGGGCATGTGCATACGAATAGTATGAGCGATACGGATCCGCATTCGGACTATGATCTTAGTATGTTCTGTCCATCACATTTCGACGGAGAAAGCTGATCTTGTGGCATGCCTCGACCGCGAGATCGGACTGAGTGTCGACGCCGCCAAGTCAGGCAACGAGTCGAGATGTGCGAATGACTACCGCGGGGTCGCTGAGAGGCCCAACGCCGAGTTTCGTGACTGTTTCATTCAGGTTCCATCCGTGAAGCGGGCGGGTGGATTGAGATGGGAACGCCGAGTGGGCATCTTTGTGCTCTCGGCTGGGAAGGCTGGGAAGAGGAAGGCCGGGATCAAGGCAGGAGAGGAGATTCTTGTTAGTTATGTGAGTTGAAGACACTCAAGCAGCGGTATAATATGAGCTAACATTCCACAGGGCAAGGGGTTCTGGGAAGGCCGCAAGACGATAGTCAGTGAGACCGGTTAGCATTCCCCGTCCAAAGACTGCTGCTCATCTTCCAGGCAACTTTCAGGAAAGACTTCGAGATGTTGCGGATTGCGGAGGCTGCGTTGGAGGCGTGAGAGCGAGCAGCCAGTGGCGAGATGGTCCAGCTGCAGTCTCTCACACTGCACGCTTTGCCATCGTACACGGGTACGACTCGCCTCGAACTCGGACGACAGTGGGTTCGAGATGCCTGCTTTGGCGCCCACGTGTTTCACAGCCATATCATGGATGTGCTACGCCTGGGCTTTAGGGATGAAAAACGTGGGCTGCGAGATACCACGAAAGTTCAGTCGAGTGGAAGCTTCCAAGAGGTCCAGATCTGTCTTGGTTCTCCACAATATTGGAACACTTCAAGACTAGAGAGCTGTGTATTGAACACAGTATCCAGAGTAGAAGTCAACCTCATTGCTGGCTGATACCGGTGGTGATATGTAGTGCATTCGATGTACGCCGCCGTGAAGATGTGAAGGTGGCAGAAATCCAATGGCATCGGGGCCACGTGGGAAGCGAGTGCATGAGTTGCGCCGAGATTTCGGGCTGACAAGGGCCTGAAAGCCACCTTTCCAACTTTTCACCCAGCGCAAAGATCCATCTCTGGGCCGAACTTCTCCTCGAAACCAGCGTCGACATCTGTGTTGCGGAGAATTGGGGAAGTGAGCGATACCCTGACTTCTGATCGAGCGTCACGTCATGCCTGCTCTGCCATGTTGAGAGGGACTGTCCGGTGCCACGCGCATGTCTTCCACATTCCTCGCCTTCCAATAGGACAATAGGCACGATGATGAGCTGTGACGGAGGAGAAGGTGGGAAAGATTGAAAAGGAGCCTCCCTTGTCGGGAGGACGTTGATGTGCTTCTTTATCTCATTCCACCTCATACGCCGGCGCCATCGAGTGACGTCTGTCGAAATTGCGATTGCGCCAACGCTCCTCCCCTGCAACAACGGTCAACAACGTCCAGCAAAAGGGCAACTCCAACCTCACCTCTGCATCCACAACAACAACTTCCACCCTTTCTCCTTCTCCTTCTCGTTTCTTGCGTTTCTACACCTTCTGCAGCCACAGCATCGGCGTCCGCTCATTCGAACCCCAAACTTCCGCGCTTCTTGACTCTGTTTCCGTACCAGTGTTTTCGATTCGACTGGCTCGAACTCTTATCACTGCCCATTTGCCGGGGGCAAGACGCCATCTGCAGAGGATGGAACGCACCAGTGCTGCCACAAGCAGCATGCCTGCACTCTATCGACCCACCGTGCGATCCCAATCGCCTGAAAGAGTGAGTCGCTCCCCAAGACCTTCCCGATCTAATCCCACAATCGCCCAGTCGAGACAAAATGCCGCAAGCCACCATCCACTCGGCCTTCTTCCACGCTTCCAGCTTGCATGCATTGCGCTAGCACCGAATTCTGATACCATTTGACACCATTGGCCTGACTTTTTAACTAGGCGGTGATGCTCCAACGTTATCTCGCTCTCCACACACAGCAAAGCACCGTTCGCAGGCGAATCTCAGAGTCCTCCTCGCCTTCACCACCGCTCTCACCAAAGTCGCAAGCACCGATGCGAGCTTCACCAGAAATGTCGTCTTCAGAACCCTCCTCGGCTAGCCCGTCACCGACTTTGGAAGGCACGAGATTCCCACAACTCTCACCGCCCGCATATGCCCTTCCTCAACCCGCTGCTCCACGCGCACGTACAAGGTCTTCAAGACCATCGATTGCGCCGATTCCAGAGGACGATTCGCTGGAGGAATTTGAGGCTCCGTCGCCAAGCGAGGAACGCAAGCTGTACACAATCAACCATGAAATCAAGACGACGTTGACAGATCTGCTCAACTGCGACGCTGTGAGGAACGATACCAAGATGCGATTGTGGATTCAAACGAGGTTGATGGATGCTGAGAGGGAGCTCAAGCGACAGAGGAGATGTCGTCAACGCATGGCGTCGTTGCCGACGCCGACGATTGTTTTGACACCATCTGACGTTGATGACGATCGACGTGGGAGTGTTTGAACGGAAGGAATGGCTGGACTTGCTGCGGGTCGGCGATACATGTCATGATCTTGGACTTCGGGTTTTCTTTTGTTGATCGACTTTGGCGACAATGAGCACAGTACTTTTAGCGATGGAGCTGGAAGGCGTTGTATCGACCTACTTTATTCTTCTATGCGATACCAGCAGGACGCCTGCGATTACTGCAACTGATTTTTGCGACCCGGGAGAACAGTGGACGGAAGAGAGGTGTAGCTTAGCGTAGTCATTCCAGGAATGAATTCTTGACCAGTTCTACGGAGATTGGCATCGTCTTCAACTGCTCGTCATTACGAACGATATGCGACAGCTGCTTTGTGCATGACTATGGAGGTGTGATTGCTGACGGACAGTAGTAGTGAGCGGGTTCTTCCTCTTCGCACCCAAATCAGATATTCAACAACCTGGCATGCTTCTCAGAATACCTTGCGCCCTGCACCTCGACCTTCTCCAAAGCCGCTTTCAACTCTTCTAGATCCTCCTCGCCCAACTGCACCACCGCAGTATTCTCCTTCAACCTCTCTTCCGATGCCGTCCCGGGGATTGGAATGACAGGCGCTCCAACAACGCCCCTCTGCGCAACGACCCAGGCCAAAGCAACCTGCACTGTCGAACATCCCTTCTTCTTCGCCACCTCCTCCGCCGCATGCAAAATCTGCATATTATTGTCGAAATGCTCCTTCGCGAACCGCGGAAACATCTTCCTATAATCAGTCTCCCCCAAATCCTCAAACTTCCTATACTGCCCCGTCAAGAACCCCCTTCCGATGGGACTATACGCCACGATAGGGATCCCAAACTCCCGACACGCATCTGCGACCCCATTCTCGTAAATCCCCCTGTTCTCGAAAAGACTCAACTCGACCTCCACAGTCTGGATCTTCGCCACTTTGCTCGCCTTCCTCAACGATGCCCCAATGCATTCACTCAACCCCACGCCGCCGATTTTTCCAGCATCGACAAACTCCTGAATCGCCGCCACAGTCTCCTCGACGCTCCCGTCGGGATCCAGCCTCCCTGGTGCAAACACATCAAGCCTACACTTCCCGTCCAGAATCGCCAGGCACTTCTCCACGTTTTGCCGCACACTCTCCGGATCGCAGTGAGGGATTCCGTTCCGGACGTCGATGCAGCTCTTCACGCTCACAACCACCTTGTCCGCGTCTTCGGGGTATTGCGTGAAATAGGCGTTGAGGAGGTGCAGGGAGTTGTATTCTGGAGTCCCGTAGTAGTCGGATGCGTTCCAGAAGTTGGAGCCGGCGTTCAGAGCGGCTTTGAGGGTCTTGATTGCGTCGGCGGGTGAGACTCGGCCTGGGTGCATGAGGGATATGAGGCCGTAGCCGATGGGGTTGACGGCCTTGCCGGAAATTGTGGTGGTGGTTGATGCCATGGTTTCGGGTAGGTTGATGTTCGTGGGTTTCTCTTGGTGTTGATAGAGGAGAGTTTGAGGATTCTTACTTGGTTATTTATCTATACCACAAGAACATTGTTTGTCTTCGTAGTTACGACCATCAAGACATCGCAAACGGTCGACTCCTTAACGCCGTCAAGAGTCTTCCGCACCATGAACCCTAATGGCCATCAAATGGTGTTGCGCAAGACTCGCTTCAGCCCTGACAAAGCCTGCATGGAACTTGTCAGTGGCAACGTGTATGCCGTATCTGGTATGGTAAAGAGGAGTGGTATCCATCGCAGCTTCAGCCTCGCGCGGGGACGGAGTCTGATTGTGGACCCGATGATCCGGCCCGGCGATCGGGATGTTCGGCATGCCGTGTCCGGGTGGCTCGAAGAGGACGACTTCTCCTTGTTCTCTATTGATGAAGACATCAACTTCTGGGAAAAGAGTTCTGGAGGTTTCGAAAATTCTTCAATGCGCCCAAGGCTGACAGAGTCGACTTCACCGATGTGATGACGACTAATAGCCAGGAAAGATGAACAAAAACAATGCGGCAGTCAAGAGAAGCGACTTGTATTGTGTACAAAGCACAAGACTCCCTTAATAGCTGCTGAACTTGTCGCAAATACGAGGAGTGACGACGAGAGCGAAGGACAGAGAAGATCAAGTTGTTGTCGCAAGCCGCGCACCCCGTAAAGAGCTCCAGAATGTCTCGAAGCTCTAGACCTGCAAACCGCGCCTTTACTACTACTTTTGGAAGGAAGATCGCTATGCCTGCCAAGACACGATGAGATGCTTGCGAAGAGGTGCTGATCTCGTCAATCTCAGTGCTCTAGAAAGGTTTTTGCGAGGCGCTTCTTTGGCTCGAAGGAGGGCAGATTAGCGATCGCGAACATGGAACTCTTCACTGGTCAGTTCGAACTGACTATGGTCTCGTGAAGGGAATATGCCGATCATGGCAACGCGACAGGGCGCATATCAAACATTCACGACATTGCGCGTTCCGCGGACATTATTGACATTGTCGTAGAAGAAGCACCTCGTTCGTTGTGTGGTGGCCTTTCGATCTCTTGCCGACTCTCCTTCTACCTCAGAGTCTTGCTTGCACACGAACAACTTGTACGACTGGATCTAGGACAGCATGGGCTCCATTCAGAACGAAGCCGACGGTAGGCAGGCGAAGACGGCCTCAATCTATCATCCTCTTGGTCCCTTGACGGGTGACGAGTTTACGAAATGCGCGGCAATCTTGCAGGCTCTCTGGCCGGAGGAAACTACTTTGCGCTTCAAGTCGATGCTTCTGCTCGAGCCTCCCAAGAAGGATCTGATATCGTATCTCGACGCCGAGAGAAGTGGCCAGACTCCCGCTCCACTGGACAGAGCTGTGTACGTTGCGTACTATATTCAGAGCACTGTAAGTAGCAATCCTGCTCTTGGACTGCGTACATGTTGCCGCTGACATGACAAAGGCCAAACTCCATGAGGCTGACGTCAATCTCACTGATGACACGGTGCCACGGAACGTCCGCCTGGGAGATGGCGTACATGCTCCCAATGATCCAGAAGAGGTCTTCGCTATCGAAAAATTAGTCCTCCAGAATCCAGAGGTTCAGAAAGCGTTGGCCAAGCTCGAGTTGCCGAAACAAACGCAGATCGTGTGCGATCCATGGATATATGGTTCTGTCTATCCTGCCTTGTTTATGTCACTCTGAGCTGACAGTCTCAGGATCGGACGGAGTCAACGATGGTGACCTACGAGATGATATCCGGCTGCTTCAGTGCTACCTCTACGCAAGAGATCCAAACAACCCAGAAGAAGCCGACGGCTGTCATTACGCTTTCCCGTTGCCTATACCGCCTGTGATGTCGCCAGTCGATTTCAGTCTCCTTAGAATCGACATATTGCCAACTGGCCTAGACCATACCCCGAAACCACTGCAGTCTCTGAAACTTGGTCCACCCAACGAATATATACCAGAGGCTCAAAATCTGCGAACAGATCTCAAACCACTGCAGGTGGTCCAGCCTGAGGGAGCATCCTTTAAAGTCAAGAAGTTTTCCGACTTGGGCCGCACGATCTTGTGGCAGAAGTGGGACTTCAAGATCGGCTTCAATGCACGAGAAGGCATGGTCATCTACGATGTGCATTACGACGATAAGTCACTCTTTCATCGGCTGAGTCTTTCAGACATGGCTATCCCATATGCAGATCCGAGAGCACCATATCATCGCAAGGCTGCGTTTGACTTGGGTGATGTTGGAGCTGGCATTGTTGCGAACGACCTGAAGCTGGGCTGTGACTGTCTCGGTTCCATCTATTACATGTCTGAGTTGCTCAACGACACCAAAGGCAACCCAAGAGAGGTTCCAAACGCAATATGCATCCATGAGGTCGATGACGGGATTCTTTGGAAGCATACCAACTACAGGACCAAGCGCGGTGTGCTCGTGCGGAACAGAGAGCTGGTCGTTCAAACGATTCTGACCGTTGCCAACTACGAATACGTGCTCGCATGGATCTTCAATTTGAGCGGTGATATCACCTACGAAGTTCGTTGCACCGGTATATTGTCGACTCAACCACTGGACCCCGAGTTGACCCACGAGGAACATCCCTACGGTGTTGTAGTACATCCCGGTGTTTTGGCGGCCTACCATCAGCACTTCTTCTCTCTCCGCATTGATCCACGAGTCGCAGGCAATGGCAACGAAGTGGTCTACGACGAAGCCTATGCTCTCCCTCGAGACAAGATTGCCAACCCGAATGGCACAGGCTACACAGTCAAAAGAAGTCAAGTCCCCAAATCAGGCGGCTACGACCTGGACGAAACCAAAAACCGAGTCTACAAAATCACCAACCCCAACATCCGAAACGCCGTCAACAACTACCCCGTAGGCTACAAACTCCACATCCCACCCATGCAATTCCTCCTCGCAGACCAAGACTCCTTCCACCGCAAACGCGCCGAGTTCACAGACCACAACCTCTACGTGACCAGATACCGCGAAGACGAGCTCTTCGCCGTAGGCACATTCACGAATCAAAGCCGCGGCGGGACGGGCGTGCGCAGCTGGGCGGATCGCAATGAGGAACTGGAAGGCGATCCGGTCGTCTGGGTCAATTTTGGGATTAATCATTTCCCAAGGGTGGAGGATTTTCCTGTCATGCCGATGGAGAGGATTACGGTTGTGTTGAGGCCGGCGATCGATGTTCCGCAGAGTGAGCAGGGGGTTAATAAGAGTGTTTTGTTGAAGGATGTTGAGGATGAGGAGGGCTGTTGTCTGGCTGTGCGATGAGCTGTCACGATGTACATATTGTATCAAGATGAATGGGAGGCATGCTTACTGAACGTTAGACAAAGAATAAGGCTTCAATGCTATAGTTTCTCGAGAAAGGGCTGTGCTCGGTCTCTCTCTCCGTACATTAAATTGGCAGCCTTTCTTATCGACCGGCATGAGCAGCGACTTGGTTCAGAGTGTGTGGTGATACAGATATTCTTTGAACAAATTATGTGCCACTGGCGTGAGGTGGTTCCAGCGCTCAGTTCATCCTACCCCTTCACTATCTCCTCCACCGCACGATGAGCCGCTCGCAAACCTCCTTCCATGAATCCTTTATAAGCAGACGAGGTCTCACTACCCGCGAAATGAACATTCCCATGTGGCGCCTTGAGATCTTTCTGGAAGCCCTTGCTCAGCATTCCAGGTGGCCAGGACGAGCTGGGCGCCCCCCAGAAATACTCATGTCGCTCCCATAACATCTCACTGACAGACACTGGCTCAGGCACATCCTCAACAAACTTGGCGAAAGCACATTTCATCGCCTCCCAAGCCGTTGTCCGTCGGTTCTCCCTGCTCTGGCCTCCCCATACGGTGCCTTTCTTTCCAGTCGCGAAGCACGTCAAGGTCCAGCAATCTTTGGTCGGCACGCTGGTGTCTCTGACGAACCGCACGAGACCTTCGTCGGCGAACATGATTCCGCCTGAGACTTTTGGTCGCCACCACCCACTACTGAAAGCAAAGACAATCTTCGAATACGTTGGCATGATGAGGCTGTCTGAAATCAAAGCCTTTCGCTCGGATAAAGGTGGCGACCATTGAATGGAGTTCCACAAAGGAGGGGTGACAGTGATGATAGCCTTCTTAGCCGTGAATGTTTTGTCGTTCTTCGTTTTGACTGTGACAAACCCGTCTTCCTGGGATATTGAGCTCACTGCGTGGTTGAGCAGGACACTCCCATGTGGTAATCGAGTAGTGATGGCGTTGCTGACACTTTGGGTTCCTAGAAATCATAAGCTCAGTATGGATTTAGAACGCCACAAATGTTCAGAAAATCACTGACCATCGACCAATCGTTGATATTGAGCATCGTGTTTCTCTTCACCGCACATCTCCTTGATACCACCTCCGCAGGCAAAGTAGTGGGCAAAGTACAGCATGCTGGCCTCAGTCGTGTCGGTGCCTACGAAAGTCCTCGCAAACAAATCGACTAGATGAGGCAATGAGGGGAGGCCGGGGAAGTTCTTCTCGACCAAGTTATGAATGGTGCCGGCATCGAGGTCTTCGGCGCCTGGCGTGCTTGCAACATCACCAGTACTGATCGACTCGACCACATCTCTGAACTTGGCGAGAAACTCCTCGAAACCGTCTCCACGGCTTTCCTGCAAAGGGGCAAAGCATTAGTCAGATGGTCCGTTTTCGCAACATTTTACGACGACTTACCAGCTTCTCATGCAGCCCGTGAGTGAAGAAAGATCCATTTTCAGTTTGCTGAATATAAGAACCCTCGGTGTTCTGCACCAGACGTTCCAGGCCGAACTCTTCGATCAAGGCGTTGATAGAGCTTTGGGTTGTGTCATTGACCCACGATGCTCCAAGATCCACGTGCCCTGATTTACCGCATCCATCAGGGACTGTGTATGTCTTGCCACCGACTCTATCGCAGGCCTCTAGAATAATGGTTGAGAGTCCATATTGTTTCAGGTACCAAGCTGCTCCACAACCGCTGATGCCCCCGCCGATGATGATCACATCAGCGTCATGCGCTTGGCTGTCGATGGAGCCCATGGCGTGTTTTCAAGGAAGTATGTTAGGGAAGGAACAGAGTGATTTGATCTGAGTGGCAAGGGCCTCGCACTGCCTCATGTATTCCAGAGGCAGATTTGTCCGTCCCGGAAGAATGCTGTTGCGGACAGGCTTGGCGAGGCTGTGAAGCGGCTTACCTTCAAATGGATGTTTTATCAAGGGTTGAAGATAGCAAGACCCCGTCACTCATACTGCAAACAGACGGCAGACGCGGAGTCCGCGCATGTCGACCCAAAACCCGGTCTTGTCAGTGGTGAGCTTTCTCGACAAATGCAGATCCTATCCATTTTAGGCAATTTAGACGCTCAAAACTCAAAGGCCCACTTTCACATGAAGGTCACGAGACGCGAGCTTGGTGGTTAGATCTTGGCTGGCCGCTGTTTTTGGAAGTAGACTTGTGCAGTCGCTGACAGCAGAGTTGTTGTCGCGTCTGGTGAAAGAAGCGCCAGACAACGTTTTGTGGCATTCTCAAGCGAATAAAACACCCATCGCGCTCCATTGTAGAGTGTCAAAGCCCAACAGCGAACTTCCAGATCAAATTGCTCCCGATGCCTGAATACACAAAAGGTTCATTCACCGCCCATGGCGTTCAAGCATTCAACCCAGCAGGAGCCTTGACCGAGCTCGGCGAAAAGCTCTCACTCTCGCAAGCCATCGTTCTGCCTCCAAATGCACAACTGGTCGTCACCTCAGGACAGTGCGGCTTCAAAGAAGACGGCAGCCTTTCATCGGATAAGCACGAGCAGATCTCAGAGCTCATTGCGAACGCCGACAAGACGCTACGAGAAGCTGGATGCAAAGACGGCCTGAAGAACGTGTATCAATACACTCTATACTATCCTTCCCTTGATGACGAGTTCATCGACGCGTTGGTCACTGCAAGAGATCGGTACCTCGGCGACAATCGCCCTGCAAATACGGGTGTTTCTGTTGCTGGTCTCTATGGTGGAGCTGTACTTGAGATCACCTTCTACGCGTACATTCCAAAATGAGAGCGCACGCTGGTGAAAGGGATGTAGAAGAGAAGGGCTTGGGTGTTCAGAACTAGACCACAGACTGTCTTATAGATAAGGCGGATAGGCATTGAAATCATCTTTCGTTTTATAGGTCGAGAACCAGAAGGATCATCAGGGTTGTCGTCTGCTTATCGAACATATGTACCCCGCAATTCTAATTGAATGAATAAGACAGAGGGTCCAGACGCGAGCCCTCGGAGGCGCTCTACACTCCTTCTCTTTTTCCTGACTTGACGTGCCCATCTCCAATTACAATGACTCCCAATACGAAACCTGGTTCTGTGCAACAATGTCCTCGTCCACAGAAGAGGAGGACGAAGAGTGGATGTATGACATGCCGCGTCAGACGAAAGAAGTGCGATGAGAAGAGACCGAAGTGCTCTAACTGCCAAAGATGGGACGAATGCTGCACGTGGCCACAATTCCAGATCACAAGTCTATCATTCGAGCCATCACAGGCGCTCAATGGTACGAAGAAGGCAAAGAAACCAAAAGCCAAGAAGAAATAGAGATGCAGAAGGATGCCTTGAACGACTCCTCCGATGACGAGACTCCAAGCTGCTGGAATATTCCAAGCGACACTGTTCCTCCGCTATCGCCGATGCTGGCTGTACCACTCCCGACAATAGCATCAATCTCACTGTCGCCGTCTACGACAATATCTCAAGATTTCTTGCTCGAGTTCTTCATATTGGAGGAATCTAGAGGCCTCTGCGGCCGCGCACCTTGCGACGATCCTTTCATCCGGCTCGCCCTTCAGCTATCGCAATCGGACGAGCTGATACAGAGCGGAATACTGGCACTCAGTGGTAGTCGAATGTTTGCGAAGCACTCTTCTCCATCAGTACAGGAAGCAGCTCTACGTTATCATAACAGAACCATTCTGCAAGTCCGAGAGGCAGTTGCTTCGTGGCCACCGAAAACTGGAGAGGACGTGATACGCTTGCTCACTGCGTCCATTCTCCTATGCCACTACGAGGTAAGCGAGGTAAATACAATATCGGGTAATGTTTCTGACATGTTGAAACAGGCCCTGTTAGGCAATGAACAAGACTCATTGCAAGCTCATCTCAGAGCCTGCCGTCAAATTGTCGAGATTGCACAGCAACATCCGTCAACGCTGCATTATTCTGCAATCTACGGCGTTCTATTCGAAGCGTATGCGTACTACTCGATCCAGATCATATTCCGCTATGCTGCAAGCGAGGCCGACGTGCAAGCCACAATTCAGTCGCTACAATTTTACCGATCATTGACGACATACAGCACTTTCGGCTACTTGATGCAGGCCACGTGCGACTTTTATACTCTAATTCCCCATGTGGCTCTATTTGGACTCCGCATAAGGGGCGTGGGAGACGTTCAACACTCCCAGGAGCTTGAAACCCTGTATCGCCGTCTGGAGTCGCTCATCATCTCTCGACAACCTGGCGTCGACGATGATGCTGAAGCCTCGACCAAGGTAGCCACGATCTACCGCAACTCGCTGCTCATAATTCTGCATGCCTCTTACCTTGGACACTTGTCAGAGTATTTCCTCTTGCAAGCAAGGCTGAAGCCGATTATCTCTGAAACCATGTCATTGTTTGAGAGCGTCAAGGACACCGAAACTGCGGCCCCTGCTTTCTGGCCTATGGTACTACTAGGGTCTTGTCTACGGGATCAGAAAGATCAGGACTGCTTGCTCAAGTACCTGGAATACGGAGGCACAACCGCAGGCTGCCAGAACAGAGCGAACGAGGCGCTCCAGTGGATTTGGAATCGTCATTCACAGAGTACTTTCGGGCCCGCTGGTTTGGAGGCTTTCTCTGTGGAGAACAATACCGGGCTATGTATTGGATAGCGATCTTTCGAGCAGTTACCAACATGCTCTTTACCCTCTTGCTCTCGACCAAGGTCCTGATTTATGTGGGAAGAAGACCGCCATTGGCGTTGACGACGCTTGCTGTTACCCACCTCGACTGCTCTTGGCACAAAAATGCAACAATGGGGGCGATATCCATAACCTCACCAATTCGCGGTGATGCAGGAGTTGGGTCAGCCAACACACCTTCCAGCTCTTCTGCACCCGGTACTTCAGACCACCTAGGCTAGGGTCAGCACTTACGCCTTCTGTATTAATAGCCTGTGAAACTCACATTTCTGTTCTGACCGGACCAGGATTGACAGCGTTGACGGTCGCTTCGTACTCGTGGCCTGGATGGCGGTGAGCTCAGCCAATACTGCAACGATCAGGCAAAACACACCGAGCTCCTTGGCCAAACTCTTCGTTACACTTTCGAGAGCGGCCTTGGCGGCCCCATACATGATTCCGATAGGGTATGCTGCTAATCGTCAGTATGGATTGAGGTCGTACATCGCAGACATACTCACGAGATCTGGCAGCAACTGAACTGAGATTCACGATCCGGGCCTTCTTCCTCAACACAGGCTTGCTGAGCTTCACAAGTAGAAGTGGGTAGAGGACATTGGGAATAAAGCATTCCTCGAACGTCTTCGTTGTCACATCCTTCAATTCCAGATCTTCGCCGTTCGCAGCGTTGTTGACAATAATATCTACGCCGCCGTCGAACAACGAAGCTGCTTCGGCGATTGTTGTCTCTGCGGCTTTCTGTGCGTCCGCAGCGTCTGCTTTGATAGCCTTTGCTTTGGCGTTGGGGTTGGATTTGATCTGGTTGATCTCGTTGACTACTTCTTCCGCGGCTTGGGAAGACCTAGCATATGTGATGAGGACGGAAGCTCCTTGTTTGGCGAGTTCTCGAGCTATCTCAGCACCGATTCCTGTGCACAAGGATCAGCAAGGAGTCACCGTCGACATTGGGACGCGATGGTAACCTCGAGATCCACCAGTAACAATCGCTCCTTTTCCCTCCAGAACGCGAGACATAGTCGAAATGGATTGATGTGGGGGCTTGCTGAATTTTCGAATAGGAACAGCACGGGTCAAACTGATGTGGCAATCGCCTTGACCTCGTAAAGTTTTGAGAGTCAACAGAAGTCAGTATCCTGGTGTTTCAATTTCGAGAACGCCTCCGCAACTATATACAATGATCGCGAACAAATTCCTTGCGATGGCGCCTATTTTGCTGCTTTGGGCTCAGCCTTGTTGTGACAACGGATGACATGGCAGTGCACACTGACATTTCGGTGTCATGTGCTTCGAAGTACTCCTACTCTTCATCCATTCATGTTGCCCGGGTGATGATTAAAGGGCAGTGTTTGTAGGCTCCTTGTAGGTAATCAAGTAGAGAAGGTAAAATCATACAGCATCTGACTATCTCTGATTTACATATCTGGATCATTCATCCGTTTGCGGAAGATGGCGTAATAGCCAAAAGCCAGTATAACGATGCCCGGCGCGATCACCACAGTCCAATTCATAGTATCAGGGGTCACTGGCAGATATAGCGGAAAGCAAAGCCATACTGATGCAAAGACACACCAAACAGCAGCAACAACTTGTAGTGGTAGCCCCCATCGCCCAAGGTTGAGCCATCTGTTTGGGTTGAGAGATTCTCTCCCACGGAGTATTGCCATAATCAGATTCAAAAGATAGGACAGAAGAGCAAGTATTGCACTGGAGCCGAAGATTGCGTTCAAAGCGGTCAACGAGCCGATCCCGATGGCGCCAAGGGCAACTGTAAGCACCAATTTGACTATCAGTGCGTTCATAGGGATGCGATCTTTGGAGACCAGCTTCGAGGTAGCGGCCGAAAATGGCAGACCGTTCGTCCGGGAGAAGGACCAGTATAGTCTGTTCCAGCTGGTGAAAGTGGCCAGTGTTGCAACGAATATCGTCAAAATTATTGCAGTCGTTGCGATGCAGAATAGAGCATCGGATCGCAGGCCGTCCTTCAGTACATTCAGAAGAGGCTGGTGACCATATGGATCCAGTAAGCCTTCAGGACTGACTGTACAGAACGAGAACATCACGATCATGGCAAATCCAGTAAACGCACTCAAGAGTGATGAACCGATGATGACCATTGGGATGTCCTTGCTCGGCGAAGGAACCTCGTCGGTAATATGGGTGCAGGAGTCGAAGCCGCTGATCGATAGAAGTCCCGGTAAAAGCGCCAGGAAGAAGACCAGACCGTCTGAGGACCAACCGGATTCGTTGACCACGTCCACGAAGACTGCACGAGCGGTTGCTTTCGGCTCCGCTCGCACCAGCATCGCTACGAAGACGAATATCCAGGTAGCGTTGATGACAACGACCGCTGCCGTCATGAGATGAGGTGTCAGCTTGAAGAAGCCGGGTAAATTGAGTATCGTGATGAGGAGCGCAAAGGCGTTTGCGATCAAGTAGACTTGCCACGTATCTGCCTTGTAGCCAGGGTTCATAGCTTCTGCGAAGCCAGCGACGTATTGGCCTAAGTACAGCATGTTTCCTGCTGACACGAACCACCAGAGGGCAATGGTTAGCCAGCCGACAAGATACTGCATCTTCTTGGCGTATCTGGGTGGACTCAGAACCCCTATCCAATGTGCGGGTCCTAGACAATGTATTAGCATCATGTATGAGAGGAGGGAATCTCGACTCACCGGACGAGTGAGGCATAGCAGAAGCAATCTCTGCAACCACCAATCCAAGAATCAGCTGGAAGAATCCAGCGAAGATGAAGCACCATACGTAGTATGGAAAACCTCCAAGACCGATGATAAGTGATAGGTATGCTCCCACAGAGATCGGGGTATTCGTTATTGAGAAGTTCATGCCCAAGGTCTGCCACAGCTTGAAATGTACCTTTGGTACACTTCCACCTGGAGCATCTTTGACCAGATCTCCTTGCTGAATGGATGTGTTGTCTTCAAATCGTTCTTCATCTGCCACTTTCGTCGACATCTTGTCATAGACCATTGCTTCAAATGTAGTAGAAGCCAGCAGCAAGGCAGAGATCAAAAGCGCGCTTCAAAGAGACAACGGAGCTTGGACTGTTCACCTACGGTTGAAACCACAACGGTCTGTATCTTGCTTTTAGTGCAGTGTGAGTACATGTTACAATCGATTGTCATGACCATATTGAGAGATGCTCACGCGACGAAAGATAGGCCAAGACCGCCTCCTCATTCGGCTGAGGCGCTCCCCAGTCTAGCCTTGGACCAGAGACATGAGAGAATGTGTGGCGCCTAATGAGATAGCTCCAGAATACTACCCGAAAAGGACAAGTAAGCGCTTTCCAGAGAGCCAAAAGCCAGCCTCTTCTCCGAAGGTCTGTCAAGCGACACGCATTCGCTTCCAAGTTCCACTGAGCGAGTCTGGCCATTCCAGGCTATTGTTTGAATGCAAGATCTTGCAGGATGTGTCATTTGACGTCTGAACGGCAGCACTGACAAAAGACGATTTCGATTAAATCGAACCCGACTGTTAACAATACGTCCCCTTCTGCCGTACTATGTCCTCCCAGAATCTCATACAGCTCAGGGTGAGCATCAGCGTGCCATTTGTGGCTCAGAAACCAACCCCATCCACCTGTTTTCACGTGCCTGCCCGTTGAGAACCACGATCATCTCCAATTTTCTACCGTTGCCATAGACCCTCAACTTCACGCATTCTCGTTCTTCTCATCCATGCCCAGATAGTCTGCAAGTTCGCCAAAATCATGCATCCAAAGACCTCCCGCCAGACGAGGGTACTGAGACCTGAAACCAATCGATTTTTGGGCCCGCTTCGACATGGTCTTTGCAACACTTTTGCTGACTTGGAATGGGTACGCCTCTTCAGGTGTCAAGTATCCAGAGCCGAAGCTGAATGCCACCGCGCGGCGTAGCTCGTTGGTTGTGTTGTTGGCACCGCCGCCGTGGACGGTCTTTCCACTGATGAACAGACAGTCCCCTGGCTCCATATCGGCGGGAATGGTGTCTTCTTGCTTTGCTTTCACGTTGAAGTCTTCCCATAAATGGGAACCTGGGATGACTCGAGTCCCACCATTCTCGTCTGTGAAACGAGTCGTGGCAATCAAGAAGTTGACGATTGCTTCAGGGCCTTTGGGTCCTAGTGAGTTGAACACCGAGTATTGACCAAGGTCTCTGTGCAGAGGCTGAGGCTTATTTCCAGGACCAATCTCAATAGCTTGCGCGGAAAGCATCCAGCAAGACTTGTTGTCAATTTCGAAGACTCTGTCGAGGGTGTCATATATCAAGTCCTTGTCGAGGATTTGCTCACGAAAGAGAGGACTCAGAGTCGCAAGGTTGGTCAGTCGCTTCGTCTGTCGGCCGTGGAAGTCTTTATGGGCATCTGTATCGAAAGTAGAGCCAGCCCGGACGCTCTTGATGCCGTTCACAATGTCTTGGTCCAACTCGGCGACTTGTTCTTGGGTGAGGAATTGCTTGATGATCACTCCCCCATGGTTTCTCACAGCTTCGAGTATCTTGTCCGCTCCTGCTGAAGCATGTACACGAGGGATTGCCAGAGGTGCAGACGGGGGAGTCATTCTGTTGGAGTTGTTCTTCTCGAGGACAAATCGATCAAGTTCGATCTATCGCGGTCCAATGCCCGTCTCTTCGTGCTTCGTTATAGCAGCAAATGATGACTAAAAAGATACCGGAACGACCGACCTCAACTTTCGCGCGGGCTCCGACAACGCCAGCATCGCCATTTCTGCTATCAGAATCATGTCGCAAGCGCCACCTCCTCACACGTTCCAGGAACTTCCAGCGCCACGATCCACCATTCCATTTTCGGCAAATTTGACGCCTGTCACATGCAAGCAAGCCGCGGATCCCTTAGCGCAAACCCTAAATGCACTTCTCAGTCTACAGCTGGCGGCTAGATAAGAAGTCTTCAATGCAGAACCACATATCCTAGATCTCATACAGTGCGGGGAAGAGGGCCCTGAGATATTTCACGAAGACGAATTGTACTGACGTGGCTGTGAGAAGCTCGTGTTGCGGCTAATCCTTACAACCCCGCATTTGCAAACGACCCTATACGATCTACTGAACGGTAACCTCAGTATCTCCCACAGCGCTTGAGACCAGAGACATGGTGGACTGGCGCAGCGGCGGCTACTTTCAAGCACTTCGTGCGGCGATCGTGAACCCAGCGGACATCAACTTCTTCACAGATCAACCATCAGCACAGCCTTGGCTCAACAACACTCGGTACACCGCGACCATCTCCCCAGCACGCAACCCGCAGACCGAAGGCGAGGACGAGCTTTTTGGTAAAGCACTCCAAACAGACGATACGATCCAACACTGGCTATCACTGATCTCCAACACCGCCTTCCCAATTCTGGCGCCCAGACCACCCAGCGAAACACCGCTTCTTTCCGGTAAATTTGACGCCCCAGATGTCGTGAGCTTATTGTATCTCCAACACGGGATCAACGGCTTCCGCGGGACCGCACACGGAGGATTGCTATGCGCTGTGCTGGACGAGGCGATGGGGTTTACGGTCGAGCTGCATCGACATGCTAGTTCATCCTCACGGGAGGAGCTCTATACCGCTAAGGTGAATATAGACTATCGGCGGCCTGTTTTGACCCCTGATATGGTGGTTGTGAAGACGTGGCTGGAGAAGAGGGATGGTAGGAAGTGGTACTTGCGGGGCTTGGTCGAGAACAGCAAGGGGGAACGGTGTGTTGATGTAGAGGGGCTTTGGGTGGCTGCAAGGCCTCGAAAACTTTAGATAAGTACAGATGTTCGACAATCAGATTCGATGTGCGCGGTATCCGAGGGTCACACGATCAAAAGCAAGTCACTGTTGTAGGTCATGTCGTGCCCTAGCCGTGAACACGGGCCATCGATTGAATGACCCCAGCGATTGGTTCATACGGCGCCTATTTGCCCTCGAGTGAACAGCTAGCCGCAGCCGCTCGCTCTAGATCTGCTGATCTGCAACATCCCACAGCCTTGCAGCAGACTACCTCGCGATGCGTGCTCGATGTACGCACTCCCCGATGTCTTTCATCAGCTGACGGCCAGACCACACTCTTTGGACAATACGATAGTAGAGATAACAGCAGTATGCAAACTTGGAACAACTTCGCACAGATCTATCACAAGCAACTTCAGCATCATGTCAAGTATCAATTTACTAGCAGCCGGACTCTTCGCCCTCGCCCTAACCTACACCCTCCACACCATCTACACCAAACTCACCCACGCCCGCCTCGCGCGCCAACTCCACTGCAAACCCGCCCACATCCGCCCGCACCGCCTCCCCCTCGGAATCGACACCTTCCAACGCTACATGCACGCCGCCTCAACACAAAACTCCCAAAACGACGACCTCGCCGTGTACGAAGAGCTGGGATGTCGCGCGACATGGAACCAGAACTTGCTGGGGTTCTGGCAGCATATGACGGCGGATCCGAGGAATGTGCAGGCGCTGCTGGCGAATCAGTTTGAGGATTTTGAGTTGGGGCCCGTGAGGAGGGGGGTGTTTGAGCCGTTGATTGGGCATGGGATTTTTACTAGTGATGGGAAGGATTGGTATGGTGTTGTTTCTGTTATCTGAGGATAAGTATGTGTGGCTTACTTGCGGTAGGGAGCGTTCTCGAGGACTCTTGCGACCTCAGTTCGCACGGGGACAAGTCTCCGATCTCAACATGGTCGAAGCTCATGTGCAGAATCTTTGGAGACGACTCGACGTTCAGGCTGATGGGTGGACGAGCACGGTGGACCTAGCACCTCTCTTCTTCAACTTGACGCTCGACTCCGCGACAGAATTCCTCTTCGGACAGAGCGCCTTGTCACAGCTCGTGCCACTAAGAAAACAAGACAAGGCTGAGGCTCAGAAGTCAACAACCCTGGACTGGTCCGGCTTCGGAAAACACTTCGACGCCGCCAACGCAACCGTCACCATCCGAAGCAGATTCCTCGATCTCTACTTCCTCTACAACCCCCGGTCCTTCCAGAACGACTGCCGCGAAGTGCACAAATACGTCGATCACGTCGTAGACGAAGCTTTGAAACGCCACAACAACCCCGGAGGAGAGAAAAACAACCGCTACGTCTTCCTCACCCACCTCCTCAAAGCCACCCAAGACCGCACCGAGCTCCGCTCCCAACTCCTCAACATCCTCCTCGCCGGCCGCGACACCACCGCGGGCCTCCTCGGCTGGACATTCTACTACCTCGCCCGACACCCCGACATCTACACCAAACTCCGCCAAAACATCCTCCACACCTTCGGCACCGCCACCGACACGATAACCTTCGAATCCCTCAAATCCTGCACCTACCTCCAACACCTCCTCCGCGAGGTCCTCCGCCTCGAACCCCTGGTGCCCGAAAACGCCCGCCGCGCCGTGCGGAACACGACCCTCCCCTCCGGCGGCGGCGCAGACGGCCTCAGTCCCATCTACATCCGGCGCGGCGAAGAAGTCGCCTACAACGTCTTCATCATGCACCACCGGAAAGACATCTGGGGGGCTGACGCGGATGTGTTCCGGCCGGAGCGGTGGGAGGAGAGGAAGAAGGGGGTCGGGTGGGAGTATTTGCCGTTTAATGGCGGGCCGAGGATTTGTTTGGGGCAGCAGTTTGCGTTGACCGAGGCGGGGTATGTGGTTGTGAGGATCGTGCAGCGGTTTGAGAGATTGGAGGGGGTGGAGTTGGGGGAGGGGCCTACGTTGAGGAGGTTTACGGCTACGACGAGTCCGGTGGAGGTGAAGGTGAGGTTAAGGGAGGCTGGAAGAGGTGAGTAGGAGGGTTGAAAGGGGACGTCAAGGTCGATGCTCAAGGTGTTTACTGAGTGCTCGTCGAGCAGTAGGCTCGTTCTAATCGATTCTAACTCCATGACTTTATCAGCGCCTTGTCATGCTCGTGCTTCATATGCTCTCTGATCACCGCTGTTGACACCTTTCCAAGCCCCCGAAAGCTCCACACTACTCCTCATCTCACCATGCATTCATTCGCATCATTCAACCACCAACACCTTCGCTCAACCCACACTCATGCTTGGACTGTCTAGACTCTCTGCCTCCGGAAGAAATAGATGTAAGCAAACTTCTTCATCTCCTCGACATCACCACCCAACGCCACCTTCTCGTCGTTGAACAAAACCCAGCCCTCCTTCTTCTTGATGAACGCCACGTAATGGCCTGCGTGGATGCTGCTACCTTTGTGGCAGACAATACTGCTGAGCGAGAACTTGGCTGGCTTGGTGTCCTCGATCTCGATCTTGGCTGGAGCATCGCCATCGGTACCATTGGTAGCAGTAGCCTCGTCGTCACCAAAGTCGCCAGTTGCATCTGGGTGACTGAACAGCCAGTCGACAGCACGCTCCATGTCGCCACCGGTTTCCTTCAGGGCCTGACGTGCTTGAGGTGCAGAGAAGCCCATGTTGCCAAGGTTCTCGATCTTCTCTGGATCGACGGCACCAGCACTACCACCTGCAGCACCTCCATTGCCAGCATCGAGCGGCGTGTCGATGTCCGGATCTTCCATATGCTCGAACAGCCACCCAGCTGCAACCTCAGCATCCGAGTTACCCGTAGCATTCAGCGCCTTCTCACATCGCACACGAGGGAAGCCCATGCTCATCAGCATGTCGAGTGCCATCTCATTGGGTACAAACTTGTTGCTGGCACCAGCTCCAGCTTCTTGATCTTCTGGCAATTCTTCTTCGCCAGGTTGCTTGCCCTTACTGCGGTAGGCCTCCATGTCGAAGACTTCATCACCGACGATGACTGGAACATCTTGCTTCGTTGGCACCCAGCCGACAATTTCGAACCGCCGAGCGTTGACGGCAAGCACCGTTGGGAGTGACTTGAAGAGCGACTGCTTGGTGAAGCCTTTGTTACCACAGCCCGAGCAGGACAGGTCAACTATTTCAGGAGCCGTGAAGTCATCCAAGCACTGCTTGAGAGTGACAGGTTCGAACTGGGGCGCTTCATCCTTCTCGTCCTTGTCGCCGTTGGTAGTCATTTTCGTGTCTTCTGATTTCGGAAGTCGCTTGATGGGAACGGCCACAGAGATGTTCTCCATCTCGTCCTGTCGATATCGAACCTTCTTACACTGCAAGCACTGCAGCCTCTGCTCCATCCAGAAACGGAATGCCTCAACAGGATCGGTGACATCCTGATACTGGCCACGAGCGCTCTGCTGAGACCGAGAAATGAGCTTGAGAAGATGAAGGAGAAGTTCGAAAGAGTCTTGCTGGTGGTTGGTACTGAATTCTGGATGACCCCTCCCTACTAGATGCTTCAGCATTGCAGGCGCCAATCCTCTCTGATGTGGCTTCTCGTCGGAATTCTGAGATGGCTGAACAGCTGAATCTGGCTTGCTGTAGCGACCTGACAATAGACCATCGGCGAGCTTGCGTAGTTGAACTTCCAAATCTTCTGCAGGCTTGTCGATGGGTGGCAGTGGCTCGTCTGGGCGGTGGTAGCGTTTCTTGAACTCGGGCATCGCAAATAGCGATTGCACGACAGACGCGAGGTAGCAGGTATTGCCCAGGTTCTTGAGTCCAGTGAGTTCAGGGCCAAACATCGGCTTGAGCTGCTTTCCATCCGCGTCGGTCATGTTGAATTCGTATGTGAGATTGTGCTCGAGCTGCATCTCTCCCAGACTCTTCTCCGTCTTCACGCGGTCGGCAATGTTGATGCCCCAGTTCAGCAGATGCTCCACCAGCTTCGGATCCTTCCTCTCCTCATCACACTTGTAGCAGTAGATGTCGGCGTTGCCTTCAGCAGTGAGTGATCCCAGCTTGACTGCCACCCAGTGTCCATTCGCATCTTTATGTTCAAGGCCATGATTGTTGCCACCGATTCCGCCAAACTGCCGCCGACCGCACCCCAGATTGCCACACGTGAGACATAGCCACAGGTTCTCCTTCAGATCGCACTGATTGCAATGTCCCAGATCACCACTTGGGATCTCCCGTGCTGGCTCTTGCTCCAGGAATGCGGTATGCTCGCAGATCTGCAACTCCAACTCCCACGCCTTGACCTCTTCCTGCTGGGCGAAAGTGTTGGCTTTGATGATGCCTTGTACCGTCTCGCCAACCTTGCCCTCCTTCGCCAGGCCGTCGACACCGCACTCAAAGCACTTGACGTCGGTCTTGGTGTCCCAACGGTCCTCATCCGACTCTGCCTTGATCTCCAGCTTACTCATCTTCTCTGGTGGCTCGCTGTCATCTCGCTGCTTCCGCTTGCGTGTGCGCTGGATGTTGACGGCGAGAGGGTGTTGGAAGTGTTGAGCATGGAGGCGACTGTGGATGCGCTCGCCAGCACAGCCTCCGTTGAAGCAGTGAAGGCATACATCGAGACCGGCTGGGTCTTCGGCGCTGTCGAAGCAGACTGTGCAGTCTTCGCGGTAGACCGATTCGTTTGGGCGAGGTGGACGGACGTTGGCACTCGCCAGGTGAGGGCAGGTAGCCATGGTGGTGGTGGTAGTAGTCTTGGTGAGGAATAAGAGGGACTTCTTGTTGAGGGAGAGGGGTTTGGGATATTCCGGGGATGGTTGTTTTTGTTGGTTCCTGGCAAGCTCCAGCTCAAAGGCGGCGGCGTTTGCCTCATCATTGCGGGGGGCAGTGGCGGGGAAGCCTGAGGCAGAAGGTCCATCAATTCCCAGTTAAGATTTGATCGGATTCCTTCAAAGCCAACGTCACCTCGTCTCCGACATCAACACGCTCACAAGAACGTCACGAAACGCGTCGAAGTAGGCCTCAATACGTTCTCGAACAGGTTACCTTGCCGCCCGTCGCAGGCCAGGGCGGTATCATTGCCATACAAGATGGAGTTCACCGGGTTTGTACTTCATCTTCCTCATGTCTCTCCATACGATCGATCGACTATAATACCGCTGGCCATCTCGATATACGAACTTTGACATCCGATGTCATCCCATCCGCGAGGGCAATGCTCTTGATCCAAGTTCTCGAGGCTGACAAGATGGTCTTGCCTCGGACGAAGGCCGGTTCTATAGCGGCGAGATCATAGAGCGTGTCTTAGAACGAGCGATGAAGGTTTTCCATCCAATAGCTACCCAATTCCCAACGTCATGACCGAGCGTCGAGTCGTCAGCTTATCCAGCACTGGAAAGCAGTAGAGCGGTGGCGCAAGGGTTTATATAGATATCAGGATTCGGCTCCTTTCTTTTGTTTGAGGCCTCGAAACTTCACAAACTATCGGACAGACGACCTCCAACTACAATCCACCACATCATGCATCTCACCCTCATAATCTCGACAACGATGCTAATCGTCCTTGGAGCTTCAGCCTCTTACCAACCAGGGACACCAGTCCAGCATGGCCCTCGCATAGAACGAGTGAGTAGTCCAACCACCAATTCCTCGATCCCGCACAGCTCCCAGATCTGACACAAACCCGCAGCAACAGTCGTGCTTCGCAACCTGTCCCGACGGCGTAAGTCTCTTCCCATTGTGATCGCCGCAGAAACGCCTCCCACAGGCCGCTCACATCCCCTCCTCAGGGCGAAATCACTTGCCAGTGCGGAGGAAGTGTCGTGTGCAATTATAATCGAGCGGGTCCTGAGATTCCTTGTGTGAGTATCGACCTGCGCAGAAATTTGCACGAATAGTGTGTTAATCTCATCGCAGGTGTCTGGCCGCACGCAAATGTAACGGAGTATGCAAATCGCGAAACATGCAATGAATGGGGGGTTGATGTCAGCTCATCTTCAGAGGACGATACCAGTCAGTTGCTCGCTACTGCTGTTTCCTTCATCTCGATCTCCACACCATTTCCCTATTCTGTCTCGGTTCATGATCGGCTTCACAACGGCATTCCGAAATCCCTCGCCTCAGACAAGGCTGGTACTTGATCCCAACGCGAACACGAATCAAGCACAAAGCCCTGAATGACACCCAGGACTCAGAACGTCACCCGAAACACATCGTCAATGCTATTCAGGTATCTGTAAAATCAAAACCTTCTTCCGCTCCTCCATGGGTCTCTGCACCCATCAACAACATCGGCTATCTCTTTTCTCCATCCATCTATACATCAAAGCTACATTTTGATTCCCCAGAATAACAACAACCTTGAAATCAACCCTCCTTCCCTCGTCCTCACAGCAAAAGCACAATTCGGCCTTCCCCTCGAAAACCGCGTAAGCCCCAACCCTTACCCACGCAAAAATTTCATTCCCTTCAACAAACTCGATGCAGCAAATCAACTGCTACGCAATCTGCCCGGACGGCGTAAGTCCCCCATCCCCTTGCCCCTCAAAGATGTCCCTCAGCCCTGACCTGTGTGATGTTGCAGGCCCGAGTAAGCTGTGGCTGCGAGTTGAAAGAAATCGTTTGCTATGGGAATCGAGCGGGTCCCGCGGTACCTTGTGTAAGTATTTTCATGGCGGCGGTTGTATTTGTGGTGACGAAGATAGATGGATGGGCTCATAGTGTGTTGTTACAGCAAACACAGGCGGCGCATACGAAGCGGGCTTATTAAATTCTTCATGCTGGGGATAGTTTGAGTTAAGGTGGCTATCTCGCTCAAGGTGGTAGGAGGGGAGGAGAAAGTGAGGGACTTGTACATCACAAGAAGAATGAATATATTCTTGAACATCACCCAATGCTACATATCCTCAAACGAAATTCACCTGGTCCTGGATGACCAAGCCTGCAATGCTCGCGCTCGACAGAGTGCTCAAAACACCCGTGACGAGAGCACTGAAAGCGACTCTACTGACGTCTCCGGATCTACCAGGGGCGATCTGGGACAAGACACCGATTTGTGTACCTAGAGATCCAATGTTGCCGAAGCCGCAGAGGCTGTAGGTGGCGATCAGCATAGAGCGTGGGGACATGTTGGCGTAGAGCGGGTCGGTTTTGAGGGCGGTGTAGGCGACGAATTCGTTCTTTGAGTGTGTGTTAGTCAATGATTGATCTCCTGCTTCAAATCTGAGTGATTGCTTACCGTGACGACCTTAATCCCAATCAAACGTCCCACCTTCAAAAGATCCGGCCCTCGGGGCACTCCCAGCAGGAAAGCGACCGGGTAGAAGACATATCCCAGAATCAGCTCAATCGTGAGATCGTACTCCCCGTCCAGATTGAGATACCGACCGAACCAGGTGAGCAAGCCGTTGATAAGGGCAACGAGGGCGATAATGCACAGCAGAGTGGTGAGAATCATGCCGGCGATCTTCAGACCCAGCCATGCTCCGTTGGCGAAGGCGTGGAGCATGTTGGCGGCTTTGTGCTCATCGTCGTCGGGGACGACGACCTTACCGGTGGTGAGGGATTCTTCTTCTTCGGGGTAGCGCATTTTGCTCACGGCTAGAGAGGCGGGGATGGACATCACACAGCTGGAGATGAGGGCTTGCGGGTTGATGCCCATGTTGATGTACGCGATCAGGACGGAGCCAGCGATCGTGGCGAATCCACAGCACATGACCTGATGAAGCTCCGCCATAGTCAAATGCGCAACGAAGGGCTTAATCAGCATAGCGCTCTCTCCTTGTCCGATGAAAGGCGTAGCCGCGGCGACGACAGCTTCGGCTCCAGAGATCCTCATAGCCCAGAAGAAGAAGACCGCAAACTTGCCCACGAACCACTGAATGAAGCCCCAGTAGTAGAGGAGCTGGACGATGGAGACGAAGAAGATGATGGCCGGGAGGACGGTGAAGAAAAAGTAGGGGTAGTTTGCAATATCCTCGCTGGTCAGGAATGCAACACCGTCCTTGGCGAACCCCAGCAAGGATCGAGCCAGAGTCGAGATGAAGTTGAAGATGTCGTAGCCGACGGAGGTTCGCAGCACGAACAGAGCGACGATGTACTGGATGAGCATGCCCGAGATGACCGTGTGCCAGTTGATGGCCTTTCGATTTCTGGACGTCGCCCACAGACCGAAGATGAGGACCACAAGACCGAACAGACTGACAGCCCTGTTCGCCCGAGTATTGTCTGCGTTTTCTTCGCTGACGAAAGACCCGACCAGTATGACAGCCACAGTAACAGCAGCACCAGCCGGCAGACGATACTTCTCCGGAATGGCCGCATTGACACGAACGCCAGTCTGCTTCCAACCCCAGCGAAGCGGCCTCATAACATGTCCTGCAGAGACATGCAAAGTGACCATGCGGATCGTAAACGCAAGCCACAGCAAGAAAGGAATCACCCAATTCTTGTCATCGTAGTGCAGACCCAGACTGGCAGCCCACCAAGCCGTACCCAAACCCCAGAGCGTGAGATGGATGTAAATGCGGAAACGTCGATAAAAAGTCTTCGCTTTGCTGCTGGATTCTGGACTGTGCTCCAGACTGGTGGTGGGGGTGATTTTCGTGGCGTCGCCCTTCTCGATGTCTGTGATGGTATAGTCTTCTTTCTTTTCGTGCGCCTTTTCATGCGCATGAACGTGGTCATCGTCCTGCGGGCTGGGGTCTGGGATTATGCTGGGTTCAGCGGTGTTGCCCGTTGTGTAGACAGGTACATCGCGGCCATCGTGAGAAGCGCGGGGGCTGTGATGGAGATGGCCATGAGTATGTTGATGCGCCTTTTCAAGAGCTGGATCGTGATGATGACTGTGATCCATTTTGCACAGCAAAAAGATGCGCCTGCTCTGGTACTGTTGAAACGTACAGAAAACGCAAAACGCCTGAAGTTGAAGTATAGCAAAGAGAAAAGGGCCCACCACACACAGGGAATTTAGTATCACCTACCGTACCCTTATCACTTGGCAGCACAACTTTCCAGAGTTCTGGGGCGTCCACGAACGATCTCCTCTCCGCGACGAGCAGCGGACATATTGCCCATGTCAACCCTGCCCAGTCTTGGCTCAGTGGTTGGAACTCCTCGCTCGTTGGTCGGTTCATGCGATCGCTCACAGCGGCGGTGGTTTGGTAGGACGGACGACCTTCCAGTCAAGCATTAGCTCGCTTCTTGGCTTAGATAACGCTCTTGGGAGATGTTGGGGTCGCGGGTCGATTGTTGGTCGATTTGATCGCGGACATCGCCTTGCTGTGATACTTCCATGCGATAGCCATGCGAGAGCATAGTGTAGTCGCGTGAGCCGTTTCCAGGCGCAGTGCTGAGCCGTTCTTTCCAAGACTTCAGGATCAAGTTGCTTGCTCGAGCGGACTCCGGGGGCGAATTTGACGCTACCGCGCTGGTGTACCATCGAGTGGCGTGTCGCATGCTACCCAAGAGAGATACACAGCATGTGTGGTGAAGACTGAGGGACATCTCTGTGCCGCACAGAGGGGTTCTCAGACGTTCGATTGAATCCTTTGAACACCCAAGTCGTGTTCTGCGTGATACCAACCGGCGAAGTCACGACGGAAGTTGTTATCGGCATGTCCGTAATCCTGCGTCCTCAATCAAAGCGCTGGATGTTCGGTGCTGCTCGAGATGGATCTGTTCGAGATTGCCCTTAATGTCGCGTTGAGGTTGTCGTCCCCCAGCTCTTTTCGCGCCTCTCATACTGGGTAGCGGCTGACCCGACATCCGCAGCGCGTCTTGTCGTGTTCGCGTATTTATCTTCCCTTCAACTCGGGCATCAAAGACCATTGAAAGCCCGAGAACGTTGTTGAGAATCAGATGAAGAAAGGGATGTCGTCCATTTAAGAACACCTGGATGACTCACGCGCAATGGCCACGCCCTTCAGAAAATCGGCATGATTTGCGAACGCGAGAAAGCTTCGCGAGTTTCCGCGTATGGAAACGCGTACAACTGTCTGCACGCGTCGGAGTGAGCACTCTGGAGAAAGTGTAGTGTATCTGGAGTATGATTCGAGAGACTGCTTGGTTCCAGTCTCGATGTTTGGGAGGTATAAAGTGGATTCCGAATAATTCCAATGCGGACGGAGTAGGGAGGCAAGCACGAGGAACGAGAGAAAAGTAGAGTGTCGACCTCGTGATATTATTGATTATGCCTCTCAGGCTCTATCATCTCTGTCGATATCGCTGTTCTATCATTCTATTCGAGTCCTTGAACGCAACTTCATCATTCGCGCCCATCACATGCATTCATTATTTAACCTTTCGTGTCGGGGTATCTTCGATCAATACTGGATATGATGCTGTCGGGAACGTCAGCGATGATCGGTATCCGAGATTGCGGCTTTGTCATACCTCAAATCATTTAACAGCCATGCTCTCTGCCAACGACTGAATCCTCACACGAGCAAGTCCCTGACCAGCTCGGTCCTGGGCCGCGACTTTGTCGAACAGCCCTCCAATGGGGCTTGCAACAGCTTTGACGAGCTTCAAAGCCGATCGGGACTTTCGCGACGACGAGTATGTCGATGTGTTGCTGGATGAGATGGGGGAGGCGTCGGAGTCGTTTCTGAGGGTGGTGTATGCTGCGACTTCGTTGCCGAAGGTTGGTCCAGAGACTGGGAATGCGAAGTGTCTGTTGGCGGACATTGTAGCTTTTTGGTGGGTTGTTGTTGATGGGCGTCGGTTGAGTAATGTTGGCTTCAGGTCTTTGATGTTGGATGTTCGTGATGTTGGCTGTGGATGAGAGTCACTTCCTGGCAGTCAACGACATCCTTATATCCTGCTTTCAATGTGGATCATCATCCATCAACTTCTCCATCAGAATCTTCACACATCCTACTGTGCCGTCGACATGCGCTCGCTGAGTTCCAATTAGCAAATCGTTCACATGAAAGCGTCTGCCATAGTCAAGTTGGGCATTCCGACTCCGACGTTGGCCAACTCCGAAGCTCACTCCGTGGGCGTCTCGCAGCGCTTCATTGGCTCGAAGAACTTTCAAAACGTGCTCCACTCGCAGCCTGTCTCCGTCCAGTTGATATTTTTGACCCACGATGAAAAGTCAAAGCCTTCTAGTCCGTCAGCGTTTAGGAGGTCGAAGTCGTCGACACCGCCTAGAGACAGTGGTTGGGACGACGGAAATGCCGCAAGCTGTTGGCCTTCGCCCCCAGCGCTTACAGACACTGGTGTTTGCGGTGTCACAGTGGATGCGGTTGCCTGTTTCGAAGACGAAGATGGATCCAGTACTTCGTCCAAGACTCGAGAGATGACCTTCGATGCCTGCACGCAGATGTTGTAGTCTCCTTCCCCAGGCCTGCAGATGCTGTCCAGATGGGAAACGTAGACAGACAATGTCCGTATGAGTGTGGCACGTTTGATGTTTAAAGGCAGATGCTGGGTGGCACCGCTCTTCGACACGTTCTGGAGAGTGTTGGTAAGGAATGCCACACAAGGTAGGCCATATCCTAGAACCTGTGTTCCTGTCAGCTCAAGACCACGGCATACACTTGAATTGAAGTCCTCACCATATAAGGAAAATCGTAGCGCAATAGGATGGCACGATTGAGACACGTTCCGAGATGCAGAAGCACCGAGACCACCTCAAGCGCCGCAGTCATCGAACCCTCCCAGGCACTTGCATCACACTTCTCCAGCAGCCTGTGAATCTCAAATTCAATCTGCAGGTAGCTTAGATAGACCACGGTGAGCATCAGACAGACATTGGGGACCAGATCTGAGTCCCAGCATTCGGGGCTGTAGCGGAGGTGAGTGGGTAACATTTCGTGTTCGCGCTTGATTCGATGCAAAAGGTCTCTGTTCGATATTTAGTCCAGCGTGAAGAGCGCGTTGTGGCACCACTTACCTCAAAAGAGCCTCGGTCTCGACGCTAGGAAAGCGATAGTTGTACTCCAGAATCTCTTCTCGAAAGCTACCGACCATGTATCTCAAGCGATGCCATGTGGCAGGGATGTATCTAGTCTTGTGGCTCCAACCGTCTGGGGAGAGATTCATCCGGGCTTGCGCTTCGCTCTCGCTAGCGAGCAGCTCCTCGTCCGTCATATCCAAAGGCATTTTGACATCAGAGAATCGTCGAAGGATGCGGGGAGGTCGGTCAAGTAGTGCAGAGACGAACTTGTCGAATTGGTACGAGGCAGCGAAAAGCTTTCTTCGGCACTCTGCGAGGAAGAATGGTGAGTTCCGCGTGAGTGAAGACTCTCGTTGGATGCCGAATTCGTATATATACTATTTTATGGTCAGGTGTGATGACATCTTCACAGATACAGAACATGGACTCACAGTTGATAGATCTCCAATTCGGCGATACACAGGCGGCGAGGTGTCACCTTCGATGTGCGTGGTGAGGCGAAGGTAGTCGAACGCCGTCCAGAGCATCACATCGTTATTGTCGGTGGCTATTTGTCGGCACAGTCGAAGACATGATCCAGTGTTTCTGTATAATGACAAGACAATGTCTTCATGCTGATCATCATCGCGAGCCAGGCCGAGCCTGCACGCCCTTGCCGCAATGCACTGTATAAGACCTATTGTCTCTAGGCGACAGTTTTCGCCACTGAACATGGACACAAAGCTGTCGAAGTCGGTGTCGCTTGTGATTTTAATTGGCTTAGACGTGCTCTCTATCACCTTCTCCGCAAGACGTGAGAAGTTGTAGTCGGTTGTGGCCGCGTCATTGCTGAAACAGGGAGACACTATATCACGCAAAGACTCAGAGAAGCGATTCACAAATGGTCTGGGGACCAGGGCAGCTTGGGCATTGACTCCATATTCTTGAAGCATCCTCTCAATGAAACTCCAATGGCGGAAGCCAGTCAGAATCTGCTTCACAGTCTTGAACTTGTCCTCGGGATAGGTGTCTTCATCGATGGTGCCTCCGGGGATTTGAGGTACTCTACCATGATACTCAGGCGTTGCAGGTGGCCATGGCATCACAGATGGGGACTCTACATAGTCGCTAGCTGGCACCGATCGAGCACTGTTGGCTCCAGCAGGGACGGGAAGTGCAGAAGGTCTCCTTGGACTGGACAGCAGCGATGTTGCAGGAGCTGATGCATCAGAATCCGGCAGTTTCGGTTTCGTCAACGGGGCAGGGTGGTAGTAGCATCGTGCAGTGAGTCCTCGACGCTGACATCGGCCACAAGTAGGCCGCTGGTGATCGCAGCGAATCTATCAAACGTGTGAGCTGAGGCATTTCCCAGTCGTCAAGGGCATGCTTACTTTGGCCTTGCGGCATGGCTCACACGATGCCACCTTGCCGTTTCGACGATGCTCAGCAGCAGACATGTTGAATCCGATGAGTCAAGGATACTCAACAGACGCATGAAGAAAGAATAGCATACGAAGTGGCTGAAAAGCCAGATGAAGTTGAACTCCGAGCGGCATCCCGGTCATTCCGCCATCCCGCGTGGAGAGAGACGTGAAGACTGGCCGATGTGGAGGGCCCATGCTCTATTCCGAGTTTTCATTCCGAGGCTTCTCTCACAAATGCACGCCTTCGTCTCCTTCAGTCTCACACACGACGTCGGACGTCGGACATCGATATAAGTGAGTGTGAGTCGCGCCTGAGGGCCGATTTTGGTGTCAGTATTGTCGACTCGCGTGTAACGGCCGTGTTCATGCGGCAAGACACGTCTTCGCGCCACCGAAGAACGCGAGAATGAATGCCAGGTTGTGTCTAACTGTTCGCAGGAGTCGACTACGATGGGTGAATCAAGATATCGCATTCTGTCCTAGACTTCCAGGCTGACGTCAATGTATAAATTGCCATGGGCAAGATACTCTGGAGCTGAACGACAGAACTATTCAGCTCGTAGGTATTATACCCAATCCGTGGTAGGCTTCCAGACAAGCAGACTTGGCAGAAGGCGAGCCTTTGACTATTAGCAAGTGGGCAGTGCGAATGTGGACATTTCGGGGCGATCGGTAAACCCGAAGTCTAGGCAAGCGTTCGCATCGCGCAAACAATGAATCTATAGACCCGTCCACGCTGTTATACAAAAGAACAGAAGAAGAAGGAGAAGAAAAGGCCCACGTCCTCCCAAATGGGAAGTCTCCATCTTCCGAAGCTCCGACGTCACTTCCTGCCACGATTGGAACACGACTCCGGATGATTCGACAAGTCTTGGCAGATTATCAGACAATGGAAGAAGAGCCGGACCAGGCCATCGATCCGAGTCCAAACGATGCTGAGGAGCGACAGCAGCAGACGAACCTCAACAAAGCGTGTGAGGCTTGCCGTGGATCCAAGCTACGATGCATTATCGACCCAACCTCTTCAGACGGGAGCTGCAAGAGATGCGTAGCAACAGGTCGCACGTGCGTGTACAAGGCGCCCCGAGTGCGACAAAGACGAAAGGTCCACGTCGACGTCCGTGTCGCCGAGCTGGAGAGACAGCTTCGATCTCTGCGAATGCAGCTGCATCAAGCGCAGCATGGCCTAGCTAGCAGTCCTCCAGCTGCGAACCCCGGGCCCCCAGTTACCAGTACATTGAGGTTTGAGGCGCCAGTGACCCCTGCATCATGGCCGAAGAAAGCGACTGCCGCATCCGACGACCTCATACCGAACGATCGAGTTCATCGTTCGCCGCCAGATACTCCGGACGAGGAGATTGTACAGTCCATCAACGCGCCCTGCGATGATGTAGTCCAGCGTCAAATTCTCACTTGGGAGAACGCAGACCGTCTCGTTCACGTCTACCTCACCGACTTCGCCACGCACTACCCATTCGTCTGCCTCCCTTGCTTCACCGACACGGAGACCTTCAGAAGGAATCGACCAGCCACTTTTCTAGCGGTGGTTGCAGCCGCCAGTGGCACTTCTTCCCCAAAGCTGAACAAAATCCTCTGCCATGAACTTCTTGCCTTGCTTGCCAAGAGGATAATGTTGGAAGGAGAGCACAATTTGGATATCATCCAGGCGATGATCATCATGACCATTTGGTATACACCGATGGAAAAGTTCGAAAGTCTGCGACAGTATCAGTTCGCTCACTTGGCCGCGACGATAGCCATGGATATTGGGCTTGGAGATGAATCTGCCGCTGCCGACAATGAGAATATATCGGACGATTTGGACCGCCGACGAACTCTACTCAGTATCTACATGCTATGTACAGGCATCAGCGTTCAAACGGGGAGGCCAAAGATGCTTCGCTTCACCAATTACATGCAGCGCTGCATAGACCGTTTGAAGTCACAAGACAGCATATCTCACCAAGATCAATGGTTCCTGGCTTGGGTCGAGCTGCAAAGACTGACAGAAACAGCCGCCGATGTCTTCTTCACAACGCCAACGGATATTTCACTGCCCGCAAACCAGCAAGCGGTGGCGGAGTTCTGTCACAAACTCGACGAATGGAGACACGATTTGCCGATCAACTTGGAAGGAGCCCTCGAGATCCACTACCATTACGTGCGCTCGATGGTACTCTGCGTGTGTCTGTACGTAGACCACGACTTGGCGGATTTCCGCCCTCCTTTCCGAGTGCGTGCATTGAACAGACAGGCCGCGCCATCAGCTCCCATGACGCCATTTCTTGCACGAACGACCATCGCTTTGGTGGAGACGGTGCATTCCGCAATAGACGCCTTTCTGTCGTTTAGTAGTATCGAACTGCTTGCAGCTCCAATGGTAGGTCTACCTTTCCGAATCTTGAATAGTGGCTCACATCAAAACCAGATCTACTACATTCGCACCCTCCACCCACTTTCCATCCTCCTCATGCTAGACATCGCCTGCCGCCGCCCAGAAAATGAAATGGCCAAGATCATTGACCAAGACACGTTGCGAGTTGGGGAGTACTTCCACGCCCTCCAGCGAATGCTCTCGCCCTACGAATCCGAGACGCAACGGACTCCCGCCAAATTCCTAGCCATCATCAAACGAATGGAAACATGGTGGCAGAGCCAAAGCGAGCAATCGAGCGACCACGCTCGTGATTTGCGACCCTTTGCGAAACTCACGGTGCCGAACGAACAGCACACATCGCCTGCCACGACGGAGAATAGCACGAGCCCGGTAGAAAGTTTCAACGATATCGACTCCTCGCACTTCGCCGGGAGAATGCCAATGGGTGCTGCAAACAATCTGCGGACGGACGCGCAGACGTCCTCCTTTGACGAGAGTAGCCTATTCATGGACAACTGGGTATTCGACATGGACCAAGATCCTGCGAGTCTCCTCATGCCTGAGATTGACTGGTCGTTGTTTGAGAGTCCCGTGCTGCTTAATGCCAATGGATGAATGAAGCGTTGTCTTTCATCGCGGTTCGTGGAGGAAAACGTGCTTGACAACTTGCTATCGATTATGATGGGCTGCTTCTGGACGAAAACCAAACGGTCTTTATCCGACAACTCAGAACTTCCCATGACCAACAGGCAGACGCAGCAACTCTCTGTTCGTGGGCAAACTCTTCCACATCATGCTCTGAAAGGCTTTCACTCTCTATAAGGCCATCCGCGCTCAGCTAGGTTCCACCCACAAGACCACAACAACAACACCAGGAAATCTCCAAAGTAAAATCAACAAATGCCCAACGAAGCCCTCCTCGGTCTCCGCCATCAAATCCTCGGTACCAAACCCCCTCCCCATCCTCCTCCACCCGACCCCAACCCCGGGAATCCTCGACATCCCCCTCTTCGCTAAAGTCGCCCAATACACCCTCGACGCGGTGGAGTACCCCGTGATGAGATTGCAGGCCATGCTCGTCGCCGTCACCCCTGAAAATGGGACGATGCAGGCGGTGGTGAAGAGCGCGGATCAGACGACGGCGCAAGGGGGCTTTGGAGAATTTGTTGGCGAAGTTGGCGGGGGAGGCGTCGGTTTGCGGGCATACGAGGGCTTTGATGAGGGTGGACGCGATGGTTTAGAGTGAGATGCGTGAGATGTTGTGGGGATGTCTTGGAGTGAGGGGAGGGGATGAGGAAGTTGATGCATTTCAAAGGTGCTTGAAAGTCATGGCCATTGAACGGGAGTTCGCCTGATAAGAAAGAAGAACAAGTACAGTACATTGCCTGCTCAATACTTCCGTCCCCTCCCACGGAAGTTGCCTCCACGACTAGAGCTTGGCGTCGAAGTCTTCCGATTGCTGGTCGACGAGGATCTGCGACATCCGCGAGACGAGCTCGCAGCCGGTTTACCGTACGTATACGACGACGAGCGGCTGAGTGTTCGGTTGGACTGGGTTTGGCTCGTCTTCGTTTGGGACGAGCCTGAAGGGAGTTCTCCCGGATTCCTAGTGACGATGCCGTCAGAACTTCGAATGGTGCAGTCAATGTTGAATGAGCACTCACTTCTCGCAAACCTTTGTGAAGGCGTTCAAGAGCGTCTGGAATGCAATCGTCAGTCTCAAGATCTTCCAGCTGCATCCGACGAGTTGTACGCACCATGAAATCCTGGTCCTCCATCGATCCGAAGATTTTGTGACCGCTCAGCCTCGCTTGCGTAACTCTGGGGCTCGTGATACCAAAAGCGATGCGAGCAAGATACCGCGGATCATCTCTGTCCGGCACCGCTTCAAGGATCTTGAAGAAGGCCGCGGAATCCCATCCACGGCTTGGAGGTTCGATCTTCTCGACAGCTTTGTGTTTCTCGCACCATGTGCATTGGCCACACTCGACTGCTCCATCTGGTAGTGCGTCCCCGAAGTGCTTCGCAAGACTGTATGCGAAGCAGGATTCGCCCGTCACCAAGGCAGTCACCTCATGCATACGCTGAAGTGCTTGCTGCTCGCGGAATTCGAGATCTTTGTACAGGTCATCGACAATTCGTTGCTGTTCCTCGGGTGCTGGTGGCCAATTCTTCTCGACTCGATAGATGTTCACAACGCCACTGGACTGAAGGTCAATGATGCTACTCTCATGCCAGTCGTTGAGTTTGCGCACAATATTATGTCGAGAGAGGCCGCTCGTGGTAGCAGCTGCGTCCACGTCGATGGTATAGACTGTCTTTGCAAGTTTGGCATGATTTTGCACTGCTTTGCCGGCCGTCGACTTGTCCCAGTCGAAAGGTCTGAGGCGTTTGAATGTGTACTTTGTGTATTTGGGTGTAGTTGCACGGAGGAGTCTAAAGCGAAGCTCCAACTGAGCGTAAATGTTGTTGAGGGTGTTGACCTGAACACATGTTAGTGCGTGGATATACTGCAGATTAGAAAATTCACCTTGATGTCGTATTGTTTGGATTGCTGGTAGAGGTTACCCTGAATGTGCGATTCTGGAGCCGGTGTTGGCTTTGTAGAAAAGACTTCCTTCAACAGATTTGCGACAGACGCCTTTGATGGCAATTCGCCTCGTGCAAAACTTTCACGAATGTGATAATCTTCTGCACAAAGATAGAGCATACATCTGCTCTCAAGGCCATCACGACCTGCTCTGCCGATCTCCTGGCTGTAGCCCTCCAGACTCCTCGGGATGTCGTAGTGTATGACATTGCGAATGTTGGCCTTGTCGATGCCCATACCAAACGCGATGGTTGCTACGATGATCAGGTTGTCAGAGGACATGAAGTCATCCTGACAGGCCATCTTCTCTTCGGTCTTCATGCCAGCGTGGAAGTGGCGGGCTTTGAATTTGTGTGAACGTAATTGCTCTGCGAGCTCTTCGGCCTGCTTTTGAAGAGTCACATAGATGATGGTGGATCCAGGAAAGGACTTCAAGAACATGCGAAGCTTCGGGTACGACTCTTTCTTCGTTTCGAATGCTTGTGCGTGGAGATGCAGATTTGATCGAAATGTCGTGGTTCGAAACAGGCCTGACTGCGGAATGTCAAACGCTTTGCATACATCTTCAGCAACATGAGGTGTGGCGGTTGCAGTCAAGCACACAACCCGTTCTGCCTCAATTTCTTTGGCAAATCTGGCCACTTTGAGGTAGTCGGGTCGGAATGCATGTCCCCACTCTGAGATACAATGGGCTTCGTCAATCGCCAGGAGTCGTACACCACCTTTCACGTTAGCCATGGAGGAGACGAAGCCTTCGTTGTTCAGTCGTTCAGGTGCGCAGTACAGAAGGTCGAGAGTGCCGTTGCGCATGGCATCCACAGTCTGGAGATGTTCTTCCTTGGTTTTGGTAGAGTCCATGACAGCAGCACTGATTCCGCGGCGCTTGAGAGCATCGACTTGATCTTTCATGAGCGCAATCAGCGGCGACACAACCAGGGTAATGCCACTTTCAGCGGGACCTTGCCGGATGCCCTGTTGCTCGTCCACATATCTGAAGCACAATGCTGGGACTTGGTAGCAGAGTGACTTTCCGCCACCGGTTGGAAAAACTACAACTGAGCTTCCTCCATCGAGCAGTCGACCGATGGCTGGTTCTTGCTTGAGCCTAAATCCGTTCATACCGAATCGTTCCTTGAGGATCTTGTTGGCGATTGCCAGTCCAGCGGCCGACGCAGGCTCGACACGAACTCGCTTCGGATCGTAGACATCAACATCTTCATTCTTCCGCTTGCCATTGGAAGAGCCGATGGCTTCAATGTTCAGGAGATCGGCTTCATCTGATGACGAAAGTCCGAATTCGTCGGTGTCGTCAATAGCCATTGAGGGGTCTGGGCGCGCCGTGCTTCAGTGAGAGCACAGTGCAAACAAATTCAACGCGGCGAATAAGGTGTACAACTTGTTAGAAGGGATCGTATTGTCGCCGGGTGGCGATGTGAGAGAATGAACGTGAACATGAGTGGGATGAGACGGAGGGGTGGGATGTTTGTGGTGACATCGCGACCTCCTGCTCTGTCGTGGATTTAGAGTTTCAAGCTTAAACGCGGATGCACGTGATGTACACCATTTGCAGAACAGCGATACCTTCCATAATTGAAATGATGAGGTATCTCATCAATTCGAAGTTTGACATTTGCACAAAGCTCGTAGAGCATTCGCTGACGAGAGCTCGCCATGATCTGTACACGAGCTATCTCAAAGCAGAATCCGATCCAAGGTTCTGCCTCTCAAGCTCCTCGCCCTTCTCCTTCGCCTCAAGCAACCGATCCTCAGCTTGCGTATCAAACTTCATAGCCTTCCCCTTATTATGTTTCGCCCTCTCATCGATCTTTCCAACCTCATGCTTGCCTCCAGGAAGCACACCTTCTGGCAGCTTCTGCCCCTTCTCCCCAAGGATTGCACCCTTGCCAGGATTTCTGCTCTTCCCGACTTGCTTCTGCACGTTGCCTGACTTTCCAACGCCAGCCTGCGTGCCATCGCCAGGGTCTAGTCCCATATTTTTCAGTTCTTGTATGGCCTCAGCATCGCCCTCTGCAGCCTTGACTCTCAGTTCGCGCCGTTTGAGTTTTGCGAAGCGTTTCTCTTTGTAAGATGCGAGTCGCTCGTCAGGTGATGGGATTGGAGGCCTTTGCTCAACAGGGGTGCCGAAGGGAGAGACGATGCGCGCGACTACGTGATCGACTTGCTTGCTCACGTGCAGGCGGTGCAATTCCACGACGTCGCCAGTGACGAGTGATGAGTTCGGGTCGTGAACGAGGTGGTTCTTGTATGTTTGAAAGTACTGCAATCTTCGTCAGCTTGCGTTTCCTCACATGAATGAGGATATCCTCACCTTCTTGATCCGCTTGTTCCACTGCTGCACAGCGATCCTCACCGTAACAGTCTTATCCATCCTCTCCGACCGCACAACAACTCCCACAATCCGTTTGTGCGCCTTTGTATTGTCACGCTGCCTCTTCTCTTCCTGATGCAAATGTTCTGCCGTGCTATGGGTGAGGTATTGCTGCGGAATTCTTGGCTGGTTCAAAGGCTTTTTGAGGAGGAAGTCCGTTTTGGTCAAGCGGTATGGGTTTCCTTCTGGATCCACTCGTTTTGATGCCGGGAGACTTGGGTCGTACCATTCTGGCAGTGGAGTTGGAGGAGTGACGAGTGGTCGAGAATCGCTGCTTTCAGTCTGGGTGGCCAGACATCTCCGGCAAATCCATTGGGAGCCCAACTGTCTGCCAGACACCAGCGTCCGTACGGGAAGAGTCACTGCGCGGCCGCTCATTCTGCTGAGCGATGGGAGTATTGAATGTTGAAAGTCGCGTGCTGCGGTTAGGAGTTGAAGATGGAGGTCGGAATTTGAATCCCCTTTCGGCAGTTTTCATGCCTGAGGCAATAACAGCTTTCTCGAACAGCGCGACCTCTTCTGAACAACAACATATTCTCAACCTTGGCACAAAACTCCTTTGATTGCGCCATTCCACGACACCAGCCTTATACCTTTCTACAATGATATCCTTGAGGGCTTCTGATCTGCCCCATCCGGATGCACTACGACATATATTCGAATGCAGAGACTTTCACCTGAGATGGTACTCGTCTTTGAGGTACTCCTTGTAACATTGATGAAATTATGCTTTCCATTGACGTGTACGCCTGAAATGCTACCAGATTACATATTTATGGCCCCAATTCTCGCTCGAACGCTGCAGTTGTGCAATAATGCTGATCACTCTATGAAGGCTGCTCCTCCGTCCTCTCAAATCCCAACCCAGCGAAAGCCTGGCCCAGTTCCTCGGTAGGATCACCCCATGAAAGCGGCTCCCCCGTCCTCTCATCCCAGCGGAAGCACTGCCCCAGTTGTTCATTTGCGGCTGGAGATGGCGTTACGGATCATACGGCTCGGTCGGTAGTCCCCAATGTTCCTTTGTGGCTGCTGTCGAGGAACTCGCTGCTGGCCACCGAAACCGGTCTCTGGCTGCGTCATCTTTTGCTCCTCGACATCCCTGTGAGCATCTTCAGGATGTACCGGCTGAGCCTTGGGAGCGGTCAACCCGCCCCAGCTGTAGATGACGATGGCAATAGCCTCCATGGCGAACTGCATGAGGGCCTGCACAACTACGCTGGGAGTCAGGTAGTAGAAGATCGATCCCGAGGAGCTCCAACTCGTTGCAACCGTATACACAATCCTGACACACAGCGCCGGCAGCACACCAACCCCAGCGAAGATTAGGACCTTTTCGGCAGACGGGATGGCCTTGCCACGGAAAGCCGTAAGGATTGTGAGGAGTGCAAGCCCGACGTAGATCGCCAGGAAGATGATGCTGCCGGCCTCCAGACAATCCTTGCCGGTGTTGTGGCTCGAGGTGTCGCTTGACTGAACCTTCGTACCGCCAACGATGGAGAGGACCAAGGCAGCCAGACCTATGAGATGAATCGCCCGGAATACGATTTGAGGCAAGCCGGCAGGCCCCATACGTGGATGGAGTCGCTCCAGGATGCCGAGAAGGACAAGCAGGAGCGGCATTGTTCCTACAGGAAGAGAAGTCGTGTTAGTAATTGTTCCTTTACTGATTTGAAATGAAGCATGTCGTGCGTTATGGCGGCGGCAGGAAGTTGCGGGGGTCCGAGAGGAAGTTGTGGTGTTGCTGGAAGGAGCAAGTAACGCCGCAGGATCACTTGGCACTGCAGGCTCGCTAGCTTGCTGTTTAAACAGCCAAGTAGGGTGTCTTAGGGCAAGTCGACTCGTGCGGATGTCGAGCTAATTGTCGTGATCTGCAGAACCCTCTTCTGCCAAAGAAGGCTGAAGTTGTCGACATCGGTGCCGACACCAAACATTCCAGCGGAAGGAAGGATGGCGGAAGTTGTAGGGCCGACGCCATCTTGCAGCCTGCACCACGCGATCCGTGGGGAATTCCACATTCTCCATGGCGAAAGGATGGCATTTCGATTCTGAGACTTACCGATGGCACTAGTGATGAAGGCCGTCTCCTCCAGGCTTTGGGAGTAGTCGTTCTGGCTTTCCATGTACAGCGTACATGATGCGCCAATGAGGCGCAGAATGCAGAGTGTGACGAGGTAGATCCAGCTGACGCCGCCGGTGAAGCCTTGCTTGATGTTGATGGCCAGTCCAATGACGAAGGCGGGCGAGAAGAAGGCGATTTCGGCAATAGCAAGGTCGCCGCGGGAATTCAGAGCGCCCATCCTGATGAATTTCCTGGCAGGGTTTCTTGTGTTTGTGGTGGTGGGGTGGAATATGCCGTACACCTGGATTCGGGATTGTTGGCTGTATGCTCTTCGGTTTCGGGACGCTTGGCCGACGTGGGAGTGGAATCCTGTGAGTTCGATTTGGTCCTGTCGTACGAGATGCACGTTTGTTGCTATGAAGCAGAACAGGACTTGTTGGAAGAGAGAGCACTATACATATACAACTGCCATTCGACGACGAAGGCATTGCAATCTGGATGCCTAACAAGCCATGCGACGTCAATGGTATGATCCAGGCCATATTCATGAGGGTGTTGCGCTGAGGCAGAATAGTCAGTCAAAACAGACCGCAGAGCAATCCACAATGGGCAACGCCTGGCGGTGCATATGCGGATAGCGTAATCGCAGGAGGACTACTAAGCAAGAGCAGGACATGCTTGAGTGGGCCAAGCAGCGCAGAGGAGCGGTATGTTGCCCCCAATGGGGACTGGACTGTAAGGAGTGATGTCGTTGCTCGGAATTCGGCAGGATCACAGCCTTCGTTCCTTCCGTGGCTGTGGCTTGCCAAAATTACCCCAATTCACTGCACACAATCGTCGGAGGCGAGCTCTAGCGTGATAAAGAGACAGGAATCGCAGTACCTGCCGAAAGAGGAAGGTCGATGACCTTCCGAAACCGAATAACATTGTGCTTGGCGCCTCGCAGCTGCCGTCGGTTCACCGATTCCTTCACAACGACTGGCACCCTTGGTGGATACGGTCTTCCTTCCGGCCAGCACCACGCGTGCCTCCCAGCCCTCGCCATGTTCTATAATGACAAACATTGCTGAGTCAAAACAGGCATGAACAAGACCTTTGACTAGTGGCCAGTACCTTCGGCTCGAAATGGCTCACACGAACGCAATGTTCACATTGGGAAAATTTGTGGTCGATCATTCAGTATGTCTGTTCGTACGGGTTGGATTATTCCCGGAGACTGGACGCTTTGCAATGATTGTCATCGCACGCTTCCCGCGGTGCCAGCAGGACTATAGCGTTCCGTGCTGCTGGTAAATACTGTCAACGAGGTGGATGGGAGGAGTAGGGCACTTTATCATTTGGTGATTGCAGTCGAGTAGGGTGCGGACTTAGAATTTGCTGGTACGAGGCACCAACCGTCATGCCATCGCCTCAGCCGCAGCCGGAGCATTCGTATCCAGCCGATCTTGAATAGGTATCTTTCCGGTCGACACTGCAGCTGATGAAAAGACCGCGAACAGGACGCCTCATCAAGGGAGGGAGAGAAGTTCGCATTCCATCTCAGCCTTGTGTGAATGTGTCACCCAGACTGTCAGCGTGGTCTGCCGTTAGTCTCGGCTTCGCAAAATCCTCCCCGAATCCTGCACGACATTACAACAGAGGATAATAACATAGAAGATCCTTCGACTCAATGGTACCGGACACACGACGCAACAGATGTTCGATACACTAACACACATGTTATATAGGTGTACCTAGGTCGCCCTTCGCGAGGTTGTCGCACTTGCAAATCTCGGCGCATCAAGGTGCGTGCAGCAGGAGGAGATACCACATCCGGCATCAGTTGCGATGTGGTTCGAGGGTGCATTGCTGATAGTGGTACTCAGTGCGACGAGACACGGCCGGCCTGCCAGAACTGTGTCAAGACGAATCGAGAATGCCCGGGCTTGCCAGAGGAAGTCGATCTGATCTTCCGTACGGAGAATCCAGCAACGAGAAAGAAGTCGAAGAAACCAGAGCGAAAAGGCAGCGATGATGTTGATGTTTCAGAGCTCAGCAAGTATGACACCTGCCATGTTGCTGCGTGGTCGGTTGCTGACCTTGCGCTAGTCTCGTCAATGGGTTCGATCAAGTGCAGCAAAAGGTTCTGCAGAGCCAGGCAGCGAAGAGTACCCGATCTTCAAGAAAAGGCAGTCCATCGAAAAGTGGCTCGGGAAAGCGTTCTTCTCGTGGCTCTAGAGTCGACCTCACCGGTCAAACTACGTTCAACCCAGCCCTAGAGGAGCAGGCGACGACGTTCTTCTTCAACAACTTTGTCTTGACGCCTCGAAGCAAAGAGACAACTCGTGGCTTCCTTGAGATCCTCAGCCCTATGATGCAAGATGCTCAAGAAGGTTCAGCACTTCATTTGGCCACACAAGCGGTTGCCATGTCCACACTAGCCAACTGGCCAGGCCGAAGGCATCTAATGGCAAAATCGCAAAGCCTGTATACTCGGGCTCTAACCGCCATACAGCACGATATTCAATGTCCGAAACAGGCTGTCAGCGACTCGACATTGTTGACTGTGCTCATGTTCTCCATGTATGAGTCTGTGACATCATCCGAACATTCAGTCCAAGCCTGGGCCAGGCATATAGATGGAGCTGTGACTATCGTCAAAGCACGCGGGACAAAGCAGTTTGACGATACTCGATCGTTGCTACTGTTTCGTGCCGTGCGGACACAGATGTTGACCAGCTCCATCCAGCAAAGAAAGGCAATACCAGACTTCCCAGGGCCTCGAGGCTGGGTGAGCGATGCTGAAGGCGAGAACACAGCAGCTTCGAGCTTGTTGGAGTTTTCCGTCCTGCTGCCAAACATCCTGGCGAAAGCCAAGAACCTCTTTGCGCTAGATCAGGACGGCGAGACCATCTCCGAAGTGACTGCTTTGCTACATCAAGCACATGAGATGCAACAAGCATTACTTCAATGGGAGTCTCAGATGCCAGCGCAGTGGTGCTACAGCTCCGTAGCCAACATCCCGACCCGAGCAAAAATGGACAAGATCGAGGAGATGGAGACGTGGCCAGGCGTCCTGCACATCTACAAAGACGTTCATGTTGCTTGCATCCGAAACAACACTAGAGTCAGCCAGATCTTGTGCTCTTCGGTCGTCATCGACGCACTCAAATGGTTGGATCCGCTGCACTTCCAAATGGATGAGAGGTTCACATTGGCGAAGATGAGGCTTCAATCACTCGTCGGTGATATCTGCTACAGTGTGCCTTTCCACCTTTACGGTCCAGATGTGGTGCACAAGATCCGGCCGAATGGCCAGATCCGTAATCGTAAGTCTTCCCGGAGCCCTTGCGATGAACATGAAGCTGACTGATATTCTCTAGCCGGACAAGCCCTTGGTGGCTACTTCCTCATCTGGCCACTCTTCGCCGCCTCAAGTATTCAAGATATCCCCGACTTGCAAAGACGTTGGCTTCGAGGTAGGCTACAGACCATTGCTCGCCAGTATGGTCTCGACCAAGGCAACATCATGAGCTCCATCAACAAGGGCCGTTCTGGCGCGAGCTGGACCGACAAGCTGCAGTATGATGCTGTCAAGTCGAAGCAGTCAAGCTATGCTTTGTCCTCGAAAGAACAGGCTCCCGCGGAGAGTTCGAGCTTCGCGTTTTCGAATGATCACATTCAACCGCAGTCGTTTGGTATGTCAAATTTTCCAATGGTTGGTTCTCTTTTGTCAACATCCGCTGGCACTGTAATAGAAGACCTTTGTTCACTGGACTCGATTGAGAAGCAGACTTCTCCCAGCAGCCTGGATCAGGACGAGTTCGCATTTCTTGAAGAGCTTGGCCTCACGGATGGGTCGTCTTCTTTGTCAGATAGCCCATTTGAGCGGATGGAGTTGATGGAGGTTGCTTGAGGAGGGAAAGTGCATGCCTTTTGTCATAACCGTGATGAGTGTGCGTAACATCCCAGGACGCGTGATCCAAGAAGTGGGCACCACTGGACTGACTTTGCTTTGAACAATTACATCACCATCACCAAGCTATAGTCTCCGCGGTTCAATGACGCGCTGGCAGATCTTACGGCTCAACGATATTGGGGGACCGCCATGGACTCCATCACTCCCTAGGGAGATATAAGACCCTACCATAGGGCTGAGAACCGCATGATCATCTGGCGATGGCTGTATCTTCTGGGAGATCGTTTGAATGCGGTCATGGCTTGGTCATCTGAGCCTGGGCTTCTTTCCATGGAAGTACCGTCCGCCTCCGAAATTCTCACCCTGTCATGGCGAAGCCTTGAATATGGCAGTCAAGCCACAAAGCCGACTGGGCAATCAATCTTTGCTCTTGTGTCAGGGATCGCAAGCAGAGGGGAGAAGGAAATATTGGTCACAATCTGACTGGTCAATCTGTACACTAACAATACGATACCGTGGAGTTGCATGAAAACGAGCATTCAAAGTCAATCCCCTGTCTCAATCGCACAACTCCTCACCAAGGTAGTCATACGCCTGACCTGGCTGAAGAGCTTATGATGAAATCACAGCATGACTTAGAAGATCAATATGCCATTCAAAGCTTCGACGCCGCAGAAACAACAGACGGATTCCTCGCAACCACATCTGCGGCAACCTCCTTCGCTCCATGCGAAGCATACAGCTGCTCGCGTTCAATCTCGAGCAGCTTCGCGCAGTCCGCCTTGGCCTGGTCAACATTGACGCACAGGAGCAAGATGATTCCCACCAAGGTAAGCGCAAAAGTAAAGTAGAAGCCAGCGTTGGTGTTGCCATGGGCATCGTCGATAATAGCGCTTGAGATGAAGGGGCCAATAAAACCAGATGTCTTGCCGACCGCATTAAACAGGGCGAAGAAGATGTACATCTTCGGCGCAGGCGCTACTTCAGCCATTAATGTTGTCGAGTACGCTTGGTAGGCTGCAGAAGCACCGCCATCCCAGGCCTGATATAGCCAGAACTCCCATGTATGGTGAAACCCAATGGCGTTAGTCCAGTTGCCAATCATGCCCCAGAGACTGATTAGCACGCCAGGGACGGCGTTGCAGACGAACATGGTCTTCGCCGAGATTCTGAACTTCTTCTGTATCCAGATCTGAATCAGGATACCGAGTCCAGTAGCGCCATAGACAACAATGTAGAGGCCGTTGTAGACGATTGGATTGAATTCGATAGCGTTGTTCTGGAGGATTTGAACTTGCGTACCCGAAGTAGAATTGGCATCATTGAGACAGAAGTAGGCCAATATGTAGAGTAGAGTGTGCTTCAAATGGACAACGTTCTTGGCTGCTTGCCAGACTCCCTTGGGTCCCACCGTCAGCCAGCTGGTATTGTCGGGAAGCTTCTGACCAGGTCTGCGTTGATCGAAGATGAACCATGGGAGGCATGTGACGATCATAATACCCCCAAAGTAAGCCGTTGTAATGGAATAAAACCTCCAGAGCTGGTGGTCCGTTGAGTAGCCTACTCCGTAGGCAATGGCGTAAGCCAGGGCGATAGAGACGGTTGACCCCAATCCAGAGAAAACGTATGACCAATTAGACATCTTCGACCTCTCCATCGACTCCAACTCAGCATGTTCTTCTGGGGTCTTTGTCCCTTCTAAGACTTGACGTTCTGACTCTTGCAATTGCGGTAGATCCCGGACCACTTGAGGGAAGGCAGCGAAGTAGAACGCGGACTGGGCATTCATCACCAGATTGCCCAAGACATAAAAGCCACTTGCTAGCTGCCACTTTGACGGTTCGGTAAAGTCGAGAAAGGCGAAGGACGCCGCAACTCCAATCACAGTCCACGAGATCAGGATCCATGGACGCCAACGCCCGTAGTCAGCGTAGGGACCTGTGATGAGGAGTACAGCCAACTGTACTGCAAACGTGATGCCATTAATGTCCAAGATGTAAGAGTTGGTGGAGGTCCTTGAGCCACCCCAGTTGAGGTAGCCGCTGGGAAAGGCTGACTCCAAAAGATCTTGCTGGAGAGCGCCACCGTAGTTGCCAAAGCCGACACCTGTAGCGCCCCAGTTGAAGAGACAAAAGGACCAATACTCCAGCTTCGTCGTTGTCTTACGCTCGCCGTCTTCGGGGATCGTGTGCTCCTGCTCGATCGCTGCGTAGCCGGCGCGGCCGTGGGCGCTCAGCTTGGCTTTGGCGACATCATCGTTGTCAAAGTCGTTGACAGCCGTGCCAAAGTCCTTCTCTTGAGGAACGGGGGCCACAGAGAGATCAGTCATGTCGTGCCAAGCGGAAAAGCGCCAAAGAAAGTAGGTAAAAAGAGCTTGGCAAGGCTTGTCCTAGATGCCGGACTACATATACGTGCGATGTGGACACCACATGGAGGCGTTCGGACGGCATTTCACGCCCTTGAACTTGTTGAGCCTTCCTTCGACGGAAAAATCTGTCTTGAGAGTACGTATGAGAAATCCTCGTCCAAGGTATCCGTAAGCAAATGCTGGGACGCGAGCGAACTTCGATGGGATCCAATTGGTCTTGTGGACTCCTCTCGATATCCAAGTGGTACAAGCGCATAGCACGACGAGAGTCCGCCAAGAGCACGCCATTTGCGACCATTCAGTGGCATCTACACGCCTGCCAGTCCAGGTTAGCCGCAGCATACCACCAACATAGGGCACCGCTCGCGTGTCGGGTCCAAAGGTAGCCGACGGTCGTGCGAATGGTTTGTCCACCAACCCGACTCTAGCCGAGCCCCAGCGGTTCTATACGAGGTCTGCGCATGTCGAACATGTGCATAAAGGTGGCCTGAATCTCGCCAGCGTCCTTGAGGGTAGAGACCTTGGATGGAATTCGCAACGGTGATGTGGACGCCGAAAATCCGCAGAATCCTTCAACGGAGAATTCGTCAGTGCCTTGCCGAAGATTACAAGACGCAACGCCTCTCCATCATCGAGACACTTGATCCGAACACTTTGCCGGAAACAAAGTCCATAGTCATTGCACATCTGCGTTCGCTCATTGTCTCCAAGCTCTTCATCCATTTCAAAGTGGCCTTGTCGAAGATGAGATCCAGGGTTTGAGAACTGCTGCGACCACAATACGATCAATCGTCCACGCAGAATGATTCTGGAAGTCGACCCGGAAACATGCCGAAGGGACTCTGGCCGTGAAGATGTAGCAGCAAGGTTGAAAAGCAACGACGATGAAATGGCGTGCTCGACATAGAACACGCAGAATCAGAGCGTCCTGGACGATTCCATCAGTCGTTGGTGGTCGACGGACGAACAAACGAGAGATGTGCATTCGAAAAGTGCGTTCCGGGCTTATAAGGCATCTTGTGAGTGTCTTACGAAAGCACGGCTGCCTTTGACCTCGATTTCCATGGTCTTTAAGGATGCGCTGAGCGATTGCGAGAACGGGTCACCGCGTTCTGGTAGGATCCCCAGAATACTGCACAGGACACCGCATTACACAACTTTCGAAGGATCGCACGAATTCAGTTGCTGCTGGCCTTGTCGTGATGAACATCCACATCCGGGAACACAGGGCGATAAAATCCACGGTCTTCGGAAAATGTCTGTTCATAGGGGAGATAAATGAGCTTCGTTATGGCAGCAGTCGCCACAGCTCGATCAGAGGCTCCCTCCGCGGCGTGAGAGGCTTCTTGTGGAGTGTTTGGCTGTCTCATCCAGAAGATCTAACGAGGTTCCTTCGTAGTGACAATGATTGAAGCGAAATGTTTGAGGTTCCGGTGCTCGTGGCTGACATGTTGTCCGTGTACAACTTGGAAGCCGTCCTTCACGACCTGCTTGAAGCGTTAGCCAGGATCATGACTTTCCATTGGTGTGGCGTGTTGGTGGTAGCAGGGAAGATGATGACAAAGGGTAGTGATGAATTGGTGGCTGGCGGGTCGCAGACCATAAGACCATCCCTGCTTGCGGTTCAATTTGCGATGACACCATCATCTTCAACGAGCCATCTGCACATAGCTTTCCTGCTCTCTTCTCCGATCTGGATGTCGAGAAGGCGATTGTTCGTGGAGCATCGAACGCAAGTATTCCAAGCTAAGTACCCCTTGCGAGATTTTCGGTGTCCCAGCCACGCCATTGCTTTCCTCCTTTCATTTCAGGCCAACTCTATCAACAACAACCTCCTTTCATCATATCTCACCTTAGAGGAGTCAACATCACCACCGCCATGAGCACTCAAGCTGCCTTCCGAGCTCATCGCAACATTATCGATGCCCGCACGCAACCCCGCCTCGCGATACCAGTCATGGGTACAATCTGGGCGCCCAGACGCTTCACCATCAATGGAAGGTCACCGAATTCTCCGCACGAATTGTACACCTGAGAGATAACGAAATGGTCGCAAGCGATGCGGTGTACCCAGATGATGTTGCATCGTACGTCGTCACTTCCAAGACGGTTGACCCTGTTGGCCGGGATGGGACTGCCTTGGCCAAAGTCGCTGCAGGAACGAGAGATAATGGTATAAGAAGTAGAAAGTCCATTAAGGTACAGCATCTCGCAAAGAGCAGGGAATGCACAGAGCTTAACCATGCTAGATTATCACTACTCGATCAAAACCGCCGCCGCATTGGCAATACTGCTGGCATTGCCGTCTGGCCTCCATGCTTGCCAGCGAGTACGCCACTTCCACTCGCACAGTCACGCCAAACGTCAAGCATCGCCACCGCCAGAGCTGTCAGAACATGAAGCTTTGATTATATCGTCTTTCGACAACAACAGCATCTCGGACTGGAGCTACTACTATACCCACGGCAATCACATTGCCGGACGTAACCGAAGCCAAGCACAGTGGACAGCCGATCGCTGGGCCGAAGCTGGCTTCGAGACGAGACTGGATAGCTATCATGTTTACTTGAAATATCCAGTCAGCAAGTCGCTGGTTGTGACTTGGCCAAATGGAACGACATACACGCCCAGCTTGGAGGAAGCAGTCCTTGAAGAAGACGATGTTACTGGATGGGAGGACCGGATTCCGACTTTCCATGGCTACAGTGCGAGCGGCGAGGCCAATGCAGAATACGTTTACGTCGGCAGAGGTCAACAAGTTGACTTTGAGCGGCTTGTGGCACTTGGCGTGGAGCTGGAAGGCAAGATTGCAGTTTCAAGATACGGAGGCCCATTCAGAGGATTGAAAGTCAAGAATGCGCAAGACTACGGAATGATTGGAGCTATTCTATTCACGGACCCCGGAGACGATGGTAACATCACTGTCGCCAAAGGCTACGCAGCGTATCCCGATGGACCAGCGAGGAATCCGACAGCAGTTCAGCGAGGAAGCGTGCAGTTCCTCTCACAATATCCAGGAGATCCCACAACACCCGGATATCCGTCTCGTGAAGACTCACCACGAGCGGATAAAGGAGTAGTGACACCTCAAATCCCATCGATTCCCATATCTTACGAAGAAGCTGGTCCCATACTTGCCGCATTGGATGGCTTTGGCACATCTGGCGTCGATGTCAATCGCACGAACTGGGTCGGCGCTCTCAATGCCACTTACTCAACTGGTCCTGCGCCTGGCGTCACTATCGGCCTGACCAACGAAATGGAAGACGCGTACACCGATATCTGGAATGCAATAGGCATCATCAACGGCACCAACACAGACGAGACGATCATCATCGGCAACCATCGAGACGCTTGGCTGATTGGAGGAGCAGCTGATCCCAATTCAGGCACTGCAATCATCGTTGAGCTGGGTCGAGTGTTCGGCAAGTTGCTAGAGCAAGGATGGAAGCCGAAAAGGAACATCGTCTTGTGCTCGTGGGACGCCGAAGAATATGGATTGGTTGGATCGACCGAGTGGGTTGAAGAGTTCATTCCCTGGATCAAAGACACGACGGTCTCATACCTCAACATCGACGTCGGTGCCAGTGGACCTCACCCAGGAATCTCGTCTACACCAGAGCAGCATGAGATCGCCGTTGAGACGATGAAGAAGATAGTCTGGCCAGCTCTTGGTGGCAACGAAACAATGTACGATGTTTGGTACGATGATACGGAAGGAGAGACTGGCGTGCTTGGGAGCGGAAGTGACTACACCGCCTTTGTGCATCGGGGAATCGCTTCAGTGAGTGACCAATTTTGGAGGTTTGATCGTGACACTGACACAACGTGTGAAGATCGATATGGGCTCTGATCCAGGACCAACTGACCCGATTTATCATTAGTAGGAACCACATAAACCGAGAAATCACCGCATATACTGATCACTGTAACAGTCACTCAAACTACGACAGCTACCACTGGATGGCAAACTTTGGTGATCCTGGCTTCTTGGTACACAAGGCTATGGGTATGTCGAATGATCCTGGACGGCACAGAAGGAATGAAGACTTACCCCCAAACAGGTCAATACCTGTCTATCCTCGCCTATCACCTTGCCACAGATGCACTCCTTCCTCTCAACCCGGGCAATTACGCGAGCGAATTAGGGGCCTACTACCAGGACCTCCGCTACACTATAGGCAACGCCACAGAAGACGTCGATACCTCGGAGATTCGATCGGCCATCGAGACATTCCGTGTCCAAGCCGAGGAAGCTTCTGCGTTGGCAGACGCTGCCGTCGAATCTGGCGATGATGAGCTCTTGCGGGTTGTCAATCACAAGTATCGCGATTTCCAGCGGGGCTTCGCTTCACAAGGTGGATTGCCGGATCGTGAGTTCTTCCAGCATCTGATCTTCGCTCCTGGGGTGGATACGGGTTATGCTCCGGTTACGTTCCCTGCTGTCACTGAGGCTGTGGAAGCTGGGAACTTCACGTTGGCCAGGGAGTGGGTCGGGAAGACTGCGGCTGCTATTCTGGCTGCTGGTGAGATTTTGAAGACCTGAGGGTGGGCTTATATGTTAGCAGCGTCAGAATGAACAGACATGAGCAAGAATGTCGATGGAGCTGCAAGATCACAACGCCATGATGTCCAGTCTCGGAGTTTCGGGGCCGCTTCTGCTACAACAGTCGCTTCGCTTGCTCGGCGTTCCCAGTTCCTTCTCCCATGAATCAATCGTTAGGTCGAGGACGACGCACCTCAACAGACGTTCAGAGGTAGGAAATCAGCCCTTGTACTTGTCTCCTGGCCCTCTGCTGATCTTACCGGCCTTACGCGCTACCGGAAGCATGGCGTTAGGGCTGGTGCGAGTTGGCTGCGTAGAAAGCGAAGAAGCACTGTGAGCGGGGTTGACATGTCACATCTTCTAATCAATTCGAGCTGTTGTTTGCGTATCTCTTCTTCGACGGGTTCAAACATCTCCCCTTCCAACAGACACGATCAGTGACACCAGCATTTTGACCACCCAGACGTCAGACAATCAGCTTACAACCATGACGACCCTCCCCATATCCGGCATCCTCCTCGAAGCAGAAGAATTCCAGGACTACGGCGGGTGGACCATGGATTCCCAATTCAGCCTCGAAATGGGCTCTCCCTACCTCCTCGCGCACGGGAACGGCGTCCCGGTCGCCGACGCAGTCACAACCTCCTACATCCCCCTGCCTGACCAGGGCGACTACCACATCTGGATTCGAGCCAAAGACTGGGTCCCGGGACACCATCCCGGAAGGTTCCAAGTCACCATCGACGACACGACGCTCGAGACGGTCTTTGGGGCGAATGATCGCGATTGGAGCTGGGAGTATGGCGGGAAGGTGGAGATGCCGCCTGGGGAGTTTACTGTGAGACTGCATGATCTGACGGGGTTTGGTTCCCGATGCGATGAGATTTTTTTGAGTCAGGATACGGTTCCGCCGCCGGAGTTTGTGGAGCCTGTGAAGGATATCGAGCAGGATTGGCGAAGGGGGATGAGGAGAATACCGCGGGAGCCGGTGCTGGGTGGGGAGTTTGATGTTATCGTCGTGGGGGGCGGGTTGGTGGGTTGTGTGGCGGCTGTTACGGCTGCGAGGTTAGGGGAGAGGGTTGCGGTTGTTCAGGACCGACCGAAGTTGGGTGGGAATGCGAGAGTGTGGAGATTGGGTTGAGTCCGAGAGGGTTGAGGGGGCCGTTAGTCGAGGAGATGGTGAAGAGGGGGGAGGATGGGGATATTCATGCGCGGGAGATTTTGGAAGGGATGGAGAATGTGGAGCTGTGGATGGAGCATACTGTCTTTAATACGATTAGTAAGCGTTCGAAGATCCTCTCTATCGATGTCCGGGATGCAAGAACTGGCCGTGAGACTCGTTTATCTGCCCCGAACTATATCGACTGCTCTGGGAAATGCATACTGGGTCTTCTCTGCGGCGCCGAGACCATGTCAGGACGTGAGCCTCGCGCCAAATACAACGAAAGTCTCGCCCCTCGGCGAGGCGATAACTTCCACCACGGCAATACCGTCTTCTTCCGCACGAGCATGGCAGACTCCCCCGTCCCCTTCCCAACAGACATCCCCTGGGCGACAGAAGTAGCCAAAGACTACGCAAACCTCGGAGGCCAACTCATCACCCCAGGGACAGAAAATGGACCCGGTCCAACCATCGACGAGAAACCGCACTCTCATAGTCCCATCGCCAGGATGCAAATCCCCTGCACCCACTTCTGGGAATACGGCCAATGGCTAGACCCCTACACCCAAGGCGAGACCATCCGCGACCACCTCTGGCGCGCCATCTACGGCACGCTCGCCAACATCAAATCCCACTCCACTGAATACGCCGACCTGCACCTCGAGCACGTCGCCTTCGTAGCCGGCCAAGGCGCCTTCAACCGCTACCGAGGCGACTACATCCTCTCCGAGCCGGACATCCGCAGCCATAGACCCTTCCCAGACGCCGTCGTGCAGAACGTCTCTCAGTTTTGTCTGCATTATCCGGGGGACACGAAGTATGATTTCCGGCTGCAGCATTGGACGTATGATGAGCGGGATGGCTCGCCGTATGAGATTCCGTTTCGAAGTCTCTACTCGTGTAATGTGGAGAATTTGCTCTTTGCGGGGAAGCATATCTCGACGACGCATATTGCTGGCGCGAGCACGAAGCATATGGGGTGTGGGAGTCAGCATGGGATTGCGGTGGGGGTTGCGGCGGCGTTGGCGAGGAAGTATAAAATCAGTCCTAGAGAGCTCGGCCGGAAACATATGCGCGAACTGCAGAGGCTCGTCGGGACAGTCACCGGCACTGATATTGGCGAGAAGACTGCCGGGAAGGTCGAGCGTGCGAAGCTGTAATCTCAGTCGCGAGGGCGTGTATACAGACGCGCTCCTTCCCCCTCCGTCCTAGCGCCACGCTAAAGTCCAATCCCGCCTCAACTTCGGCAGAACCCCATTCTAAGCTACATAGATCCCCTAAACGCCTACCCTTCGTCGAATCGGATAATTTCGACCGGCGTAGGGGTGGAGTGGTAAAGCGGGCGAGCTATGGGTTTAAGTTGGACGAGGGTTCGAATCCGGGCGGCTACACGACTGCATGATGTAAGGATTGCGAACGGAGGAACGATTGAAATCGACGGGGCGGCCGAATCGAACGAACGAACGAATACGGCGGAATCGAATCGAATTGCGACAGTCAAAGTAAGACATGAAAATTCCAAAGGGGTTTTCTGTCTTCTACCTAATACAGCGGTGTATTGGGTCTTCTTGTTTTGCCTTTTTTTTTTGGCTGAGTAGTTTTCTTATCTTAAGTAGTAGGATGGTGGTGGGTGTTATCTATTGCGATGTTTCGTTGTGTTGAAGTTTTGCTCTTTCGTTCGACTTAGTCGCTTTTTTGTTTCTGAGAAAGTGGTAGGTAGAGCTAGGCTAACAAACGGCTGAATCGGGAAGGAGCCAGCTCTCCAGCTACAAAGTCAAAACAAAACCTCTACAAACCTCTCTCCCGCGTCCACCGCACGCTTATCATACCACACCACCACAACACCACCACCAATCAAGCGCCTTAACTTCCTTCAACCCTCCAACAAAATCTCCTCCTCAGTCAAACCCTCCCCCACGCCCGCGCTCAACCACTCCGAGCACCAATACAAAGCCCCAGGCCAGCAAAACCTCTACAAGCCAACCGAACACTTCCACCACACACCTCTTCTCAAACCACACCACCAATCAACCCCCTTAACGCCTCCTCCCTCTCCCTCACTCTCTCCAACAAACCCTCGCCCTCCCCCTCCCTATCACCCACACCCACGCCCAACCTCTCCCCACACCACCCCAAAAACCTCAGCGTCAAATGCAAACACGTCGCCGCCATCGGCGTCGGATCCAGCACCCCCTCCTTCCTCCCCTCCTTCCCCCTCAAAACCTCGAAAAAGAACCCCGTCGCGTCGAGCATATTCCGCAGCAGATCTGCGATGGCTTCGCAGGGTTTTCCGTCGTCGGCGGGGTGGAGGATGGAGATGATGGAGAGGGTTATGGTAAGGGTTAGGCGGTATTGTTGGAAGAGGAGGGCGGCTTCGGGGGTGGGCGTGGAGAGGAGGGTGGGCGAGGTGCGGGAGAGCCAGGAGGTGAGGGTGGAGTTGAGGGAGTGGAGTTGAGATTGGAGGGTGGAGGTTTGGGAGGGGGAGAGGGGGGTGGTGGTGGTGGTGGTGGTGGCGCGGTGCCAGAGACAGAGAGCGCGGGCGAGGAGGTGGTCGAGGGAGATGGGGTTGGGTGGGTTCGTCGTTTCGACGTTTTGGAGGTAGGACAGCGTCTCAGCAGCGACGTCGCTTGAAGCGCCGCCGTAGATGAGGGACGTGAGCACGCTACTCCTCGCACCAGCGACCAAGTACTCAGGGACATTCTTCCCCTGCCTTCGTCGCCACTGAATCAAGCCCACCGCCCCCTTCTCATGAACCGTCGAAATCCGACCCCCATGTCGCACGCAATACGCCTGCTCGGCCTTCTGCAAGATCAAAACCGCCAAAAGAAGATCATCCTTCCCGCACTGCTCCGGATCCTGCAGCGCAGCCGTGATGGCCTGGATAGCGCGAGAGACGTTCCTAACATGCCGAGGACGGTGTCGGGCTGGATATGAAAGCGCGGTTATCTCCCCCGCCGCGACGGTGACTGCCAGACGCAGCGGCGAGTCGAAGGCGCTGTGATGGTAGATGGGGAAAAGAGTCGGATACAACCCACACTCCACCCTCCTCGCCGTCCCAAGCCGCATGAAATTCCCAAAGAAGAAATCCACGCACGAATCCTCAGGACTCGGCGTGATAACACCCGTCAAAACACCACAAAAATCCTCAGCCGCCGCCGCCTTCTTCAACCCACCGTTCCTTCGGGCGGTACCCTTCCTCACCACCTTCCCCGTCTGGTCCTTGAAAAGAAACCCCGCCCCATCGTCCCGATACCCCGGGCATTGAAGCCCTGCGAGGCGGCATCTGGAGCAGGCGGGCCGCCGCTGGTCGCAGCGCGTGTGGTGGGCGCGGCAGCGGTGGCAGCCTTGGCTGAAACCGCGGTGGACCATTGGAGAGGGAAGGGAATGAACGATAGGTGGGATTCGTTCCGGGGGAGGTTTTGCCGTTCAAAGGCGTTTGGGGGATGGATGGGAAGATTCTGGGGCGTGCAATGGGGGGTGTTCGAGTAGATGGTAGGCGGTTTGGTGATGGCAGGGCTGAGGAGTTTCGATGTCGTCCGCTGTGATCGACATGGAGGACTTCTGGATGCGGCAATTTTTGAGTAGCGGGGAAGTTTATTTTGCATTACCTGGACCTCAAAGGAAAGACCATACGTGTTGAGAGACAATGTATAATGCATGCTGGATAGAAGTCCTTGTGCTAGACCTTCGACGATGTCGACAGCAGAAGACCTATCTCAGCAATTCGACAAGCCTCCCCATCTCAAACCACTTGAACTCCCCATCTACTCCTTCTTCGAAGGCTGCACCCCCTGCCTCACCAACACACTCCCCATGCCCTTCCCAGCCTCATGCAACGCCCGCGTAGTCTCAGCACTCAACCTCACCTCCCTCCCACCCCTCTCCTTCATCTCCTCTTCATAAACCCTCACAACCTCCTCCCTCCCAACTTCACCAGCAAACCACTTCTTCAACCCCCGAAACATCTCCGCTGCATCTTGAAGTGCGTTGTTACAGCCCTGTCCTCGTTGGAAGGACATGGGATGCGCTGCGTCGCCGGCGAGGGTTACTCGGCCGCTGTGGTTGGACCAGGTGTGTTCGGGTAATGAAGGGTCCCAGTGCATCATTTTTGTGTACCACACATTCGATTCATCGTCGTCCATCCACTCGTATACGCTTCTCCAGGGCTCGCAGAAATCTTTGGCGAGGGATTTCGAGTGTTGAACTAGTTCTTTCTTCGACCAGGCTTCTTGACCTTCAGTCGCATGGAAGGAGATGTAGTGGAAGAATGTCCAGGTTTCGGGATGGTCTTTATCTGTAGCGTCGTGCACGCAGAGGAAGCCTGTCAAACCGGCGGGGTGGAGGGCGACTTGATACAGGGGATGGGAGTGGGGTTCTGAGCGGAGGAAATGCGCATGTTCGCGGGTGTGCTGGGTGAAGCACATGGTTGTTGCGAGATCTCCGACTTGAGTGAGTTTGGTTTGGTCAGGTCCAACTAGCAGCGATCGAATAGCAGAGTGTGTCCCGTCGCATCCTACGACCACCGAGCCAGTATCATGCGATCCGTCTGCGAATGATACTTGGGCAGTTGCGCCATCGTCCGAGTAGGTAATGCCGATGAGCTCTTTGCCCCAGTGCACCGAGTCGTCCAGATCAGTCAGAAGTAACGCTCTCAATTTATCTCTCGACAAGCGATACAACTTCTCAGACTCCAGAATTTTGATCAAATCCCCAGTCGATCCATTCAATAACGGGACCTGATACCAAGATGGCAGTCCAGGATGATGAGGGTCGACTTGGGTGGTTGGTAGCAAGGCGAAGAGGTCTTCTGGCAACAGCTCTTGGAGTGCATCCATTCCCCAATGCACGGTGAAGGTCCAGTTTCTTCTTGTCTGGCGACTTTCATTCTTCTCGTAAATTGCAAAGGGTATGCCTTCCTTTTTCAGCCCTTGCGCAAGACTGAGGCCGGTGACGCCTGTGCCGATGATAATGACTTTGTTCGAATCTGCCATGTCGAGGTAGTGTCGTACGTTCTGTGTACAGCTCTGACGTCCTGGTGGTTGAGCGGTATATGTAGTGACACCTCAACATGCATAATCTCGCAGGCATTGGCCAAGCTTTGAGTTGTGCCAATTTGTACACTATCTCGCGCTTGTTCGGTGGGAGAATAAGTCCACACGAGCGAGGCTTCCAGCTGATGGGCGCTGTGGCTTGGTGGTTCTTTCAGCCATGGAGCGTCCGGACAGCTCGTACAGTCTCGAGACACAGTCAGCCTCACCATGTCGTTCAGTCTCTTGACCACAAGAGGTATGGTATTCCATTAAATCAAATGACTCATGCTTGGTCCTTGATGATGCTTCTCACACGCTTCCTCTCTTCTGCGTCAAGTTTCCATTGCACGCCTGTCTCCCGTTCAAGCTGTACGCCACTCAACTTTGAGATCTCTTCCCACTCGTCATCTTCCATATTCAGTATAAGGGTCATCTGCGCGCATCGAGCAAATGCATCTCGTAGTTCGTACTTTCCGCCTTTGACGGCCGCCGCGACGATGCCAGCGATATCACGCTCAAGTCTGATGGCGCCGAGCTCATTGACGCGCCCGTAATATGACCAGATTCGCTTTTCCAGTGTGCGAGCGAGATACCCAATCGTCGAAGTGATAAGTCTGTCGTAATTCGCGGGTGTCACGATACGCTTGATCGGTAGAGTGAAAGCCTGCCATCCTCTTTCAAATCGTTGAGCGACCAGATCTTCAGCAGGTGTGTCTTGATCCTCTCGCGCACCGTCTTCTGCGGTAGTGTTGTAATCAACATCTCGGAAAGTCTCATTTAGGACAGGTCGCAGACGGGGGCGCATGACTTGCTTCAGCATGACTTCTATCGCCTCGTTGATGAGTTCGGTGGTCTTGACTTCGAAGCCTGACTCCATGTTGTGAAGGGTCTTCTCGACGGAAGTCGCTTCATTGCCAAACGGGAACGAATCTGCAAGTGAAGAGTGTCCATTCGATTGCTGAGCGTTAGCAGGTTGTCCCAGGCTCGTGTTGACTATTCTCTTGACATAATCGGTCGCAACATCCAAGTTGTTGACCAGAACAAGAAATGCAATGATGAGACTTTCAGGTGGAAGAGCGCCTTGGATTGCGGCTTTCGGGTAGCTCTCATCTCGCATCTTTCGTTGAACCATGCCGAAGAAGTCAGATCCCAATACTCTGCCCACAGAAGGCACGACACTCGAGATGACTGTCCGCTGAGAGGTGGATAATGTGCGTTGGAGGACTTGATTGACAATGTACATGACGTCGTCGACGGCAGAGGTGATGAAGGGTGGGTTCGAGCCTAGCGATTTGTTTGGGTTCAGCGTCAAATCAGTCGGAAATTCGTCCAGCTGGAAGGCCTTCTCCACAGATCGTCTGAAAAAGAAGGTAGCCATCAGATTGAAAGGGTCGATCAGCAAGTCGGCGACCTTCTTCTGCAGCGTGCTGTGAACGATGAAGGCTGGAAGGTGCAGTTTGGAATCCGGATCCTCTGTCAGGGGTGTAGTTTTGCTGGCCAAGAAGCGCGAATAGAGTGACCAGCGACCCAGCATGACTGCACTCTCACTCAGCAAAGCATCAATCTCTTTCATATCCACGCTTTCATCCTCACTGACACGTCCAGAGCCTGGAGCAGGCGAGTCGCTGCGAGAAAAGGCAGACTTTTGCGATGGCAGGAAGCTCTGAACGAGGAAGTTGAAGGGATAACTCTTGACATCAGTCAACTTCCGGCTCACTCTTCTCTCATCGGCCCAGGTGTCCAGAATGAGACCTCCTTGAAGATCTGCCTCAACTTGAATCCTCTCAATGACTTTGATCATGCTGCCAGCGCCGTAGTGCCTTTCCACAAGCGGTTCGTGCCCGTCAACAATCTGGGCAATGTGCTCGAAAAGCTTGGTGAGAGTGTTGGCGTAGAACATGCCATCCTTTCGCTGAGTACCACTCATATTACTCCTGGCTCTGGCAGCGATCCCACTGCATACATATCGCCCGTATGCATCTAATCCAACGTCGCTCCTGCCAATGAGTGGGAAGAGCTTGAAGAAGCGGGTCACCTGAGCCCCATCACCCTCTTTAGCAGCCTTCTCAAATTCTCGCAAGAACAGTGCGCAAAGACTTTCAGCTGCGGAATCCAAAGTCTGCCGTGGCGGATCCGGTACTTCTGCAGTGGGCACAATCTCATCCGCGAAAGCACCATCAATGACAGTATCCGGGATTTGCGATGCTCGGTGCAGATAGTTTGCAGCGGTCTCCCAATCTTGAGGGGCTCCCATAGAGCCATGCACACCCAAGACACATGCCTTGAGCTCGGCGACCTGCTCCACCACATCCAGGGTAGATTTCACGGCCGCTTGCTCCTGGTCGAGTTTCTTCACCGCTCCAGAGATGCGGTGGGCGGTGGAAGCTGCAGACGAAAGCATGCCATTGCTAATGGCACGCGTAGACACGACCTGAGAGCCAAGCTGGGCACGCGCGAGATCGAGACGAGACAGCTGGCGAGAGACATCTTTCTGAGTCTGCAGCAAGGTGTCCAAGCGGGATGTTACTGCGGCTTCCCGCTGAGACAGCTCCTGCAAAGCGTGTTGGATATCCTGGGCAGAGGTGGCGTTGTATATGTCCGGTGCCGCCTCGTGGTAGCCATTCCCGTTCGACAGTGTGGCGGCCATGTTGGAGTTGATGGTCGGTGAATGGCGCTCACGTGAATTTCGGCGAGTTCGCGTGAGGTTGGCGGCGCTAGAAATAGAGTTGTGGCGATTGGCAGCCACGCGACGGGAAGGCACGATAGGGAGCGGAAGGAAAGATGGCGTAACGCTGTTTCACAACGGCAGCATTGTTTGAAACATAATATCGATTCGACGAATGGCGGCGAGTGACAACGACCTGATACATGCAGCAGCTGTCGCCTCAGTCGAAAGATCAGGAGTAGTCCTAGGCGAGGTTGGAGTGGGAGAGCAGAGCAGAGCATTGCGTCTTCCTCAGCCACCTTTCACGCGCTGACCCTGCGATCTGGAACGCCGGCGCCAGTCAACCCACACTCGCCTGCTGCCCACATCTTTCCCCCGTGCGACGGTACCACCATAAACGAATCCTGCCTGACCAGATCACTTTTGGCTCCACGACGTTGTTATCGTCAGTATTATCCTACCCGTCGAGTCGCTGCTTCCCGGAATACTGATCGCGACGTCATCATCGGACGAGCAACCCATAAGCGCCGCCGCCGCATAGCAACCGCAACCAGCGAGAGCCTCATCAGGAAAGCAGCATCTCGGGTCGCGCACGCCTCGAGGACGACCATCAAACTTCGGGAAAGAGCATCGGAAAGGCCACATACTCTGGCGATCAGGACATTTTCCACACATGTTGCGACCGGGCCCTCGCAGGCGATAACAGCATCTTTCCCCCTCCGCCCTCCCCTCCCCTCCCCCAGCAGCCCAGCGCCGCCATGGACGCTGCCGGCCATGCTCTCTACCACGCCAACTCCCTCTACGCGCGCATGGGCGCTTCCTCCGGCGACTCCAAATCTCGACCTGGATACTACAAGATCGTGGGGATTGTCTTGGCTGTCTGCTCGGGCCTCTTCATCGGCGTCTCCTTCGTCATCAAGAAGGTGGGATTGCTGAAGGCGAATGTCAAGTACAATGAAGAAGCTGGAGAAGGATATGGATACCTCAAGAATGCGTGGTGGTGGTTGGGCATGACGCTGATGATCATTGGGGAAGTCTGCAACTTTGTCGCATACGCTTTTACGGATGCCATTCTGGTCACTCCCCTGGGTGCTCTGGCTGTCGTCCTGACGGCTATCCTGAGTTGGGTCTTCTTGAAGGAGAGACTGAGCTTCGTCGGCTGGGTGGCCTGCTTCCTCTGCATCGTGGGCAGTGTGATTATCACTCTCAATGCACCCGAGCAGAGCGCCGTCGCCGACATCCAGGACATGCAGCACTATGTCATCACCCCCGGCTTCTTGAGCTATGCTGGAATCATCATCGTGGGGTGTGTCATCGTCGCCTGGTATGTGGGGCCACGATATGGCAAGAAGAGCATGATGGTGTACCTCACGATCTGCTCTTTGATTGGAGGTCTGAGTGTGGTTGCCACGCAAGGTCTGGGTGCGGCCATCATTGCGCAAATCAATGGCGAAGCGCAGTTCAACAAGTGGTTTACATATGTCTTGTTCGTCTTCGTTATTGGCACGCTGCTGACAGAAATCATCTATCTGAATGTAAGTAATGCTCACCCAACACTGACCCCAACACTAACATCCCCCTAGAAAGCACTCAACCTCTTCAACGCCGCCCTCGTCACACCCACCTACTACGTCTACTTCACCTCATCCACCATCGTCGCCTCCGCAGTCCTGTTTCAAGGGTTCCACGGCACCGCTACACAAATCGTCGATGTCATCATGGGCTTTCTGGTCATCTGCTCAGGGGTGGTACTACTGCAACTCGCCAAATCCGCCAAAGACGTCCCCGACTCCAAAGTTCTGGATGGCGAACTCGATCAAATTCGAACAGTTGCGGAAGTCGCAGAACCCGAGTACGAGCCTCGTGCGGATACAATTCGTGGAGGTGCAGGCATTGTCAGGGCGATGAGTCAGGTGCGGACGAAGCGGCAGGCTGAAGAAGCGAAGAGGATACACGAGGAGAGGATGGAGGCTATTGGGGAGGATGAGACTGTTGAATGGGATGGTCTGCGGAGGAGGAAGACTGTCTCGACGGAAGGGCCTGGGTCGCTGCGTAGGAGGAAGACCGTACACCCACCACTGGGCATGTCGCATTTCCCGGATCCTGACGAAGTCTCCGAACCTGATAGCGAGGTGCATCCAGGGTTCTTCGGCCGAATAGGAAGAAGCATGCGGTCATCGAAACACCAGCGAGGACACAGCCCTGTGCCAATGGACAGCGTGCCAGCTGACAAGGAGGAAGCATTGCACGTATACGGCCTCCCACCAGGTCTTCAAAAGTCCGACGCCCAATACGACGACACAGCATACCACTCCCCCGGCGGAGGACCATCAGGAAGCACCCACATCCACTGGGCCGGCCAAGATGTCGACCGCGAACGGGCAGACTCCCGAGGAAGCAGCCTCGCACCGCCCAGACCCCCACCCCACGGCGGCGCGCCCTCATCATCAGGAGCCAAACGCCAATTCTCCTTCCAAAACGTCTTCTCCCGGAATAAGAGCAACGCCAGCACCGACGACGGCCAGCGACCGATTAGTAGAGGCGCCCTGTCCTTCGCGAGCCGACGCAGCAGTCGCGATTATCCCACGGGAAACGCCACGACCGAAGAAGAGCGCCTCGGTCTGGTGCACGGCGACTCGCATAAGATCCTGCCGAAGTTCGACGAGGAAGCCGAAAGAGAGAGCAGTGACGAATGGCAAGTCACCAGCGGGTCCATGTCCAGCTCACCGGAGCAGCTGGGCGCGAGCGCGGATTTGGGGCAGAGAAGAAGGCGGGATCCGTACGATGAGGACGAGGATGATGGGTTGTATGACGAGCCGTTGAGGAGTCCTGCGAGGGAGGATAGTGGTGATCGGGGTGGCAAGGGAGGCCGTGCGTTTGTCTAGCGTTCAGCGTCGGGCGTCTCGGGGTTGTTTTTGGCTTGATCATGGAATGAAGGTGCATGGATGGGAGGGTATAGTCATTGATGAAGAAGTGAGTAGGAGGGACGTTCTGTACAAAAACCCGACACGACACGATCAGACGAAGTAGATGCACACATTCTAAAAACTGCATTCATACACCCTCTATTTCTCCCCAGTCCCCTCCCCATTCACCCCCTCCCCCTTCTCCTTCCCCAACACACTCTCCACCGCCATCCCAATCCAATTCCTCCACTCCACCGCCAAATGCCGTCTCTGCGCCTCCCTCACAACCTCCCCAACCCCCTCCGGCAAACACCCGCCCACCTTAACCTCAAACCCCCTCCCGTTCCCACCCACCTCCAACTCCCCCCCTTCCAAATCCCGAAACTGATGACAAGCATAACCCACCACAATCCTCGGATCCGCCTGCAACAGCCCCGCGGCCGCCATACTGATAGGATACTTCCCTTCCTCGCGAAGGAGTTTCGAAACGAAATCCGGCGGCTGCCCATCCGGGAAGAAATGCAGATCGAAAAGCGACACGTGGCTGTCGATCGTCTCGAGCACTTCGTGCCCGTTGATGTAGTGTTCCGGGTGGCCGGCCCACATGGTTTGGATGTCGGACATCGACTCCTTAAACCATGCGAGGAGTTCGGCCGAGGAGATTCCTTGGGCGCGGAGGGTCACGGAGATGGGGGCGTAGGGGATTTCGGAGGGGGTGGTGCTGGGGCTGGTGAAGGATTTCCAGTAGGTGTCTGCGGCGGCGATGTCTTCGGCGAGGAGGGTTTTTAGGGCGGCTTTGCCGAGGCGGGTTTTGAGGAGGGTGAGGGCGGTGCGGGCGGAGGCGAGTTCGTGGTCGTTTTGGGTGCCCGGGGTGGTGGGGCCGGAGAGGACGGTGACTTTTGGAGAGGCCATTATGGTGGAAGTTTTGGGTGGTGGATGGATTGGGGAATGTTGGACTTCACTTGCTTTCAGGGCGTGGCTTGTCGAGAATTGTTTGGCGAAGTTGATGCACTGGATGTGCTTCGATCTGGTTGCGATTGTTCGTAGCATTGTTGTTTGTTTCATGAGTCGTCCCTGTCAATTGATATATTGTCCTTTCAATCGTTATGTCCGTGTGGTGTGGCAGCCCTACATCGAGCTTTATTCCCGACGGCGTACGAGAAGCCCCCAGTGACAACGACACTCCTTCTCATGAAGACCACTTTCGTCCAAGGCCTGCGTTCGTGGTCCCAGGGCCGATAGAATTGCCCTCTTTGAAGATGGACACTCTGCGAGAAAGGTTTCCCTGTCACGAGGCATCCGCGTGGCAGCCATGAAGGATCAATTTGTGGATTTCGGGCACGAAATCTTCCGTTTCGATTCTCGGTCGCACACTGACAAAGTAATGTCGCTTTTCTCGATCGACTTCGAGCTCCAGGGACTTGTGGTATGAGAGCGTAACATTGTCGCTCATGAAACAGACCATCCAATGGTATGAGGCCAAGGATTTTCCTCAAGCGTCAACCACCGCGATGCGGCTGAAGGTTGCAAAGCATTTCCCCCACATGGAGCTTCTTGCCCTGGATCGCTAAAGGCAGGAGGAGAGACGCTTGCATTCTGACGCAGGACCTGTAGCCTTTCCTGTCGACAACTCGTCAGCTTTATCTCAAAAATGAGCCACATATGTGGTATACCAGCAGAAACCCTCTCTCGCTTGTGTTGGGAGGAGAGGCTTCGCATCCAACCTAAGCTCTATCAAGCTCTCAGCTGTAGACTTCACACGACTGCTCGCATTCTGGTGAGATTCATCAAATAACAAGAACAGTCCGCAACTTACCACTTCGCTCTTCATCTTCCAATCCACACCATTCAAGATGGCCCCTCCCGACCTCCTTGAACTCGACTCCCTCACAATAACAGCCATAATCGACAACGAACTCGACCCAATCTCCCCCTGCCCCAACCCCGCCGTCCAACAATCCGGAAACCTCAAAGACGTCGCCCTCAACGGCCGCAAACTCGCCAAAGATGAACGCGGCGGCGCTCTGGCGGAATTTCGAATGGACGAGATCTGCTGCTCAGCACACGGCTTATCCCTCCTCATCACCGGCATGCAAGGCGATCAGAAACACACAATCCTGTTCGATACCGGTCCGGAAGAGTCCGCGTGGGAACGCAATGCTCGGAGACTGAGAGCTGACATCGCGCCGATCGAGGTCATTCAGCTGAGCCATTGGCATCGAGATCATAGCGGTGGGATGCTGAAAGTGTTGGAGATGGTGAATGCTGCGAGGAGAGAGCAGAACTCGAATCTTCCGCCTGTGTCTGTTGACCTGCATCCGAAACGGCCCATGTACAGTGGGATGTGGCCTCCAGGTCTGCCCGGGCCGATGTCGATGGAGGCCGATCCAACTTTTGAGGAGATTGAGGCTTTGGGGGCGAAGGTGGCGAAGAGTGATCAGGCGCACACGATTTGCGAGGACATGTTTCTTGTCAGTGGCGAGATCCCGCGGGTGACGGAGTACGAGAAGGGTTTGAAGTTTGGTGTGAGGTATCATGGAGAAGAGAAGGGCTGGGAAGAGGACATGAAGATGCCGGATGAAAGATTGCTGATGTGCAAGTTGAAAGGTATTTTCCATTTTCATCGGCCAATATTGTCTGCTGACTGTGAGCTGCAGGCAAGGGGATCGTAGTGTTCACCGGCTGCTCGCACGCTGGTGTGGTCAACGCATCAAGACATGCAGTAGAGCTCGGAGGAGGTGCGCCGTTATATGCTGTGATGGGCGGCTTTCATCTTGCAGATGCCGATGCAGGGTACATTCAAAGCACCGTCAATGATCTGAAAGCGCTTGACACGCAGATAATGCTTGCTGGTCATTGCACGGGATGGCGAGCCAAGTTCAAGATCCAGGAAGAGATGCCAGGACGACTGGTCCCATCGTTTGTTGGATCTAAGTTTGAGCTGTAGTCACGACCCAAGGTAGCCGAGAACCAGTGTTGGACACTTCATAGCAGATGCATGTCTATCCCCAGAGATGCACAATCGTCCATGCTAATAGACTGCCTTTCGAGGTATTTGAGCTCAGGTATCAGACTGAGAGGAACTTGTAGAAGAAGAGCCGCTTTCAGACTCCCATTCAGAATCACTCTCACTGTCCGCGTTGGAGGTGCGGTGGCCAGGTATTTCTGCCACAAAGCCACCGTCGTAGACCAGGGTTTCCACTGGCGTTGGCTCTCCGTAGAGGTAAGGTGGGAAGTAATGGCTGCGCGGCTTGAAGAAAAATCGTAGATGGACTCCCATCGAACGGGTGGCTTTCGATGTGACTTCGATCAGGTTCTTGGTCTGGGATGGTAGAATGTTGCCGTCTGCATCGTAAGCCGTGGAACCGAATGAGATGTCTATGTTCTTCAGAGTAGATGGCACTGATGCTGATGGTGCTCGAAGGAAAGGAACAATTCCAATAGCGTGATCTTCCGCTGTGCTTCCAAGTTCTCTCCTAAACGGAGTCAAAGCCTTGAATTCGAGAGTCTTCAAAATTGGTGGAGAGCAGGATGTCATGAGCGCACGCTCGAAGTTAGGGCAGTGCCCGATTAATGACACCTTCGTGAGCTTGTTAAAGTCGGTGAATCCAGCATCAATGGGGGCGCTGCAAGCATCCCTGATTCGGGCTAGATGGCGATGTTGGAAGTACGTCTCTGTGGTGGTGTACGTGAAGGTCGTGAGAGTGCTGCTCTGTTGTTTCAGTGCGTCGACTGTGAGTTGAGGGTTGACGGTGAAGAGGTGGTTGGAGCCGGGATCGATGTCGTCCGCAAATTGAAGGATGTTGTGGCAATTTTCTCCTGAGCATGGTATAAGCGTGATGGGTTGCGAAGGGTGGGCATGCATCACTCACCAAGATACAAAACTTCCAAATCTTGTGGTACAGACAAGATACCGTGAAGTCCGCGGTGACTGACGTTGCATTCCTCCAATTCGAGATGTTTGAGTGTTTTGGACGACTTGTCTTTGGCGTCTTCGAGCACTCTATCCAAGATATTGACGCAAGAGACTTTGAGGAACTGTAAGTTGGGTAATAAGAAGATTGCTAGGCTTCCTGAATCCAAAGTCCAGTACGGGCTGTCAGGGCCGTTGCAATGAAGTGTGACTGCGAAGAGACTTGTCAGTAAATACGACGTCGCAGGCAAACCCATCCTACTCACGCCTCCTTAACTTCTGCAATGGCTTTCGTGCAAGATCGACTTCTTTCTCAAGCGCCACAGCATTCTGAAAGGGCTCGAATAGTTGGGTCGCCATCTCTCGCCACGTCTCGGCATCCTCAAACTCGCTCGTATTACATTGCGGGCTCTCGAAAATCAATTCCTTGAGGTTTCGTGCTCGATCTAGTAAATCCGCAATGGCTTCGAAGTCCTGCCTGTAGCGTGCATGGCAAGGGATTTCAAGATAGTGAATCCCCGCAGCACGTTCGGGTCGAGAATCGAGCGCGAGGCGGATGTCATTCGTCTCAGGTCCTGTTCTGACGAGAATTGAGCGGTATAGCGCCGGCTCTGCTAGATGTTGGACTCTGCGACATGTTCGTGCCAGTCGCCGTAAGGTGCGGATGTTGTCGACCTGCTCGATGATGTGTGCGATGAGCTCATTGGGGAGGTCGAGCAGAGGGAACTGGAACTGCGTGTTCCTCGCGGTGAACTTGTCGACGGCCTGCATGATTCGGAACTTGAGGCGCATGATCCGGTGGCGGTGATGTCGTGTATCTTGAGGAAGTAGTGTGTCTTTGGTGGTGGAAGGCGGCAATGTTTCCCTGTGACCGGTTAACTCGGCGGCATGTTTTAACCGGTCAATTACCCGAATAGCCGATGTTGTGGCCTCACTTCAACGCTCTCACATTGTCCCTCACAAACTCAACAGCCATATCTCGATTCATCCCAAAGAGTCATGGACGAAACACCACGAGCCTGTCTTCTCGGATTACCCGCTGAACTACGCCTGACGGTCTTCGAGTGGGCGCTTGCCGATTCGCATGTCAACCTCCGCCATCAAAGAAAGAGACCAACAGAAGACATCCGAAACCCCTGGGCATATCTCCAAATCAACAGTCAAATTCGACAAGAAGTCCTTCCAATATTCTACGAGACAGTGGCATTCAAGCTTCAGGATGGGATGACCGAACCGAAACTGCAATCTTGGCTTGAATTCATCGGGCCTGAAGCCACCGCGAGGATCAAGAAGGTGGAGTTCAACTGCAAAGGCAGATGTGCTATGTTTGGTCTGCAGCCGGAGTATGCTCTTGCTTCAAGCTCCTCTCCATTGAGGTCTTACATTCTATACATACTGACATCTCTTCTTCCAACTAGCACGGATTATTGCCACCGTGAAGTCTGTCTCGATCTCACGACCACCCGCCCTGCCAACGACGTGGAACTCTTGAACGCTGCTGTTGATAGCTTCAAAGAGGATCACCGCTCGTTGCTGTGCTCGAATGATGCAATCAGCTGTTGGGACGATACTTGGAAGAATGCTCGTAGACAAGTTGGGTTTTGGATGAGAACGAGTGATGGCACGATCGATGCGGCGCTTATCACTCAGCTTTTGTTGACTATGTTTCACGTTCTGGAGATTGATCATAGCACCTCTGCTGCATGAGGTATCAGCGTGCAAGGGAAGTTCTTTACCTCATCAATCATTGACGAATATCTCAGCCAAGGAAGCAGTAGCCTGCTATAGCACCATTTTGCGGGCATCTTTCTCGTCTTCCGGCAAACAGCTCAAGATGCCCTTCAACTTCTCCAGCACGGCTGCCTGCAACTCGGCATCAACGTCCACTTTATCGGTGTTGCCAACACTGATACTCGCAAAACAGCCTGCTGTATTCTTCACCACACTCCTCTCCACGGGCAACCGCTTGCTACCACAAGTCTCCACATCGTCTGGCGTGAACACCGGCACTGCGGGATATATCCTGCTGAAGACGAACTTGAAGCTTGATGTCGAATGACAGCGATCGTTGACGGCCGGGAAGTTAACGTTAACGAACACATCTTCAGGCAGGTATGGCTTGCCACTGGACGTCAATGTTTGTGTGACGTTGGCTGAGAGGTCGGCGTATATAGTCATGTACGGCTGCAACGGAGCGTTCCAGGCTGTCTGATGGCCCGTTGATCCCGAGAAAGCGATGGCAGGAACGCCTTCTTTGACAGCTTCGACTGCTGCGCCAACGGTGCCAGAGATGGAGGTGACTATGCCGAGGTTCGTACCGACATTGAAGCCTGCTACTGCAATATCTGGAGGGCCTTGGAAGAAGGTGGTAGAGAGATTCTGGATGCCGTAACGCATGGAGGTTACTGGGTAGGAGTTCACATACTATCGGTACCATATCAGTCTTGTGGCAATGAGAGATTGGTTTCAAAACTCACGTTAAACCGTGGCTCACTCTCACTCTTCCCATAAGGTGGACTTCCAGCAGGGCAGCTCGCAAACTCGCATCCATCCTCGCCAACTTCCTCGGGCTCTTCGTCGCTCGAGCCCGTTCCACTCTTGTTCTCTGCCGGAGCGGATATCAAGCCATTGAAGCCAGCTCTTGTAAGACAATTGTAGAGTTCTCGAATGTTGATCTCTGCCCAGCCGTCGTCGTTTGATATCACGATATTGATAGCTTGAGCCGCCACGGGCAGGACCAGGAAGGCGGAGAACTTCATTGTTGATGGAATGTTAAGGATGTTGGAAGGTCACTGGAACAGGTTTCGAGAAGTCGTCTCCATCTTCTCCCTGACGACCCAAGCATTTTGCTTCGTTGCTTCCGCCACCCAGGTGGTCAGTTGCGGTGCACGTGTGCGATTGATCGGCAGACTCGACTTCTCTATTGAGATTGAGCTCCGGCTCGGCACGGTCGCCTAGCGCTTGGAATCCTGGGATGGCTTCGTTCACTTCACTTCACCTTTCCCATCATTCAACCTTTCCCGTACTATATGCGACTCACCGGGCCGTCGAGCCTCTTCAGCTCTTTGCCTCGAGCAGGCAGCGGAGATATTCCTCATGCCCTCTCACAAGATGATTCTCAACTAGAGGTACATGGCTTCGACGATGGGGATTCAGATGGAAGTTGGCGCGTCTACTCGTGAGTTCGAAGACGACTGGTAGGATTGCGTTTGATCTGTGAAATGCGATTGAGAAGACCATTGGAGCCATTTGCTTGATATGTGTAGCTAGACCACTGCGAATCGAAACCCATCTTTCCGAAACTCGGCTATCTCGTTCCCATGTTCTCATCACCGCCGTAAGAGACTGTCAACCTCGCTTTCCAGCATTAGATAAGATCCCAGATTTCAGCGGATATGCATGCCAAAAATTGTCTCAGTCTTCAGCAAGAGACGCCTGGGAGAAATATTGTGGACCTACGCTATTTTAAGGGCCATGAAAGAGACGACCAAACAAGGATGATAGGACACATTCTGTACCGAGTTCTTGCGGCAATTGCGAGCGTAATGCATCATGGTCGAGGAGCGCTTGATACTCACTCGCGAGCTTAAAGCCGACTTGAATGCAGTATGTCAATGGTATGGGGAGTGTCGATACGCATTCCCTCATCCACGTTCAAGGACAACAAGCCCGGAAAGGTCTCGGAAAGGTCCAACTCGTTCATGTTGCCTTTGCTCTGGCTTGCTACCGCAGCACCTGCTGTGCCACACCGGGCAATTCGCTGCTGCGCTTGCTCTTACTTTCAACTTCATCGAGGCCCCCGACGTCGCTACTTCGCCATCAATAGTAGTTTTATGAACCGATCAAGCCACCGTGGTCGATTCCGCGATGTCTTTAGCGCCAGAAGTACCACGATCTACTACATCTTCAATAGGGCTAGAGGCTTCTCTGCAATTGCAATGCCGTCGTAGGACCACCTTCCAAATTTGCCTGCACAAGACACCGCGTCAGCTACGGCTACCTAAAATGGTGGCTGTTCAGCTCGCGCGACAAAATACTCATCGTCCGGAAATTGGCCCGCGACGACGCCGGCTGCTTACTGGCTTGCGTGGCAATGCTACCCTCGGTGTTCTGCTCAAAGTGGAACATCTATCCCCATTACTCCTAAGCCCTTTCAGCAGCTTGGAGTGCGATTAGCAAGGCAGTCCCTCACGAAAAGGCAGAGAGACGGCAGTTCGATACGTTCCACTTTGGGCGGACCGAGGAGGATAGAGGAAGTGATAGCTACCGATCTTCATAAGCTCCTTCCATGTCTCGTCTCCCGCAACTTCCTTGCTGAGCTTAGCGTCATCGTCGGCACGTCTGGTTCTTTCGGCTTCTTCCGAGTCGCGCAGTCGCACTTTCTAATTTCAAATTTGTGCGTGCTTCCTCTTCCTCCATCCGACGACGCCATCGCACCGACTTCGCTACGTCGCCATCGACATTGGTCTCATCAGGCGATCAACCAACCATGGCCAACTCAGCGATGACTCCAACGCCTCCAGTATCACACCCTTACAACACCCACACCAGCTCGATGAGCGCCCACAACACTCCGATGTCGTCCGAGGACCACGTCCCACAATTGCCGGCAGAAGCTACCTACAATGCCATCGAAGAGGCCAGGGATACCAACGATCCTACGCGGGGCACCAACAACGACCGAAACGTCACCTACATCAACAATCAAACAATGAGCGTCACTAGTGATGTGTCTACTGAATATCTGCACCCTCGCGTCCAATGTGAATTGGCCAAACTCCAAGCATTGATGCAAGATCTTCGGGACGAGAAGGCCGAACTCGTCTCATTGAAGGCCGAGCTCAGGAATGCATTGCTCAATATCCAGAGTCATCCACAATCAGGGCCTGCGCCTCCGCCCACAAATACCTACATCATTCCTGCGAGACGAACTCCCGCCGCGGGCTCTACAGTTGCGGCCCTCGGCCTCGTCAACAATGCCCCCACCACAACTCTCAGCAGCAATACTGCCAACAACGCTGATGCTACTGCCAGTGATGCCACCGCCAATGCGAACAACAATATCAACAATCCCGCTCCTACGAGACAGCCTCCAATGGCCTCAATTGCATCGGTCCTGGACGTGTTGTACATTCTGTGCCGTGCTCTCGATGACCAATTCAACAAGGTGAAGTCGTTATGCTTGGATGACCACAACAATATTCAGGCGGTCCACGAAGTTTTCGTCTCCTACTTGGAAAACGAAGATCTATACGTCGACACAGTGAGAGCAAGCTTGGATCGATTCGCTTCCGGAGGACTCGCCGAATACGCAAAAATGCGGCCAACAGCCGTCCCCTCACACCGGGCGACAACAACACAATCCCAGGGACAGCAGCAGCAGGGCGAGGAGGTAGGTGAGGATAGCGGCCAGCATTTGCGGCCGCCGTCATCTGTGTCGTACGGGCAGTAACGTACTGCATCGGCAACTGCGAGCATCGCGCTCGCCACAAACCCCCTGGCCTCTGCTGAGTGCAAGTTCCCTCAGTTCTCGTGCTGACATTTTCCGGAGTTCTGTCCTTGTGCAGTTCCTGCTGGTCGCGCCCTTGTGCAGGCCCTCTTGTCGCTCCCTTGTGCAGACACTCTTGGCCCTCGTGCAGCCCTCGCGCACGTTCTTCCTTGGACGCTGCCCTCGTGCTCGTTCTCCAAAAGATGCTGCCCTCGTGCACGTTCTCTACAAGATGCTGCCCTCGCGCGAATTCTTACTCGGACACTCCGCCCTTGCGCCAGTGCTCCTTCGGCTCGCCCTCGCACAGTCACCTCTGCCTCTGCCACGCATTGCAAGGTAGGTCCAATGTTAACTGTACAGGAATCAATTGCAAAGACTTGCAAAACACTTCACTCCTTTCCTTCTTCATCTCTACCGAACACTACAACCAGAAAAACATCCCTCGCGCCCCCGCCTTCCTCCTCACCGCCCAATCACACTCCTCCTCAACCCCATCCACTCCCCCCAAACCCCCTCCACCTTCTCCCGCCCCTGCAATCCCCTCCACCACCTCCCCCAACTCGGAAACCTCTCCTCCCACTTCACATCAGGTACCCGAAACGCAACGATGAAATACGGCAACCACATCAAGTCTACATACGTCATCGCCTCCCCGGCGAGGTACGTTGTCTTCGAGAGCTGTTTGTCCATCACACCCACGATCCGCAAGATTTCGTTTTCGTAGCGGCTGATGACGGAGGGGAGTTTCTCCGGGTGGTAGTTGATGAAGAAGGAGTATTGGCCGAAGTAGGGGCCTTGGCCTATGCGAATATAAATCAGATCGGTGGGGAAGGCGAGGAGGGAGGTGGACTTCGGGGAGGGGACATATCTGTCGAACTTACCGGACATCTGAAAGTCTCGCCATGAGCGAGCGGTCCACTTCGTCGTCTCATCTTTCGGAAGGAGTTTATGCTCCTTATCGTAGGTCTCGAGGACGTAGTCGATACACGCACCACTCTACCACCCCCAACAATCAGCCAACACAACCCATATCCACAACCCACATCCCATCTCCCTCCTGCTATTGGAAACTCACCTCCCAAACCACCCTCCCCCCAAAATTCGGATCCTCCACCGTCGGCACCCGGCCATTCGGATTCAGGGATTCATAGGCTTCTTCTTTCATCTCCGCCAATTCGAGGAACTTATGCTCGTACGGCACGTTTAGTTCGGAGAGGATGAGGGCGACTTTCCAGGAGTTGGGGCCGGTTTTGTGGCCCCAGAGAGTGAGAGGTTTGAGAGGGGAGGACATTGTGAGGTGGATGTTTGGAGTTTAAGGAAAGTGTATTGGGTGTGTTTTATGTTGGAAGGGGAGGGAAGAGGGTGGTTTATATGTGTTGTGGCCTCAGGCATACATATCTCGGTTTGGGCTATGGGTTTCGGAGCTTACAAATGTTTCTTGAAGGGGAGATGCAGCTAGCATCCTGCGGATTCGGTAGGGCTGAGGGTTTGTCTTTGGATCGACTTGAAGCCGTATGGATCGACGTATCTTTGACACATTGTATCGGATGGGAATTGTTGAACATCTCTCCTGCTCCGCCGTTTCGAATTCTTCATCTGGAGTGAACGACTACGTGTCTGCGCCGCAACCTTCACCTCTTTCGAACCAAGTGTCCGTGGACTCCACGTACAGCTTTTCAATTCCTCACGACCTCTCCCTTCCTCCCTTTAGATCTTCTTCCCAACAACACAACCAAACCCCCCACCACTCACAAACTCCTCCCAAAACCCAGGATCCTTTCGCACACACTCACACCCCCTCGGGTCCACCTCTTCCAACCCCTCAAACCCCACCTCCCTCGCCAACTTCCTCGCCTGCTCCAAATCCATATTCGCCTCCAAATTCGTCGCCACAGCCGTAAACGCCTCCTCCCCAAACCCTGCCGTAAACTTGTACCTCACCGCATCGGGCACGTCTTCGAGAGAGTGCAGTTTGACGCCGTACTTCCCCGATCCGAGACCTCCTGGCCGTTTGCGGGGGTCGCTGGAGCGGATGGTGATGATTTTCCCTCCGTTGGGGCGGCAGTAATGGGCGACGTTGCGCCACATTGTTTCGAGTTCCGGGAGGGTGGTGGCATGGTCGAAGGTCCATATCATGAGGACGATGTCGTAGGTTCCATTGCCATCTCTCCCAGGTAAGGTAATCTGCTCCTCGAGCGGTTTGCTCACGTCGCCGACGTAACATTGCACTTTTTCTCCTGGCTTCCGTCCGGCGGCTTCTTCCAGCTTCTCGCATCCTGCTAGCATTGCTGGGGAGATGTCGACATTGTCGACTCGCGCGGCGCCTGCTTTGATGGCGTTGCGGGCGTGGAGACCGGTGCCGCCGCCTAAGTCGAGGATCACTTGGCTGGTGCAGTCACCCAAGGCTTGGAGGACGAGTTCATGGGAGATGCGGGAGTGAGGGAGGGATTCGATGTGGTTGTATTTGGTGGCGATGTCGTCGTAGTCTTGTTGGTCTTGGCCCGTCATGGTGAAATGTGAAGTTGTTGAGAATGGGCGTATGTAGTGATATGCTGTGCAGCTGTTGTTGATAGCCGATGGCGATGAGGTATTCCTGAAGTTCGTTGTTCAAGTGCTTGTCCCCGGAAAGAACGATCGGGATTGTTTCTGATGCACAAGTCGGACTGCTCGACGAAATGTGCGATACATGCAAAGTCCTGTTGCGCTGTCAGTCGTTCAAAGTGAAGGTACACTGCACGCGGTAAGTTCACGCGATGATATCACCCAGCTTCTGCGGTTCCTCCAAGCTGTCCGCGGACCATACCCACAAGCTCACCACGTCGGTCATTGATCTTTGAAGCTGTATCACGTCGATGAAGATGGTCTGTCGTTAAGCGTACATGAAGGTCCTAAATCGTCCGTCCGCCGATGCGAATGCCATTCCCCAAACACCTTCCCAAATGCTGCACTCCTCAAATGCTTATCAATCGTTCTTGGGACTGGGTTTCCCGCTACTCTCACCATTCTTGCGTGCTGGATAGCTCGGTATTGGCACGGGATCCACCTCTTTCATCTTCTGCGCGGTGTTGTCTTCTGACTCGTCGCTGAGCTTGCCATGCCCGCCATCCACTTCAGTCACCTCAGAATCATCCTCAAAGTTTATTCGAGCCTCCTCATCCTCTTCCTGTCCAGCGACTTGCTCATACCCTTTGCCCTCGCCCTTCTTCTTGTCCATGATGAAGTTGTCGATGACCCAGTATTGGATGGCGTTCATGGCGAGTGGGAAGACGAAGAGGGCGAAAGTCACTTGCAGCGCTTCGTTGCCTTCGGTCCATCGCAACGCCCAATCACCGATCCATGGCAGCCAAGGCATAGCCAGGAACAGGAAGAAGACGAATAGTTTCATGAACACCAAGCCGATGCAGTAGATGAGCAATTGTTTGAGGTACCATGTCCCCTTGGCTGGAGATCCGTAGTTGCCTGATTTGATGGACTCTGGCGGGTTGGCGAGAGGGGTGCGGAGGAAGAGGTGGTAGAGGATCTTGAGGAGGAACCAGAGAACGGGAACTCCGATGGTTGTCTATATCAAAGTCAGCACGTCGAGCGGCGAATGTGTGGCATTTTAAAACTTACATCAATGCCCAAGTTAAGCAGGTAGAAGGAGCACGGATTCGGCGATCGCCCGCTGCTGTCATCTGAGCTGCCATTAGAAGCGACATGAGCGGCGGCGTTGGCCATATCGACGCTGCCCAACATGCTCATGGCCAAGTTGATGACATGGGTAAGCATGGAGCCGAAGACCTGCTTGCTGACATCGTAGAAGAAGATCTTCCATGGTCGCTTGGGCACCTCTCTCCATCGTTTCCAGACAAGTGTTAGCAGAGCCAGCGCACCCAAAGCACCCTGCACAAGAAGCGCGAATGGCCCCAAAAGATGACATTGCGCTCGCTGTGGAGGACCATCGGTTGGTGCGTCGTCTGAAGTGGTAGGCTCTGCATCTAAGCCCTCCTTGTCCTGAATCGCATCCTCCACATCCCCATCATCCAGAAGCTGGTCTTCAATGTCCTCAATGTCCTCATCACCAAGCGGTATTGGCGGTGCCGTTGCTATTGAAAGAGCGCCATCCTGCGTCTCTGAAGGCCCAGGAGGCGAATCTGACAGCTCAACAATATCTATGAGCTTGGTTTCGAAAATCAAGGTCGCCTTGGGAGGGATAGGGCCAGCGCCGTAGTCGCCATAGCCCAGTTCTGGTGGGATGGTCAACTTCCTTGACTGCCCAATACACATGCCCATCAATCCCTCATCCCATCCCTTGATAACCTCGTGCCCATCGAGCGTGAACTCGAATGGCTTGCCACGCTTGTAGCTCTCGTCGAACTCCGATCCATCTGACTGGAGTGTGCCCTTGTAATGAACGGCAATCTTGTCGTGCGATCTCGTCGGACGGTCGCATACCACCGGTCCACTGGTATGTTCGATGATCAGGCCATCGGGCAGTTTCTCGACCTTCTGGGCGGAGGTGATGGCGGAGGATACGAGGACGAGGAGGGAGGTCGGTAAAGCGTTGAAGGAGCGCATCGCGTTGGCGAAGGCGTAGGTGGAGGAATCGTTATTGTCGACTCATGCGCGATGATGCAGGTTCGATAGCGCCGTTGCGGAGGCGTTGTTGAGGTAGCCGTGGAATGTAGGCGCCGGGGATCTCAGCTGAGGCGAGGCGATGAGTGCTGTCGTTCCTCCTTTGTGCGTAATAAGCGAGCGAACAACAACAGTACCACCGTCCACACCAGCCAGTATACGTCGAAGGAGGTAGGAAGAAGAGAAGAAGGCGGCGATGATGTTTGGTGGTCATCAGGCGTCACGATTCACCCGGTCCACGCTACCGAACGCATGCCCAGGCGCGCCAACTCCGCCTTCGACAACGGCCGCTAGCAAGAATGTGGCGGTGCCTCAGAGCTGACGTTATTGTCCTCCAAACGATTGCTACTTTAGTGGGAGCTGACAGGGACTGCTCATCCATTGGCACCACAACGAAATACAGTCAGATTGCTCTGTTGAGCGTGGTTCAACACTGGAACGCGTGGAGCCCGAATTGACGGCCTTTCAATCAAATACGAGCGCCACACCCAACCCGAAATTTGACCTCCTTCGACAGCAACACGTGCTCTGCAGTCAACGACAACTGGATCCAAGGCCGTATCACTACCAGGACCGCAATATTTCAGAGTCAGACACAACATCATCGGGCCTCGCTCTTCGTTCCATCAACTCTCCGCCGCCCTCTGAATCGCCTCCGCCGTCTCCTTGGGCATACTCCAAAACGGACTGTGCGAAGCATCCAGCGTCTCTGTCCTCACTCCATACCCCTTGGCCGTCTGTTCCACCATCATCTTCTGCACCACGATCGGGATGGCATTGTCCTTCAAGCAATAGATGTACGTGCTCGGCACATGCTTCCACCCAGCATACGTAAGGCGACTGTGGGCAGTCTGGTAGCTGTGCGGCTTGAGCATCGCCGTCGCTGACTTGGCGTCTTCTTCGCTCATGTCGTTGTAGAAGACCGTCTCGGGTCCGTTGGGGAAGTATTGCATCTTGTCGTCGGAGATGATAAACCAGGGGAGATCGTTGCCACCGAAAGCACCGATGAGCGATTCGCCTTCTGGGATCACAAAAGAGCAGCAATAGACAAGGTGGACAATTCCTCCTGGCTGGCCTCTTGTTTGACGAGTCTTCAAGTCCAAGCCTTCGACTGACTGCGTCGTGGGAAGTCCGCCGTACGAATGGCACACCAGCACGACCTTTTGACCAGCGTCACCAGCGGCGATCACATGGCGTCGGACTTCCTCGACATCAGGTTCGAAGCCTTTGAGGTGCTCTGGCGGACCGACGGAGGGTAAGTCGACAAGGTCTGTGTTGAATCCAGCCTGTTCGAGATGTTTTGCTACTTTATCCCAGCAGGATGCAGGATGCCATGCGCCAGGCACGAAGATGATGGTGGTGTTGGACGCCATTGTTCAAGATGCCCATCTTCGAGGATGGGCGTCCTATACCGTACTCTTATATGTTCAGAGCTCGCCAAAGCTTCATGTGTTACCTTATCGGGAAGAGCTCAGTACCGGTCCGAGGCACGGGATATCTTGAGTAGTACAAGAAGGTGTTCGGGTAGCTCGTGTGGTTACTACCGTCTGAAAGAACCAGCGAGACCTTTCAAGAAGGACTATATCGTCGACAGCGCGACAAGATACCCCATCAGGCATCTCATCGGAACCAGACTGACGCAACAAACATGCCTGGATTACCTCGCTGTCCATCCCAACCACCAGCGACGAGGTATCGGCAGCATGCTTTCTTCGAAACGGGGTTGCCTTCGCCGATGGGAATCATCTGAAGGTCCTGTTCAATGCAAGAATGCAACGCATAGAGCTATATGAATGAAATGGTTTTCGCAAGGTTGATGAAGCCGTTCAGGACAGACCGCAGTATGGCTGGACTGAGCCGCAGATCACGGCTGTGCTGTTGAGGGAGCTTTCGTGAGCTACATGGAGGAACTCGCTCTCTGAAGTGTTGGATGATTGTGCGGTGACTACAATGTTATCTGACTGATTAAATCGAAATAGGGCAAAGAAAGAGCTACGCAGGACGCCTCAATCCGCAAGACGGTGGCTTGGTAGCAAGAGATAACGATCGTGGAGAGCAAGAAGTCTGCATTCGTTTCGTCAGTGACATTGTCATGATCCATGTCTCCTCGACAAAAGTGCCATTATTGTCACAAACGTGGCTATCTTAAAGATTATACTTGACTGCCTCAGGCGTCCAACGGAGCTGAAGGAGCCGAGGAGGATTCAACGGCCATGTGGGGCTCCTCTACGCAACCGCATCCTGTCATCACTCTTTCTAGACCACCTTCCTGCTGACGCTTCGCGCGGGTCTCGCATAGGAGCGAGATGACAAAAGAGGGACAACTGAAGGATTTTGGGTTGCGTATAATCTTAACGTCAACGTTTCATCCAGACGGAATCGCGGCCGCCGAACAATTGAAAAGGACCTCCATATCTATAGCACTCAGTACGAGGCATCCTCTGCCTGAGGGCACAGCAACCATGAAGAAAGACGAAGAGCCAAACGAAGAACAAGACGCAAAGCAGTCAGCGGATCCCAAGGAAAAGTCCAAACGCGAACCCAAACCCGACACCACCGCCATCGCCGCCGAACTCGAAAACCTCGTCACCGTCGCTTTCGCCGCCATAAACGACCGCAACTGGCCCTACCTCCTTTCTCCAGAATCCCACATTGCGCCCTTCGTCTCCATGGGCGCGTCCGGCATGCGCCCTTCGGCCAACTCGCACGCCAAAATGATCGCCGACTTCCAGGCCCTCGTTGAAGACTATCCGGACTATCGCCTGCATATCGTCAGCATGTCGACGCAGGTGTACGAGAATGTGAGTGCTGCGGAGGTTTTTGCGAATTGTGAGGTCACTGGGGGACCGGGAGTGCCGGTGGGAATGAGCCGCAAGACAGTGAGTTGTTTTGAGTTCCAGCGGATTGATGGCGTCTGGATGGCTGTGCGAGATACGACTATTCCTGGGGGTGGGGAGGATCGAGGTGGGTTTGGTGGGGAGATGGATATGGGGATGGGATGAGTGTGAAACGAAGTCTGGATTTCTGGCCGATATTACAGCCTTGGACGACTGGAATCCTTTTTGCTCATACTCTTCGGGTCTCGTGCCGGCTTTCGAGCATACCATTCCTTGACCCACCATCTCCAGTCGTCACTGACCATGGCTTTCTCGCGGGTATCGAGATTGTACCAGGCTCCAGCTTCTGCAGATGCCTCCTCTCGCCAAGTATCAAGTTGTGACTCCAGCCAACTGGCAGCAGTCTCGGCGACCTTGGCTGGTTGTTCGAGAGCGGCGAAATGCCCTGCCCCATCGAGTATCGACTCGGCGACCTTTCCAACCTTTGCACCACCACTACCACCAACCTCGATGCCTGTTATCTCCAGCTTCTCGACTCGCCCAGCAGGCTTTGAGCCGAACAATGTCGACTGCTTGCCATATATGTACAGACAAGGAGGTCTCAGAAACGGGATCTGCCTGAACAGCTTCACCGCATCTCCTCGATAGGCCGGCTGCTGATGTCTTGTATGTTGGTCCTTGTCTATTTCTGGATGCGATGACCTCGTCGGTCGGAAATTATCCAACGGCTCACCTGCCGGTGGATGGCAATCTCGAACAAAAGCCCGAACGTCGTGGTGTTTCGTCGTCGAGAATGTCACCCGTCTAGATTCGTCTCTGGCTCTCTGAGGATGCAGCAATGTGGGAAGCTCTCGAAAGCCAAACTCATCCCACCGGTCGATTACTCTTGGATCCCAAGTTTTCACCAGGCCGCTTTTTCGATTCTCGGCGACGGCGATTTCTCTCGAAGGCCAGACGTCTTTTCGCTCAGTGAGCCAATATGCCGGACTGAAGTTCATACCCTTGTGGTCTCTGTTGAGCACTGGTTCGACGCAGATGACAGCATCCAGGAGCCTCGGATGGTACAATGCGAGTTGGATGATGTTGTTGGCGCCCATGCTGTGTCCCAAGCCGACAATTGGCTTGGGCATCTCTTCGCGGAAGATGTTGGTCATTTGTAAAAGATCACGAGCATGGTCCTCCCATGTTACTGCGCCTTGTTAGCAGATCTGAGGAAGCACATCGAAACTTGCTACGACTCACAATCGATCCCCAATCGACCTTCGTTGAGGACGCCACTCTGCCCATGGGTGCAGATATCCGCTATCCATATCGACCGAATCCGAAAGCTTCCTTGCGACTGCTCGTACAGATCATCGAAGAGAGGCTCATATCTAATCAGACTGGTCAACGAAACGACCTCTCTGTTTCCAAACCTCCTATGGCAAGCTCACAGTTCTTTGCAAAATCCCGCTGCATGTGCGGCGATGATCGTCACGTCCCCTGATTGAGGCTTCGAATTGGCCCTTGGTATGTACTGTTTGACTGCGAGTTGAAGCTCCTCTTCTTCACTGTTCGCCGTCGATTTGAAGTATCCTCGGATGTGCTGCGCTGGGACGATGTGCTGCTTGATATGGAAGTGCTTGGTCGACATGGTCGTTTGGAAGTGAGAAAATACCAGAGGCAAGATTCAAAAACAACGTTGGACGAGATGTTGTTGTCGTCAACCGATCTTTGACCTCTCAACGATTGTGGATTTACCTAAAGGAGAGTGAAATGTGGGTCGCTCGATACGCCTCCCAATCTCTATTTTCTGGACCATGACGACAAGTACTGTTACGTGTACCTCCTTCGACGGCGGCCCTGACCTCATCAAGGACATTTTTGAGATGCGAACACAGCAGAAATATCGCCGAACTTCGCATGGCATGGCGTCGGCACTAGCTGCAGACACGATACGATTTCCGGACAGTGCTCACCTATCCCAAGACTTCTGTTTGCAAGTACCCGAGTTTCTATGCCCCTTTGAGGGAATGCTCTCAAACTCAGCCGCGACTCTCAGCCTTACCAAGCAGACGGAGCGGTCGATTGACAGGGGCCACTTTCCTTTCGGACTGCCTGATCAAGCTGAGTCGCATTCCTATCGTCGGATTGACCTGTGGATGGCCGGCAACTCGTCAAGCTTTGGACTTGAAGGAGAGTTCTGACATTGCGCAAGCCCGGCAATGGTGGACGAGGGCTCTGGGATTTCTTGAGGAGAAGTCGGAAGCGACATCCCACTCTCTCACATCTTCATGATCGAATGGCGACGACATGAACGACCTCACGCAGGCGCCGGCTCGCCCAGCACCGCCCGGGTGCGGGAGAAGATTGCTGTCACATCTCATCGATGAGAGGGCAGCTTCTGGGCATCAACGACCTTTCGCTTCCATACCAAACACCAAGAATGCGGCGGACGGATACCGAGATATCTCGTACGGTGTCTTTGCCAATGCGATCAATCGACTGGCACAATGGCTTCTCGACAACTTGGGGAGTCCGGCCACGCCCCTCGAGCCGATTGTGTATATTGCCGTGGCGGATTTGAGATATCACATCCTGTCGATGGCTGCGGTCAAGGCTGGATATATCGTGGGTCTTGTCATGATCAAGTGGAGGATTTCTGCTGATCACGATAGGTCTTCCTACCCTCACCACGGAACAGCCAGGAAGCTTTCACGTCTTTGATGGCGGAATGCGGTGCCCAGAAGCTACTCATCGAGGAGAGGCCGTCACCTGCTGTGGCGCTTATCGAGAAGACCCGTACAATGCAGAAGTTCGCGATCCCTTCGTTGGAGACGTTGCTTGATCCGACGCCTGTGCCTCAGATCACTTTGAATGTGGCATGGGAAGAGTACCGCTTCAAGCCATTCTTACAGATCCATAGCTCGGGATCAACTGGCATCCCGAAACTAAGTACGTGGCTATGATGAGAACTTCTTGTCGAGAGGCTGACAGTCCGTCTACAGTAACTTTGAAACATGGCAGCTTCACGGGTCTAGACGCCTACCAGATGCTTGACACTAACGAGGCTTTCGGTCGACTTGGTGATCAACGACTACTCGTATCTTTCCCTCCGTTCCACATGGCTGGACTAATCTACGGCCTTGCCTTCCCTTGCTGGTGCGATAGCACTGTCGTCCTCCCGCCTGCTGCTCCCTTAACAGCTAACGTTGTCAACGAAATTCATCTCCAAGCAAGCGTCGACTACTCGGCCCTGGCTCCTTCTGTGGTGACAGACCTTGCTAAGAACCCTCAGTATCTTCAGAATCTGTCTAAGCTCAAGGGGTTAGGCTTCGCAGGTGGTCCACTTTCCGAAGCTACTGGCCAACTCATCGTTCCTCACACTATTCTCCACGCCGGTATTGGTGCTTCAGAATGGATGTGCTCTCCCTTACTACCGAAAACACCCGACGAATGGCCATACTTCCGCTTCAACGAGCGACAGGGAGGCTATGAGTTCCGCGAAAGAGGAGAGGGGCTCTACGAGATGTGCATCGTGCGCCAACCAGAATGGGAGCTCGCTCAGCCTGTCTTTGTGAACTTTCCTGACACAGACGAGTTTTGTTCGAAAGACTTGTTCTCGAAACATCCGACTAAGCCCGGGCTGTGGAAGTATGTGTCTCGCCTGGATGATGTGATTGTGTTTAGCAATGGGGAAAAGCTCAACCCAGTGACGTTCGAGGGTCTGGTCACGACTTCGCCTGATGTGAAAGGCTGTCTGGTTGTAGGGCAAGGTCGCTTCCAGGCAGCGCTCCTTGTTGAGCCTGCTGACCACGATGAGGCCGAGATCCTGGACAAGATATGGCCGCTTGTGGAGAAGGCGAATGGACCGACGGTCAAACATGGTCGGATAGCGAAAGACTATATCTTCTTCACGACACCTGGGAAGCCGTTACCTCGAGCTGGAAAGGGCACGGTACAAAGAGCTGCGGCTAATAAGCTGTACGCTTCTGAGATTGATGCACTATATCACAGCTTGCAGGATGGCCGACAGCGGAAGACGATTCGTCAAGAGAAAGAGGGCATCCTTCTGAGTAGTTTTGAGGAGGCGAAGAGCTCCATCTCGAGTTACCTTTGCAAGGAGTTGGACATCGCCAAAGTCGGCGATCACGAGGACTTCTTCGCGTATGGTCTGGATTCCCTGCAACTTATTAACCTGGTCCGAGCGATTAACACGTCTAGAGAAGTGCCGATTGACACGAAGCTCGTCTATGACAACGCCACAGTCAGCAAATTGACAGCTGCACTGTTGGAGAGGAATGTAGAGAGATATGACTTTAACAACGACTCCGACGACGAAGAACTCAAGGAGTCTTGGCTGGCCATGGACGAGATGTACGACGAATTGACCACACAGATGGGCTGCTCAGAAAAGAAGAAGAAGAGATTCTCTCGAAGACCGAAAAATCGCACCGTCAAACCGGTCGTTCAGCCAGACGGCGGCACGATCGCCTGGCTCCAAGTCCTGAGCATGTTTCTCGTCAACGTGAACAACTGGGGTCTCGTGAACTCGTTCGGTGTCTTCCAGGCGTCCTACCAGGAGAACTACCTCTCCGCATACTCCGCCTCGTCGATTGCCTGGATAGGGACGATTCAGGGCGCCCTACTCCTAATCGTGGGCGTCGTATCAGGCCCACTATTCGACAGGGGATACTTCAAAACGACATTGACTATTGGGAGCATCGGACTGGTCTTCGCACTGATGATGCTGTCGCTTTCGAGGGAGTATTACCAAATCATGCTCACGCAGGGTGTGCTGCTGGGGATCTGTGAGGGGTTGCTGTATATTCCTAGTGTGGCGCTTGTGCCTGTTTGGTTTAAGAAGAATAGGGGGTTGGCGATGGGGTTGAGTACGGGTGGGGGGTCTATTGGGGGTGTTATATGTGAGTGTACGCGAATGATTTCTGAGGATAGTGGCTGATATGCGTGTGCTAGATCCTGCTGTGTTCTATCGGCTATTACAGGAAGGTGAGCAAATACACTTCTGCAAGGAGACTTGGGATGCTGACAATTTACAGTCGGGTTTGCATGGGCTGTCAGAATCATGGGTTTCATCGCCCTGGCCACTCTCGGATGCGCAGTCCTTCTCAGCAAGCCCCTGAGCCCACGAAGCCCCAGACAGCTCGTGGATCTATCCAGCTTCCGCGACATCTCATACCTCGCATTCATAGCCTCAGCATTCCGTAAGTACCACAACTCCACTCTCCAAGAGACTCCCAGCTAACAACGAACAGTGCTCCTCGCAGGAATGTTCGTCCCCTTCTTCCTCGCCACAACCTACAGCACCTCCTCCCTGCACACCTCCACCTCCACAGGCTTCTACATAATCTCCATCCTCAACGCCGCCCAATTCCTCGGACGAATCCTGCCCGCCTGGGCAAGCGACTACAAGCACTCGCACTCCGGCCCGGAAGCCTGGCAATTCGCCGGCGAGCTCGGCCTCGGCATCATGGGCTTCTGCTGGGCGGGCGTCAACAACCTAGGCGGCTACATCCCCTGGCTGATCCTCTACGGCTTCTTCAGCGGCTTCGCGTTGACGCTCCCGGCGATTGTGTTGCCGTATATCTGTCCCAATCTCGCGGTCTATGGGACGAGGATTGGGATGTTGTATGCTTTTGCTGGGGTTGGGTTTTTGATTTCGACGCCGGTGGCGAGTGCGGCGAATACGGCTACGGGAGGGTTTCTTGGGGGTCAGATGTGGACGGAGGCGACTTGTGTGGTTGCTAGTTTGTTGTTTCTTGTTACGGCTTGGGAGGCGAGGAGGAGGAGATTGCTTTATGAGATGGGGAAGAGGGATAGGAGGTTGAGACGGGGTAGGACGAGGGTGATGAGGTTTGGAGATGCTGAGAAAGCTTGAGCAACGGTTCGAGATTGACCATCGCCCGTAGACCTCGCGTCTGTCGTGTTGAATACCGCGTACTCATCAACAACAGAGACCTAATCAGTCCTGTCCCTTCCGCGACCATTCGTTTTGTCATGTCCTGCCAATAATCTACGCCATGCAGCTTGCCTACCTGCGAACTCAGCCGCAAGATAGCCTTGCGAATTTGGGAAGCCGAGAAGGATCCTAATCCTTCCACTATTTTCAAGCCGCATGTTGATGCAAGACAAATACTAGCGGGCCTAGGGCTGTGACCATGAGGACATTGTTGCCGCTGGGGCCGGGTACAGTCGTCTTGAACAGTCCTCAACAGGACAATCTGCTTAGCTATTCGAAATCCTACAATCCAACATGAGATCCTGGCTTCCGCGATCTAAGAAGGACAATGAGTTTCTGTCTTCGGATGGAAGCTCTGTCGAGCAGAAAGCGTCGACAGTTCTCTTGACGGGATCTACGGGCAACTTTGGCAGCTACCTGCTTGATCACCTCCTCAACCAGGCATGGGTCGATAATGTCGTCTGTCTGAATCGTTCTGCCAATGCTCGTGGCAGGCAATTCGACTCGCACAGGGAACGTGGCCTTGGTATCGACCTCGAAAATGTCTCCTTCTACCAAGCGGACTTCAGCGATCATCGCTTGGGTTTGAGAGATGAAGACTACCGCCATCTCTCCTCGACAGTGGATCTAGTCATACACAATGCCTGGCCGGTCGACTTCAACCGCAACTTTCGATCTTTCAAGTCTTCCGTCGACGGCGTTCAACACTTCATCGACTTTTGCAAGTCCCACAAAGGACGCCTGATCAGGCTCCTGTTCGTCTCCTCGATAGGAGCCACTTCAAACTGGGGATCAGCCGCGCCGACACCTCGCTCTAAAATTCCTGAGGTCGAGCTCACAGATTGGAAAGTCGCCAGGACGGGTTATGGGCAGTCGAAGCTGGTGGCGGAGCGTCTTCTAAGCCATGCCGCTAGGGAAATCGGTCTGCCAGTTTCAGTTGTCCGAGTTGGGCAGCTCGGTGGTCCTGTGCTGCATGGAGACGATCATGGGAAGTGGACGGAGAAGGAGTGGTTGCCGAGTCTCATCCGCAGCTCGATTACTCTTAAGGCGCTTCCGCAGAATCTTGGTCCTGTTGAGGATATCGACTGGGTACCTGTTGACGTCGCGGCTGTGGCTTTGACTGAGCTGGCTTTCAATCTGGTGCACATTGCTCGACCCTTGAAGACTGGTGCGAGTTTCTTCCATCTGGTCAATCCGCAATGCACTCAATGGTCAAAGCTGGTACCCTCAATGACCTCGATGGTGAGCCAAGACGTCAAACTCGTCACCTTCGTGGAATGGGTGAGCATCCTGAAGGAAAGCGTCACCGCTGCTGGCGGTTTCCAAGGCGTGGATGAAGGTGTCAATCCTGCTGCGAAATTAATCGACTTCTTCGATAACCTCCAGGACCGAGCAATCCGGTTTCCGAAGGCAAAGTCGACGTTGCTTGAGACGAGAGAGACGGTTAAGGTCTGCAAGACGCTTGCCGACCTAGAGGCTGTGGGTCCAGAATGGATAGCGTTGTGGATGAGGCAGTGGAGGTGGTCGGGTTGAAGTAGTTGCCCAGAGAATATGATCCCTTGAGATGGATCAAATCTCTTCGTCTCAGTCCTCTGGCCTCGAGAAAACGTAAAGCTTCGTTGTAATCGGTGGGCTCTCTCCGCAAAGACTTTCCAAGGCTGCCGTCTCCTTCATGTATTCTTTCATGTCTCAAAATCCACTTGATATGTCACATCCTTCCTAATCATCATCTTGCGGCTTCCAGTGCTCTTGACACTCATTGCATCGGAGATGTTCGTGATCCCATCTTCGGTGGGCGGCGGCCGACTTCTACCCCCGTCGATATCGTAGCTGTATCGATGATCGTCGCCCTGGTGTATGCAGGTTTCAATCTGGTCATTGTCTGACTTCAAAGTGTTGTTCGTGTCTGTCGAAGTCCCGGACACTAGCGTTGATTTGAGGCTTTCCATTCGGATCGAGCTGTTGGGATGCCTTGGTGATGTGCGGTACTTGCTTTCGCTCATGTTTCGACCGCCAGCGCCGCCGTAGTTCGTTACCAGGCTTAAGAGGAACTTGTGTGCAATGGGAATCGTCGCGGCGATAATCGAGAGGTTCATCTCGGCTTGCGTCCAGCAGACAAAGACTGCTTCGTGAAGCGTAGGATCGGTAAAGAAGCCAGCCTTGTCGAAGCTCGAGAGACGGGCGGCGATGACCGCGATTAGTATCCTTTGGCATATGTTAGCGTTCTTGCACCCGGTCAACAATTCTTGAGATTACCTACGCCAGACGAAGCCCAAAGGAGGAAATTATGACAGCTTTCTTGCTACTTGGCATCTTGATCCTCCATGTGAGCGTCCAGGCGGCGAGAGCGAATATAGTCAGCTCGAAGGTTGCACCAATCGCTTCTGCAGCTTCCCAAGTCGTGAACTGCTCAAAGTCATAGACTGTCAGTCAATCAATCTGTCTGGTCAAGCGAGCGACGCACCCATGCTGAACCACAATGCCGGCCCAAAGCCCAAGGCTGGGCAACACCACATTGCAGAGCCACCACCAAGAGGACAGCAACCATCCAAGCAGCTTCTGCTGCAAACAATGCTGTCAGTATTCGTACATGGATCCTCACGGGTGTAAGCCGTCGTAGAAATAGGACCATGGCAACACGCGAGCAGCCGAGACAGAGGACGTAGACCATGTTGCTAGCATAGTACAACTTTCGGACCAGTGTCAGTGAAGGTACCAGAGCGAGGATACTGTGATATGGATACCTTCTCAGCTCGTTCTTTGCTCGCACCAGATGTAGTCACTTCAGATCTTCCCAAGCCGTCTGAAGCTGCTGCAAGTACGAGTGACGATTGGATGAATGAGAGCAACTGTACCACATGACGTTAATGGCCCCCTCTATTCATGGGAGACAGGGCAGAGAGACCAACCGTCGACACTCCCAGAGTCCCGTCGTCCAGACCCCAGGCCGACCTGGTACCACATCTGATGAATGCCCGGATACCAGTTGCCAGGAGTGTCATTGAAAGTCCCAAGGCCGCGGTGATGAATATCCATGCTCGATGGTCGGACTCTGTAATGACAGCAAGTGGAGGAGTCTGTCCAGGAGGTACAACAGGTGGATACACATACGAAGCCATGTTGAAGAGGCCACGGTCTGGCCAGAGGAGGAAGGAAGGTGTATGTGGAGAGGACGACGGCCCGTCAAGTACATAGCCGCCGTAGTCCTCCCACCAGCGCTCCTGGGCTCACTTCATGATCCTCTTGGTCAGCCTTCGGCGAGGGAATTTGTGTGTAGTAGGGGTGACCGGACTGCGACAGAGCCGCGACGCTTAACGAAGCCTGTGCTGGCTGATTTGCATTGCAGTCAAACCCCTCGGAGCAGCCAATCAAGTGCAAGACGGTCGTGTCTGAAGCAGACTGGCGGCACAGTCCGGTGCATGATCAATCAACTTAGCTGTCTGCGTGGGATGAGATGTCGATACTTGCTCTGCAGGTTCCCGGATAAGATTCCCTGCCATACCCGATCCAAGCAAGACCGTCGCTTCCCACGGCTTGGGCCGAAGCATAGATAGATTCAAAGATGGTCGATCCAATCGAAATTCACGCAGGACTGTATAGACTTCTGGAAGGATGCGTTTATGATGTCTCTGGCGTCAGGGTCCCCGGGAGGGAAAGGGACCGTCAGGCTAGCCTCGAGCTTCTTTTGACGTCGATTCAAGGAACTCCGCGACCACGACCACGTACGCCACCCCACTGCAGGTAGGTGATTATGCAGTGCTGCTGTGCCGCACAGGCTCTTCTGTTTCCCAGCTGGGTAGCGAGTCCGAGAGGTGAACGTGGAGTTGGGCCAAAACTCTACTCAAACTCTTCACCTCACATCATCTGGTGAAAGAAGACTGTTCGCTATTCTATCGCTGCCCGAGCCAGCAGTAAAGCCATGGAGAAAGAAGAAGACTTCTGGACCATTGACGAAGCACTAAAAAGTCCGAGCAGTGATGGCGATGACAGGTTGTTTGCGCCATGTGTTCCCGAGAAGTACAGAGGCACGGCGGCGGACAGACATGACATGCAGGTCCTTGGTCGAGAGCAGGTGCTGAGGAGGAATTTCAAGTCGATCACCATCATGGGCTTCGCGAGCATGGTAGGACCGACGACAGTGAGGGCGAAGCGACTACAGCTCTAACTTCGTGTTCCTCAGGTCATGGTGGCATGGGAGGCTCTGCTGGTAGTCGTTCAATATCCCCTTATAGGTAAAGGCTGCCCGCTGTTCGGAAGTGAGAACAACCCTGACGAGATGTGCTCCCAGATGGCGGCTCTCCGTGCCTGTTCTGGGGTTTGATCATAGCACCCATCGGTCTGACATTCGTATACGCCAGTATTGCTGAGCTTGCTTCGATGTAAGTCAGACGGCCATCCTTCGTGCAACCGATTGACGATCGAGGCTGACTAGGTGTTGAACAGGAGCCCAACGGCTGGCGGCCAGTATCATTTCGTGAGCGAGTACGCTCCACCAAAGTATCAGAAAGTGCTCAGCTACATCACCGGTCAGCTCTCTCACAGAATAGAGCCCGTCTATCCTGTACTGATACTCACAGGCTGGCTCATCGCTCTGGGATGGCAAACATGGTTGGCAGGCACGAGCTTCATGGCGGTATGACGGTTGTTGAATCCGTGCCAGACTTCATACTGATGACAGTCCAGGCTACCGCAATGCAAGGCTTGATCTCCCTCAATATGCCCAGCTATACCTGGGATGGCTGGCGAGGGACGCTCCTCGTCATTGGAATCATCGTGTTCTCCGTTCTCTTCAATACAGTCCTTGCCGCAAGATTACCGTTCATCGAGGGGATCCTTCTAATCCTCCACGTCGCTGGACTGTTTGCCATCATCATTCCGCTCTGGGTCATGGCGCCAATCGGAAACGCAAGAACCGTGCTTCTCGAATTCGAAGACAATGGCAACTGGGGCAACACTGGTTTGTCGACGCTGATCGGTCTTCCGACGATGATTGCTATGCTTTATGTAAGCTCTGCTGCCGATGAACGCTTGGGGCATTGACTGACTTCTCTCAGGGCTACGACTGTGTCGTTCATATGTAAGTGATCATTTCCTTCGATAGCATGAGACACGGAGCTAAGACTGGTCGTTTATTTCAGGTCTGAGGAGGTAAGCTCACCTTTCCAAGGTGTCGAACATCGAATTCCTTGTTGACCGTGCTTGGCATAGGTCAAAGATGCTTCCAAAGTCATTCCGCCTGCCATCCTAGGCGGCATGTGGACCAACGCTGTGCTGATGCTGGTTGTCGGCGTCACCTTCATCTTCACAATGGGCGACACTGAAGCCCTCCTGGAATCGCCGATCGGGGTCCCTTTCATCCAGAGCTTTCTCAATGCAACGGGAAGCTATGCAGCTACGAACGTTGTTACTGTCTTCATCATCGTGACGTTGATCTCGGCTTGTGTGAGCGAAGTCGCGACAGCTTCTCGTCAGATCTGGTCGTTTGCTCGTGATAATGGTATGCATCTCTTACCAGATACCTCCGGGTTTGGGTTGCTGACTGTGCTGCTCTGTAGGACTGCCGTTCTCCAGCTGGCTGGCGAAGGTAGCGCCTGGATGGAACGTCCCTGTCAATGCCGTGTTGGTCTCTATTGGTTTCACGGCTTTGATATCGTTGGTGAGTCCTCGAGCAACAAACTGCTTCGTTGATTGAGTATCTGTGTGCTAAAATTGTATCAGATCAACATCGGTTCGACAGTCGCGATGAACGCGGTAAACTCATTGGCACAAGTTGCCATACTTGCCTCGTACATCATTACGATCGGCTGCTTGATTTGGCGCCGCCTTTACGGAGAACCGTTGCCACCCAGCCGATGGAGCCTGGGCAGATGGGGTCTTCCCGTCAACATCATCTCGCTCGTCTTCATGATCCCAGTGCTGTCGTTTGCGACGTGGCCGCTGGAGCAGCCAGTGACTCCTCAAAACATGTAAGTGGTGATGGAATCCTTTCGATGTTGTTGTGATGCTGACTTTTGGCGAAGGAATTGGTCCAGCGTCATGTTTGTTGGGGTTCTAGCTCTCGCTGCGGTCTTTTACGTGGTAAAAGCAAGGCATGTGTATGTTGGGCCGGTCGTTTTGATCAAGCGAAATTGAGTTATGTAGTTGCAAGCGGTGCGAATAGCCTTCCTTGTACACCCTCGTGCGTGCCGGCCGCACCTTTCAACACTTTCCAGCGGCTCGGGCTTCTTTAACTCGAGCTTCTTTCACTTCCTTCTTCTCCCTGGGAGGACCAGTCAGTAACTTCAATGCCCGCTCGATGCCCATCTGCTCCTCTTCACTGTCTTGTGTGTTTGTCGGCCGCAGGTCATGCGACTGAATGTCGTCGGACTGAGACTTGCACGGCGATGTAGAGCAAGTATGGCTATGCGGTACCTTCGCGGCCTCCCACGGGTGGTGTTTTAAGCAGCCCTCTGGGAAGTCTTCCTCGCAGTGGGTGAAGAAGTTGCAGCGCTTGTGGACAACTGGCTCAGGGAGGCGAGTTGAGGGCGTTGAAGCGATAGGGTCGTGCGATGGATGACCGCACGAGGCGTTATGGGTGCTGCCACCACTGTCAAACTTCGTGGCCCAGTGGAGGACCAAGACGCAGAACAGGACTGCAAGAGAGACATTAGTCTACGACAGGATGCGGATTGGGGGGCGTACTGTCTGCGTTGCAAAGCATGAGACACATCCATCCAGGCTCGCCGCTAACGGCCATGAGGACTGTTAGATTCACCACACTTGAGACGAGAGTCGCACAGCTGCCAACGAATGTTCGAAAAGCGAGGACCCTCATCTTGCCATTGCCGTGTTGAAAGGAGTACATCTCTGTGGGTACGGTAAGTGATGGCATCGTAGACATAGTTATTTGGATAAACTTACTGCGTAATGGCACGATGAACAACGTGTTCAAGTAGAGATTGACCACAGCATCAAAAATGATGAGTGGCATCATCGCCCGCTTCTCCATCCCAATGATACATTTTCCGTCCACGTCGATGTATGCAATGCGCCTGAAATCGATCAGCGATGCCCTTTTTCTGGATGTAATAATACTCACCAAACAAAATTTAAAACGACCATGATTCCATATGGTAGCAGCATCCCGAAGCAATTGAATAGATAGAGTTTAGATTCTCGACGACGCTGGAGACATCCTCGAACGACCCACTATCATGAAATTAGCAGATTGTTGAATGATTGCGCGGCATGGTACTCGCCGCTTTCTCGACGAGGAAGGTATAAATGAGCACTTTCGTGCTCATATAGCAGACCAGGCCTAGGCAATATATCAGTTATTTGACTAGTGTGAATGTTTGTCAGACTCACAAAGCAGAATGCCTCCATCGCAGATTCCTGCCGTCTTATTGAGACCAATGTCTTTCAACAGAGCCGTGACAAAGATGAATAGGAACGAGTCGACGTATATTATGAGTAAGAGCCAGGCAGATACCGGTAACGTCGTCCACTTATGCACTCGCTCGAGACCTGAATGAATCATGGAAAGTCAGCACATCAACATAGTGCAGAACTGCTGGATGAACTCACGGCGAGTAAGACACGCCCCAAGCACTGGAAGAGTGACGAGATTCAGCGACATCTAGATAGCCGTTAGACATCGCATGTAGCCCAACGGCCTCAATATAGCCATACGGATACAATCTGTGCGGCGAGCGGTATCTGAGCCGGCGTAATCGGTCCATGGCCATCAGGTAGCCTTTCCAAAGAGGCTCCTCGACAAGACCAGCCCTGGCGATTCGGTGCCCATGTTCGCAATCCACATAGTGCAGCTCAAAAGCCGGTGTTTGCGATGGAGCTAGAGGCTCGTCAAAAGGTATGGGGAAAATCGAAGGCCATCTCATTCTTCAACTCGGCTCATCAAAGTGCACGCCTTGGTGGTGGGACGTCACACATTTCGGGTCGCCAGGCATATTCCAGACACACTCGAAGCCAAATTGGCGAACCCACCAATACTTCCCCAGCGCAACGTACTCTGAGTTCTTCTCGAACGACAACCCTGGATAGGAATGGTTGCAGTTGCCCTTGCGTGAAGACATCACACAAGGTATAATAAGGTTCAATGTCGACACTTCTTTGAACCTTCCCGAGAAACTGGTATCCTGAGTCAAGGAGATTGGCGCAGATGTTGGTTCATCGCCAGTGCGCACGTGCGGAGCGGAGAGGATCGGGCGGCGGCAAACCGATGAAACCAGCACAGCGTTTTCCCCTTTTGGCCTTCATGCAGCGCCGCGATGTTGGGGAGAAAATCCTCGGTCGGGCACAAGCAAACCATGTTCGCGGACGGGCAAAGCTGGGAAATGCTCAAACCTGTGACGAGCTTTACTTCCGGCGTCCGAGAAATATCCGACATGTCACATATGGTGTTGATCACTGGTGGCCCGTAGTTCTCGGCAAGTGAATCATGTCGACGGTGGAAATCAGATTTGCTGAATCGTATCTGACCCGTACGACTAGGATTAGAATGACCCAAAGTGCAAGATATGAGCGCCAGGCGGAAGTGCGCTAAGGGATGAAAGAGTTGCTTTGAAATCGGTAGGCAAGTTTCCAACAATACCCAGCTCTATACGTCCTCGAGTATGAAGGACAGTTGCATGTTTCATCTCTCTTCTTAAGATGCTCAATGCGAGGTGTTGCGAGTTGAATGTCTGGAACCATCGTTTCCGCGTGGTCGAAAGCCACCAAGTGTGCAGCTTGAATTACTGAGACAGCTTGCGAGCAATGGAGGTGTGTTGCACCTTGCGCGAGACAACTCAGTAAAAGTTTTCTTGAGGTGCTCCTTGTCGAGAGATTCCGGAGATTGCTGTTGAACATGGTGGAGATGTTTTCATGTGCTAGGCGTCATCTTCGTCGGCTGATTTGCAGTCGAGGGAAGTGTATTTGTTCCTGGCCTGAGGGAACAATGGTAGGATCAAAGGCTAGGAGATCCTCAACATTACGTTGAGACCTTTCTTTATCCCGTCGTAAATGTTCCGTGGATTGGTGAATGGAGTATTGATTCAGCAATCAGAGATTGCGATTTCCATGGAGGCTCCATATTCTTCTCCCAATCTTGAACCGTTTGCTCGTCAAGGCCGCACCTATATTGTGCTGTGAAGTCCAAGGCTGTTTTACGACATTCGCTGGAAGTCACACAACATGCAGACCTGCACCTTTTGCGCCAATGATCGCCCGAGGAACACAGTGCTATCCCTGCGCTGCAACGGCAACTGCAACTGCTGCCAGGAGTGTCTTCAGGCCATGTTCGCTCTGGCAGTCAAAGATGAGGATGGCTATCCCCCAAAATGTTGTTCAGAGCCAATTCCTTTCAATCGTGCGAGTCGCTACCTCTCCGCCAGTCTTGTCAGAGATTTCGCCGCCAGAAAACTCGAGTTGTCAACCAGGAACAAGGTTTACTGCTACGTCGCCAGATGTAGCAACTTTATCGCCCCCTACAGCATCCACAACGGGAACGCGTACTGCCAGAAGTGCTTGGCTGTGACGTGCGCTAGGTGCAAGGAGAGGGAACACTTCGGACCGTGTACATCAAGGCCATTGATGGAAATTAGGCAGCTGGCACAGGAACACGGATGGAAGATTTGCCAGAAGTGTGACCGCGTAGTGGAGAAGGATGGCGGATGCAATCACGTCACGTATGTGACGCCATGGAGAGCTGCTGCCGCTGGATGTCGGCTAACATTTCTGTAGTTGTCGATGCGGTGCAAATTTTTGCTACGAGTGCGGAGCAGTCTGGCATACTTGCAACTGCGTGGCTGCAGAATATGATGACGAACAAGATGGCGAGGAAGGCGAGCCGGACGATGACGAAGACTTAGACGGTATGTTTGAGGACGAGATATGATGGGAACAGCAGAGGAACGAACCTGGTCAGCAACAAAGACGTGAGGATAGTCCGATGCTGGAAGAGGCAGTCGAAGAAGAATAACGACCTAGTCGTCTGCACTCGGTATTGCTAGAATCGGACCAGGTCAGCAGGTTACAGCAGTGTCCCCGTATCTCCAAGACCTACTGAAGGCCACATGGCACACTGTGTGCCTTGGAAGGTGGAAGTGCTCCGTAGAAAGAGACAAGATATGAGAGGATTTTTTAAAGGTGCATGTGAAAGGAGAAGAAGAACAGGTGAAGTCTGATCAAGGGCGAGTGAAGTGGGTCCGCCGGGGTGCGGGCCGAGAAGCCGATCGCCGACGAGCTTCACCTTTCTCGCGATAAATGAAAAGTTTCTATAAACACGCAATGAACGTCCGATATGCATCACTTGCACGCGTCTTCACTCACTCCCAGCCCATCTGTCGTACTCCACGAGCCTGTATTGTCGCCAAATGGCTGCGACGTCGCGGACTCTCAACGGCACCTTCGGCGCAGCCAGAAGCGGTTCCGTTGCGGAAACACCTAAAAGAGGAGGCCAAGAAGAAGAAGGCGCAGAATAAGAGCAATGGCAAGGTGCAGGAGCATTCAGAGCCGTCGAAATGGGAGCTTACGGTGGGCATCGAAATCCATGCGGAGTTGAATACGGCGTGCAAGCTCTTCTCCAGCGCTCCCGCTTCTGTGGAAGATGGCGAGGACGCTGCGAACAGCAGAGTTGCTCTGTTCGACGCCGCATTGCCAGGAACACAGCCTCAATTTCAGCGGGCTACTCTACTTCCCGCTCTGAGAGCCGCGATCGCGCTTGGATGTGAGGTTCAGGGAAAGAGTGGTTGGGACAGGAAGCACTACTTTCACTGGGATCAACCTAACGGATACCAGATCACGCAGTACTACGGTAGGTAGCAAGTGACAACTGAGTTTCGCGCAGATATTGATTGATACCGTAGATCCGTTTGCAAAGTGCGGAACCCTCGCTTTGACGGCAGAGGACGGAGTGCCATCCTCAGATCTCAATGGCGCCGAAAGCCTCAATATTGGGATCAAACAGATTCAAATGGAACAAGATACTGCGAAAACGACCTCACATCCTCCTTCGTCCTACCATATCGATCTCAACCGAGCCGGGCACCCTCTGATCGAGATCATTACACTTCCTCACATTCACTCACCACAGACTGCTGCAGCGGTAGTTCGGAAGGTTCAAGCTGTTCTGAAGAGCGTGGATGCATGTGTGACGGGTATGGAGCTGGGTGGTCTGAGGGCAGATGTCAACGTGTCGATCCGCGAACGAGGGACAAGCGGGCTGTCTTCGTACAGTGGCGTGAGTGGACTTGGGCAGAGGACCGAGATCAAGAACTTGTCTTCGTTCAAGGCTGTGGAGGATGCAATAGTGGCAGAGCGGGATCGTCAGATATCTGTACTGGAATCCGGAGGCGCCATTGAAGGAGAGACCAGAGGATGGACGCTCGGTGCAACAGAGACTACGAGGCTGCGAGGGAAAGAAGGGGAAGTGGACTACAGGTACATGCCAGATGCTGATTTGCCGCCACTCTTCATCGGGAAAGATCTGGTAGAGCACTTGAGGACGACGCTGCCTGAGCTACCGAACGAGACTGTGGAACGAGTGCAGAGGCAATATGGTCTCAGTTTGAAGGATGCAAAGACAATCGTGAGTCTCGACGATGGGGATCGTTTGGAGTTCATGGAAGAGACTGTCGAGGTTCTGAAAGGAGGACTGTCAGGCTCGGATCAGATCAAGCTGGGCAAAACCGTTGGCAACTGGGTATTGCACGAACTCGGTGGTCTCATCAGTGATGAATCTCGATCGTGGGATGAGATGCCTGTCACAACTCAAGAGCTGGCCGATCTTATCAGAAACTTGCAACAGAAGCAGATCACTGCACGTGTGGCCAAACACCTGCTCGCAATCCTACACGATACTTCATCTTCAATCAAGCGACCGTCTGTGGAGCAGCTGACCGTCGATGGAAACCTCCGTCTGCGACCACTGTCAGAAGACGAGTACGAAGCGCTGGCCAAGGAGATCATGGACGAGAATCCAGAGATGGTGGCCGCCGTGAAGGATAAAGGCCAGAAGGGTAAGGCGATGTGGTTTGTTGGACAGATGGTTAGACGAGGAGAAGAGGGAACGGTGGAGCCCGAAAAGGCGAAGCAGGTCGTCGAGCAGCTGCTATCTGGACCCGGCATTGTCTGAGATGCATCTGGGCAGCGTGGAATCGTGAAAGATCATACCACTTCCCAGTCTTCCACGAACATTTGCCTTCCCGAAGCCACTCGAAGGGGACGGCCCGATTGCCTCAGCATGGTCTCAACGCTCGCAACCAGGGAGCAATCTGTCCCTGGGAGACCCATGATGGATACCGCCACCGGGAGCACTTCCTCGGCACCAGTCTTCTTCGACATGTATGGAATTTGGCCGACTGCATTTCATCAGCACTTGTCTCGTTTCGAGAAATGAGGGCACAAGGCTTACTAGGCACTGTAACCTCTGGAGAACCAAGCACTGGGGACAGCCACAACTGATCCCAAGCCTCCTGGACGGTCGGCAGTCCACATACTTGGTCATCTCTGTAGTTTGGCTCAGCATCCATGATCGGCAGCACAACAATTGGATTCTCTCCACAAAGGAGTCGGCTCAACAACCAAGTTTTATATATTTCAAGCCGGCGGCCAGCATGGTGTCGCTGCTGCGCTGTAATGCGACTTCCCATATCCCATCGGTAAGCTGTCATTCTATTCACTGGCGGCGAAGCATGGTGTTTGTCAAAGTAGTTCTGACGGAACTGATCGGTGGAGTGATAGAAGTCGAAAAAGAAGGCGTGAGGTCCTACGTCCTGGAGGAACTCGTGGAGGCTCTGGCCTCCTGCTTCCGCTGGGGGATTAGAGTCCCACAAGGCCTGCAGAGAGATCCTATGTACATCAATCTTGGTGCATTCATGGAGGTCGTCGACAAGTGTGTCAAGAATGGCTCGTTGATGGCGACTGCGAATCGCATCAATGTACTCCAGCGGCAGGATTATTGAGCTCGGATGCTGGATCAATGTCAGCTTCGGTCCTGGGATAGCACCGTGTCGATGGAAACTCACCTGTCTACATTCCTCAAGGCTATCGAGGCCCCAATGCTTGACGAAGAAGCTTAGATCGGAAATGTCACGAGCGAACACGGCCGGAGTATCGAACAAGCTGATAGTGACATCAGCACCTCATCGCGCCCACCTGGCAATATCTTACGGGAAGCAAGGCGCCATGCCTTCCGATGGGAGTTTCCCCTTGGAGATCCGAATTGCAAAGCAACCATTTACCATCGCTGGGCGTCGGCAGCTGCCGGTTGCTAACCAAGTTCAGTCAAGCGGGAAATCACATGCAAAAGCGATATGACTTACAGTCTGTGCCTATCGCATAATCCAGCCATTCATATGCAGCGACTGCAGCCGCACTGCCGCTGCTACTTCCTGCGGGGGACTGGTAATTGTCTCCTCGAGGATTGAAAGGAGCTGAGTAGTCCATGCATTCGCTGGGCTCTTCCCAAGAGATCATTGAGCTCAGCTTGGTGGTGCCAACCAGTTCGGCACCTTGGTCGATCAACATCTGAATTGCCGGAGCAGTCTCCGGCGCTGGGCTTGACATGTCATAGTAAGCCCGATCACAAAGAGTGGTTCGGATGCCATGTATGTCGAACACGTCTTTGACCAACACACGCTTGCCAGCGAAGGGCTTTGAAGACTGAGATTTGACCAGGTCTGGGATCCGGCTAGGTACTGCAGCGTAGAACGACTGGACATTTCGGCCTGTAAGTTGGAGTTGCTTGTGTTGTCTTTCGCCAGTCAGTCTCAATCAATCGCAGCAGGCAAGTCCTACCTTTCTCCAGCCGGTCTCAGGAGGTAATGCACGAGACAGGACTGTTTGTCTTCATAAAGGCGAAACACAGGCTGCAGACGTCGATTTGCCCAGAGATACGCACCGCCGGGTATGGCAACATCAGCCATATCACCAGAGTCTCGCTTCCGATGGGAATCATCGTTGACTTCCACCACGTGGTACTGCAAACCAAGTCTATGGATGTGCTGTTCTAGACTTTTCGGAAGCTCGATGGATCCTTCAGCACTGCCGCAAAAAAGCAAGATGTTGCGGAACTCTGGCTCGCTAACATCGTCCTCATGAACAAGAGAGTCGAACAAGTGGATGAACGTGTCCTTCGTCCACGGGCTTGCTGGGTCTGTAGGAATCGCCGTTATGAATTGCTGGTCTCCAATCAAAGGAACTCGTTCGTACTGTGCAATCTCAGCTCGCGCGCCAGCGGTGCCAACACATACGCATAGTTACCCGAATGCCTGGTAAGGCTGCGTACTCTACCTCACCTAATTCGAAACGAACTGGTGCGTCTTGCTGGAAAGTAGGCAACCGCTTCGAAAGTGAGTTTTGTTGCGTTGCACTCAATGCATGGGAGCCCATCGTTCTGCAAAGCTTGAAGCCATTGGTTGCAGGGGAGGCGACGTACATGAGTTATGCATGTGTTCTGCCGAGCTGAGGCTTTCGTTTTGCCTCCAGCCGTCTATTTCCGGGCTAACAGATGGTTGCATCGCTCCCTGACTGGTCGTGTGAGCCGAGCTCATCCATATGAAGCGCCCGTGCCGCGGCCAAGGTGGAAAGTCCAGACTGGTCACCAGTTCGAGATGCATGGATCGCAAGGCAGTCAATCGTGGAGTTTCTCAGCCCTCGACGTATTGTTCAATCGCCTCGGGACGTGGGTGCTTGTACCCGCTTGCTATCGTCGGCTTTGCGGAGCTACCTGCATGTGAAGCTCGAGGCTCAACGTCACTCACCTGCCCTCGACGTTGGAGCCGTCCTGTTGCTTCGTCGCAATGCGGTTCTTCTGTCGCTTCGGCAAGCCAGAGAGGGCTCGTTTCTTCCCGACTCGATGATCTGAAATCTTTCGCGCAGTCTCCAGCAGCCTCTTGGCTCTCAAAGAGTCTCAGAGAGGGCAAACCACCGGCTCGCCATCTCATGAAAGGCTCGTCCACGCGAAGCTGCCGTGCGTTGCCTGCTGCGATGTCTCAGATAGGAGACACCAAGGCACTGCGTTGTTCAGCTACTCTCCGTAGTGCTAGCAGCTTTGGACGGGATCATCCAGCTCCACACTATGCCAGACTCTTCCCTTGTCCAGGGCGCTGGCTCGACCCTCGAACACGATCGATCCCGCACAGTGACAGCGCCGATAGGGTTCTTGAAAAAGAGTCCCATCTTCGAGCATGAAGAGCCATACGCTTTCCGCTATCAAGCGGACAACCTCCCAGACCGGCGAACGAACATGGAGACCGAATATATGAATGTAGAGATTTGTGACATTCGCGGACAAGAAGAGCGAGCAGATTTGGAGACTTGCGGATTTCAGATCAGGAAGCTGCGGTCGGCAATGACCTACGAGCAATTCGGCAACCCAGCCTGTGTAGAAGAGGTCTATCTTCGAGACCTGAGGCAATTGCTCCTTAAAGAGTTCGGTGCTGCTGTGGTGCATTTCGAAAGAACACGGGTAAAGGAACAACGCAGACAAACGGCCGAGGCCTCTCCCACGACGGCTGACGTGCGTCCAGATACGTCGCAGACACCCAGATTTCCCAAAGTCCACTGGTACAGTATACGATCACCATCAACCATCCACAGCAGCTCACGTCGGTGCGTAGTCGTCGCCCCGCCATGCTTTCACAGATGCGCTGACCGTGTACCAGACTTCACCAACCAGAGTGCCGAAGCAACGCGCGACGAGTCCATGGCTGGAGAGGGTTCGAATGGCCGCCCATTTCGTGTCGTAAAGTATGCAGCACGGCGCAAGTGTGGCAGCAGCGAAAAACGCTAACGTAGGAGTAGTATTTGGAAGCCCCTTCGTGGCCCCTTGCAAGATTGGCCACTGGCGATATGTGACGCTCGAAGCGTTGATGCTACGAGTGACATGATCGAAGCCACCATCCTGTACCCTGATCGAATGAACCACAACTTTCAAGTACACTTCAACGCTCGACATCGTTGGTTCTTCCTGGGGGGACAGTGTGACGATGAACTGCTGATCTTCAGGCAATACGACTCTCGACTTGGAGACAACAGTGGTAAGAAGGGCGTCCAAGTGTCGAGTCCAAAGCTGATCGTTTGAAGGTGTACCACACTCGTCGTTCCCGGATCCAAATACGCCTCAGCACGCTTTTCTTCGAGAAAGTATCGAAGTTGTGGCTTGCTTGTGCTTCTGAGCGGACTGAGCAGCGGGCGTCGCGCAGTAGCAATTTAGAGGAGTTAGCGTTCACGATGTTCGTACAAGTGCATTCATTCCGAGAACTCAAGATGCCACTCGTTCCACATCTTAGTAAATGACGAGCGCCCGTGCTTCGATGCTTTCTCGCGGCAGTTCGGTAGCCAGTGCTTTGGGGTTTGCAAAGCTACAGTGTGGGACGCCTCCCAGGCCTGTGGACTCAGAATCACTCTGCTTGAAGACGATGATCTCGTCTATCGTGTGGTCGGATAGGTAGTACCATCTTTGCTTCTGGTTGTATCGCAAAGAGAGATTCTCCGTGAAGTAGTCCGGATACACCATGTCGGTAGCTTCAGCATCTTGTGGATCGACGCTCGATGCATCACAGAAGCACAATGGCCAGTCGTTCACAGGGCCACGTAACGGCCGCCAGACGTTGACCCATGAGAATCTCCTCGTCATGAGTTCATTAGCTCGGTCTCCGAACTGCCGGACCATCTCCTCCTTGGTCGAGTCAATCGTAGCGTCCACGTGCGCGATAGAGGTTGGTTGAGCAAAGTCGTACTCTTGCCCCGTTGAAACAGGAAAGTCGACATGGCGTTTTCGAATGCCGTAGCGAAAGAACTTGACTTCGCGTGCATTCAAAAGGGTTCGAAGTGTACCCTCCAGCTCCTTGAAATAGATGTTCCACACCTTTTGATCGATGTCGAAATCTTCATACTTCATGCTGCTGACTAGCCTGCAGATGGCTACCCCAGTGGTCGAATACGAAAGTGAAGACTCTTTCCCTCGGATATCCTCGAAAGTGGTGTCTCGCCATTCGCGCGTAATGTTTGTCCGGCGCAAATCGGCTGTTGAGTCTCCGTACATCATGTGGTACGGCTTCTCGTCTTCAGAGATGGTCCCGACGTACGAGATAGGCGCCACCGAGGTGACGACTGCTGCATTCATGTTCGTCATGAAGGCGGTCAAGGCGGTGGCCGATGTCTGATCCAGGCGTCAAGGCGGAATGGCCATCATCCAAGATTGTTGGTCTCGACAACGTGCAAATAGCTTTTGTGATGAGGCCTAGGTCCTGGCTTTGCAGTGGTAATCTGAGCGGTGAGTATGAAGGTGATGGGTGGCTGGAAGAACATTCCTGCCGGTCAAGCTTTATGCCTACTGTAATGCCGGGATTTGCACCCGCCTGCAATGCACCCATCACCGCCAGGACAGTTGGGCTTCAACGGCAGCACGGATCGCAGTGGAAGAGTGCAGCTTGATGCATCATGTGCGACCGCTGCGGGTGCACAAAGAATCATAGTCTGAGAGAGTGGTTCGAGAAATGCAATGCAATCTAGCCTCGTCCAGGCCCGTGCGGTGAAACGGCACAATTTAAAATGAGCCATTTGGGCCCCGTGATTGCTTCAGAATTCGCGGCCCTCTTCTCCTCCTCATCACAACAACACGTCTGACACGTCAACAGCAACAACCCTCCCCCGCGTGCAGCCTTGACCCACAATAATCGGCCCCACACAGACTTCAGTAAGTCTATCAGTCTTAAGTTTTCCTACGAAAGATTCCACTCCACCCCGTACTGGACGCTCCGGCTGATCTCTAAAAGCAACAAGATGGAACCAACCAACCACCACACCCAGGCTCCTGCTTCGCCTACGAAAGCCAACAAGGCCCAGCCATGGAAAGCTCACTGGCCACCAAAAGTAGTCGACAAGACGGCTCCATACGGCTTTCGCAAAGGCGAGACGATAGTCAACAGCGGTAATTGAGAATATGCAAATTGTGGGTAGGCCAGTATCTTGACGAGCTGTAGACTAATTGTGGCATAGCAACCCGCGAGTGCAGAGGAACGTCGTTGTTTCATTTCAGAAGACAGTGTTTGCCAAAAGAACACTCTACCAGTACGCGTACGAGTTCCCAGCAAACCGACCCTTTCTTAACATATACGCGCTCTGTAATTACACATGTCCTTGTTCTAAGTCCGGATCTCCCACATGCGTTTGTCTGCCGCGGAGTCCCAGATACCAACTCACTCTGCGCCGTAGGTTTGAAACCATGAGCACCAGCGAAAGGACGAATATCGGCACTGTCACAGCAAACCATACCCAGAGCGACAGCGTGCCTTGTCCGATCTCCTTGAAATTCATTCCAAAGAACGCACAGGAAAAGCTCATTGGCACGAAAACGAACGCGAGCCTCGTGAGCTTCTCCACTCCTTGTGCCTGTGCGATGGCTCTCTTGGACTCGGCATAGCTCTCCAAATGTTCAATTCTCCTGATCCCGCGATCACACTCTTCTGCTAAAGCTGTCGCTTTACGCAGCAAGCCTTGATAGTTGTCAAGCAACTCGGAGCCCGCTTTGTCTGCCCTCAAAAGGATGTCGGAACTGGATCCTCGCCATTTTGGCCACTCGTCTCGCCTCTGGATTGCAAGCAGGTTATCCTCCAGTCGCTTGACATGGTCGCTTAGAACCAGTTGGTTAGACAGGAGATTCGAAAGCGATGCATCGGCCCTTTTCTCTTTTGCAAGGACAGTCGCATGGTGAATATCGTCCCTGATTACGGATTGCATCATGTTCAGAAACTGATTCTCCGATGCTGCAGAGAACCTGAAGAGATTGCGCACAGCATAGAATGAGTCTGCCCGAGCAAGCGCAAGATCAAGGTCCTGGCAATACTGGTGAGAAAGGTGCCTTGCATTCTGAGTGATGCCATCAGGCGTCTCGAGAACCCCTTTGTGAACCGCAGCGGGCGCATCGTGACTGAGAAAATCTGTCTCGGATGCACGACACAATACCGTGGAGCCGAAGATTGTGTTTTCAGGCTTTCCTCCCAGCGGCGTGCGCAGTGAAGCACCCTTTGGGCCTTGGAAGAGGTCATCGATGCCGACATCGATCCACGCCACCCCTTCATTCAATGTTAGCATTGGAATCGTCATCCCTAAAGTTGTCGCAAGCTTACCTCTCCAGCCATTGCCTAGTTGTTTGGTCCAGATCGACACGTCCTGCTCGAAACTAAAAGTCTCTGCGCCATGTACGTGAATGTCTCGAAGCAAGGAGGTCCCGACATGGACCTTCACCTCTCGTTGAGTGTCCTCGAGGTACGCCTTGAATATTTCCCGCACATGGCTGCGGAGGCCGTTGACATGTTTCTCTTCTCGGGCATGGTGTTCTGGTTTGTTGACTGTTCCGTGGGTAGTTATTCGCAGGCGGGGTTCTCGTGCCAGTGTCGACGACAAAGGCGGCCATGTCCACGCAGGATCTGCTCGGCTACGAGAGAAGAGTTCCAGATGGTGGTGGAAGAACTCTATATCGACCTCGAAAGCATCCGATATTGCATTCAACCATTCTGGAGATGGGTGGCCACGCAGAATGAGCAGTCGACTCTCTGGTACATCCTGTTCACGTTGGGCCTTCAGGTCGTCGAGGTCTCCTGCATTTTGGAGCACTTGCTGGATGCTTGCGGACCGGAAATCGTAAAGAACACCAAACGCTCTCTGCTCAGTGCTTGCGGATTGCGAGTCCTGGAAGCGCGGATCATAAGGTTGGTTGAGATACTGCACGAAACAGTCAAGATGATCCCCACTGCTAAGATGCTTGTCAGCCGAGCGGCTAGCAAACTCTTGTATGTTATCAAGCCACGGCGGGGGTTGAGTTGCTGTCGTAATTAGTAAGTGGACGCCAATAGTCATTTCAGCAAACACCTACCGACAACGTCTGACTGCAGGGAAGAGCTCGTGTAATGTTTTGAGCTGTCGAAGTCTTTCAGCTCTGTCCAGTCGATGTCGTTATCATCCTCGGGCATCGTTGCTGCTAAGATTCATCGAAGTAAGGCTTCGCTGCTCGGCTTGGAGTAGCAGACAATGCGTAGGTTCGTGCAGCTCTTTATGCTTCATCGACCTTACTCTCTGCCCTTTGAAAGCTGGTCCGCGTGCCCTGGAAGTGAGGCGGAGGGCAGAATTGCAGGGCTGTTGGGCACCATGTTCATACGTTTTTCGCCCGCGCCTTTGGCCTTCCCCAGTCCAGTGGGGGAGCTGTGAAGGCAAAGCGGACCGCCTGACACTGTTGCTTGTTAGGCATTAATGCCGCGAGAAGGCGACGGCGACGCCTTCTGACGTCTTAACTGGATGGAAATACACTGTGCCACCGACCCCACGCAGGCCGCCAGCTGCCTCTCCAGGAAGAAGGTCAGGAGGCCCACGAAACACTGCCATGATGCATCTTGTCCATTCGAACCACGTCACCTGAAGGCAGAAACTCACGTCTACTAATATCTCTGATGGCTGCCCAATCTGCGATGCGCACTTGACCTTCCCGTCCATCAGAGGGCAACATCTTTCTGCAGTGCTTCGCCACAAAACTCTCTTGCTGACCTCAAATGCGGACGTTGCTTCATGGTGAGCTCTACCTGGCTCGACCGCAGATGGAGCCAACGTGATGTCTTTTGGAAATAGCTATCGCAACTCTGATATCGGCCTGACGGTCCTGCGCAAGGCGTCAGAGGCCGCAGAATCAGTAGTGGAGTAAGCAGAATAGAGCATCACGGATTGAGAAACATGTTAACGGAGTTCAGCGTTGTAATAGTAACGACACCAGGATTCCCGAGGGCGAAAGAGTGGGCACTCTGCACACTGCACGAAAAGACGAACTCAATATCGGATGTCAACATCTATGCCTACGAGGCATGGTCATCATTCGACGAAGAGTTTACGTGGGAAACGCCATTGAACCATGGCAAATTACTTGTCAATCTCCTCGCCACGAGACAGAACTCTGGTGCTGAGGTACGCTGAACCTGCGTTAAAAAGCCGCAACAATAGAGATTTCGTCCAAGAGGACGAGGGTAGTCTGACGGGGATATAGAATACCTCTTTGAGGCCCATCGTCTTGATGGCACACAGTCTTGCTGGCTTCATAGTAAAACAAGTACGTGGAATTGACCCTAGGAGCTGAAACACTGGTCAACTGACGACAATGAAGTGTTTGGTTCTCTTGTACACGCAGAAGAGCCGATACAGGCTCTTACGCAATATGATTGCTAGCGTTGTGCTCCTCGGATGTCCACACTCTTCTCTGCCCGAGACAAGGTCAAGCTTCATAAAGAAGACACTGAAGATTCTTGAGATTGCAGCAGAGCGCCGTGGTCAGCGGATCAAAAACATTGCGCGCCTCGAGAGCCGACAGGACTTGGTTGACCTGTGCACTCAGTATGATTCAATGGGCGGGAACGTCAACATCTTAACACTTTACGAGACGATGAGCACGAAAGTGTCGAGAGGACTTAGGCCATCGTCAATGGTCAGAGTTAGTAGAGAACTCCCCCTCTCTCCAGTCATTCGCTGACCATAGCAGCTTGTCGATGCCAACCTGGCCAGAGTGGATCGGAATAGGTTCGAGAAACTCGTTGAGGTTCAGAGCGATCACCGCAGCTTACCTTTACTCAACGACGAGCCCTCATCCCAAGGTTGGAGCGAGCTGGTAATTGGGTACATCCAAGTCTTGATTCAACAAGCCCAGGAGATTCGTCGACTGTCTCCTAGTCAAGATATGGAAGCAGGGATTGAGAGCAGTGGTTTGGAACCATCAACTCCTGACCATCAGACACCAAAGCCTCACTTGAAAGAATCCGCTTTCTTAGTTGACATGTCAATATCTAGACAACGAAATACCGATTTCCAAGGGCGTGAGACTGTCCTCTCCAATCTCAAACAGCACCTTCTAGACGGCCCACGAGTAGCCGTGCTCTACGGGAAAGGCGGCCTAGGAAAGTCCGAAACGGCAATTGAGTTCGCATATCGCCATCAGAAAGACTTTGACGCTGTGCTTTGGATGCAAGCAGATGATCTTTCTAAACTTCGGCAAGATTTTGGTACTTTCGCGGCGAGACTTGGGTTACAGCCAGAAGATGTGGCCAAGGATCCGTTCACTAGCAGAGATATCGTGAAGGATTGGCTCATCGACCCTCTCAAGTCGAATGGCAGTGGCAGCCAAAAGGCGAAATGGCTTGTGATTTTCGACGGGGTAGACACGATGGAAACGCTGAAGGAATTCGAAATTCTTTATGGCAAAGGCTCAATCCTCATCACGAGTCGCCATCCCGACCTGTTCTCCGCATTCAATCAAGATCAGCTATCTCTGCCAAAGGACCAACGAGTTGAGATACGTGTTGAGAACCTGGACCTCTTCTCCGAAACCGAAGGAACAGCAGCGTTGAAGAAATTTGCAGAATTGGACATGAATGAAGACGTGGATGAACAAGCAGCAAGAGAGATCGTTGGCCTTGTCGACGGCTGGCCCCTGGCAATTCGTCAAATGGCTGGCATCATCCGTAACAACGACTTGACTTTGCCAGAGTTCTACGAGCGATTCAAGAGCGAGCGCCGCGACGTCTCCGCGCAGCAAATCTCGGAGCGTGATACCATGCTTTCCTCTATACGCATGGCTAAGCTCAGCTTGAACGCCATGGCTCTGCTGCGAGTCTGCGCTATGCTGGATCCCGACTGCATTCAGGAGTCTTTGTTCGTTATGGAGACTGCAGTCGAAACGATCCTGGAAGACTTCCCTCTCGCTACCAAGCGCTTCGAAGATGCAAGAGACGAGTTACTGAGTGCCTCGCTGGTGCAACGAAATGCGGAGAAGAAAGAGCTCTGGATGCACAGGGTAGTGCAGGATGCCGTTCGAGATTCATGCACCTCCAGTATCTTTGATCTTGCTTTTAGAGCTGCCGCTGCTTTGGTCAAGAAGGCATGGAAGCCAGTGCCCCCAGGAGTGAGAGACAACGTCAAGCTGTGGGAGCCGTGTGCAGCATTCTTGAGACATGTGTTACATCTACAGCAGGTCTTCGTGAGGACCAACCCGGTGGAGATACCTTGTAAAGCCTGGCCTGCCATTCAGCCCTGTTTCTCTTTTGCTTGGCTGCTCCATGAAGTCGGCTGCTTGCAGAGAGGCTTAGGCGACACATCAGGTATCGAGAACACGCTCGTTCTCGCTCTTTCCGTCTGCGAGCAAATCCCTCGAAATGAACCATTCGATCTCCTCTGCGACATCTACCACGGTCTAGGGGCTTGGGCCAACGAGACAAACCATCCACAAGCTTGTCTGAAGTACAACACTCTTTATCTCCGGATATGTGAAGATGCGAAGAACGAACGTACCGCAGCTGCATATAATCAATATGGCACTGGCCTTACGATGGAGCGACGCTACCCGGAAGCCATTCTTGCTTACGAGAAATCCATCGCACTCTACGCAAAGCTGGCGCTGGAGAAGCCATGTCCCGATTCTTTGCCAGTGGTCAACCTTGGTGTCGTGAAATGGCTCATCGGTGACTACGAATCAGCTTGGACAATACTCACAGCCGGACAACAAGCACGAGAAGAGGCGTTCGGGTTCATGGATCCGGATTCGTTCCGCACAGGAAGGTTCTTCCACGCATTGGGCAACGTATGCTACGACCAAGGAAACATGTCCAAGAGCGAGTTCTGGCATACCCAAGCACTGGATCAATACAAACAGTCCCTCGGTCCAAGACATCATCGTACAGCTGACGTATGTCATAGAGTTGCAGATCATTACTTGAGGAAAGGGGAGATAGACAAGGCCAGCTCCCTGATAGATCAAGCTCTGGGAAGCTGGCGGATGGACCAGACTTCGTTCAAGCCTGAGATTGCGAGGACTACTTGGCTCAAAGCCCGTGAACTTAGCCTGAGAGGAAACTTAACCGGTGCTTTAGATTTGCAGCGGACGGCAGCATTAATGAGAGGAGAGCTCAAACCTGGCGATCAGCGGCAGTCGAAGCACCTTTCTGACGCCGATTTCGACGACCTGGTTGCATTCTGGTCTCGTTAATTGAAGTTTGTTGTCATGCCGACCCTTGACGAATGAACGGCCGATTTGCGTTGTTACCATTGGCGATTCGCCAACTTATGTTGCGTTCTGGGCGGCATTGCATGTGATACCCCGAGCTTCGACAGTGTTTTCATGAGGCGAAGCCCTTCTTGCATCTCTGTTACAGTACTGTAGTCCATCCCCTAATGTACAACATGATCGTTCGTCATAGCTCAGTACACTGGAGAGCTTTACTTTTCTTCATCCCCAAGTACCACACCACGTTACATCGGCCTCGCGTCAAACTGCCTCTCGGCATAGTACTTGTACACCCTCGCCGTCTTCACTCTCAAATGCTTCCCCTTCCAGATAAAGAACCCGGAGAAACCCAAGATCAAGGTCCCAATCGCACCAATCGTGTTGAACACATTCGCCATTCCGACACCGTCGATCCAAGCCGGCATGGCAAAGACAAAGATCGTGCTGAAGGTATTTCTGACGAACGTCAGTCCCGTGAGGGAGTCTCCAATGATCTCATTGTACGCATCGAGCATGTAGGTGAGTGCTACGGACTGCAGCGGCGCAGAGCCGAAGTTGCACAGTCCGTAGGCGAGGGCGACTTGGACCCAGCTCCAGCCGTTGTTGAGGCTGTAGCCGAACCACCAGGCTCCGGCGATTTGGAAGGGGACGAACGGCAGGAAGACGCAGAAGCGGAATTCGGGCTCGTAGATGCCGTTGTTGCGCTTGGCGAGCTTGATGGCGATGAAGTCGCTCAGGGGACCGCAGATGATGGCGCCGAGGGTGTTGCCGATGACTGGAGACAGGTCAGTACAATTCGATGATACCTGGGAAAGGGATACTTACAAGGTGCAAGACTCATGAGTCCGATTTTGTCTGCTGTGAAGTTGTACGGTGCATCAAGCATGTAGATGCTCAAGACCGATGTCATGACCGTCGACCACGCCAGCACAATGGCATATACCAGGGAGCAGTAAGCAACGCCTGGAACAGAGCCTAGAATCATGAAGGGTTGCCACGAGTGGCGAAGGAAGTGAGACCAGCTGCCAGGCGAAGTTGTCGTCAGCGCTAGTTTTTGCAAGTATGTCTTTCGTGGAATGTTCGGGTTGATGTGGATGACGCTCATGTTGCGGGATGCATCTTGCATTGAGCCAGGCTCGACGTCCTGGCTTTCAGATGATGTCTCTGGCGCCTTGGTCTCTTTCTCGTAGTCGCCGTGAATATGACCGGAAATGTCAGGGGCTGTCACAACGCTGCCTTGGCGAGCTTCCAATGTCTCAAAGTGAGTGAACTTCGTTTCCTCGAAACCTGTACGACCCGTAAGCTTTTGTTTCGTCAGAGATCTGGGTCGACCGACCGAAGAAGAACATGAGCAGTTGGAAACCAAAGATAATGGCACAAATCCACCACACCCATCTCCAACCAATGTCTGCCGTGACGAAGCCTGCAGCTACGACTGCGAGGTTGCCTCCCATGTTGAAGACCCAGACATAGATCGTGTTCATCAGTCCTCTTTGATGGACGAAGAAGACGTCGGCGATGGTCTGTCAGGTTAACAAACATTAGCCGAAGGCATCCTCTCCCACGAATGTGTTCAACCATACCATTTGAATTAAGACCTCTGAAAGAGCTCCCAGCCAGCATTGGAGAGCATTCACACCCCACCAATCCCCTGCCGTCTGTGTTCTTGCTGCCCATATCGAGATTCCAAACTGCGCGGCACTGCTGAATATGTAGACCGATCTCGAACCGTATTTAAGGGCGAAAGGAATAAGCATGGGAGCTCCTAATGCCAGGGTCGCGCATCCAATTGCGTATGTGTTTGTCAGAGTCGCTGAGCTGAAACCGAGCTCATCACCCATGGGGCCCCAGGTTGGCGAAGTTGCGTTGATGAAGGCGTAGACCATCATAGCGTAGAACGATGCGAGGAAGTAATTCAAGATCTTCGACGGTTTGGACCAGTTCTTCGCCACGTCAGTATCCCAGCCTGTAAGCGCATCTTCTCACTCAGAGACCTACCAGAGGATCGTTGGGGTTGTCCGTTGGCCTGGGTTGGAGGATAATTTCCGCATCTTTCTTGTCGCCTCCAACAAGCTGCGCCAGCTTGATAGTGCCTGGAGGCCAGGCGGGGTCGCAGAAGTCATTGTCGTCCGCCATGCTGTGTGTCGACCCGGCAGAAATCGATTGTATCTCTTGCAATACGAGTAGAGACCAAGCAGCCTGGCCGACTCGTGGAATTAGCCTCTTTCCTCCTCTTCACGCCTTGATTTTCTCCCTAGAAGGGTGATAGACGTCTGAATGCCTCGGTGATGGGCCACTTTTTGGAGAAAGAGAGATGGTAGAATGAAGGGAGATGAAACTGGACATGCAAAAACATTTCAAGCTCTTGACACCTACCTCCACAGGAAGGTCTATCAATGATCATGGCGGCCGAGAGCCAAGTCGAGACCCAGAAATCGCGTTGCAGCAGTAGGCGGGAGACTCGTGCACAACCTGCGGATAGATAAGGTCGGCAGCAGATACCCAAGCCGTCCATTCGTCCTCGAGAACCCTGGCCAAGAAAGTGGAGGTCTGCAGATAGCGGCGCTCGCTCTGTTTTCCTTTTGCTTTTGCGGCCAGTAAGTTCATCAGCAACTGACAGATGAGAATGAGTCTGCAGAAGCTCTGACGATAGAAGTACTTCATCCCATTGATCGGAAAATGTGAATCTCACCACCTCGTGAGCTTCCTGCAGATAGGCACTGGATGCTGATCGCGGCCGACCGATGGCCGAGAGTGCGCCCGTAGAGGCGGCCTCCCGGGGGCATCTTGCGAGATCATCGAAGTTGCCAGAGCTTCCGAGCAGAGAAATGCCTGCTCGTGATATCGGAGGAAGACGAAGAGAACTTTGAAGCGGAAGACCGTAAGGCAGAGGAGATATTTAATGGCCTTCCATGGGGAGCTACGGAGTTCGGAGTACGGTATCGAATCCCGCGACACCGCCCTGTGCTGCATCGGATTGGAAAGCATCGTCAAGTGAAAATCATTGGGAATCTGAATAAGGAAAGCATACGATCGAGAGCGACGATAAAACGTTTTCATCTGACGTCTATTGAGCGCACTGACTTGGTAACTCAAACGCCTGTGCATTAATCGAGCCATTGTATGGCTGACATCCGAGGAGAGATGTAGACAAAAGAGTCACATACCTGTACAGACACTGTCGGCGGGAGGCCTTTGTAGCTGCGGATGCCGCTGTGGACATCGCAGGAGTGCATACGCCCGAGACAGCACTGAGCGTATGCCAAGTACGTTGCGGGGGTGCATACGCCGAAGACATCGCAAGGCGTATGCCAGAGACGTTGTGGGTGCATACGTCCAAGACATTGCTGTGCATATGCCAAGGAGGTTGCGGACGGTACATACGCTGAAGACATCGCAAGGCGTATGCCAGAGACGTTGTGGGTGCACACGCAAAAGACATTGCTGAGCACATGCCAAGGAGGTTGCGGGCAGTACATACGCCGAAGACATCGCAGGGCGTATGCCAGAGACGTTGTGGGTGCATATGCCGAAGACATTGCTCTGCATATGGCTGGACGTTGTTTGGACACATACGCCGCAGACATTGCGCTGCATATGCCAATTCGCACAAGGCGACGGCTGACGTGAAGAACTCGTAATGTTGAAGAAGAGCGTTCATCGACAGCCAAGGCGGCCGGTAGCCATTGGGGAACCCGTAGCTGGAGTCGTCGCGGGTCAAGCTCCATATGATGAGGGTCTTGTCACGCAAGCTGGACCAAGCACCACCATCGCTGGAGGGCAAGCGCGCTTTGGGTAGCCGTAACAGGTGTCGTCGCAGGTCAGGCTCCAGATGATGAGGGTCTTGTCGCGCGAGCTGGACAGGACCATGTCAGACCTGAGGTCATTATCGACGTGTATATCTACTCAGAGCCGCCCTCACACTCTCTTCGACCTCTTCCGTGAGCCAGCCTGGACGTGAGTCAGACGATGGGCCCGAAGAGGCGGAGGTGCTGGCGACCGGAATGCCAAGTTGACTGGCGGGTGGTGCAGCTGGTGTAGCTGTTGTTGAGTGGCTGCTGGAATGAGGCAACGCCGTAGATAGTGGCTGCTGAGTGGACAGCGAAGCCGTGGTATGGTGGGGTTGGCTCGATGCGCCAATTTGTGGGCCTGACAGAGACGTAGGTGGTTGTGGTGCCTGTGAGAAAGCAGACTGTAGGCTGCCAGCCGGAGGATTGGCCGCGTTGGCGAGAGCTTCAGCGATATGTCGGTCGTGGTTCCAGTGGCGCGGAGCGTCAAATCTCATGTCAGGATACTTGTATTGTGGTATGGACGGCGTTAACCAGCCGGGATTGAGTGTGCGCCAGGCGTATCGCTGGATCTTGAATCGCCTAAGAGGTACAATGTCAATTATGAAGACCCCAGACGACGGGATTGCAATTGCGGATTAGATACTCTATGCGGTCCCTGATATTCCGCTGAAAAGTAGGATTGGTAGAGACTCTGGCCCGGCGTCCTTGTTCTTTTAGGTGGGTATATGTTCGGTCCTAAGTCGAGTGTTAGCGGTGATCTGAGTGATGAATTGGAACAGTGCGCTTACTGAAGGCCAGTATATGTCCATCCGTGGAGGTCTTTTGTTCGCCATCTTTGCGTGTGCTCTGATGGCAGGTGCGATGGCAGGTATTATGGTAGTGTTGGTGGTGTTGATGTTGATGTTGGAAAGAAGCAGACGCGAGGCGCGAGACGCGAGATTCCAAACAGCAAGAGCCACCCCGCGAGCTCGGTATGGCTCGGCCCGTGAGCGTGCCGCTATCTCCAATACGGAAGTAGCGGCTGCGGCTGGAACCTCGTGTCGCTCAGATCGAGCGAATATGATGAAGCAGCTACCTCTTCAATTCCACAAGAGCGACTACGGTCCTGCTCATACATTCGGCTCATCAGATGGACTACCAGCAGTGGGGATGAAGCCCCTCCTTGAGCAAAATAACGAGACCCAGAGCTGCTCAAGAGAACCATGGCATCCCCCACCCAGGCCGCCGACACAATCGTCTCCAACCTCGAATCCCTCTCAAAACTCCTCATAACCACAACCACCCTACAAGACTGGACCTTGCAAACCACCCAAGGCCGCCTCTTCCTCTCCCACCTCACCCTCGACTTCCACATGGCCTTCAGCACCTTCACCGACACAGAAACAAACATCTTTCAATTCTTCGAGAACCATCGTCAGAAATTCGCCGAGCATCCGTGGTTTACCATCGAGCCGGTTAGTGTGTATACGGATATCGACTTGGGGACGAATCTGGCCACTGTGTATTTGAATATCTCGGTTGCGGAGACGCCGAACTCGCGCGTCGATGGGTATATGCAGTTTCAGTGGGCGAGAGAGGCAGATGCATGGAAAAATGGCGACGAGGATCACAGCTTGCATTGGGCGGGTGGTCCGCCGTGGCGATGCTACAAGATTCACATGATGAGGGGAACTCCGGCGTTGTTTGGATGAGCTTTTACGTTTATCAGTTTCGATCCGGTCATCAAGCCCAAGCCTTTAGATCTGGGCCCTCTACTAACATCAAGACCGCATTTGCTGGTGGCCTTAGATGGTCTTGCCCGCTGTTGAGCGTCCTCGGTATGATTGGATTGGAAAAGGTGCTCGAATTGTTGCTCACTGATCAAAAGGTACTTCGGCCACACTATCCAGAATTAGTGCGGCTACCATCATGTCGAAAGTAAGGCTGCAACTTCTCATCACCCTGAAGCTTGACAGAGAGAATCAGAATCCAGTGGTTCAGCACGAAGCAGAAGAAGCCCAGCCCCGAGCACGTGAACTCGCGATGCGGAGGCATGGATGCCAAAGTATACAAGTATACAAAGCTCATGCAGGGATTCGTCGCAGCTCTCCCAATGCTCCTCTCCTCAGCCCAGTCCGTAGGAATGAAAGAGGGGTTGGTTCTCTCTACCACACACTTACTACCGTGATGGAAATCTCCTTTGCGCCGAGCAGATATATATGTCGAAGACCAGGTTGCAGGATTCGTCAGATTTGACCATACGCTGGATCAGCTAGTAACACCACTCACTTCAAGCATTCTGACACCTCGCCACCATGTCCTCTCACACCAACCGCGCAAACGGCCACAATCAACCCTCCGCCCTCTGCAGCCTCAACGACTTCCTCTCACGCGATACATACGACTATGTCATCGTAGGCGGCGGCACCGCAGGCCTCTGCGTCGCCGCGCGCCTCAGCGAAAACCCCTCCATCAACGTCGCCGTCCTCGAAGCCGGCTCCAACCTAATGGACGACCCGCAAATCTCCACGCCCTCCCTCTACCCAACCCTGATCGGCCGAGAGAAATACGACTGGTGCTACCAATCCGAACCCGTGCCCACGGCGGGCAACAAAACCTACTCGATGCCGCGCGGCCGAGTTCTGGGCGGCTCCAGCGCGATCAACTACCTCATGTACGTCCGGGGCAGCAAGAAGGACTACGACGGGTGGGCGTCGCTGGGGAATAAAGGGTGGGGCTGGGAGGATCTGGTGCCGTATTTCAAGAAATACCAGCATCTCGATCCGCCGGAGAAGGAGAATCCGAATAAACAGTTCATGCCGCTGGGGGCCAAGGAGAAGTATCATGGGAGCGAGGGGCCGATTCATACGAGTTTTAATGATTACTATGAGCCGTTTGAGTATGATTTTTGTGAGGCGGCGTATGAGGTTGGGGGCAGGGATCGGACGCTGGTGGATGCTTGGGGTGGGGATCATATGGGGTTTTATTCGAGTTTGGCGGCGGTGAATCGGACGGATGATCCGGGGAAGAGGAGTTATGCGGCGACGGGTTATCTGCGTCCGAATCTTGGTCGGTCGAATCTCAAGGTATTGTGCGAGGGACTCGCGTCCAAGATCTTGCTGGATGGCAACACTGCCAAGGGGGTTGAGTTCTATCACGGAGGGCAGAAGCATCAGATCAAGGCGTCGAGGGAAGTCATTCTGTCTGGAGGTGTGATCAACAGCCCACAGTTGCTCGAGCTTTCTGGAATTGGTGACCCCGAAGTCCTTAAGGCTGCCGGAGTAGAATGTGTCGTCAAAAACGAAAGGGTCGGCGCCAACTTCCAAGACCACGTTCTCGGAGGCATGCTGTACGACCTAGCTCCTGGGGTGCTTTCGATGGACGCCCTGCACGGAGAAGAGTACCAAAAAGCCCAGCAAGCGCTTTATGACAAGACTAACAATGGACCCTTGGGTTCGCCTGGAATGCTGATGGGCTTCGTCTCGTATGCATCTTTGGTGGATCAGAAGACCTTGGACGATACAATCAGCGAGATCCGGAAGAACTCCCTCGCCAAGACAGATTTCGAGAAGCGCCAGGAGGATGTTGTTGTCAAACAACTCTCAGATCCAACCTTTGCCAATATCCAGACATTCTGTAAGTCCCGTAGTCGTTGGCTTCAAGGCAAGAACTAACACACCCAGGCATTCCGTGCCAGCTAGACCTCAGTCAAGGCGAAAGCCAGATCGGATTCTTCAGCGCGCCGTGAGTATCCTTCAACCAGCTCCGCTGAGTGTAAAGACTGACATTCTCCATCCCAGCCCCGACGGCAAAAACCGTGTCTCTCTCCTCGTCTGCCTGGAACACCCTCTATCACGCGGAACAGTCCACATCACATCGTCCGACCCTAACAAACCACCCAAGATCGACCCAAGATACTTCAGGAATCCCGCAGATGCCAAGATTCTAGCAGAGGGTATCAAATGGATGGACAAGGTGGCCCAGCAGCCTGTCCTTGCCAAGAGCCTTGGGGAGAGGATCCAGCCTCCTGCGAAGGCCAGCATCGAAAAGGAGGAGGATCGGGTGGAGTTCGTCAAGAACCACATCTCGACTCAATACCATTTGATTGGTACTTGTACGCTTGGTGAAGTGGTCGATGAGAAGCTCAAGGTCAAAGGCGTCAATGGCTTGCGTGTGATTGACGCTTCCATATTTCCGGGACATGTTTCCGGCAACATTATGTCGACGACCTATGCGGTGGCGGAGAAGGGCGCCGATCTTGTCAAGGCCGATGACGAGAGGTTCCTGGCGAAGGTCGACTCAGCCGTGCATTAAGTATAGTCCTCTCTCATCGGTAAAGGTAATTATTCGTAAACATGTTGCCGTAGTAATCCGTGTCTTCATCACTTCTCATGTTGTTTGATCGCACAACCTGGACGACACCGCCCCAGTAGCCTTCGGTCTCAGCTTCAGGATTGCCAGCATTCACATTCCGCTGATATGCCAACTTGCGCTCCTTTCGAAACGCCGAAAGCAAAGCAATGTTGTCGATTCTAGGCTTCACCGCTGGCTTTGCAGGCTCGTTTTGCATCACCGGCTGTCCAAAACTGACTTCCTTATCGTCAGACTGAAAAGCAAAGCGACCACTCTGAATCGTGGGAAAGACAACCTCCTCCTCGCCGAAGAAGCTAAAGTCTGTCTCCGCGGCATTCCACAAAGCCTCGCTGTCACGGTCTTCTGTCATCGATCGGGTATCCTGATGCTGCCAGGGACTTGCTTTGCTATTTCTTCGATCACTTTCCGCGCCCATCTCAAGTACGATTCGCTTCAGTGCAAAGATCTTCTTCGCGGAATACTTGAGAGCCGTTGCATGATCTCTACGTCCTGGCGGCAGCGAGTAGTCAAGCTCGGCTTGACTTTGGGCAAGCGTGGTTTCTTCAGCGCAGTTCTTGATGAAGCAGATGATGCGGTTTGCAACATCACGGTTCGTTGAGAATGGCGGCACGTTCGTCAAGACCAAGGTTGAGATGTGCGGCAACATCGCCGGATGCAGATTGTGTCCAGCGAGTACATGTGCGTTCAACCGTGCTTTTCGTTCAGTCGCCATAGATGAATAGCTACGTGGGCGAGGCTTAGGAGTCGATGGCGCGGAGCCAACAGGCGTGTCTTGTGGGAATGGAGAGATCAAGCTTGGAAATCCGCTGGCAGTTGTCATCGTCCCGTCTTCGAGCGCAGACACGGGACTTAAGTGAGTCTTCCTATCCATCTCAGATGCCAAAGTGTCAACAACTTCTGGAGCAAAAGCACTACCCCTTCTGGGACCATCTCCATTTTGTCCTGGTACGTCAATTTGATATGTGTCATCTCTAGGTGACGACACGACGAATTGCATAGGATCGGCTTCCAGCTCGAATCGTGGTGTCTGCTCATCTGTCGGCATCTCGAATGTCTCAGGACGCACTGTCGTGGCATCCAACTCAAGTGCGCCTGAGCAGGACGGCAGCGAGGTATCACCAAGCTCTACACGGCCGTGCACGATTTCTTCCGGATGCAGATTTGGGGCCTCTTTGGTGATGAGGGTGTGATCGATTCGGAGAAAGGTCACACTCTCGCCTCCATGTTCACGAAGAACCGGCGTAAGCTTCTCGGCGCCAGGCATGCTGAGATTACCACTCGAACCAGAAGGATGTCTCTGAAGACTAGGCGCCAACGAGCCCACGTCAAGGACATGCAACCTCTCAGATCTGATCAGACCAGATACGGCTTCGACTGTGATGAGGTTGCCGGCGATGTATAAATGTGTGATGCCGCCACTTGGAGCATCTTCGATAGCAAGGCGACTAACAAATCTGCCAGTGAATGCATTCCGTAGATATCCCTCGAAGTCTTCGCCGCGATAGATGTCCAGCATCTCGGCGCCGAGATAAGGCAGGAGGGTTGGTGATCTGGGTCCGTGGGCCGAACCAAGAACTGGGTTGACAGGGTTGCTGGGCATAAGAAAGCAGTGATCTAGTAGAGTCCGGATACCACGGTCCGTTATGTAGTTGTCCCTCAGATCAAGGCTGCGTACTCGAAGGCCAATGGCCCCGCTGAGAGTATGTACATTCTCGTCCTTCAAGCTCACACCACGCAGCTTGAGAACCTGGAGACCAGTGAACTTCCTCAAAGTGTTCAGAACGACGTCTTCCCTCGCAGGATAGCTGAAGGAGAGATCCAAATACATCAACCCCTCAAATCGAGCCAGTGCCGAAGCCAGTCCACTCGAAGTAACATTCGGACACCTCGAAGCATCCAGCAACCGAAGACCGAATGAAGGAATAAGTGTCGTCGGACTCTGGAAGAAACTCCCAGCAGATCCAGGCAACTCCACAACCCCAGAAGGCGCATGTCGATGTTCCTCAGGTTTGTTCCGGATAAAGCTCAACGCCTGCAAAGCCGCATAATCGAAAAACGGAAGTCCCCTCACAATCAAAGACTGCAGATTCGGGAGCCGTTCCAACAGATCCCGAAGCCAGTCTGAGTGTGGCCCATAGTAAATCTCCGCATGAGCAGGCGGGAAATGCAAAGTATGCGTCTGAGATCGTACGAACAGGCGGGCGGTTTGGAGGGTCTTTTTGAAGCGAGTCAAGGCAACGTAGACGGCATCATTCTCAATGCCAAAGTGAGACGCCGGATTGCCCCAAATGTGAGGCGCAAAGGTCGCGTGCCATTTGCTGCATACCAGAGCAGCTGCGCAGAGGTCGCGAGAGGGTAGGTATTGTGCGATGAGGTCCAGGTGGTCGATCAGGGTGGCACTCTCATAGGATGGCGGCGCTGCTTCCATCGTGGGTCATGGCTTGAGATATCGCGAGTTCGTAGGTTGTTGAAGAAAAGGTCCATCATTGCGTCTGGCAGAGGCTGAAGAGGTGAAGAAGGAGCTGCGCTGGTCATGCGCTAACAATGCGAACGTGGACGCCGCTTGCACGTGATGAATCCTTCGACCGGGGTTTGTTCCGCCAACCGTCTTCGCTTTCACGAGCCGACTTGGCAGTCATGTGCCTCAGGACATGTCCAGACAATGCGAGGCAGAAACCATGGACTCAAAATAAAATTCGAGATTGAGAGTCTGTATCGATGCATTACCACTCTGTTCTATGTACAAGCGTCTCATGTTCATCATTCTCTATGCCTCAGGTTGTGTCCGTGATCCAAAGGGGGTTCTATCTTAGCGCAAAGCAGTACCAACAAATGCTCTTGCGAATATAAGTCCCGTCTCCTCAAAATACGCCTTCGCCATGCCATGATGCAGTCTACTCCGAGAAGTTCTGTTCCCCTTTCAGTTGCGACTGTCTGCTTAGACAATCCCGTACACCCTCTTCGCCACCACGTAACAAGTCACGCCAAACGCAATCAAACCGGCGGTAATGGCAAAGAACCATTTCAGATCTCCCTCATACTAGTCGCGCTCCGTCAGCGAAATAACAGCAGGCTTGAGGTGATAGGAAGACATACCTCTTGTCCAGGAACCCACACGTTCATACCCCACATACCAGTGATGATATTCATCGGTAGGACGATGGTTCCAAGTACTGTGAGCTTACCAAGAATGTCGGCGTTCTGTTCGGCGCGTTCGTTCATGCGGATGTTGATCTGGGCCACATAGTTACTGTGAGCACGGCTGAGGAGGCTGTCGAGATAAGTCAGCTGAAGTCCTTCCAAGGAGTTGTGCTTATTGAATTCCCACCTTTCAAAGTGCGAGAGATTGCCAGTCATCGTCACAATATGATCCTGAATGTCTCCCAGGTACAGACCAATCTCAGATCGAGGTGCTACCTCCCAGTGCTCATTGCACCGCTTCGCAAAGCCCTTGATGACATCTGCCTTGTTGCCAAGCAGTCGATACATCCCCATCACAGTCTTTCGACACGTACCAATGCGCCGAAGCATAGTACCACCAGCCTCGCCCGCCGTTTTCTCACCAGCGCCGTCAGCTTTCAGTGCACCCATGGCGCCTTGCGTCTGAGGCTTTGCATCACTATTGCCGCTGTCTCGTCGACCTTTGGAGCTCTTGGGGCGCTGGTCTTGCTTCTGCGAGGGTTTACCCTCAGATGATGCGACGGCATTATCCACAGCCGTTGTATGCATGTATAGAATCTCCTCATCGATGTCATCGACTTCCCTCTCGAATTCAGACACCAAAGGCCCGTATGCATCCGTGACATCGTCAATGATAGCGTAACTGATCCAATCGGCGGTAGGGCTCATGTAGTCATTCAATTGCCGAATTCTTCGCCTCACGTTGGCTGGATGCGGGCTCATCTTGTGGTGGAAGGTGATGAGGCCGTGCCGGAAGACGACCACAAACATATTGATCGGGTCCATGTACTCGTCGCTGTCCTTGTCTTGCTCAAAAGTACGGTAGTTGATGAAGTAGTACGACGGGAAAAGCTCGACCTTTTCGCGCTGCTCGTCCATGAGGATATCTTCTGCAGTCAATTGATGAAGCCCAAACGCTTTCACCAGCACCTTCATCTCAGCTTCGGTAGGTCTAAGAACATCCAACCAGAAGGTCGGCTTGGGTCCATACCGCTTCTTGCTTGGCTTGGGCGTTGCACGTCCAGATCCTGGAGCCGATTCGACGACAGACTTGCTGACGATGGATGCCGAACGCACATTTGCAAGCCTACTACCGGCGTCACCCAATGTTGACTTGTTGACTTCCCCGTCGCTAGAAGGCCGATGCGAATGCATTGGAGGTCGCTGCGACTGATTCTCATCAACCTCATTCGTATTGTCGTCACTCTCGCTGTCGTCGCTCAGTTCTATTGGATCTGGCTGGAACAACTCCCTGAATGTCATGCCATCCTGAAGTAGATCACTGATCGTCCGAGCATGTACCGTACCATCGAGCGTCTCGTTGAAATACGTGAATCTGAAGGGCGCATCGTCCTCCTCGGCATGCCATGCATTGGCTCGCCCATGTCGCAAGCGTCCACCGACCATGACAGGTTCGGAGATCTTCTTTGCTCTCAGAACCTCTTGATGCGTCCGCTCTTCTTTCTCGTCCCGGGCCCACTCTTCGAGTACCTCAAGGTCGGGCCATGCCTTGGCCCGTCTTCGCCTACGCCTGCTAGGTGAATCCCGATGTGTGTCCAGAACTGATTCTTCGCCACGCACAGAAGCATCCTCCTCGAGGGGGAAGCACACGTCCCGCTCAGCCAGCTCTGCAATTGTCGGTCTACGACGCATTCCCTCTGGCGACGAACTCGGGTATCGATCGTCGCCCATGTCCTCAATGTCGATGATCGCATCTCGGTCCCGTCCACGATCCGAGCCAGGCGGTATGAACAGGTCATCCACGGATTCCAGTGTTGGGGATGCTGGCACAGACGGTGGGTTGTTGACATCGTAGAGCGAGTCAGATGGATTGTTGTGAGGATGCGTAGCCATGAGTTCGCCTCTGCGCCGTGATGATGCCTTTGACGCGTTCGAGGGTCGTCTACCCTTGTTCGTACCGTGACTGCCATAGCCAAACCCACTATTGTGACGAGACATTCCCGGTTTGGAACGGTTCCTACTCGCGAGCAGAGGCGTACGGTCATGCGCGACATCCTCATCATCCTCGTCGACAAGTGCCGCCTCAGGGACAGTCAATGGCCGCGTTCTGCCACCTGCCGGACGATTGTTCGAAGCTTCAGAAGACCGATGTTGAGGTCTTGTAAACGGCGTTGCTACTCTTGCCAGTCCTTGCTTGATGGTATCTCGTCTTGATCTGAACGGGGTCTGATCTCGGTGATCCAGTAGCGCCTCGCTCTCCAAGCTCGTATTGCTGCGGTTCCCGTTCGACTGCAACCGGTAGAAGCTCGCCTGCTGCGCAGAGATGGCTCGCGACGCCTGGAGGCTCGGTCGACCATCGCGATCTGTTGTATCCTCTGTAGCTTCCGACGGGGCAATGAAGCTCTGCCTTCTATTCTTCTTCTTGCGCCCACCTCGATGGCGCTTCTTCTTAGGTTTGGCAGCGTCGTTCGGATGGGCGGAGGATGATGCGAGAGTCGAGGCATTTTGTGTATTGCCTTCAGCGGCGGATGCTGATCCTGTGGGTTTGGCCATCGATTCTGGTCCAGAGACTCGGGCGATCTGGTCTCGCGAGGTCGATGCCATTGCGCTGTGTTGTGCCTCGTAGGCTTGGACGTAGTTCTATCCGGGCAATGTAGACAACATCAGGACAGAAAGGACGCGCGAAGAGGAGAGTGTTTGCAGGAAGATAGAATGCAATGCAATGCTAGCTCCAAGGAGTCGAGAACCGCTCACAGGCTAGACGAACTTTGAGAACCGCTCATCAGCCGCTTGGCCAGGTGTGGCGTTGAAAGTGACGTAGCGGAGAAGTATTCAAGGCCAACAGTTGCAGCGGAAGCGCGGTGAAAACAAACGACAGGGAGAACGAAGTTCAATGGTGCTGGATGCGTTGTTCGGAAGCGTGAAGGAGTTCGCAGGAGAGATTTGCGCATAAACCTGGCAAGATGATGCTCTGCTCCATGTCCATGGTTCGGCATCGCGCTAGAACGAACTCGGCCACGAAAAGTTCGAGGAGGGCAAGTGATCACGCGACAGCTTATCATCGAGAAAACTTTGCCCGTGAGGCTCGCAGTGGTCGGGATTTAGTGCACATCCATGTACTGGATGGTGGCGTACAGCTCGACTCGGCAGTTGTGGGCGTTTCTAACCACCTTGATGTCCTTTGCTATATACATATAGGCGAACGATTCCAGGGATTGGTTTCAGCTCAAGTTAGCCTTGTGAAACACATTAGCAGAAGGATTGGCTGGTGGCGAAGGTACCCAGGTACTCCTGCATTTATCATTTGCCTGTGGATGCTCTCACGCCACCTTCCAGTGACACACGAAGGTATAGCCGAAGCTGCTGACCATCTGCACGTAGGCCTGCTATCGTAGGAGTTGGTGTCTTGATCGGTTGGAGGCGAACGAAAAACACCCCATCTATCCTTTCTTCGTCATCCGCCTCTGCAGATCCAATACTTGCACTCCAGCATTCACAGCCCGAAAGTAATACCTTGTCTGGACCTCAACAGACCCACGAACCTCCATCTGCGCCAGCACTTCCAAAGCACTCCGTTCACCTGTTGTCAAGGGCATTTGAGCACCACGACGTTTCCCTGTAATCAGCACATGGAACTCGGCGAGTCTCTTCCCGTGGTCGGTAGCCTTCACGAGTGCTTCAAGTCGACTATGAAGCGCTGAAGCATCGCTCTCTTGGGGTAGGTAGAGATTGATCTGAAGATGGCGCAGATGGTACAAGAGGTGAGGGTATTCCCATGGGAGTAGTGGAGTCAGTGGTGAGTCAATAAATGGTTGGATGTGTTTCCCTTTATCGACAACCGTAGCTGGTGCTGGATATGTCGATGGATCCGAGCGGAGTCTGTGTTCGGTGTCGATGATCCAGAGGAAGTCGTTTGTCCCGTAGAACGCTTCTAAGGCTTCTTGCCGAAGGCTGCGACAAACGTGGAACAGAGGCTGGCAGAAGTCTTGAAGGCCCGCCCATACTGGATGTTGAAGCTCGAGGGTGCCTCGTTGGCGGAGGGCATGTCCAAGTATAGATTGCCGAAGCTCTGTGGGTAGGTCAAGTAGTGGAGATGTCGACATTTTGAATGCGATCCAGGGAGATGTTAGCTATCTTGTGAGGAGTTTTGCCGTGGCAGACTGGCGGTGAAGATGTCTGAGAAAGATGTGTGTTGATGTTGTGAGGCAGCACTCTAACGAATGTCTAGCCCAACGGCGGCGGAGATTTGGCGCGGGGACAACCCCGGTCTCCCGCTCTTTCACATGACTGGAGTCTCTCAGCCTTGTGCTTCTCTATGCCAACGAATGTACAAGTAGGACGCAGCTGGCCAATTCTTCCGTGTCAGCCCGCATACTGTGACAAATACCACGCACGCCATTGATGCAAGATCAGCAGATTCAAACTGGTCCTAAGAGGCGGGCTAGGCGAACTTGGGGAGATGGCTCTTGCCTACTTTCTTTTAGTTGCCGTGGAATCGACCTACGCCGGTACTTAGTAGGCGCCATCAGCAGAGCCAGGCAGGACGGTCACGCGACTAAGATCTTCCGCCTTTATTGATTTGGACACAGCGTCGTTCATACGCTGTCTTCCTTCCATCTACCCCCGTCAAGAATTCTCAGAATCCACACTCTTCAGTTCTCTTCACTCGGCGATGAACAGCCTCAATTTTCGCAGTACAATATCCACGGCTACGGACTGGTACCATATATCCCCTCATCACAAACCACCATAACGCCATGCCTATACGTACAATGCTGTCGTTTCGTTTCATCAACTTCACCCTGTTTCTGCGGTGACCTGCAAGGAGCAGAGAAACACATATGAAACTATCCCCCATATCAAGACTCGAAACAAATACCCATCCAAGCTCTTACGCTCCTTGTCGAGCCTTCTCGGCACAGATCAACGCGATGATCCGACTCAGCTCTGCACTCTGTGCGGCGTGCTCCTTGATGACATGCTCATCCACACCTCCTGCCTTGGACAGGTCAGCCGTCGTCTTCAGCATCCGGTTCTGTAGCTGAAGCATCTTCTGGAGGGTGTTGTCGAGGAAAGGGGCAGAGAAGGCGATTTGGTCGGCGGAGGACTGGCCCAGACGCATTTCGAGCTTTCGCGGCCGCTTCTTCTCTTCGGACACCGGCGCATCTGGCTCCTTGGGCTTGGGTCTGGAGAAGCTGTCAGCCGACGGCTTCCACGAGGAAGTGTTTCACATACCGTTCCACAAAGGTAATGCTCTCCGCCATCTCGGCCACTCGGTTTGCTATTCTCGACGCCATAATGGCATATGCGGACGTCACTCCATTGCTGGGACTTTCACCTGCGACCGATGCGGCCTTCTTCTGAACGGGCTGCGCTGCTTTCTGCGGTCCTCGCGCCACTCCATTCGGCATCGGCTTCTTGGTCTGTGTGGCGGCAGGCGTGTATGGCTTCTTGATGGGAGCTCGGGGAGCTGGCTGCTTCCTCGCTACGCCATTCGTTTGCGGCGCGCCTTGGTGCACTGCTGTGGCCATTGTTGCTGCTATGAAGTGGTGATATGGATACTGGGACGTCGGGGAGCGGTCAGGCAGAGTGTCTAAGCGACTTGACGGCAGCCAAGTGTGGAGAAGAACGCAGGAACAACACGGGGTTGGGCTTTGGCTCGTACAATTCTAAGTGCTGGCTGCTAATAAAGAGGACATGCAATCATGACGCGGCGGAGGGTGGGTTGCGGGTGGAGTGATGCCCCCCAGGCGTCTGCTGCACGAAGGGGCTGGTGACGCTCGCCGCATCAGCGATACCGCCTCACCACGCTACGTCACCGGCGGAAAGTCTGTTCGCGAAGCCTGGTTTGGCAGCTCCACAGCCGTCCGGGTTCCCCTCCACAACACGCCTGCGGATCTGCGCTGTGGCTGGAACGCTGAGCTCTGTGTGGCCGGGATCTGGACATCGAGAGATGAGCGAGTGGCGCTGCATGTCGTCGTCCTCGTGCGGCTCTGGTCGTACCGTCCAACTTCTGCAGCTACTGTACGGCCACGGATAACAACACGCCATGAGCTGATCCCGATATTGAGGACACACCCGAACGCCGTGCAAGATGGCTGCTACGACGGCGACCAAGACCGCCAGCACGGTCAGCAAGAAGCCGCCCAGCAAAGCAGCAATCAAGCAAGCTGGAGTCAGTTTACGGTCCGGAGGCGACAACAACCCGAATCCAATCCAACATGGCGGCATGGGACAAGCAGAGCGAGCCTTCTCGGCGGCATCGACATTTCTGTCAGGCATCATGGCTATTTCAGCCTCGCAGTTCATCGGAGCACCACTCAAGCTCATCGATCCAAAATTCTATGAAGCCTACATGGCCTGGACGAAAGAATCGTTTGCCGTGTTGATGACTACCATCACTCAGTGGTGGGCGCCGACTGTTGTTCGTGTCAGTGGTGATGAGAGCATGAAAGACCAACTGTATGTGATGGATGACGGGACTCTCAAATGCAACTTTCCCCATCGGCTCATCCTCATGGGCAACCATCAACTATACACGGACTGGCTTTATCTATGGTGGATCGCCTACACGAACAAGATGCATGGCCGAATCTACATCATCTTGAAGGAGAGCTTGAAATCAGTCCCAATCATTGGATGGGGTATGCAGTTTTACAACTTTATTTTCCTGAGCCGGAAGTGGGAACAGGATCGATACATGTTTAAGAAGCATCTGGACCATCTGAAGAACCCCAAAGATCCGATGTGGCTGCTCATCTTCCCCGAGGGTACCAACTTGTCAGCGGTAACGAGGGAGAAATCGGCAAAGTGGTCGGAGAAGACTGGAATCCCAGACATGAAGCATCAACTATTACCACGCTCCACTGGGCTGCAGTTCTGCCTGAAGGAGATGCGAGGCTCCACGAACTGGTTGTACGATTGTACCATCGCCTATGAGGGAGTACCCAAGGGCATGTATGGTCAAGACATTTTCACCCTGAAGTCGTCGTTTTTCGAAGGCCGGCCGCCCAAGTCGGTCAACATGTTCTGGCGTCGTTTCAAGATCTCTGAGATACCTTACCAAGACGAAGACCAGTTCAGCCGCTGGCTTCTCAATCGATGGCGCGAGAAAGACTACATTCTCGAGTACTACTATAAATTTGGCAGTTTCCCAGATGAGGAGCCAACGAAAGCTTTGTTAGCTACGGAAGGCAAGAGGAAACCAAATCATGCCAAGTCGATATCGACGTCTGTCAAGGGTGGAGGCTGGGACGAGTTCTTGAGCATATTTGGACCCATCACTACAGCAGCTGGGGCTCTATCAAACGTCGACATGACAGAGCCCTTCAATTTTGACGATATGATGCGGAAGGTCGCACAATCACAGCAATTCAATTTGCTCACGCTTGGCAAATCGCCACTGGGAGCAGCATCACAAGAGACGATCAAAAAGGCACTACTGGCAGCCAACAAGCAGAACCCATTACCGACAAGTGTGATCAACCAGTTGTTGAAGACGGCACCAGCAACGCAGGGTCAGATGAAGCAAGCACTGCAAAAGTCAGGCAATCCTGATGTTGCAAAGAAGGCGGCAAAGGCGCCAGGGTCAGACAAGGCGATGCCGAATGACCAGAAGAAAGAGCTGTCGAAAGCTGGCGGTCAAGCCGTCAAGATGGTGTCGGATCTCCAGAAGAGCAGCCCTCCCAGCTCAACACCCGTCGATAAGGTCAAACGTGAGATCCCTCTGGCCAATCTTGAGAGCATGATAACGAGGCCAATAAGTACGATGGCGATTCACACCGTCGGGCAAGGAGTGAGAGACCTCGCAGCCGCGCGGGCTGGAAAGAAGAACCCAGCAGCAAATGCAAACGGCAAGCCGCAACCGCCTAGAAAACCATCGACGCCGCCCGCGAAGACACCTCTCACGGCTAAGAATCTTCGCAACGTACCTCAAAAGCCCATCACCATTGCGAGAACGTCGCTGCCGCCGTCTGTCAGGCCCAAGGCTGCCTCTATCAAAAGTGCTCCAGTGGGAGGAGTGAAGAAGCTCGGAGGAACGATTGTGTCGGCACCGCCAGCGAAGAGACCACCCGCTGCGAAGAACTCCAAACCGTTGGGAACGCAGAAGTATGTGAATGGGAGACCGGTATGAGTCCATGTCATTATCAATCTTTTGACGAGAGGCGTTGCTATTGAGCGTTATGAGCATGACTGTACGATATGCGACTGTTCTTTTGCTGCAGCATAGAATGGGGTGTGCAACGAGTCTTATGAAGATCTCGCTACAACAGAACGTTGGGCGTGGTTACTTTCATTCCAAGGCCACATTCGTCCACGAATGCCCACACAAGCCAGTGGAGAGCTTTCCCATCTGTGAGAGGCCAGGAAACGAAATTCGCAGCAACGGTTTTCACAGTTCTGGTCGCCTGTTTCAGGTGTGACTAAACGACAGCACGATGCCGATCGAGAAGTCCTTTCACAGCCACTTGATATCGCAGGGATGTGATCCATCTGTGGCTGGTGTGATACAACAAACGTCATCTTGCATCGATGTTAACGCAATTCCAGACCCTCTCCACGTCTCGAGCATCGATGTCCTTCGAGATCTGCAGCTCAAGGGTCACGATGGACGGGCAGGGGAAGCACGTTCCCGCCTCGAATACTTGTTTGCTGATGCGCCACATCAGGTAAGTGTCTGGCCCATTTTCTTGTACCTCCGTCTCCTTTGATCATACGTCTGATCTACCCATATACCTAATTATCATTGCGTGAACCTCTCTCACGGACTGCGAGCTACAACCAAACGCCAAAATGTTCCAATGGGCGAAGGACTGGGTGGTGGACAAGGTGTACGGCGCCGCGAAGACGGGCATCCAAGCCGGCGGCACCATGGCCGGCAACGCTGTCGGCGGCGTGGGCAACCTGATTGAGAATTCTGGTCGAGGGGTAGGCCAAAGTGCGAGTGGTCGGTCTCCTCTCCCTGCGTGCTTCAGACTAACCACCTTCTCCCTCTGACTCTAGGCGTCGCAGGATACGTAGGAGGCGTGGGCAGCTACATCAACTCCTACGGCGACGGCATCATCAACTCGACGGCGGCGGGCGGTGGCAGTAGCAGCGCGGAGAAGAAGACGGCCGTGAAGCCCACCCAGGCTGCGAGCAAGACCGCAGGCAACGCTCAGAAAGGCGTCTCGTCGGCGACGAAGTCTCTCCCTCCTGTCCCAGCATCCAAGGCCCTGCCAGCAGCTCAAAGGACACCGCCCTCCAAACCACCCGCCAAAGCCGCGCCCGCCAAAGCACCACCCGCGAAGAAACCCAACACCCCCCAAACCGCCACATCCAAATCCAACACCCTCCCCAAAATCTCCGCCTCCTCCGCCGACAAGACCCCCGACGGCAAGACGCGCATCTCCGCCGCCAGCCGTCCGAACAAGCCCAGCGGTGGAGGTGGTGCCCATAGCGCCAGCTCGGGCGTCAAGAAGACGACGCAGAATAACGCGGGCCCCAGGCCGAAGATTTCGGCGGGGAAGGAGGATCGGACGCCGGATGGGAAGATTAAGATTTCGAGCGCGAGTCGGCCGAGGCCGGTGAAGGCGGCGTAGATGAGATGAGGTGGATCGGGTGTGGTGTGGTATGATAAGGGATTGTTTGGATTTGGATTTGGATTTGGCAGGGCGTTTCTGTGTTTAACATTTGGTGAAGGATGGATGGTATGGAAAAGAGAATGGCATGTAATAATATGAGCTGACGCAATGCTACGAATACGAGAGGTTTTGGGAGTAATTGTGAGTCTTTCAATCTTCCTGTTCATGAAGCTGACCATGCTAGACTGTAACAACGATATTAGTAGCACGGTCGACGATATATGAGCAGGTAGGTTCAACGTCTCCTCTTCGGAGAACATCAATCTGTAAGTCTATCTACTTCGACGAGGTATAGCTCCTTCACACTTCGGTGAGGCCATGGTTGTATTTTCAATATCCTTTGTTCTGTGCTTCCTTCTTTTTCTTCCAGTGTCTATTTCGACATTGAATAGCTCCTTCACACGTGGTGAGGCCATGTTTGTCTTTCGATGTTGTTCTCTTCCCCTTTTGCCAATGTCTACTTTAACGTGTAATAGCTCCTTCATACGTGGTGAGGCCATGTTTGTCTTTCGATATTTTTGTCTCTTCTGTTCTGTTCGCTTTGCCAATGTCTACTTCGACGTTGAATAGCTCCTGCACGCTTGATGAGGCCATTTTCGTCTTTTCGATGTTCCAGGCGGGTTTCTTTCGTCTTTCCGTTCTTCTTGTCTGTTGTTGGTGTCGTTTGCTGATCTCTGGCATCTTGTCGGGATTCTTTGTTCTTCATTCCTTCCACATCTTCCTCTCCCCAGCGAACATCCACCCAACAAGGACGCTTCCGCTCACAGCACTCAAGACATCTTCCGCCCACCACTCCCCGGAACATACGCCGACTTCATAGCCGCAATGCCCGCCCGCTGCGCGACATTCGCCGCCTCCTGTCTCCGTGCAATCTGGCTCGCGACAACCTGCTTCTTATGCCGCGACTTGATGGCATCGTTTACTACCCGCACGAGATCCGCCTTGCCTTTGCCCTTTGAGAGAGGCTTCTGCTTGCTGGATGCTTCCGACTTCTCGGCCTTCTGCTTCTCGACCGAGGCCACAGCAGCGATGTCAGAGTTGGAGGGCTGACCGGTCAATGGAGAGATGCTCTCTGCGATAATGTCCTTCTCCTGGGCTGGCGAAGCGGTTCGAGCCTTTTTAGTTACCACCTCTTGCGGGCCATCGTCCTCTCTCGAGCGCTTCACGCCAGTGATATGCGAGGGTGGTGGCATCAGATTGGGGTTGCTCTTCTTGGACCGCTCATCGCAATCTGGCTTGCCGGTATCCTCACGGGAGCGCTTCTTGCCAGCAACTGGAGGTGGAGATGGCGGTGCTGCTGGCTCCTGGGCCTGTTCAACTTGAGGCGATGTGGCCTGAACTCCCTTCTCTTCAGCTTCACCTGCTTGAGGTGCTGCTTCCTCCTCCAGAGCTTTCTCTGCTTGAGGCGCTGCGGCTTGGCCTTCCTCCTCTTGAGCTGGCTCTACTTGAGGCGCTGCGGCTTGAACCGCCTCCTCTTCTGATGGAGGTTCAACTTCAGGCTCAGTGACCACGGCAGGCTCGTCGGCGGCGAGCAACTCGAGATCCATCTCAATCGTGAAGAACTCCTCGTCGATGCCTTCCTCACAGCTCCCTCCGTGCGCTTGCTCATTACGTTGAGCTGATGCGTTGCCTTGCGGAGTGTGTCTTCGGTGGTGCTCTTCTGTTTGCCAATTTGCTCAATGTTGACCTTGAGTTCCTGGTCGCGCGCGGGAGATCGGTGATGTGCGAAACCCTCGCTATCAAAGTCGGCCATCTCATGTCTCTCCTTCTTCATAGCCGCCTGCTTGGTATCGAGAGCCTTGAGTTCATTCTTTGCCTTGCGGATCTGGCCGAGAACTGCGTCTCTCTCTTGCTGTAGGGCGGCGGCCTTCTCTGCTGCAGCTGTCTCCTTGGCGGCAACGTACTCACGGATCTCCTCATCGACCATCTCGTCTTCCAGTCCGGACTCGAAGTCTTCTTGATCTTCTTCGTCGAGAGGGGCCATGACGGCAGGCTCCATCATTTGGATCTTTTCCAGGACTCGGATGCCGAACATGCAGGGAACCATTTTGCCGCTTCCGTCCCATGAGGGACTCCAGCCCTCGTTGGGGAGTTCGAAGTTCTCGAGCTTGATTGCAATCTTGCCGGTTGGGGTGTAGATGCCACTGGCTTTGGCGTTGGGTAGATACTTGATGGACTTCAAAACGCAGTGGGCGACGATACCATAGGCGCGGGCTGTGCATGGCTCACTTTGCTCAGTCGCTTGCCGATGGGATGCTTTGCCGATGTGCACGAATGGAACGAGCGTCTCAGCGACCAGTCCCTTGTGCAGGATGTCACCTGGCTGTTGTTGCTCGAGGGCTGCCATGACCTGGCGATTGCGCTTCTTGGAGCCTTCGGTGTTGCTTGCTTTCTTGAAGTAAAAGGAGACGGTAGCGCTTAGGTTGTGGGTGGCATCCAGCTCGAGTTGAAGCATGAGGGTGTTGATGTCGACCTTGTCGTTGTATGTCTTTGCATCGTGAATGATGCTCAAAGCGCCGGTCTTCATGGACTTGTAGTCGGCCATGTTTGCGCTCGGCCTCGATGTTGTTTTGAAGGTGGGTGAATATGGATGTGGGTGTTGGTTCGGTGAGATGCGCTCGATGTCGTATACTGCTGGTGTCGATCTGTGTATGCTAGAGTCGAGGTAGCAGTATGCGAGAAGCGCGGTTTGCGAAAGACGTGTCGTAGACGAGCGCAGAATCCTCCAGTGTATTCGCGTGTCGCGGGCGAGTGCGATGTCGAGAATGCGTGTCGGCGACAATGAGACAACGGGTTTCAGGACAATAGGATTGTGCTGGAGTTGTCTCGGGTGGGATGTCTTGTTGTCGGCAACAAAGCAGACGCGGAAGAAGAGAAGAGCAGCGGCGGGAAGTGACTCGCTTAATCGTCGGGACTCGTGACTTCCCGAATTGGCGACGCGGGGCGGATTCATTCACTTGCGTGGTCCGTGCACCGAGCATCCTGGAACGCGGACTATGAGATGTACGTGCGATGGAAGCCCCCGAGAGTCATCGAACGCGATGTGGAAAACAGTAAAGATGTATGCAAAATCAAATCTCATCATGTCTATCAATGTGCTATCGTCTTCGCAAAAGTCCACTCGCAGCACCAACCGCTGTAGCTATGTCCTCCCCACACTATAATAGTCAAGCAAACTCTTCAAAGCAAATCAATATGGTCTCGTGTGCTCATTACTCTCACGTCATGCAATATCCTCATCTTTCTCTCTTCTCGTCAGGCTCACCGTTGAGCCTCGCGAGCAGCAGCAGACTCGAAGACGGCCTGCTGTGCAGCAGCCGCGGCCTCGTCGCGCGTAATGTAGTAGCCCAGCAAGTTATTGTTCTCGTCGTAGGCTGGCCACTTTGGCTGCACGTTTTGTACACCAGCATTCGCACCAACGCCCTCGTTCGGATTCGCGGTGAGCCAGTCGATGATCCGGCTCTGAAGGTCTGGCTTCTTGATGTTGGAGATCCCTCGGAATGGCTGACCTGGGTAAGTCTTGTCGGCCCAGCGACAGAACTTTCTGAGGTCGTTTCTCGTGATGTTCTTCCAGTCGTTGTCGCCGAAGGTCTTCCACTCTTGGCGCACGAAGGCCACATCGTGAGAGTTGGTGTTGGCGGTCGACCGAGCCGCTGCATCTGCGCGATCCTTCTGCAGGCGGTCTGTGCCTTTGCCGTCGTTTCCAAGTGATGAGAGTACGTTGAAGAACTTGCCGTGGGTACGCAAGAATGGCAAATCTCGGTCGATGGTGAAGACGATGGTAAAGGTCTTCTCTCCGGCGCGGGTCAGGACCAGCTCATTCTCATGTCTCGCTTCCTCCAAGTTCTTGATCGATGCGGTTTGGATGGTGAAGTAGGGCTCTTCTCCTTCCTGCCAGAACTTGAGAGACTTCTTATCTTGGGAGATGGCGGCTTTTGCAGCATCTGTCTTCAAGGTGTAGTCTTCCTCGTACCACCTCAACTCGACAGGCCACTTCTCGAATGGCGCACCCAGCTTGCGCTGCTTCGTCTTTGGGCTTGGCTCGTCTCCCGTGAGGTCGATCATGGTGCCTTTTGGAGAAGGTGCGTTTGGTGTAGTGCGAGTCTGCTTGTCTTTGTCATTGGTTTCTTGATGTGAGTCCCTCCGAGCGTGCTTCGCGACTCTGATATCACCCTGCTCTGCTTGCTCAGACGCGTCACGACCATCAGAGCACTTGCGCTTCTTGCTGGCCGGGGCGGAATGAGTGTTGATACGGCCCATGTTGGCTTGGATCGCGGACTGGTTTTGCTTGTTTGGAATGGTCATCTCTACAGTGTCGCCAGCGACTCTGCTGTTGGTGTTTGTGTTGGAAGAGTTGTAAGTAGTTGGGGTTTTGAGAAGGCAGTGTAGTCTGTCAAGTGGTAGATGTGAAGTCGCAGCGATGTTCGTGGCGGAAGCGAAAAGAGAGGAAAGCTTGCTGTGAGTGTCGCAGAGAGTGAGGGATCGCAGTATTTGAGGCAACGATCGCTCACGAACACTTTTCCACAATAGACTATCAACAATAGCATTGTGTTGTGAGCCCATTGTCGGGATCCCATTGCTGGATATTGTAACGGAAACGCGCTAGTGACCCGCTAGCGCGAAAATCAAGAGAATGCCAAGCTCGCAGCTTTACGTCCCATATGCCTGAACTGCGCCGCTATTTCAGACTTCTTTCGACACACACACAGTCTCAACTTCCTGTCGAAAGTGGAAGGAGAGCATGGTCCTCGTGTTGGGGTATAGCCCGTACGGCATGCCCTTGATGGGCTCGTAGTTCATTGATGAGACACCGTGCCGGATTCAAAGGTCCAGCCACGACAAACGTCCAACCACACTCAAGAGACGCGCTCTTCTTGAATGGGAAGGACATCTATACGTCCTCACGACTCGTGGTTAATTAGTACGGCGAGAACACGCTACCTGTGTGGAGCTTGTCTGGTTGACTTCGTGGCGGTGTGACCAGCAGGTTGTCCGTTGTCGGCGCGATGGAGAAGGTTGGTGGGCGTGTGACCAGGTTGTCAGTTGTCGACGCGATGGAGAAGGTTGGTGGGCGTGGAGGTGATGCCGTTGTGAGCGAAAGCGGGAGCAACAGCGCCCAGGCAGGTAACCCCAAATATTACCAACAGCGATATAGTGGACGAGGTCTTCCGTTTCCAGCGTGCATATTTCACAAAGGTTATACCAGCAGTGGAATCGGTGAAATAGATCGCGCACTACCCTGGCATGCAAATGTAGAGACTCCACGACTTCTGAGAACAGCGGCGGCGCTGCCATCGGCCGTGCGCGCGTGGCGTACCGAAACTTCACCCGTCTAAGGGGTCTCTGCTCTGGGAAGATGAGAATATATTAAAGATCAGTCGTGTATACGTATATTCAGGTAAAGGGGGCTCAGAATCGTAGCAGAAGAGTTGTTGTCATTGAGATGTTTGCTTTGATGTGGGGCGTTTGCTGGCTGTTTCTTTCATGGAGGTTCATACCGCTCTTTGTGCCCTAATCGAACCTATGCTAACAATGTTCTTCTTCTCTACATATGCCAGGGCGCCTTGCACCTCCACGATCATGACGTACGGGCGAATAATCTAGCCCAGGCATCGATGCTTCACGGCTGGAGTGCCCGCCAGCGACGAGATGATCTCTTGGCATCATTGCCAACTGCAAACGAGACGAAGGGCCAAAAGAGACTTCCATGACGTCTCAGTGTGTCTCTTTCATGGCGAGTAATCGTGCCACATCGGACAGAGTCGAGCTGCTCCAGGCCAGATAGGTCTGCTCAGGCCCTGAAGCTTTACGTAGGACGTATTCCGCACCTCGAGCCTGCGCCCACAACGGACAGAGCCGTTCTTGGTGTGCTGATGTCTTCCTCGATCACTTCTTGTCGTCTCCCGCCTTCTTCTTCTTGCTCTTGTCCTTCTTTCGCTTGCTCCGGTCTCGCTTCTTCAGACTCTGCATTCCTGCCTTGCACACCTCGGCGTATCTTGCGAAGAACGCTTCGATATCATCCGGCTGTACGACTGTACTGATTTTGACCTTGTTCTTGTTCTTGACCTTGTCTTTACTCTGGCTGTCACCGTCTGTGGCTCGTATGAGGATCGGTAAAGGGTTCGGAGGGTTCAGGTCCCATAGCGAGTCGTCTGCTACCTTCGTTCCAGGCGGTGGACTCTTCGCCGCTGTGTCGTGAGATACTGCAAACTATCAGCATATAATCACCTGGAGATTTGGGTCGATACACACATCTCTTTTGCGTCAAAAACACGGATCCATGGCCTTTCTGCTGCGTCTTCTCGAGGAGCGTAGCGAGCTGGGTGAAGAACTGGCTCGGAGTCAGTCACTGCCTACAACCGGAAGATTGACAACCATACCTCGTCGCTACTCAGTAGTCCGCTCATCGTTGCTTTGATCGGCCTCAGTCTGTGTGATATCTGGTCGAGAAGTGGGAGCTCGGACGGAGGTGACGTTGGAATTGGCTCGCGTGCGAATGTGGGGTCCGAAATGCGGGATGCCGATCTGTAGAGATCTTTTCCAGATTTTATTTCGAGTATCAACCCTTCAACGACAACCATGAGTCGCAGCGATTTCCGGGGGCCGAAGCTGCCTCGCACATTATTAGATCAGATCCAAGGCGGTCGCGTATCCAAGAAGCGTGATGTGCCTCGCAAGGACAGGCGCAAACAGGAACGTCAGGACAGGAAAGCCACGCATAGTCGACCATCGCAACGAACTCGACCAGACCGGGCGCCAATATCGGAGGAAGACAGTGAAGATGACAAGCCACCGGCGAAGCAATCAGCCATACCCAAGAACGACGCAAAGCCCAGCAAATCGATACTGAAACGGCCACCTCCCGAGCCAGTCGACAGCGAAAATGAAGAACCCAGCGAACCTGCGGTGTCAAGAACCGCCAAGGCGAAACTTGAAGACGATGATGCAGAGATTGCAGCATTGGAGAAGAGGCTTGGGTTGAAAAAGAAGAAGTCGAAGAAGACTGGGGATGATGGGCTGGATTGGCTGGTGTTTGGATCAGATGGTGAAGACGAACGCACAAGCAAGAGGAAGCGACCGGAAGATGATGAGTGGCTGCACAACAAGAGGCAGAAAGCTGGGGGATCAAAATCATCTCTTCACGACGATACATCATATGAATCCGAGCATGACTCGGACGCGGACGGTAGCTTCGACGAGGACCTTGAAAATCCATTCTCAGAAGATGAGATCTCAGCCGAGGATGAGGACGATTTCGAAGCTTTTGACGACGAGGATGAAGAGGATAAGAGTGAAGATGAACCAATACCAGTCAAGCAAAGGGAGAACCCGTACGTGGCGCCGGTGCCAAAAACCGAGCAGCCTGCCAAGTACATACCTCCTTCACTGCGACAATCTTCAGGCACTGACGACGAGGTCTTGAGGCAGCTTCGTCGCCAAATCCAGGGACAGCTCAATCGCTTATCCGAGGCCAACATTCTCTCGATCCTACAAGCGATGCAGGAGTTCTACACGAAGAACGCCCGGCAACATGTCACTTCAACGTTGATCGATCTTCTCACGAACTTGATCTGTGATCCGTCTGTCTTGAACGATACTTTCCTTGTGTTGCACGCTGGCTTTGCGGCCGCTGTGTACAGGACCATTGGCATCGATTTCGGGGCCCAACTTTTGGAGACCGTGGTGCGCATGTTCGACGCACATTACAGCACAGCCAGCGAAGGCAAACAAGAACTGAATCTTATCGCATTTCTGTCAAACTTGTACGCGTTTCAACTCGTTGGAAGCGAGATCATGTTTGACTACATCCGCATGCTTTTGGACAAGGACAACTTCTCAGAGACGTCGACAGAGCTTCTCCTGCGAATCATTCGGATGACTGGTACGCAGCTTAGGCAAGATGATCCATCTGCGTTGAAAGACATTGTTCTGCTCCTTCAAAAGACGGTCTCAGCAATCGGCCAGGATAAAGTGTCGGTCAGGACGAAGTTTATGATCGAGACTATCCACAACCTGAAGAACAACCGGATGAAGACAGGAGTGGTCGCTTCTGCATTGACCGCCGAGCACATGCAGAGGATGAAGAAGACGCTAGGAGGAATCAAGAACTCCAAGGCCACTGAACCACTTCGAATCGGCTTGAGCGACATTCGCGATAGTGAGAAGAAGGGCAAGTGGTGGCTCGTGGGTGCCAGCTGGAAAGATCCTGCAAAGATGGCCAATGGAGAATCAACGGCAGCACCAGCTCAGGCCGAGACAGATGATGCGGAAAACGATAGTGATGCCTCTGACGGCGATGTTGATCTCGACAAACTCGCTCGAGCACAAGGCATGAACACTGACGTTCGTCGAGCCATCTTTGTGGCAGTTGCTGGAGCTGTGGATTACCAGCACGCTCACATGCGGATCATGAAGCTAAATTTGAAGAACAAACAGCTGATTGAGGTCCCTCGAGTACTGGTGCATTGTGTGGGCGCTGAGCCAGTCTACAACCACTTCTACACATTGGTTGCTACCAAGTTTTGTGGCGATCACAAATTGGCCAAGGCATATCAATTCGCATTGCTTGACCTATACAGACGCATGGGCGAGACCAGAGATGGCGAAGATGAAGATGATATGGACACAGATGGCGAAGAACAGATGAGCGTTCGCAAGATCTACAACATTGCCAGGATGTACTCTACCCTCATTACGGAACAGCTGCTCCACATCACCATTCTGAAGCCTCTGAACTTTGGCAGCCTCAAGCCCAAGACCCAGATATTCGTAGAGGCTCTGCTATCGACAATCTTCAACCTGCTGCGGAAAAAGGCCCACAAGGAAGGCTTTGAGGATGCCGTTAAAGACGTGTTCTTACGAACACACGCTGTCCCGGATATGGTTCCAGGGCTGAAATACTACCTCTCGAATATCGTGCCAGACAGCGAGATCGCAGCGGACAGAAAAGAGAAGAAGAGAATAGCCCTTGGTTGCGAATATGCGGTCGAGGCGCTCTCGCAGCAGCAGACTGCAATGTCCATTGAAGACGAGCTTTCGGACTGATCTGTCGGCACGCATGGAGGCCAATATTAACAATGTGTAGGGTGCCTCTGCTTCAAGACGTCACAATCCAATAGCATTACCATTTCCGTCTAACTCACATTCCAGCTTTCGTCAAAGGCTTCTTTGTTCTTTTGTGAAGTCGTTCAAGCCCACATCTATCTCAACTCGAGTTCGCCGGATCCGGCCAACATTGTCAGATTGTTCTTTGTTCACATGGAGTTGATAGAGCTCACACAGTACCTTGAGAGCTTCTTGATGGAACGTCTCCTCGCCCCCAAGTTGTTCTCACAGCAACACCTACAATCATGTCTTGGTGGTGGCCGTTTTCCCGCAACACGGAAGAGTCCGTCGACGAGTCCGACTCCGACCAATCTGTTGTCGATGACGACGAATACGTTGAGGTCGTCGACGATGCGGAATATACTGAGGACCTTGATGAGGACCTCGAGGAAGATGTCGACGAGGAAATGAACGAGGAAATCGACGAGGAACTTGAGGACGAAACGATGCTGGACCACGATGCGTCTTTCTCCGTGCCCCTTGACGACTCTGATGAGTACGAAGCTCCGGCTCCATCAACTCCACGACATCCGTCAACTTCATCACCACCGCCTCCTTCACCCAAGTACCGGGCTCCTTCACCTCAGTACTCGCCAACATCACCCAAGTACGGCCGACGTGCCACTGTTGAAAGCGTTTCTGATGAGGATTTGCCAAACTCACGACAGCCGCGAACTTCACCACGGCGTCCTTCACCTCGGTACTCGCCAACATCACCTAAGTACTACCGCCGTGCCACTGTTGAAAGTGTTTCTGATGAGGATATTCCAAACGCACGACAGCCGTCAGCTGCACCACGGCGTGCTTCACCTCGGTACTCGCCAACTTCACCCAAGTACTACCGCCGAGCCACTGTTGAAAGTGTCTCTGATGAAGACTTTTCAAACTGGTCATCGATGAGGTATAACTCAAGACCGATTCAATACACTGGCGTGTCGCCACGGTATACACCACGAAACTCGGGAACATCTCCCAAGTCCCCTTCAAGATCGCCAAAGAATGGGCCAAGGTCGACGAAGTACGATCCACCATCGACATCTCCCCGCCCTAGAACTCCGGGAAGGTCACCACAGACATCACCGGTAAAATCAGAATCCCGAGGAAGCTCGCCCCGTGTCAAACACGAGATCGATGAGACCTACGATGAGCTCTTGCCCGACGGCGAGGAGTATGTACGCCATCACTCCAGCGATGAGGAAGTCCTAGACAAAGGAAGGGCTGCACAGCTACGAGCAGTTCTACAGCGCAATCCAGACCTCCGTTCTCGGTCTTCACAACTGAGAGATGCTTTTTTCGAGTACACGAACTCGCCTCGCGCTGGATCTCCTGCTCTTTCGGATTTCTCCGAATGGCTTGCTGCCGCTATCGAGTCCGGTGAATTCGATTACGATGAGCCTCCAGGAGACCCTGCTCAAGCCGACACCTCCATGTCTGGCATTGAGTTTGACTGGGAGGATGTACACGCAGGCTTCGACTTCGGTATTCTGGGGAGATCATTAGACGAACGCAACGACACCATCGCAGCCTTATTCCAACCCGAATTGGACAACCTGGTGCGTCGTGGCTACGAGGAAACGGAAGCTTTCGGATTGGTCGCTGGCCTCTTCGACCAGTACGTGGACGAATACAATGCATACGACGCCTCCGAAGGGATGTACCGCCACTTCAACAGTCCGCAAATGACAACGATGCGGAATTTCCTTCAAGGCGAGATACTCGAAATCGGCAGGAACCGGCGCAGTTTCAATCACCGACGGGACGAATCCATCGCTCGCATTCGACGACTTGTGGCCAACAGCGGCCACCCTTTCGCTGGATCGCTAGCGACTATGTACCAGGAGCTTATGGCCGCGGGTTACGATCCATACCTCATCTACGCCTTTCAGAGGGAGTACGAGGAGAAACTGGAAGAAGACATAAGCGAAGAGAGTGTCTTGAATCTACATGTCCAGATCGCGGACATAGATCCGACATTTTTCCTACAAAATCGGGCAGAGTTGGCTGCAGCCATTATGGCTGATGCAACTGAAGCGGTAGAAAGAGGCGACGAGGGAGTCGGGGCCGGCTATAGGTCACCTACGCGAGCCTCCACGGGGCCTGGGCTGTTCTACCGGGGTGATTCTTCGCCCGCCAGCACTCGATCGTCAAGGACATTTGGTCGAGGAAGCGCATCTCCTCCTGGTCCACCACCACCGCCTCCAACAACCCCAGCAGCAAACCCCCTCTTTACTCGCGTCCGCGAAAACCCTCCTCCCCCATCACCCTCCCACTCCTCCTCCTCATCAGACCCAGACTGGCCAGACCTCTCTCCCTTCCGACCCACAGCCCCAAGAAGAACGCCAAACCCACCCTCCGCCCGCGCCGGTTCCGACAACGGTTTCCTGCCGGACGACGAAGAAGAAGAAGAAGAAGAAGAAGAAGAAGAAGAAGAAGAAGAAGAAGAAGATCCAGAGCCCCTCCCCAACATCCCCAACATCCCCAACATCCCCTCACCACCACCAAACCCCCTCTTCACCCGCACCCGCGACAACCCCCCATCCCCCTCGCACTCCTCCTCCTCCTCCTCCGCCTCCGCCTCCTCCTCCCACAACAACTCCCCCTACAACCCCCCACTCCGCACCCCCACCCTAATCCCCTCCCCCGCCACCCCCCTCGCCCACGAACCCTTCGACATCTACATGACACGCAACCGTCCCTCCACCTCATCCTCAAAACGCAAAACTCCCTCCTCGTCCAAGAAATTCACAAAAGTCGATCCTTTGCGGTATACGAACCGACTTTACCAGCCGCGACGCTTGCCGGATACGCCTACGAAGAGTCATTTGCCGCCGAGTCCCAGACGGAGGGGACCGAAGGCGAAGAGGTGTGAGGCTTGTGGGAGGGCTTTTCGGGTGAGGAAGAAGATTGGTGGGGGTGGTGGGGGTGGGGAGAGGAAGAGTACGAGGGTGAGGAAGGGGGTGGAGAGGCTGGGGGGTTGAAGATGATGCGTGTAAGGGAGGATGTGTATGATATTGAAACGATTTCGTTGATTTGTTTGAAAGCTACCTTATCGTATCAATCCAAGACGTTCATTCACTGGTAGTGCTTTTCTTCCCTTCTTATCAATCAATCATCAACAATGCAAGCCCCTCCCAAAAACCAACTCCTCGCTTGAACTCAATACACACACACACCAAGAATGCCTTACCCTTCGAGCTTCTCTTCACTTCTTCCCCTTCGCAGCCCTCACACCACCAGTGAACCGTCCAAGATGACTCAGACTACTCTTCCCCTTAGAATGTCCACCGACCCCTTGCTGCTGAGGCCCTGTATTCGCTCTCAAAGGCAACGCCTGCGCACTATCCGGTCTCAAATGTCCCGGCTTCTCCGCGATGGCAGGCACCGTTCTGTTCTCCTTCTGTGATGAGGGCGCAGGCGCTTGGTCTTCCAACCCATGCTGGCTCATGAGTTGTCTCTGCTGCGACCGCCGTACTTTCTCTTGCGTCGCCTTGAACTTCTCGAGCAGCTCGGTCCATTTGATTCCACCGTCTTCTCGACTCTTTAGCCGGTTCTGGCGTTCGAAGGTGCTGACTGAAGATGGCGTGTTGGATCCTCCACCTGGCTGGCCTCGGACACCGATGTGTAGATATCCGATGGCTGACACGCTGTTCAGGCGGTTCTTCAGGGCAGCAAAGGCGCTGCTTTGTGGTAGAAGCATGAGTAGGCCGTACAAGCATTTGTAGAGGTTGGGGTGGCGTTCGGGTTCGAGGAGCTGCATACGAAGGTAGGTGAAGACGGGTGATTCGAGGAGTTGAACAAGCTTGTCGATTTGGATGAGCATGTTGACAGTCATTTCGATCTCGGCGAAGATCTGCAGCAGATTGTATGCTTGTTCGTAGGCCTGTGCGAGAAGACACAGGGAGAAGGTTGCCACGGCGTTGACACACCAGGCTTTGAAGAGGACGGTGAAGAATGTCTGACCATCGCGGCTGTCGAGGTTTCGTAATCGCTTCCTCAACTCTGCAAGTTCAGGTGCTGTGATGAGATTGTTGTTGAGGTTCTGGACCATGATTGCAGCAAACTCGATGTCGTCCTCGTCTCGCTCCAAACATTCTGCCATCGTTCGGTAAATCTTCTCGGCCGACAATGACAAGCACAGCTGCCGAATGATGAGATTACCCCTAGTCTCAAGTAATCGGCGGTCGGTGGCGAACAGCTTGAGAAGGTTGACCATGAAGGAGTAGAAGTAGCTGTCATCGCTACTCTTGCTGATCTGTGAAAGTAGTAGTAGATCTCTAGTTACCACGGCTTCCGCAGGGTCGCTCAAGGTCTTAAGAAGAGCTGGGAAAGTTGCGTCTTGAATAGCCAGGATCTTTCGTGGAGACTTGCGGTGTAACATGATCAACCATGCGAGTGCCGCAACTCGTGTAGCCTCATGTTCGTGCAAGAATTGAAGGGTCAGTGCGTTTACAGCAGCTTCGTAATCGAGGTCCGCATTCGTGTGTTGCTTCTCAGCAGTGTCAGAGTCGTCTGCTGGAGGCTCAGGGGTGATGACTTGAGGCGTTCTTGACGCAGAGTCTGGCTCTGGGGTGGCTCCCTGCTTGCCACTCTTGCCAATTGACTCTCGCTTGTCGTTTCCGTTGGCATCTTTCGACAGCCGCAGAGCAGATGCCAGGCTGCCACCAGTATTGGCAGATTGTGGAGCAGCGCTTTGCGCCGACTCTGGTGGCCCACTCTGAGCCTTCGCAGGATCTTCCGGCAATGACATGATATAGTTCATCAGCAGTTGATTGACCCGCTGAGCAACTTGGCTGACATGCTCTCGATCGTGCGAAAGAGCTGGGAGTAGTTGCTGGAGTAGCTTTGGTGTGAATGCTAGAATGTCCTCAGGGCAAATTTCCAAAAACACCTCTATCCATTTCAGGGTCGTGATCTGTATCTCTTCCTCTCGTGATTCGGCCAGGAAGTTGACCAGGATCTCCAGAATGCGTGGATAGTCGATCTGAACATCCTGACCCGGTATCCATTCATCCTCCGGTCCGGGCCCACCAACATCCTCTTCATCATCTGCAGCCGTCAGCGATGATGCACCATCCTGGATCTGGGCATCACTCTCGATGGCTTGCTGTTCAGCTTGCTGTTCAGCTTGCTGTTCACCCTCAGGCGGTTCCATTGTTCCTCCCTCGCGGTTCTCACGGCTTTGTGTGAGATCTGCATCTGCTTCTGCATCGTCCTCCTTTTCACTTTCCACCGCAAAGCTGGAATCGCTGGCCTTCCTGTTCTCTTCTCTGCCCTTCTTGCTCTCTGCAATACCCTTCTTCACAGCCGCAATCTTCTTGATCTCGACCAAGAAGCGATCCAGCGCGGTTTTGGTGGTGGTATGGACGTCCTCGTTTGAGTCACTGAGAAACCTCAGCAGACCGCTCAAGAAGCTGGGCAGGTATGCGACAAGTTCGAGGTCCGGTATCTGATCTAGTAGTGTTATCCATGATACAAGAAAGGTGCGGGCGAAAGGATTCTGAACATTGATGCGCTCTTGCAGGAGTGGTATGAATCGCGGTAAGCTGAATGCGGTGGGTATCTCCAAGCTCTGGTCTGGGGTGTTCTCGCCGGATCCTTGCATGGCCTCGGGTGCTAAGACGGACGCATACGTTGCAGCAGATTCTGAGACAATGTCTTTGACCAGCCGATCGAGGAGCTCGGCGCCGTTCTTGACCGAAAGCTCGGTATCTGCAGCCAGCTTGGCGAGAGCGTCGAAGACGTCGTTGAAGTAGACGAGGATCTCTCCCTTGGCGACCTTTGCGATGTTGTACATGCTTTCGCACGCATAGTACCGGACACGGGCATCTTGGTCGGAGAAGCAGGCCAGTACGGGCGGCACTATCTCACTCAGGTATCGCGCGACTTCCTACAGATATTAGATCCACACCAACCATCATCGATGCGGACGTTCTCACTGATCCCAAAGCTATTGCGGCTGCTGCCAGCCCTATAAGGCCGCCATTCCGGGCATGAGGCTGGTGCACGGCATATGCGTAGTCATGGCACAGCTGCCAGACAATCTTGCCGATGCGCTCGTGATTGCCGTCGGCGAGGGCTTGTCGGATGGTGGACTCGAGTCTGTGGGCATGCTCTTTCAGCGTGTTTCTATCGTAGCGATCAAGCTTGACCTCGTAGTCGTCTTTGTAGGGGCACCGCGAGGACGAGGCGGGGACGGGCGGCGGCTTGGAGCGCTTGAACAAGGCCATGTTCGGGGGGTATTATCGAAGGGGGGGTGGTTTGTGGGAGCGAGTACAAGAAGAGGGGCAGAGGGGGGGGAGAGAGGAGAGGAGAGGCTTACTCCAGAGCGCCTGCCTTTCGCTTGTCATACAGCTTGTCCTGCAACAGCCGCTGCACACTGCTGTCCATCCTGTCTGCCGCTCATCCAACTCGCGTCTATCATGCTATGTAGGGGTGGTGTCTGTATCTTCCTTTCACTCGCCAGCCCGAGCATGTGATGGTCTTTCCTTGTGCGACCTCCGACGGTGAGGTCATTCCCCTATCGATACTCGTTCCCGTGCCGGCGAGGCTTTCCCGTTGCGCAGAGGAGGAAGGTGTGGTGTCACTCACAAGCGATCAAGAACGCAGGCGCGGTCGGAGCTACATTGATTAAGCTTCATTGATCTAACCGAGACCGAAGTGCTTAGTCATTCTCTCGACTTCAGATTGACGCATCCGGCCAGCCACAACTTTCCACCTCACACACCTTCCAACACCACCACCACATCTCACGTGCGCAGTCATGTCCGCCGACGAGGCCTCGCGCGAGCTGTCGCGACTATGGCGCGTCATGCGCACCGTCAAGCAGATGTGCGTTGACAGAGTATGCGCCTCGAGACACCGCATCCTACTTTCATTGTACTAACAGACGCAGGGCTACGAGTTGACCGAAGAAGAGTGCAACATCAGCCTCGAAGACTTCCGCCTGCAATACGCCGACTCCAACGGCGCCCCCGAACGGAAGAAGATGTCCTTCACCGCCCGCCCCTCCGCCACCATGCTGCAAAAGTACACCCCTCTCCCACGACCCAACAAGCCCGAGCAGGAACCTGAGATCGGCACCATCCACGTCGAGTTTTCTACCGAGCCTAATATCGGTGTCAAGCATCTCAAGCAGTTTGCGCATCTGCTCAGCGACAGCAACTTCTACACTGGTATCTACATCTGCCAGCAGGCGCCTACCTCTGCCGCGAACAAGGTCATTCCTACCCTTCTGCCGACTGTGCTGGAGTTGTTCAAAGAGGAGGATCTGCTGGTCAATATCAGCCGGCATGAGCTGGTGCCCAAGCATATCTTACTCAGCCAGGAAGAGAAGCGTGGTCTGCTGGAGAGGTATCGGTTGAAGGAGACACAGCTGCCACGAATCCGAGTCGATGATCCCATGGCGAAATACCTGGGACTGCGGAGGAGTCAAGTCGTCAAGATTATCAGGAAGTCAGAGACGGCTGGGCGATATGCCAGTTACAGATGGGCGATATGAGAAGGAAAAGGAAAGACAAGACCAAAACTGTGATTTGATAAAGCGAGGCGTGCGGCGTTGGGGGTGGGCATGTACTTGTATGCGGCAATTGCATCTGCCGCTCAGGAAGCGGCAAACAGTGGTGAACCCGGGGAAAATCTTGTGTCTCATTAGATAGCGCAAAAAATTGATGCTGCTACGCGCCGATTTTGATACTTCTCAATCCCAAGCTCTTGGTGCACACGTTCTGCGGCGTTTCATCTGATGAGCGGTTCGCATTCCAAGAAGTGCCTGACCTGATCCTCCTCAAAGTCGAACGCAAGGTCACTCCTCCATTCCGGGGCCTCTTTCTCGCCACGATGTATCTTTGCACTTCACGAAGGCGGCATTGTACGCGTTGGCGTTGTTCCTCACGAGTTTCTGAGAAACATGGTCAGCGTTTCCCAAGAACAAAGGAGTGGGAGTGTGAACCAGCCTTCTGTCATTCTCCCGCGGTTCTTGAAGCACAGCAGAAGGAGCGCGAGATCCGTGTAAGAGAATTCGCCGAAACACGCACTTGCGATGTCGAAAGCAAAGTCGACCTCTTCGTGGTAGGTCGGGTGAGGAAAAGACCACGCACCGCGCAGCTCGTCTGTGCGCTTTGTCCACAATGTCGCTCCATCGGACTCTTCAAATTCAGGATACAGGTAGTACAATCCGGCATCGATGAGCTGTTGAAGAGATGTCGTGCAAGATCGGCCTTGGTGATTGAGCGTGCCCTGAGAAAACCACCCTCCGCTGTCCCACACGTTCGAGACTCTCCATTCCACCAGTTGCCGCAACCTCGGATGGTCGCTTTGAGCACATTTCAGGCGCTTAAAAACCCAAAGGTCTCTGAAAAACTGGCCCATCGGAAACAGGTGTGTGTCGACCACAAGGATCTTCATATCCCTCGGATCTCGTCCGGTCCTGTCGCATCTGTAGATGGCACCTTGAATGGCGAACAGCAGCGAGCTGCTCCATGACATCAAGTTGTCGGCATGGCCGCCGAAACTGCCCATCGCGAGGTCGATATGAGAATGCAGCATCTGCGTCGCCATTGCCTTGTCGACGTTGAGGAGATCGATCCTGCTGACGGCAGCTTGCTTGTGAATACTGGCCATCGAAGCAACCACAGTATCGTCGGTTCTACCGAAGCTTTGCGAGTCAAAGAATCGGAAGAGGTACCTCGGAGGACGGGACACCTTGCCGTCGTAAGGGTCGAACATCGACAGTGGCCAGAAGATCGTGGGACCACCATGACAGCTGTGCAAGGCTCGCCTCCAGAAAGCAATCCACTTGAAGTTGAGACTCTTAGGCCCAGTGTTGCCACTCCTCACTGGTTCGATGCATAAGCAGCCGCCATCGTTGAGAGCGTGCTTATAGCACTCTTCCACAATCTTCCAAACAGCATTGTCAGGGTTGGGTGAGCGGTCAAGACCGAACCGGATGAAGTTCTTGATTTGAGGCGAGAATCGAGACAGAATGGATCCAACTCCCATTTCAGCACTCGATGGTTTCGCAGATGAAATGATCTGAGACATGGCATATTCCTCTGATGAATCTCGAACCTTGGTGATGTTGGTGGAGAGGGCGCTCGCTTCCTTTCTCAGAGCGATGATGGAGGACACTCTGTGCGTAGAATTGGCTTTGGCGCTTCGAATCGCTTTCTGGACCTTTCGAGCTTCCGCGATAACATCTTGAGCGGCTTCTATCAGCTTCTCGGTTGCATCGTCTAGTTTTGTAGTTGGTCCAGGGCCAGGCGCAGCAACAGACAGCGTCTGCATCATGTCGAGCACAACCTCGAATGAGGGTGCCATTGCCGCCATGTGTGTTTCGAGATCATGAGAGAAAGGACATTGATGTCAAAAAGACAAGACGAAGAGTTAGAAGGGGTAAGTGAGTGCTCATGGTTCTTTCCACTCCATTTGCATGACCCGGTAGTGAGGAAGGTGCATGGGACTGGTTTCACCGTGCGGATACCTACACAGAAGCAATGTCCGCAGCTTCACCGCACTATTCAATAACGCGCATATGGCAGTGAGGACGGAGTGTAACAATTCACTTTTTTACCTACATTCCGGGTGATGGAGAAAGAGCATCGAGAGCGACTTCTGGTGAGGTCGACGCTGGTCTCAGATCTCACGGTGAGCTAGCTTCATCAAATCAAAGAGGTCTAAGAGCTGAGACCGAGCTCTCAATTGAACACCCAGTCCGGCTTCCTCACTCGACAAACATTGCGGATCCGTGATTTTGTTCCCATTCCGCGAACACATTATGAAGTGGGGAATGAACATGCCATCCACTTAAGCGCCAGCAACCCACAAGGTCTCCCCATGAAGCATCTCACTGTCCGGCACTGTCCTATCGCTTGGCGATGACACCTCGCCTGAAGACCGGACTGGAAATCGAAATACGGGGATCTGCTACAAAAGAATATAGCAAACGATGATTTAAGACGCTGTACATCTGAGAATAAGCAGCCTTTGTGGAGTTGCATCCGGTCAGCATGGGTTTCAAGAATCCATTCAAGGCTGACGACAACGGCGCTGCTTCTCGGGGAGAGTATGAATTGGTCGATAATGGCGGCCCCTCGAATCGAAAGGTGGAAGGCGAAGAGGAGATCTTGACTGAAGCTGAGAAACAAAGTCTTCGCAAAGTTGCAGATGATCTGCCGTGGTAAATACACATCCACATTCCAACTCCTTGAGTCCCATCAACTTAGTACCGCCACAGGTCCACCTTCCTCGTCGCCATAGTCGAACTCTGCGAACGCTTCGTACGTTTTCAATCCCTCATACACCTCAAACATCGACTAAAATCCCACTCAGACGTACTACGGCCTCTCCGGCCCCTTCCAAAACTACATCTCCAACAGCTACCACGACCCCTCCGGCCTCCCAGGCGCCCTCGGCCTAAACCAACACGGCGCCACCGCCCTGACCAACTTCTTCCAGTTCTGGTGCTACCTCACCCCCATCATGGGCGCGGTCCTAGCAGACCAGTATCTGGGCAAGTACTGGACGATCTTTTATTTCAGCATCGTCTACGTCGTCGGCATTGCAGTATTGTTCTTTACGAGTCTCCCGGCGTCCATCGAAGGTGGTATGGCTTTGCCGGGGTTGGTCGTTGCGATGGTAGTTATTGGATTGGGCACGGGAGGAATCAAGGCGAATGTGAGCCCTTTGATCGCGGAGCAGTATCGCAATACGAAGGCTTTCGTCAGAACGTTGAAGACGGGGGAAAAAGTCCTCGTGGACCCTGCCGTGACGGTGCAGAGGATCTACATGATTTTCTACATGTGCATCAATTTCGGGAGTCTATCAAGCTTGATCACCACGACGATGGAGCTGCATGTGGGGTTCTGGGCGGCGTATGGATTGTGTTTGGCCACGTTTATTGTTGGATTCGTTACTTTGGTGGCCGGAAAGAAGAAGTACGTCTTGAAGCCGCCGAAGGGATCGGTGCTCCCTCATGCAGCGAGGATATGTTGGATTGGATCGAAGAAAAGGAATCTGGATGCTGCGAAGCCTGAATACATGGACAAGGCTGAGGTTCCTTGGGACAGCACTTTCGTGGAAGAAGTTCGCCAGGCGCTTGTCGCTTGTAAGGTACGCTGGGAACCAAAACTACCATTGCTGATCGCAGCTGATTGACGTTTCAAGGTCTTCCTCTTCTACCCAGTCTACTGGTGCGTATATGGCCAAATGCTCAACAACTTCATCTCGCAAGCGGGCCAAATGGAACTCCATGGCATCCCCAACGACATCATGGCCAACATTGATCCCATAACCATCATAATCGTACGTCTCATTTCCACCAACACCCCTTTCAACAACTAACACCTTCCAATCCAGTTCATCCCCCTAGTCGACACCTTCCTCTACCCGCTCCTCCGCCGACACAACCTCCCCTTCCCCCCCATCGCCCGCATAACCGCCGGCTTCCTCCTCGCCGCCCTCGCGATGCTCTACACCGCCTACGTCCAAGTAACAATCTACGCCTCCCCGCCCTGCTACTCGCATCCACGAGCCTGCCCCGCCGCCCTCCTCCCCTCCTCAAACTCCTACACCCCGAACAAAGTCCACATCGCCCTCCAATCCCCCGCCTACTTCCTCATGGGGCTCTCGGAGATTTTCGCGAGCGTGACGGGGCTGGAGCTGGCGTTTACGCGCGCGCCGGAGAGTATGAAGAGTTTGGTTATGAGTGTTTTCTTGTTGACGACGGCGGGCGGGGCGGTGTTGGGGGCCGGGGTGAGTCCTTTTGCGAAGGATCCGGGGGTCGTGGGGTTGTATCTGGGGCTGGGGGCGGTTTGTGCGGTTGTTGGGGGTGTGTTTTGGGGGGTGTTTAGGGGGTTGGATAGGGAGGTCAAGAGGGAGGGGGGCGAGGCGGGGATGCATGTGGGTGTTGATGAGGTGGCGAGTGTGTTGGCGAGGGAGAGTTTGGAGAATAAGCGGTCTTGAAGGGAATAGGCAGTGCTGTTGATTGATTGAATTATCTGATCTCCCACACTCTTATTTTGCCCTGTTCGTTTGCCACTGCAATAACGGCATACACATCACTACCTTCGACGACATCACCCTTGGCGAACGCAACGCCGGTGATGGTTCCCAGGGGAGTCGAGTTTGTCGGCCAATTCTTGAACACAGTGCAGCTAGGCAAGTGAACCAGCCTCATCGCATCTCTTTTCCACTTCGACGCAATGGCCATGACTTGCCCGTCGTGAGAAAAGGCCAAGTGCGAAGTCGGTGTGGTGAGGTGGTCGAGTGTCTTGGTAGGCGTTGGCTGTTCAGGAACTGCACTATTCTTGCCATCAAACCAGGCTCTCCGGTCGTAGATGTTCACAATGCCGGACGAGCTGCCGATGGAGATCCATCGATCCGTGCCAATGGGCGACTTCACAAGTTCATGTTGTCCTCCCAGTGCGAGTGTGGTCGTTCCAACCGCACCTTCATCCTGCCATCGCGCCACAACTTTCTGGTCTTTGACGCTCCATTCTGTGACTTCGCCGCCTTTTCCTGCGATGCAAAGACCGTTTCCATCTCGCCACCAAGCGAAATCTGCTATGCCGCCACGACTTTCGATGCGGACTTGCGAAGACCACTGTAATGTCGCAGCGTCCAGGATGTTGACCACACCGCCGCCTTTCTTCGTAGACCCCAACAAAGCCATGTGTTTGCCATTTGGGGATAATTTGAAGCGATCCATAGACTTCTGCTCGTGCTGATGGCCGAAGATGCGTGTTACCTTTTCAACGCGGCCGGTGGAGAGATCCCAAACGTGAAAGTAGCGACGAGGTGAGGATAGAAAGATGCGAGAGTCGGTTGGATGAAACGCTGTTGTCGAGAGATGGGAGCCACGGATGTGAAGGCTTGTAAGAAGTGGATTGGGTGTCGGCGCAGGAGGCGAGGAGGCCAGGTGGTGTAAGTACAATGTCGACGATGGACCAGAGGAGAGCAGAAGCGGTAGGTTGCGATGGAAAGATAGTGAAGTGATAGCGCTGGGCTGAACTCCCGGAATGTCCTTGGCTCGTTGGATGTCGATAACTTCAGGTCTGAGCTTACGCTTCTTGCCCGCACCAGGTCCAGATTGTCGAACAAGAGATTCTGCGTCTTGGAGTAGTTTCGAAAGAGGAGCAACTGATGGAAGATCGTCGTCGACATCCATCTCGTCGTCAGACTGTTCGTCTTGTGAAGAATCGTCATCGCCTGATAATCGTCGTTTCTTCCGAGCTGGCTTCTGCATGGCAGTCTGTGCCCATTCAGGTGCCGGACTCAGAAGCTCGAACTGCTTCCGCAGGCGTCGAGCGTACTCCTTGCCATTCACCACATCTTCCATCTCTGTCCGCCTCAGCTTTCGCAGACGTGGAGCTGAAGCAAGCGAGACCAAAGTCCTCTCATCGTCGCTGTCTTCCCACGCCGGCGGCTGTCTCGATCGCAATGTTTCATCCTCGCTTTCATCCTCCAAGCCCGTCTCAGGTGGCTGATATAATTGTTGACCGGGTGTTGAGTCCGTGAAGAAGAGCTTTGAGACGTCAGAAACTGCTAAGTCCCGTGCGTATAAAGAGCATTCTGACCTACTTGTGCATCGTCCAGACCTTCCAATCCGGTCACGTCGTCTTCGTCTTCCTCTGCGACATTCTCCACCTCATCTTCCGACACGTCCCTCAGCCCTTCTCTGAAGCCCGCACTGTCGCCAAATACCAATCGCTCCAGCTCTTCTTCAGCCTCGTCTTTCTCTGGCTCGCCATCGACCTTGATCTCGACATCGGATTCTTGCTCGTTGTCGCTCTCTTCGTCTGACGCTTGCGGAGGGGGCTGCTCAGCAAAATCGACCTTCTTCGAGCCCTGCGATTTCTTCGCCTTCGCCATTGTGACCATCCGCGACATCGGGTGCTTCAGTTCAGAGAACAGTGATCTGGACATCGGCCTCCAGAAATTTATCGAAGCTCGAGTTTCTCATCAGCCCAATCCAGACTAGCGCGAACCCTAAATCTTGCGCCGGGGTTCCCTTTGCGTCGACTCTCTCGCTGCACGCGACAATCCACCTCCAACAACAACCTCACCTCACCCTCACCCTTCACCGCAGCGCATCCACTCGAAACACCCGCACAAACATCACCTTCACAGCAGTGCGACACGATTGAATACGACCACGACCGAAAGCGCCTTCAAACCTGCGATCGAGGCCTGAGCCTCCACCCTCTTCTCCTTCGACCGCGACATTTTCGCCACCTTACTACAACCCCCTCCGCAAACATGGCCGCCCCTCAGGTCGACGCCGGCAGCGACCTGCAAGCTAAGATCCAAGCTGCAGTTCAGCCCAAGCTCGTCGAGAACGGCTGGGTTGACGAGGAGAACGACTCCACCCTCTCAGAATATGTGACGATGATGATTGTGAATGGAAAGGACGCCAAGGGAGTCCAGGCAGAACTCGGCGGTGACTTGCTTGGTGTCGGAGAAGATGATCCTGGAGTAGGTGCCTTTGCGCAGTGGCTATTTGACACCGTGCGCCAGCTTTCAGCGCCTCAGCAGCAGCAGCAGAGCGGAGCACAACCACAAAAGCAGCAGCAGCAGCAGACGCAGCCGATCCCCACTGTCCAAGATGCGCAGATGGAAGACACCACAGCAGCGGCCGACGCACCGTACGTCAACTTTTCTCATTTCAACAACTACGATGGGCTCGGTCAGCAGGCCGGGTCCATGTACTACCCCAACCCCTACTTCAGCGGCTATGCACCGCAGATGATGCCTCGCCCCTTTGCTTACCAGCAGATGCAACACTACAATCAACTGACACGCAGCCAAAACAGCCCGACCGGCCCTCGATCGATGCGCAACGGCAGCACCCAAGGCCGTGGCCGAGGTGGACGCATGCTCGGTCAGATGAACCGACAGATGGACAGAAACACCGACCTGCCCGACAACCTCCGCAGAATCAAAGGCGCCTCGGGCATTGCCGCAGGCCGCATCAACTCCCACTCCGGCCGCGACGGCCCACCACGAGGTCCTCGAGGATCAGGAGTCGCCAACGGAGTCCAGCGTATGATGAACGGCGGACGCGGCGCTCACCAGAACAACATGCCCGGCATGCCGAATCCGATGATGGGCGGCGGTCCCGCAAATCCTCAGCAACAGATGCAGTTCATGCAGATGATGGAGATGCAGACCAACATGATGGCGCAGCTTATCGCAAGCGGACAGATGCCCAACATGAACGGCAACTTTCAGAACCAGAATCAGCGTGGCGGCAGAGGAGGTTCAAGAGGCGGACGAGGTGGCAACAAGCAGCTACACGCAGTCAACGGCAAGATGCCCGAAGGCGCACTTCCCGGCAGCAACACCAACGCAGGTGGCTCAGGTATGGATATCGATGGCGAGGAGACTAATCACGGCGACAAGTTCTCGACGTTGTGTCGCTTCAACCTCACCTGCACCAACCCAACCTGCGGCTTCGCGCATCAGTCGCCCGCCGCACCACCAAACGCCCCCGTCGACCTGTCAGATACCTGCGCCCACGGCGCCGCCTGCACCAACCACAAGTGCAGCGCACGCCATCCATCCCCCGCCCAGCGCAGCCAGAACGGCAAGCAAGAAGTCGACTGCAGATTCTTCCCCAACTGCACGGCCGGCGCCAACTGCCCATTCCGTCACCCAACCGAGAAGCCGTGCAAATTCGGCGGCGACTGCACGAACCCGGGGTGCAAGTTCGCCCACCCCAAGATCATGTGTCGGTACAATCCATGCCTGAACCCCAGCTGCATGTTCAAGCATGCCGACGGACAGAAGCGAGGTAAGTTTGAGGACAAGGTGTGGACGTCGAACGGCGGAGGGGAGGACGGCAGCAGCGGCAAAGCAGACAGATTCGCGGATTTCGCGAAGCAGACGGAGAATGGTGAAGAGGAACTCGTGCTTCCTGGACAGAGCAACGGACAGCAGCAGCAGCAAGAGCAGCAGACGACCGGCGGAGGTGGAGGTGATGTCGAAGCGATGGATCAGAGTCAGCAGCCTCAGGGCGACAGCTCGAGTTCGGGACAGATGGAGACGCAGATCGTCGTCTAGGAGAGACGAGACGCGAGGTTGGTTCAAGGAACATGCGCATAATGTCTTGCATAATGGGATGGAGGCGGGGGACGCTTTATCATCGCATGGTGCAAGGTGGTTGTCTGGAATCGAATAGTGATGAAAGAAAAGGAAAGGAAAGCATGGGAACATGGAAAATGGCCGGTGTACTATGCTGTACTTCTACTACGGAAAAACGGGTGGTGGTGATTGATGATGAGAGATGAGCAAGGAGTTGAGATGATGATGCTGCTTTCATCAAGAGAGATGAATGCTAGCAGAGTCTGTTTTTGTACTTTGGCAGAGATGGAGAGTGCGGAAGCAGACAGGAAGGACTGCTGCTGCTGTAAATACTCTTTTTGCCTCCAAGACTACAGAAATGCATTTTGAGATGGGCGCTTGAAAAGTTCAAGGCGCATGGGACAGAATATCTCGACTTTCCTTTGCTTCATGTCATTTGTGCTGAGGTGAGGTGACTTCAATTTCGAGACTGATGATGAGATGATGAGACGGTGAAGGTATTTTCATCTAACGTGCATTTCATTCCGGATCATTCTGCTATGGCTCCGCAGCTATGATCTTGTCTAATAGATGTCCTTTGCAGACCACTGCATTGCATCCCATTCCCAAAAGAAGAAACACGAATCGTTCAGCAGTCATGCATCCATCCTTTCTTTCTTTCTTTTCATCAACGAGGGCCGAAACTGACGGCTAGATGTGTATGCATCTACAAAAGGACCATGCTCCTTCTAATCCTCATGCCCGCCGAATAAGCCATGCTGGTACTGCAGTACTGCGCACGCTTAAGCAGTGTACGTAGAAGCGGAGACGTTGCCACCACGGCCGGTCCAGTTGACGTGGATGTCCTTGCCCTCGGGGTACTTCTCGGTGGCGTACTCGGGCTTGACACGGAAGGTGTGGGCACCGAAGTAGTCACGCTGGGCCTGGAGAAGGTTGGCGGGGAGGTCCTTGGTGCGGAAGCCGTCGTAGAAAGAGAGCGCAGTCGAGAAGGCAGGAGTTGGGATACCCCAGAGGGCACCCTTGGAGACGACGTTACGCCAGCCGTCCTGGGCCTTGTGAATAGCCTTGTTGAAGAAGTCGTCGAACAACAAGTTCTCGAGGTCGGGGTTGGCGCGGTAGGCCTTGGTGATGTCCTTGAGGAAGACGGAGCGGATGATGCAGCCACCACGCCACATGAGGGCGATCTCTGGCTTGTGGAGGGTCCAGTTGTACTCCTTGGCGGCCTGTGAGGTAAGGATATGGTCAGCAAGCTGCATCCTTCATGCTCATTCAATGATTTGTAAACTTACACTCTGCATGAGCATGAAACCCTGAGCGTACGAGATGATCTTGGAGGCGTAGAGGGCCTGCTCGAGGTCGGCCAAGAACTGCTTCTTGTCGCCGTCGAACTTGGGGGTTGGGCCCTCAAGCTTCTGGCTGGCGCGGGTACGCTCGCCCTTGAGGGAAGACAAGCAACGAGCGAAGACGGCCTCGCCGATGAGAGTCACGGGCTGGCCCATGTCGAGAGCGTTGATGGCGGTCCACTTGCCAGTACCCTTCTGGCCGGCCGAGTCGAGGATCTTCTCGACGAGAGGCTTGCCGTCCTCGTCGTTGAAGTAGAGAATGTCGCGGGTGATCTCGATGAGGAAGGAGTCGAGGACGCCCTTGTTCCACTCAGCGAAGACATCTCCCATCTCCTTGCCGCTCAGGCCGAGACCACGCTTCATGATGTCGTAGGCCTGTAATGAATGTTAGAGCTGGTTGATAATCTCCAAACTCTAAAACTCACCTCAGTAATCAGCTGCATGTCACCGTACTCGATACCGTTGTGCACCATCTTGACGTAGTGACCAGCACCCTCATCACCGACCCACTGGCAGCATGGCTCGCCGTCAGACTTGGCGGAGATGCTCTGCAGGACGTCCTTGATGTATGGCCAGGCCTCCTCGTTACCACCGGGCATGATGGAAGGGCCGTAGCGAGCGCCCTCCTCACCACCCGAGACACCGGAGCCAACGAAGCGAATGCCCTTTCCGGCAAGGTACTTGGTGCGGCGGTTGGTGTCTGGGAAGTGGGAGTTACCACCATCGATGATGATGTCGCCAGCTTCCACACCGCCCTCGGTGAGGAGGGTCTCGATGAAGTCGTCGACTGGCTTGCCGGCCATGACGAGCAGCATCATGCGACGTGGCTTCTTGAGCTTCTGGACGAACTCGCGAATGCTGTGGGCTCCAACAATGCTCTTGCCCTTGGCCTCGTTGTCCAAAAAGCGGTCAACCTTGGCGACGGTGCGGTTGTAGGCGACGACGGTGAAGCCGTGGTCGGCGGCGTTGAGGATCAGGTTCTGGCCCATGACGGCCAGACCGATGAGACCGAAGTCTCCGCTGGAGGAGAAGGCATTGTTAGCAGGTGGACGTGACAAGTGACCTACAAACGCAGTCGTCCGCTATCTCGCGGTGAGGCGGGTTGAGGCGTGAGAGGCGGCATTGGCGATGGCATTGGCAGGCGTGTGGAATGGTGCTGTGGCAGGAGCGATGGGATTCTTCCGGGGGTGTCCCAGTGGGCGTGATGGCGCTGTCTCCAGGCCATTGAGGCTGCTCCCACGCGGCTCTCTGCGGGCATCAAATCTTTTTGCGGCAGCGGGGTGTGTTGAGTGACATCAGACGGCGAGGGGGAGGGGTCGACTTACACGGCCTCTGGAGCAGACATGGTGCGGGCGGGTGTCGAGGTGAGGTGTTGCGTGAGCGATGCGATGCGGCGCTGGGGCGAGGAGGAGAAAGAAGGTTGCGAAGTTGTGGTGAGGAGGGAGGTGTTGTGGTGAGAGTCAGAGCTTGGAAGAAAGTTCGCCGTGGTTGAGGGCTGCATCACCGCCGACCCCACCAGAACGAACAGACGCTGCAGCTCGCACGCACGCACGCACGCTCTCTCACACCACGCCAGCAGCAGCAGCCAGTCGTCCCGCCGGAGTCTGCTCGGACTGCACCAGGAGGCCCGTCAACCGCCTGCTGCACAACGCGCTCTGTCACCGCTGACAAACCGCCTCACCAAACAAACACCCCTTCCACGCCAAACCGATGCTAGCCTCTGCCTCGTCCTCCCGGCTTTTGCTCGCTGCTCGCTGCTGGCTTGCTTCGTCACTCGCAGGTTCCGTGGCGGCGGCGGTGCGGTGCGGTATCTGCTGGCTGGCTGCGACACGAACGTTTCGGCGGAAAAGAGTCTTATTAGCTCCAAGATGATGGTACTGCCTTATCCGCCTGGGCGTCTTATGTAGGCATTTAACCGGCTGCAGGCCGCGGCCGGCTGAATCTTCGGCATCCCACGTCAGGCATTTCATACAAATCATGCCATTGCCGAATGCCGACGGCGCTCTGCCCTTCGTACGCAGTGTCCGACTACCTCTCTCTGCCTATAGGACCAAGCAGTCTGCTGACGAACGAGTAGTCTGGTACTGTGTGGTGACTATATCTTTCTCTCATCCTCTACCATATCCGCCGAATGCCGATTCTTGACGGGTCTGAACGGGTCATAGGAAAGACTTTTCTTTTCTCTCCCGTAGACCTCTTAACAATGCAAGTGAAGGAAAGTGCTCTCATTATTTTGTGAAAAGACGACGTTTGGTTGGTGGAAAGACTCACTCTTCATCCAACGCTCGTGCACTTGCCGCTTCTGCTGCGTGCAACGTCTCCCGAACCAAGATCATATCCACGGCTCTTCTTCCGGCATCTCGACCAGACTTTTGCGACGGGTGTTTGCAACTTCTTCCATGCGGGACGGTAATATAGAGGAGTCGTCATTCCCACGACTGAGGACCAGCGCGTGATGAAACCGGATCCAATATTTGCACGACATTGCAGTGAGTTCTAGACTCCAGGTCTGTCCAATATACCAAACTGCCATACTCACAATCTGGCCTTTTGTCTGGCAATGGAAATATTCCAGAATCCCAAAGCCAAATCAGAAAAAGCCACCACCACCAAGCAGCCCACGAGCATCGCCGTATACGGCCCCTATACGCGGAAAGGCGAACCCTCTCACATGTGACGCGTCTGAAAAGCAGCCATCCATCCAACCCCGCCGATCTCCCAATCTACAGGGCTGGACGCGATGAATGTGCGTGATCAAGATTTCGTGTAACCCACGAATGCACGAATCCGAAAGCGCGACATGGGACGAAATGCATGCCACTTTGGAGCATGATGCGGCCCGGTTCTGGAAGACCTCGAAGACCTTCCCACCTCGGGAAATCGATCCTTTTCCTAATGAGCTGTTGATAGGGACACATCGCATCTCCGTAAGTATTGATGAAGTGCATACATGATAAATAGGTAGGTAGATCTCGCCTTGCTACAGGCTCTGGCAAGAATGATATGAACCCCTGCTAGTGGCATTCCTTCTGCTAACTATATATGGTTGTTATTGTGGGCCTGCTTCAAAACACGCTGTACGCGTCTTAATTCCTATATTCTTCGATACAGTAATACTAAAGAGGATATTCTTAGCCTTTAAGAAGGGCTAGATATAGGCCCTTTACAAGCACGTATACTAGCTACTTTAGCGGATTACTAAGAAACTAGATACCTTAAAATATACTATATCTTAGGTTATTACACGCCTAGAACGCGAACTACGTACACTACCCCGACGAGGACGCCCTCCTATAATTATAACCCGTAAACGACGTCGTCTT